GTTTCCACAGATGTCCGACCACAATTGAACTGGCGATGCCAGTGTTTAACAACGTCATATGATGGGGCATCTTCCCCATAAGTTGCGTTCATTTCATCGAAAGTTTCTTTTGGTGTGCGACCTTTCAAATATAAAAACCTAATCACTGCTCGGTATTCTACTGGCTCCATTGTCACACCCTACACATAACACCTGTAAAAGTGGTAAGATTAATAGTTCGGTGCTGCAAATTCAGACATAACCCATAGATACATGTATCATTACACATGTGAAATTTCAACCAAATATGATAACCCTAAGTGGGTCAGGGGAAATCTTTAATGAACACCCCTCGTAGGGCATAAAACTGTTTGAAATTAGGTGGCTAAGCTCGCTGAGTTTGATGATGCATGTCATCGTATCCCAATTGCGTGGATCGATGCTCATGATGTCAATCACTGGATAGTCTGATCCGGACTCGATTATTTACAGACCGCCGTCTTATAGCTGTAATATTGTTGAATGCGGCGTTAAACAACAAACAAACAAACAAAAAGTTAGCAAATTGTAAAATGACTGAAATATTTTGTAAATTGCCCAAGTGAAAATTTCCGCCATTTTACACACTGACTATAACATGCAGTTTAGTTGCCTGAAACTAGGGGCAGCTGTTGTTTTGTGTATAAGAACAGAACTTCATTGTTATACAAATATTACGTACACATACTTGCAAAAGTACGTAATTGAACATACACAGTTACTTTAATGATTTGGGTTTTGAAGTTTTGCTGTATGTAGAAACGTGGTGCTCCCGTCACACAAGCCTGGCACCATTTCTTCACGGAACTTTATACACATCATGCATGCACAGAACTGGTGCCTTGTGCGACGAAGTAGTTTTATTTTGTTTTTGCGTCTCCATTGCAACAATACACGTTAAACTCCAGACGAGCGTAGGGATCGTTTCTAGTGCATCACTCATAAAATGTTTCTCATTTCTTTGTATCAGGCAATTGCTGAACTTGTTGGTTTTGCGATTGAAGTCGTTTTTGTTAGGTTTTGCTTTAGCAAGTTGGACTAATTTACAAATGAAGGTTTCATTTTAGGGTTAGGCATCTGTCATAATGTCGGACTCACAGTCCTTTTAGTATATTGAGGTATATTGAAAGGGCGGGGATGTTGATGACTTTATCTTCTTGTTCAGTTTACATCCGAAAGTCAACAGGAACAATAACCATATGCATCGGCAATGGGTTTTCATTTACGGCCTTAAATATATCAAATGTTTATTTTATACAGTATAAGTCTATTGACATGCCATTATTAAATGGCATTATCAAATATGAAATATGTGATATATTATCCACGCAATCAGTAAACCCGAAATGCTATGACTGCGGGGATACTGTTTCTTATCGAACGATACCCATGAGGGGTATTTCCAAATGACAACATCTATGAGTTTCCACTGTTACTTTTGTCTGTTTAGGTTATTGTGATTCCTGCATGCTGATTAGCGCGACAGGAGACTGAGCTACAGTCTGCCAGGACGGGACAGCGGAAATATCTATACACACTTCTGAACACTGACTGGTTACCCGTGTTCTGTGAAGATGTCGATATTACAAAGAACGCTTGTTAATTCATTTTCAGTTTTCAGAAATGCGTATAGATATTTCCGATGTTCTGACAGACGGTAGCTCAGTCTCCGGTCACGCTAATCAGGACGTAGGAATTGCAATGAACATATCGAAAATTTAATCAAAACAGGTGAACACTCTGTCCTCCGCACATTTAGTTACTTAATTCACTTAAAATTCTTAATTGAAAAAAACCCTGTAATTAATCTTATCCCATTACCAAATGTTTGAATCTAGCATCTGCTATAAATCTCTAACTTGTCAAACTATCTTAGTTTACCTACATTTCTTAATTTTAAAAAACAACAACCTTTAATTACTCTTATTCCATTGCTAAGTATTTGAATAAGTACACTGCTATGCAGCTCTATAGTGTAAGACTATCTTAGCTGGGTAGTATCCAGAGCCTAATGCCCCTTTAATAGTCATGACAATAGTAAAGAATATCCAGATTTGGCGAGTAACATACCACCATACAGACCATTTTCACAGCCCACTACAACTAATGGCCATTGACAACAATGCTGAAAATCCACCACTCAGACACTGAATGGAACACGGTCCCTTCACACTCTCCTCCTTTGTGGCGGGTCCTGAGGGCGTGGAGTGGGCGTAGTGCGCAGAAACATACCGCAACTGCCAGCCATTTCACACATTCTACTAGAGGAATATTGTATGTCACATTGCCTCACACACATGACCAGTCTGTCACACTATATCATACACACGACCAGTATGTCACACTACCTCACACACACGACCAGTATGTCACACTAACCCACACACACGTCTGTCACACTACCTCACACACACAACCAGTATGTCACACTACCTCACACACACGACCAGTCTGTCACACTTCCCCACACACAAGACCAGTATGTCACACTACCTCACACACACACACACACACACACACACACAACCAGTATGTCACACTACCTCACACACACGACCAGTCTGTCACACTTCCTCACACAAAAGACCAGTATGTCACACTACCTCACACACACGACCAGTATGTCACACTACCTCACATACAGGTCTGTCACACTACCTCATACACACGACCAGTATGTCACACTACCTCACACACACGACCAGTCTGTCACACTACCCCACACACACGACTAGTATGTCACACTACCTCACACACACGACCAGCATGTCACACTAACCCCCACACACGTCTGTCACACTACCTCACACACACACAACCAGTATGTCACACTACCCCACACACCAGTATGTCACTCTACCTCACACACACGACCAGTATGTCACACTACCTCACACACACACAACCAGTATGTCATACTACCCCACACACGAGTATGTCACTCTACCTCACACACACGACCAGTATGTCACACTACCCCACACACACGACCAGTATGTCACCCTACCTCACACACACGACCAGTATGTCACACTACCTCACACACATGACCAGTTTGTCACACTACCTCACACACACACATCTGTCACACTACCTCACACACACAACCAGTATGTCACAATACCTCACACACACGACCAGTATGTCACACTACCTCACACACATGACCAGTTTGTCACACTACCTCACACACACAACCAGTATGTCACACTACCTCACACACATGACCAGTATGTCACATTTCCTTACACACACATCTGTCACACAACCCCCAACACACACACGACCAGTATGTCACACTACCCCACACACACGACCAGTATGTCACACTACCTCACACACATGACCAGTTTGTCACACTACCTCACACACACAACCAGTATGTCACACTACCTCACACATGACCAGTATGTCACATTGGCTCACACACACATCTGTCACACTATCTCACACACACGACCAGTATGTCACACAACCTCACACACACAACCAGAATGTCACACTACCTCACACACACAACCAGAATGTCACACCTCACACACACGACCGGTATGTCACACTACCTCACACACACAACCAGTATGTCACACTACCTCACACACACGACCAGTATGTCACACTACCTCACACACACAACCAGTATGTCACACTACCTCACACACACGACCAGTATGTCACACTACCTCACACACACCAGTATGTCACACTACCTCACACACACAACCAGTCTGTCACACTACCTCACACACAACCAGTCTGTCACTCTACCTCACACACACAACCAGTATGTCACACTACCTCACACACATGACCAGTCTGTCACACTACCTCACACACACACAACCAGTATGTCACACTACCTCACACACACACATCTGTCACACTACCTCACACACACGACCAGTATGTCACACTACCTCACACACACGACCAGTATGTCACACTAACTCACACACATGACCAGTCTGTCACTCTACCTCACACACACGTCTGTCACACTACCTCACACAAACATGACCAGTATGTCACACTACCTCACACATACACGTCTGTCACACTACCTCACACACACATGACCAGTATGTCACACTACCTCACACACACAACCAGTATGTCACACTACCTCACACACACACAACCAGTATGTCACACTACCTCACACACACACATCTGTCACACTACCTCACACACACGACCAGTATGTCACACTAACTCACACACACGACCAGTATGTCACACTAACTCAAACACATGATCAGTCTGTCACACTACCTCACACACACATCTGTCACACTACCTCACACAAACATGACCAGTATGTCACACTACCTCACACATACTCGTCTGTCTCACTACCTCACACACACATGACCAGTATGTCACACTACCTCACACACACAACCAGTCTGTCACACTACCTCACACACGTGACCAGTCTGTCACTCTACCTCACACACACAAGACCAGTATGTCACACTACCTCACACACACAACCAGTATGTCACACTACCTCACACACACACAACCAGTCTGTCACTCTACCTCACACACACAACCAGTATGTCACACTACCTCACACACACAACCAGTATGTCACACTACCTCACACACAAAACCAGTCTGTCACTCTACCTCACACACACAACCAGTATGTCACACTACCTCACACACATGACCAGTCTGTCACACTACCTCACACACACACAACCAGTATGTCACACTACCTCACACACACACGTCACACTACCTCACACACACGACCAGTATGTCACACTACCTCGCACACACAACCAGTATGTTACACTATCCCCCACACACACGACCAGTATGTCACACTACCTCACACACATGACCAGTATGTCACACTACCTCCCACACACGACCAGTTTATCACACTACCCCACACACATGACCAGTGTCACACTACCTCACACACGAACAGTCTTACACACTACCTCACACAAATGACTTAATATCAGTGGTGATTTTAACAATTTAAGCAGAACAAACATTCCTTCAATTCAGTGTATTTTATGAGTGAATGTTGTTTTGTGCCCCCACTGGCACCATCCTAGCGATATCACTGCAGCCAGGAACAGACAGTGCAGCCAGGAACAGACAGTGCAGCCAGGAACAGACAGTGCAGCCAGGAACAGACAGTGCAGCCAGATACAGACAGTGCAACCAGCAAGGTGGTTGTACGGGAGACTGCCACAGTTCCTCACATTGTCTTAATTATCAAGATACATACTGTTATATTCAGAATCCCATGATGTACCTGAGGGGGCTAAGGCTTGCTGATATATCTTGATTCATTTCAAGCATGTATCTTGAATCACGCCAGGCTATATAACTTGTATTACACCAGGCTATGTATCTTGAATCGCACCACGCTATGTATCTTGAATCACACCAGGCTATGTATCTTGAACCACGCCAGGCTATGTATCTTGAATCACACCAGGCTATGTATCTTGAATCGCACCAGGCTATGTATCTTGAATCACACCAGGCTGTGTATCTTGAACCACGCCAGGCTATGTATCTTGAATCACACCAGGCTACGTATCTTGAATCACACCAGGCTATGTATCTTGAATCGCACCAGGCTATGTATCTTGAATCACACCAGGCTATGTATCTTGAACCACGCCAGGCTATGTATCTTGAATCGCACCAGGCTATGTATCTTGAATCACGCCAGGCTATGTATCTTGAACCACGCCAGGCTATGTATCTTGAATCGCACCAGGCTATGTATCTTGAATCACGCCAGGCTATGTATCTTGAATCACACCAGGCTATGTATCTTGAATCACACCAGGCTATGTATCTTGAACCACACCAGGCTATGTATCTTGAACCACACCAGGCTATGTATCTTGAATCACGCCAGGCTATGTATCTTGAATCACACCAGGCAATGTATCTTAAATCACGCCAGGCCATGTATCTTGAATCACACCGGGCAATGTATCTTGAATCACGCCAAGCTATGTATCTTGAATCATGCCAGGCTATGTATCTTGAACCACACCAGGCTATGTATCTTGAATCACGCCAGACTATGTATCTTGAATCACGCCAGGCTATGTATCTTGAACCACACCAGGCTATGTATCTTGAATCACGCCAAGCTATGTATCTTGAATCATGCCAGGCTATGTATCTTGAACCACACCAGGCTATGTATCTTGAATCACGCCAGGCTATGTATCTTGAATCACGCCAGGCTATGTATCTTGAACCACACCAGGCTATGTATCTTGAATCACGCCAGGCCATGTATCTTGAATCACACCAGGCTATGTATCTTGAATCACGCCAGGCTATGTATCTTGAATCACACCAGGCTATGTATCTTGAATCACGCCAGGCTATGTATCTTAAATCGCACCAGGCTATGTATCTTGAATCAGACCAGGCTATGTATCTTGAATCACGCCGAGCATGTCTTTAATAACCTGGTGTTCCTGTGCATGATGGTATGCGGAGACAGAGTGATGAGATGTACTTGTGATAGACAGGGCGACACCAATCTAGACACATCTTGATGTAGGGAATCCAACAATGATGAAACCCAACTGATCAGGGGCCAGTCTTGTCTAGTACCGGAGAGTCAGACTTGGGCTGCATCAGATGGAATCCATGTTTCTGCCACAACTCAACAGCATCACTCACAAGCTTGTCACCACAGTCCTCGGGGATCTGGCAGAGGAATAGACAAAAACAAATGTAGCAAGAATCACACACCACCTACACAGTGCAGATTACATGCCCATATATGCAGAACACCTCACCTTCCTGAAATAGGACCACATCTCACATGGCAACATAACTTTGTTGGTTTGTTCTTTAATGCCGCCATATTCTAGCTATATGATGTTGGTCTGTAAATAACCAAGTCTGGACCAGATCTAGTGATTGATATCATGAGCATCGATCTATGCAATTGGGTTATGATAACATGCATCAAGTCATTCGGCGAGCCTCACCACCAGATCCTGTTGGGTGCCTCTTAGGACAAGCTTGGGTTGTCAAAGACCAATTCTAATCCAGATTTTATGGGAAGACAACCTACCTTCCGGAGATAGGTAACCATATCTCACGCAACAACCTACCTTCCGGAGATACGAGACCATATCTCACACAACTACCTACCTTCCGGAGATAGGCGACCATATCTCACACAACTACCTACCTTCTGGAGATAGGCGACCATGTCTCACACAAAAACCTACCTTCTGGAGATAGGCAACCATGTCTCACACAACAACCTACCTTCTGGAGATAGAGAATCATATCTCACACAACAACCTACCTTCTGGAGATAGGAGACCATATCTCACGCAACAACCTACCTTCCAGAGATACGAGACCGTATCTCACACAACTACCTACCTTCCGGAGATAGGCAACCATATCTCACACAACAACCTACCTTACGGAGATAGGCGACTATATCTCACACAACTACCTACCTTCCGGAGATAGGCGACCATATCTCACACAACTACCTACCTTACGGAGATAGGCGACCATATCTCACACAACTACCTACCTTACGGAGATAGGCGACCATTTCATCTGTAGTGTTCATACTCAACAGAGGTCGTCTGAAGGTGAGGAAAATGGCGACTGCTACAAACACAAGGATTGTTGGGGAACCTCCAAGCACCTTGTCCCAGACCCTGAAGCCACAGACATCTCTAAATTACCTCACACACAACACTGAGACAAGGTGTGAATTTACCTGAGACAAGGTGTATATTACCCTGAGACAATGTGTGTTTTAACCTGAGACAAGGTGTGTATTTACCAGAGACAAGGTGTGTATTTACCAGAGACAAGGTGTGTATTTACCTGAGACAAGGTGTGTATTTACCTGAGACAAGGTGTGTATTAACCTGAGACAAGGTGTGTATTTACCTGAGACAAGGTGTGTATTTACCTGAGACAAGGTGTGTATTTACCTGAGACAAGGTGTGTATTTACCAGAGACAAGGTGTGTATTTACCAGAGACAAGGTGTGTATTAACCTGAGACAAGGTGTGTATTTACCTGAGACAAGGTGTGTATTTACCTGAGACAAGGTGTGTATTTACCTGAGACAAGGTGTGTATTTACCAGAGACAAGGTGTGTATTTACCAGAGACAAGGTGTGTATTTACCTGAGACAAGGTGTGTATTTACCAGAGACAAGGTGTGTATTAACCTGAGACAAGGTGTGTATTTACCTGAGACAAGGTGTGTATTTACCTGAGACAAGGTGTGTATTTACCTGAGACAAGGTGTGTATTAACCTGAGACAAGGTGTGTATTTACCTGAGACAAGGTGTGTATTTACCTGAGACAAGGTGTGTATTTACCTGAGACAAGGTGTGTATTTACCTGAGACAAGGTGTGTATTTACCAGAGACAAGGTGTGTATTTACCTGAGACAAGGTGTGTATCTCCCTGAGACAAGGTGTGTATTTACCTGAGACAGGGTGTGTATTTACCTGAGACAAGGCGTGTATTAACCTGAGACAGGGTGTGTATTTACCTGAGACAAGGTGTGTTTTAACCTGAGACAAGGTGTGTATTTACCAGACAAGGTGTGTATTTACCTGAGACAAGGTGTGTATTTACCTGACACAAGGTGTGTATTTACCTGAGACAAGGTGTGTATTTACCTGACACAAGGCATGTATTTACCTGAGACAAGGTGTGTATTTACCAGAGACAAGGTGTGTATTTACCTGAGACAAGGTGTGTATTTACCTGAGACAAGATGTGTATTTACCAGAGACAAGGTGTATATTTACCTGAGACAAGGTGTGTATTTACCTGAGACAAGGTGTGTATTTACCTGAGACAAGGTGTGTATATTTACCTTTCAAATGAAATGTCAGGGAGAACACCAGCAAAACAACATCTGAACCAGTCCATCAAAGGGAGAGAACTCAGGATGTTGTTCTCCTGTAGATGTAGAAGCAACCTCTTGTCAACGTCCTCCTTTCTCAGACAGAGGACGGTCTTCTCCGGCTGGGAGGAACAAGGAAACATTGTAATAAACACGACTGCCTAAGACAGAGAACGGTCTTCTCCAGCTGGAGGAACAAGGAAACATTGTAATAGACTGCCTAAGACAGAGGACGGTCTTCTCCAGCTGGAGGAACAAGGAAACATTGTAATAGACTGCCTAAGACAGAGGACGGTCTTCTCCAGCTGGAGGAACAAGGAAACATTGTAATAGACTGCCTAAGACAGAGGACGGTCTTCTCCAGCTGGAGGAACAAGGAAACTTTGTAATAGACTGCCTAAGACAGAGGACGGTCTTCTCCGCCTGGAGGAACAAGGAAACATTGTAATAGACTGCCTAAGACAGAGGACGGTCTTCTCCGCCTGGAGGAACAAGGAAACATTGTAATAGACTGCCTAAGACAGAGGACAGTCTTCTCCAGCTGGAGGAACAAGGAAACATTGTAATAGACTGCCTAAGACAGAGGACGGTCTTCTCCGCCTGGAGGAACAAGGAAACATTGTAATAGACTGCCTAAGACAGAGGACAGTCTTCTCCAGCTGGAGGAACAAGGAAACATTGTAATAGACATAACTGTCTCAGACAGAGGATGGTCTTCTCTGGCTGGAGGAACAAGGAAACATTGAAATAACTGTCTCAGACAGAGGACTGTATAAAAGTAATTGTTAAGAGCTGCACTTAAGATAAATAAGCTCACCATGAGTTGAAGATGGTCGCTGAACTTCAGGAAGTATCTGTAGAAGCGTGAGGTGATCCAGTACCTGTCGATGTCAGCATCAGCAACATTACAAACAGCACCAGCCATCAACATGAACGCCACATACGCCGGGTCCTTGTGCTGCATAAAACACAGCTATCTCATGAAATGGTTACCATGGATACAACACACCATTAAACATGTTAAATATCTGACCAGATGACAGGAAAATACAAAGAGTTAAAATCAGGAAAGAGAGATGGTCTCTGAGCAGAGATTGAGTTAAGGACAAATGGACAGTATGACCGTTAAAAATATGCACTCAAGCACACACATATGCACACACACAAGCAAACACACACACAAAAATATATAATATAAATAAATAAGTTCCTTCTTCTGATACACACCAAATTCTTTTCTTCGAACGGCAGATTTCCTTCTTCTAAAAGATAAAGTTTAAGGAACACTTCTTCAGTGGGCGTGTCCGCATTAACTCTGCGCAGCACTGTCAGACACCGGAGTCCGTCCTGGTACATCGCCCGGTGCTGCTGACTGACATACGCGTGGGACGGTTGGTGGGAGGGCAACACACCTATGGACAACAAATCATTGTCAACGCTTGTGTAACGGCCATAAAATTTCCGAGTCCCGTGATGGGATTCGAACCACGGACCTTCTGATCACAGGTCGGACGCCTTGTCCACATGACCAAAGAGGTTAACCCCGCCAGCAAGCTGACAAGGTAAGGATGTCATCTGTGGGATGACTCCACGCCCTGCTACATACTCCCCCGTCAACAGAAGGCACGTCCCGGGCCGCATAGTAGGGTACTGAGGCTTATTTTGCTCAAATTTAATATGAACGTGCTCAGCCCCACGTTGGGCGCCAATGTAACGGCCATAAAATTTCCGAGTCCCGTGATGGGATTCGAACCACGGACCTTCTGATCACAGGTCGGACGCCTTGTCCACATGACCAAAGAGGTTAACCCCGCCAGCAAGCTGACAAGGTAAGGATGTCATCTGTGGGATGACTCCACGCCCTGCTACACTTGCATCACAAAACTTACACAAAACTAAACACAGTGCAGCAGCACCGTCAGGCACCGGAGTCCGTCCTGGTACATGGCCCGGTGCTGCTGACTGACATACGCGTGGGACGGCTGGTGGGAGGGCAACACACCTATGGACAACAAATCATTGTCAACGCTTGAATCACAAAACTTACACAAACTAAACACAGTGCAGCAGCACCGTCAGGCACCGGAGTCCGTCCTGGTACATGGCCCGGTGCTGCTGACTGACATACGCGTGGGACGGCTGGTGGGAGGGCAACACACCTATGGACAACAAATCATTGTCAACGCTTGAATCACAAAACTTACACAAACTAAACACAGTGCAGCAGCATTGTCAGTCCCCTAGGTAAGTAGGCGGCAGTTGAACATGTCCACAAAGAGAGCCACAACAACATTTGCATATTTGCGGTAAGAATTGATTTTCAAGTATATTCTGCTTAAATACAGAGGAAATAAATATAGACAAAAACTAACCAATGGTTCGAACAAACTGTCTCCCTACGGACAACATGCAAACTTCAGCTCCTTCAATTCACAGAAGTTTACAGAACTTTTTCCATAAAAACACATCTCAATTATTCATTTACTATTGCCTGTTTACACAAATACACAATAACTTCTCCTTCGACAAAATGTGCTCAAATTGCTGGGGTGAAAACATTTATTTCTTAATGTATCATACTGTGCTTAAGCATACAAAAATTCTCTAAAAAGACTTAATGATACTTTACTTAACGTAAACAATACTTTTTCTCAACTGAACTAAGACACTGTCACTCCAGAACAGATGTGGCTATAGCACAACATGCCCTTGTGTTTAGTATGTTTACAACCGTTACAGTCATATTCAAAGTACAAATGTTGAAATGTATGTTTACAACCGTTACAGTCATATTCAGAGTACAAATGTTGAAATGTATGTTTACAACCGTTACAGTCATATTCAGAGTACAAATGTTGAAATGTATGTTTACAACCGTTACAGTCATATTCAGAGTACAAATGTTGAAATGTATGTTTACAACCGTTACAGTCATATTCAGAGTACAAATGTTGAAATGTATGTTTACAACCGTTACAGTCATATTCAGAGTACAAATGTTGAAATGTATGTTTACAACCGTTACAGTCATATTCAGAGTACAAATGTTGAAATGTATGTTTACAACCGTTACAGTCATATTCAGAGTACAAATGTTGAAATGTATGTTTACAACCGTTACAGTCATATTCAAAGTACAAATGTTGAAATGAATGTTTACATCCGTTGCGGTCATATTCAAAGTACAAATGTTGAAATGTATGTTTACATCCGTTACAGTCATATTCAAACTACAAATGTTGAAATGTATGTTTACATCTGTTACGGTCATATTCAAAGTACAAATGTTGAAATGTATGTTTACATCCGTTACAGTCATATTCAAACTACAAATGTTGAAATGTATGTTTACATCCGTTGCGGTCATATTCAAAGTACAAATGTTGAAATGTATGTTTACATCCGTTTAGGTCATATTCAAACTACAAATGTTGAAATGTATGTTTACATCCGTTACGGTCATATTCAAAGTACAAATGTTGAAATGTATGTTTACATCCGTTACAGTCATATTCAAACTACAAATGTTGAAATGTATGTTTACATCCGTTGCGGTCATATTCAAAGTACAAATGTTGAAATGTATGTTTACATCCGTTTAGGTCATATTCAAACTACAAATGTTGAAATGTATGTTTACATCCGTTAAGGTCATATTCAAAGTACAAATGTTGAAATGTATGTTTACATCCGTTAAGGTCATATTCAGAGTACAAATGTTGAAATGTATGTTTACATCCGTTACAGTCATATTCAAACTACAAATGTTGAAATGTATGTTTACAACCGTTACAGTCATATTAAAACTACAAATGTTGAAATGTATGTTTACATCCGTTAAGGTCATATTCAACGTACAAATGTTGAAATGTATGTTTACATCCGTTACTGTCATATTCAAAGTACAAATGTTGAAATGTATGTTTACATCCGTTACAGTCATATTCAAAGTACAAATGTTGAAATGTATGTTTACATCCGTTAAGGTCATATTCAAAGTACAAATGTTGAAATGTATGTTTACATCCGTTAAGGTCATATTCAGAGTACAAATGTTGAAATGTATGTTTACAACCGTTACAGTCATATTCAGAGTACAAATGTTGAAATGTATGTTTACAACCGTTACAGTCATATTCAGAGTACAATGTTGAAATGTATGTTTACAACCGTTACAGTCATATTCAGAGTACAAATGTTGAAATGTATGTTTACAACCGTTACAGTCATATTCAGAGTACAAATGTTGAAATGTATGTTTACAACCGTTACAGTCATATTCAAAGTACAAATGTTGAAATGAATGTTTACATCCGTTGCGGTCATATTCAAAGTACAAATGTTGAAATGTATGTTTACATCCGTTACAGTCATATTCAAACTACAAATGTTGAAATGTATGTTTACATCTGTTACGGTCATATTCAAAGTACAAATGTTGAAATGTATGTTTACATCCGTTACAGTCATATTCAAACTACAAATGTTGAAATGTATGTTTACATCTGTTACTGTCATATTCAAAGTACAAATGTTGAAATGTATGTTTACATCCGTTACTGTCATATTCAAAGTACAAATGTTGAAATGTATGTTTACATCCGTTAAGGTCATATTCAAAGTACAAATGTTGAAATGTATGTTTACATCCGTTACAGTCATATTCAAAGTACAAATGTTGAAATGTATGTTTACATCCGTTGCGGTCATATTCAAAGTACAAATGTTGAAATGTATGTTTACATCCGTTAAGGTCATATTCAAAGTACAAATGTTGAAATGTATGTTTACATCCGTTGCGGTCATATTCAAAGTACAAATGTTGAAATGTATGTTTACATCCGTTACTGTCATATTCAAAGTACAAATGTTGAAATGTATGTTTACATCCGTTAAGGTCATATTCAAAGTACAAATGTTGAAATGTATGTTTACATCCGTTAAGGTCATATTCAAACTACAAATGTTGAAATGTATGTTTACATCCGTTAAGGTCATATTCAAAGTACAAATGTTGAAATGTATGTTTACATCCGTTAAGGTCATATTCAAAGTACAAATGTTGAAATGTATGTTTACATCCGTTACAGTCATATTCAAACTACAAATGTTGAAATGTATGTTTACAACCGTTACAGTCATATTCAAACTACAAATGTTGAAATGTATGTTTACATCCGTTACAGTCATATTAAAACTACAAATGTTGAAATGTATGTTTACATCCGTTAAGGTCATATTCAACTTACAAATGTTGAAATGTATGTTTACATCCGTTACGGTCATATTCAAAGTACAAATGTTGAAATGTATGTTTACATCCGTTAAGGTCATATTCAGAGTACAAATGTTGAAATGTATGTTTACATCCGTTAAGGTCATATTCAAAGTACAAATGTTGAAATGTATGTTTACATCCGTTACAGTCATATTCAAACTACAAATGTTGAAATGTATGTTTACATCCGTTAAGGTCATATTCAAAGTACAAATGTTGAAATGTATGTTTACAACCGTTCCAGTCATATTCAAAGTACAAATGTTGAAATGTATGTTTACATCCGTTACAGTCATATTCAAACTACAAATGTTGAAATGTATGTTTACATCCGTTAAGGTCATGTTCAAAGTACAAATGTTGAAATGTATGTTTACATCCGTTAAGATCATATTCAGAGTACAAATGTTGAAATGTATGTTTACATCCGTTAAGGTCATATTCAAACTACAAATGTTGAAATGTATGTTTACATCCGTTACGGTCATATTCAAACTACAAATGTTGAAATGTATGTTTACAACCGTTACGGTCATATTCAAAGTACAAATGTTGAAATGTATGTTTACAACCGTTACAGTCATATTCAAAGTACAAATGTTGAAATGTATGTATACATCCCTTACAGTCATATTCAAAGTACAAATGTTGAAATGTATGTTTACATCCGTTACAGTCATATTCAAAGTACAAATGTTGAAATGTATGTTTACAACCGTTCCAGTCATATTAACACTACAAATGTTGAAATGTATGTTTACATCCGTTACGGTCATATTCAAAGTACAAATGTTGAAATGTATGTTTACAACCGTTCCAGTCATATTAACACTACAAATGTTGAAATGTATGTTTACATCCGTTACGGTCATATTCAAAGTACAAATGTTGAACTGTATGTTTATATCCGTTACAGTCATATTCAAACTACAAATGTTGAAATGTATGTTTACATCCATTACAGTCATATTCAAAGTAATTTCATAATTCCATACTTACCCCAAGTGGAGAGAGATTCTAAGACAACAAAAACTACAATGCAACTGTAGTGATAGTTGAGGTCAGTTTGCAACTGTTGAGCATAATACACAAAACACGATGATTTGTCATTTTTAGATAGGGTTATAGCTGAACTGGCACCTCATCAAAACATCACCGAGTGAAAAAAGCACCAATTGGCAAAAACGGCACCTCCCCTAAAGCGAAAACGGCTAATATCGCCTGCCGATCACAGCACCTTATTGGTATTTTTTACCTTGGTACTGAAATAATTGAAATTAAACTCACATTGTCACTTGCAACCACAAATAATTGTGAAATGTTACAACAAGTTTACATAAAAAATTAGCCCTTACTCCAATTTACTCGCCGACTCTGATTGGAAGTCAAGACAATGACAATGGAAATAAATCATATACAACATAACATAATAAAGCATGTAAATAAGGCATATATACTCCTACATAAATCATTCTTATCATTATTTAAAATAGAAGTGCCGTTTTTGGCTGACAAATAGTAACTGTTTTCTCCAAATGAGGTCCCATTTTCACCAGAGAAGTTGGTGATGTTTTGCTGAGGTGCCGTTTTAGCCTGCACCCATTAGATAGATGAGTTTGTACATCTGGGTAACAGTTTCTGAGCAAAACGTTTTCACGAAAACCTTGTTGTGTGAAATTTAAAAAAAAATGCAAGTGAAGAAAAGGATAAAATTAGGACAAACCAACTGAAGCAATACCACCATATATGTTGTCATTCTGGGCCTAGGCCTAAATAATAGAAGGGTCATTCTTCAGTCTGTTAAATTGTTGGTTGTCGACCTAGGTTTTGACATTGTTGCATCAACTCACAATGCATGGAGATGGACTGATACATAATTCATTCCAAACTATAAAACGTTTGATGATTTACCTAGGAGAATTTTCCAAACATAATGTCTGTATTTAGTTGGCACTGGGAACCGAAGACAAAACTGAGACAGTTTTTCCACATCCATCGGCTGCTCTTTCAACAAGATTTCTATGGATTTCTTTTCGTCAACAGCTCGAAATCCGCATTTGTCATAATAATATGATCTGAAATTTCGTTCCTCTGTCATACTGGGAAATGACAGTACACGTATCGAGTTCAAACACAGCTGATCTGACTGTGCTAATCGTCTTCGTGTGTCAGAAACAACCGGAAGTAACAGATCACTGGTTTCCACTATTGGTACGCGCAGCTTGTTGTGCGCTATTACCAATATCAGCTAGACAGGGGCCCAGTCAGTATTAGCAGGTGCCCGTTCATTGAAAACTTTTGACGTGATTTAAAGCGGAATATGGCTTCATAATTTAAATGTGGTGTCTATCCAGGGCTGTATGTTGAGCCCGATATTATTTATTTTCTTTATAAATGATCTTGTCACTGAAATAAAAATGGTATATTGAGGATCAAGCTATTGAGGATTTGATGTTGTTGCTTTTTGTGGATGATGTTGTACTCTTTGCTTATTATGCTGTAAGTCTTCAGAGGCAATTAGATATTTTAGAAAGTTTTTGTTTAAAGTGGGGTTTCCAGATAAACTTTAAAAAAATCAGAAATTGTAGTTTTTAGAAATGGGGGTGTTTTAAATCGCTTTGAAAAATGGTACTATAACGGCCGTTTATTAAAAACAGTTTCATATTATAAATATCTGGGGGTAATATTTTCTTATAGACTGATTTGGACGCAATCATGTGAGAACCTGGCAGCTCAGGCTGTTAAGGCATGCATCCCTGTTTATAAATTATTCCAAAATAAGTCATTCTTATCATTCTCCACAGCTTGTAGAATATTTGATTGTAAAATAAGTCCTATACTTTTATATGGTGCAGATTTGGGGGCTAAGGTATTTTACATGTATAGAGAAAGTTCAAATTTCATATTTTAAATATTGTCTTGGTGTAGGTAAATATGCCTCACACACAGCTATCTTAGGGGAAACTGGCCGCCACTATATGTTTGTCCAGAGTCAGATCAGAGCTTTAAAATATTGGCTAAAATTATTGCACATAGGATCAGATAGATATCCTGTACAATGTTATTACTTCCTTAAAAAGCTAGATGAGAAAAGTAAGCACAGTTGGGTGACAGATCTTAGAAATTGCTTATATGTTAGTGGTTTTTCATATGTCTAGGACTACTAAAATGTTGGTGATGTAAATATTTTTTTGTATCAATTTCAGGAAAGACTAAAAGATGCTGCCTCTCAAAATTGGTTTGCAAAATTGTCTGCTTCCAAATATTTATCTCATTATTCAAATGTTAAATCTTTTCTGAATGTAGAAAAATATATTGATCCTTTGCAGGATAAATCTCCCAGAAGACCCCCCCCCTTTGTAAATTTAGGATTAGCTCACATAATTTTAATGTTCAGTTTCTACGTAAAACCCCCTCAGATAATGAAAATAGTGTATGTAGATATTGTAACAAGGGTTGTATTGAAAGTAAAGATCATGTCTTTTTCACTTGTGATTATTACCAGACTTTACGGAAACATTATATTACCCAACTACAGGATATGTATGACGGTTACCTGTCACTTCCAAATATTCTAAACTGCAAAAATGTCAGTGTAATAAAACTGACTTCTGTATACCTGTATAAGATATTTAAATTTAGAAAAACGTGACTAAATTTATATTGTACTGACATTGTAATATAGGCCATATGGCCCACAATACCGAATACATCTGTCTGCCTGTCTGTCTGTGGTGTCTATCCCACTTCTGGTCGCATCAGGAGCACTCAAGGATTTTTTAAAAGTTTGATTTTCATTCGAAGTATAAAAATGACATATATTTATATATGCTTCTCATCAGAAAATTCTTCTATTTTTTCCGTAACTCAATATTTATTTTAAAATAAGCTCGACCAGCTTGGCATACTTGGTACCAAATATCATCACATTTGAGACAACGTTAAGCCAATTAGAGGTTAAGGATCAGTAATAGAAATAGCAATAAATAGAAGAATTAAGGAAACGAAACTGAGTTCATTATGAGTTTGGTAATGAAATATTACAATGTAATTTCAATTCGATATTTTCACTCATTGAAATAACACTTTATGCCGAAACAACTTTCAGTTCTAGTATATACTTTAAATTTACATCGTTCTGAATCATACACAATAATAAACGTTTCAACATATTTTTCCTGACAAAGATGAATGGGACTGGTTATACTTTGTGGGTTGGGGGTGAAGCGTGCGGGGTTGGGGGTGTTAGAGCATGAATAAAATAACTCAGTAATTCTATTTCAAACAATCTTTTTTTTATAAATTTGAACAGCATTTAGGGACTCGTCAGTAATTCATTGTTCGTCCCCAAATTAACAATAGACCACCGGACCAACATTAATATATTTTTACTGGTCCTTTAGAAAATGTAATAGACTCGGGCCAGCAGACCAGTGTCTAAGGCGCCGCAACTAGATGTGCAGAGCTGCGTCCCTTGTGCACACCAGAAACCTATGGTCCTGGGTTCGAATCTCGGTTCGCCCGATTATGTTTTTAGGTTTGTCAGCACCCTACCCGTGCTCGTGGATTTCACCAATGTGATTTACGTTGAGACCTGCATCACTTCGGGCTTTCTTCTACGTCCATTTGAAACGCCGTACAAGCCTTGAAGTGACAAATGGGAGGTATTGTGAGTATTGTACGTGCGCTTCTATAGATATGTCGGCGGACATCACAGATCGGTTGACACTTGCCGCCAGGTGGCGTTGACAGAGGAAACTCTTTAAGCATGGCCGACAGTTCTGAGCTACGAATCCTCAACGGGGTCAAACCTCCGGACAGTGCGGCGGAATCAGCCAATGACCTCGCAAAAAAGTTACAGAAAACTATGCTAAGGTAAGTAATTAATTTACATGATTTTTTTCGTGGTAAGAAATCGTGACAGAGTTGAACAGTGGTCTGAGAAGTTAATGTCAACAAGCAAGGTTCTCGTCCATGTCTGACCCGAGCTGCACAGAGTGAAGACCGCTAGAGATACCTAAGTTTCTCAAGGTATCTACAACGTTTTGCACAAGTTACAGTTACCTGTGCTTCAATTCCCGCGACCGATGGCGACGATTGTTGTCACCCAGTAATAGTTACATAATAATTGTTTGTTATAAAGATAGAATTTATCACGAACAAATTCAATGTCAATTATCTTTCATCTACGGTGGATAAATAATTAATCAATTGTCATTTTGATGATGAACCACAGAAATATTTGAGAACAAATATAAACAGACAATTATTATAGATGTAAGAATTGTGCAGGTACATCCACGAGGATCAGCTTAATAGGGTTAGAATTAAACTCAAAACTTTTCTAGCCAGGGTAAAGATAAAATGCCTTTGTAAACAACGAGGAAATTGGGAAATTTGTACTAGCCTGCCCGAATTTCTACAAGCCTTGGGCTAGTGGACTAGTGTTAAGCTCTAACCCTTCCTAATGTTGGTGAAAAATCCCGAAGTGATGCAAGTTCTACTTGACATTCACCAATTTGGTGACGCCCACGAGCATGGTTACCATGGCAATGATCAGGTTGAATGTAGGACCCATGATCCTGGAGTTCTGGCTCTGGGACAAAAAAAGGCGACATCCGTTTCCTTGAACAGTGAATTATGGTGCTTGGATATCTGGGACACTAACAGCATTTTGAGTTGTCATGATAAGTCTGACTCGACCAGTCCTACTAAATAACGCCCCGGAGAAGGATACTAAATCTCTTTGCTGTTTTTATTAGCTTTAAATGCTGGACAAGTAGGACTTGTTTTTATATCGATGCTGATATTGTTCCAGGTGTTTTAGGAATCAATGTTATATGATCGTTCAAAAGATGATGTTCTTACAAAAATAATGGTACTGTGATCTTAAAACTGTAGAATTCATCTAAATCCAAAATTCTGTTATTGTGCATCCTGAGGATGCAGTTTAATTGCCTTTCTGCTTCCATGTTCTACATTTGTGCATCACGTAAAATAGTAGGACCTCTCATGACACCTAGAACATGACACTTGACCCATGTAGATCTGGGTTGGAATAGCACCCTTGCTTGTTGTAAGAGACGACTAACAGGTCAGGTAGTCAAGGCTCTGCTGACTTGGTTGATGCATCAGAGCTCCAGATAAGCTGTGTATCTGCGTAAAATATGCATCAGAAATATGCAGTAAAATAAAATCCAAGCGTATCAAATACGCAACGAACATTACAGATACGCTACAAAAATAAAACCTTTGCGTATCATCAAAATATTGTGAAGTAACCCTGTGTATTCGATAAGCAAATCAGCAACTTATTTTGAAATTATAAACGGGCATTCCGTCAACCTTGCCAAACTCCACGATGACAGTTACATCATGATCATTTGCCATCACACTTTCTTGTGGAAGTATCGTGGTATTTTTGAGTCCTATAAAGCTCTCGAACCCACACGAAACCAGTTTGCAAGGACTAGATGAATAGTGTTTTTAAATATTTAACTTAAATACCCACATGTGTAAATACTAGTGGGTAACAGAAATTTGAATACCCAGATAGAATTATTAATACCCAATGATTTTAAAATGCATGGGTAAAATACCCACAACACCAAAACCTTATCTGAAGCTCTGCGCATGTCGTCTTATCCCAACTGTGTAGATCAATGCTCATGATATCAATCACTGGATTGTCAAGTCCAGACTCAATTATGTACAGACTGCCATCATATAGCTGGAATATTGCTGAGTGCAGCATTAAACAACAAACAATCGCTGTGACAAGTCCTCGGTGCTGGTCAGTTGTCCCTCCGGCCATCCATCTGTTGGCACTGGACAAGAACACTTCTCCTCCAGAACTGTTGGAACATATCCACATAGAACCACCATTAACATCATCCGCAGAGATTACGAGGCATTGACTTTTCAGTCCCCGACGAATTCTGGGGTAAAAGTATCAAAATTCTGCAGCAAACAAATAAGCATTTCCCCTCAAACATTAACACAAACTCTTTAAAGTTTCTAAATCCAACTATTTGCTTAACAAAGGCTTAGAGAATTTTCATGATCCTGCTTTGCAATGAACATGATGAACTTATAATGTTGGGCCACCTTGGAAGTGGGAAAAAATAGGTTGTGTTAAAACCAGTTGAGTGTCAAGGTTTTGGTCGACATATGCAGGGTTTTACGAGACGCACAAATGTAGAGAATGGACATAGAAAATAAATGTACCGCATCCCGGGGGACGAACAATAACATTCATTGTACCTACAGCACACAAAGAGCCGTTATTGGTGTCTGTTATTTCATCCATCAATCATGACCGCTGTCCACTTTATCATTGATTCATTCCAGACTCTAAAGTAATTATCAAAACATTTCATTACCTTAGTGGGCCCTCATATTGCCTGTGAGGACCCTTAAAATTAATACTGGTTTTTCGAACTTGAATTTTCTTATGTAGGTGTATATCATCTTGCTGGGATATAGTTGGGTGACTTTTACGAACGAAAAGCACTGCTTGCTCAATAGATACGTAGCTTGTTACACAGGATTCCTGATATGGTGTTCACTGAACAAGGCATACATGTGAAAGGTCAATGTCACCGGAAGTAATAAGAGGGGAATATAGTCTAGATAAGCGGGCACAAGTTCCTGTCATTGTTTATATAATCTAGAAAATAAGATTTACCGTAAACTAATAATTATTGCCTTAGAGACTTGTGCAAGTCTTGGAATAATGTTTTTATGCTGTGTTGAAAATAACACTATAATATGAGAAGATCAGCATTTTTTTTATCATTTATGAAGGCTTCATAATTATGTAGAAAGTCAAATTATGATGTTTTTTAGTGATTGTTGTATGTAGTCTTTTTTTGTTAATGGAAATGCAGGAACTGTATGTGTTGTGTTTTGATATGAATTTTATGTCTGCGGTAGCTGCATATTGATGATTTTATTTTAATTATCTAAAGATTTGAATAACTCTTGTAAAATGATAACAATGTAACATTAAAAAACTTACTTCCATTACATAAACATTGCATTAAGTTTAATAATATCTCAGTCGAGTGTCTGAAATAACTGCCTGCCCGCCAGCACGTGGCTGGTAACTTTTCTGTCAGGCTCTCTGAAATTTTCCTCCACCTGCCCCCCTGTCTGGTCGATGGTTCTAAGACTAAGACAGTTTTATCATAACTTCTCATAGATTTTCAAGAAATGTTGGCATTATTTTAAATGAATCAAGATGTGATGTGTCTCTAATTGTTTGTGATTTTTCAATATTTTATATGTCTGAATGTGGGCAGGTAACTTTAAAGATGGGCAGGCAACATTTGTGGGTACCTGCCCGACTGTCTTGTTGGGTTTTAAAATTATTTAAAACATTGCCTGCTTATACTACACTATTGCTGTATCAACAGTTAGGGGCGGTCGGGTAGCCTAGTGGTTAAAGTGTTCGCTCAACATGCTGAAGACCCGGGTTCGATTCCCGACATTGGTACAATGTGTGAAGCCCAATTCTGGTGTCCCCCGCCGTGATATTGCTGGAATATTGCTAAAAGCGGCGTAAAACCATACTCACTCACTCACTATTAACAGTTTGTTAACTGGCCCGAAAATACTTCAGGTAGGACCTTTTACTGATATGAATTATCAATAAGTTTATTGATCACAATAAGGATGAACATGGCCACAATCCATTTCTTTGGTTACCATTGATACTCTATATTTACATGACACAAAGCAGCTAACTCAGTGATGAAGGGTCATGTTTATTAGGTACAAATTAAATTCGATTGGTTCAGATCCGGAAATCCTCGATGCTCGCGTGTTATTCCATTAATCATTATGTTAATGCAGGGGTGTTCAGTTAGTATGTCTGACTGGAAATAAAGTGGCGGGCAAGTGGGAAAATATGATTTACTTGCTCTTTGGCGAGTAGAAGGATGGCAGTAGATGCATTGCATACTTTGAAAGTAATTTGCATTTACCTTCTGTTTCACTACTCCTTGCTAGGGCTGGCTATCGACATAGATTACAGATATCGATAATCGCTAACTAAATATCGATCAATTATCGATAAACATTAGGAAAGTAACTTTAAGCAAAAATGCATGAAAGTCCCGAAAGAAAATCACATGTACCATGTGTAATCCACTGGTGAGCACTGACACGTTTATGCATGGATTACTTTGTGGACATTTGAGATATAACAAAAACAGTTGCTTTCCGTCTTCGACAATTTACATTATTGACAATAACAAGTCTGTTTTGGTAAAACTAAACTTTATTTCAGCACAACAGTTTATGTAAGTTATTACCGATTACAACTATTTCATATTGATAATGGTTAATATTTCTTCTCATCTACAATAATTCCTATTATCAATCTTTTCGCCAGCCCTTCTCCTTGCTAGATTAGACTTGATCTGGTCCCAGCTGTTGCGTGGCATTAGTGAGCATGTGCAAAGACAGGCAGAGGACCAGCCTACTCACTGGAAAAAGTCCCAATTGGCTTTCATCAGTTTATTCCGATAGTTACTTCGAGATTGTAGTGTACACGTTTCAAAGTTCTGAGTGATTTAGCAGGACAAGTTGAAAATCAGTCTGGCCAAGTCCAAGTACAGTATTCATGTTTCAAACATTAAAAAAAATCAACAAAACACACTCAATACATTTTTCGTCTTTTGCACCCAACGCCTTTTGTCTGCTAACATCAGTTCATACCAGAAATATAAGAAACACATTAAAGTTTACAGACGAAAATGAATCGAAAATTCCAAATTGTTAAAAATCACTTCACGTGTCCGTCATCTGCACAGTAGACTATCTAGGCATCATGTTAAAGAAACATTGAATACTTTTTGGGCAGACCAGTTGTTGTAGTCCCTATCATTGAGGTCACCTGATACAAATCTCTTTTCTTACTTCCAATGTTCTGGAAAGTAGTCATTGTAACTCTGTGATCTCCAGATTGTGGAATGAACACTGGCAGAACAGGAAGTACAATTTAAATGGTATATAGTAATTTACCCTTAACATAAAATCTTGGAATCAAATAAAAAAATAGATTACAACCACAAGTTTCGACACCTTTATTTCAAGTTAGAGGCCACAGACCCATAGAATATAACATTACAGGAATATAATTACTGATAAAGCGACTCATACAATTCCATTGCATTCAATATGAATTTCGATAGCTGTACAATAGTAGGTTCATGATTAGATGACATCAGACGAACAAAGGATTCCAGTGATTGATTTACAAAGTATTTAGGATCAATGTATCGATACCTTAAATCCTTAAAAGCAGGGCATACGAGTGCAAAACGATATTCATTTTCCACTCGACTAATATTTAATCAAAGACAATATCTACACAAGCGACATTCTGGATCGATGCCTTTGCGTCTGCCCATTTCGATCATCAACTGATGACAGCCACATCTAAATCTTGACAGCCACATCTAAATCTTGACAGCACTTGTTTCAGTAGTGTAGAGTAAAATTGATTTGTAGGTTGAATATGCCATTAGCTTTGGATTTGACGATATTGATGAATGCCATCGTTGGATGTTGTCATCGGATACACCTTGCTTAAACTGATTTCCAACATCTTGCATAATCCAGGCATAGCCAAAGCCAAACTGGAATAAGATGTGTTTTATTTTAGTGGCCCAGCAAGTTCTGTTTACACATACCAATCCATACATCATCAAATATGTTTGCCTCGGAAGTCGGCCATTATTCATAGTGACTAGTTTAGCACAATATTTTACACATTTTGTTACATAGACCACGAAATAATAGAGTCGACCACTTTCTCCAAGAACAGCATCATTACAAGCACTCAGAGGCAGATACAGAATTCTTTTTTCATACTTAGTCTCAATTTGATCAAAGACTTCTTATCCCCAAAGTTCGGAGCCGTATGTTAGGATGGGCAGAACCATGCTATCGAAAATCTTTAGTGCAGTCGTAATTGGAAAGCCACGACATATAGAGTGCAATCTGTATATGAGGAAGCATACTTTTTCCGCCTGCTTTGCCAACCTGTTTCGATCTCCTCCAAACTAGTTTAGGTGCAATATAAAGACCAAGATATTTATAAAAGGAAACGGTTTCGATCTGAGAGCCCCTGTAATACCATTTTTCATACTGCCGTAGATATCCACCATTTCGGAATACAACAATCTTAGATTTTTTTATATTTAGGTTCATACCCCATTTTTCACAGAAGTTGCTAACGCAATTTATTTGTTCTTGGAGTTTGCCCGGGGAATCTGCGACATCATCAGCATAGAGAAGTGAACATATATTAGGATAATCTTCAGATATGAAAATGACTCTGCCCTTTCCTGAATCCAGCTTGATTTTCATAAATAACATTATTTTCATGAGACCAATTTTGGAGTCTCTGGTTTAATATTTTGGTGAAAATCTTTCCAATCACTGGTAATCATGGTAATAGAGTGAGTGAGTGAGTGAGTTGACGCGGGCACGGAGGAATGTTGAGTCTATTTTACGGTCGATTTGAAACGCGCGGCACACGCCCACGAATATAGGTGACCCTGACAATGTGACGCATTGACAATAGGTACCCTGCTGTAGGCGACATGAATCGCCCCAGTATGGATGTAGGGAGCCTGACACATGGCACAGCATCTTCCTCTAACTCAGCAGTTGATGCAGATACAGATGAACATGGCTGGCTGGGTTCAAGCAACAGAAGCAACTGTTCGGTGTGGGCGATATTGATCAGGTTTCTGCACCTGGTTGAGTATATATGAATATTGATAAACAAGGAAAGGTTTTTCACGGTGAATGAGGAAAATGTTTTTATCAGCCGCGGAGGGGTAGTATTGGGTCAACAAGAGATACGATTATGCGGTATAACGTCCTTGCCGTGGGGAGGGGGCAAGGGGCCTCCTGATCCTTTATGTTTGAGTGAGTGAGTATGGTTTTACGCCGCTTTTAGCAATATTCCAGCAATATGACGGCGGGGGACACCAGAAATGGGCTTCACACATTGTACCCATGTCGGGAATCGAACCCGGGTCTTCGGCGTGACGAGCGAACGCTTTAAGCACTAGGCTACCCGACCGCCCCTTATGGTAATAGAGAGATTCCTCTGTAGTTGTTTGGATCAGATAAAGTGCCATATTTATGAAGAGGGCATATGATTGCCTTGCACCAGTCAATCAGGAAATTCCCAGTTTTCATTATTTCATTAAACAAATTCATAAGTATCGGAGATATTTGAAATGAAGAATGTTTAAGTAATTCCGATGGAATTCCATCACAACCTGCAGCTTTCTGACCTTTAAGATAACTGTGACTTCCAGAAGGGTTATGTCTCTATTACGTTGATCAGGTAGTCCTTCATTGTTACAAGGGGGCACGGGTGGCCCTGCAGCTTTATGACATTTAAGATAAGTGTGACTCCCAGAAGGGTTATGTCTCTATTACGTTGATCAGGTAGTCCTTCATTGTTACAAGGGGGCACGGGTGGCCCTGCAGCTTTATGACATTTAAGATAACTGTGACTTCCAGAAGGGTTATGTCTCTATTACGTTGATCAGGTAGTCCTTCATTGTTACAAGGGGGCAGGGGTGGCCCAGTTGTCTAAGGCCCTGCGATTCGCTGTGCAGAGTTGCGTCCCTTGGGCACGCCAGAAACCTATGATTGTGGGTTCGAATCCCGGTTCGCCCCAATTACGTTTCTAGGTTTGTCAGCACCATACCCGTGCTCGTGGGTTTCACCGAAGTGGTAAACGTCTGAGACCCGCATCACTTCGGGCTTTCCTCCCACATTAAGCTGACACGCCGCGATATAACTGGAATAATGTTAAAAGCGGCGTTAAACCCAACTCACTCACTCACTCACTCATTGTTACAATCTGAATCATGCTCAAATAAATGTTGATTAACTTATAATAATCGAGGTGGTTTGCCTGTATAAAGTAACTGCTTAAAGTAATTATGCCATTCAGTGCCACTGACTTTGCTACCTGTAGAAGACGAGTTGGTCTTTTTAAATGATTTCATAGATTTCCACAGTTCATCAGGGTTGTCACGATTACTGTAAAGTTTATCTCTGATTCCTTGGCGATAACACGATTTACTATCGTGACACACTGATTTAAATATTCGCTTTTTTTGTTTATAAATTTGCAAATCAAGTGAAGCCTCAGTCAATCAAAATTTGTCTAGGGCCCGATACTTTTCACGCTTGGCTGTCTCACACTGCATGTTCCGCCACACGGGCTGTCGGGCGGGTATAGAGTCATGTGACCCATGTCGTCTGCTCATTGAAGCTGCTGCCCACTCGAAAAGATGGGATATCTTATTGACGGCGTTATCAATATCCTTATAAATTTCAGCATTAATACCCTCAATCAGTGCTTTTGAAACATCATCTGTGGTTGGAGTTGAGATGTTGCCAGTGCTCATCCAACCATATAGGCTGTGGTTGGAGTTGAGGCATTGCCAGTGCTCATCCAACCATATAGGTTGTGGTTGGAGTTGAGACGTTGCCAGTGCTAATCCAGCTATATAGGCTTTGGTTGGAGTTGAGACGTTGCCAGTGCTAATCCAGCTATAAACGCTGTGGTGGAGACAATGAGTGTTTGACATGTGTTCGCTGTTGCAGGTTGAAGGGAGACTTCATGACAGGGGAGGGTCGTGGCGTCAACTACACGGAACTGGCCAAGAGTGACGTGTTCCAGGAGTACAAGACACAGACGGCGCTGCTGCACAACGTGAGTCTGGAGACTCTCTCACAGAATCAACTCAAAGCTTTCTTTATCAGTATCCTACACTATAAGGTGAATACGATTCGTATCACAAATATAGGGTAATGAATACAATTACAATTTAGCAGTAGATGTATTAATTGCTATACATACAATTTCAAAGGGAAACATCACTTGTGAATAAATTTCTGTGTAGATTTTAGGTTAAACAATGTAAATAATATGGAAACTTGTGACATATTTTTACCCAATATGTATTTGAACAAAGGGAAAATGTTGCAGAATGTATCATTTGAAAAGCATATTACAGTATACCGGTAGTGACAGGTAATAACGTGCAGCCCTACAATCAGGGACTGGTAATACCGTGCAGCCCTACCATCAGGGACCGGTAATACCGTGCAGCCCTACCTTCAGGGACCAATAATACCGTGCAGCCCTACCATCAGGGACCGGTAATACTGTGCAGCCCTACCATCAGGGACCGGTAATACCGTGCAGCCCTACCATCACGGACCAGTAATACCGTGCAGCCCTACCATCAGGGACCAGTAATACTGTGCAGCCCTACCATCAGGGACCGGTAATACTGTGCAGCCCTACCATCAGGGACCGTTAATACCGTGCAGCCCTACCATCAGGGACCGGTAATACCGTGCAGCCCTACCATCAGGGACCGGTAATACTGTGCAGCCCTACCATCACAGACCGGTAATACTGTGCAGCCCTACCATCAGGGACCAGTTATATCGTGCAACCCTACCATCAGGGACCGGCAATACCGTGCAGCCCTACCATCAGGAACCGGTAATACTGTGCAGCCCTACCATCAGGGACCAGTAATACTGTGCAGCCCTACCATCAGGGACCGGTAATACTGTGCAGCCCTACCATCAGGTACCGGTAATACCGTGCAGCCCTACCATCAGGTACTGGTAATACCGTGCAGCCCTACCATCAGGGACCAGTAATACTGTGCAGCCCTACCATCAGGGACCGGTAATACCGTGCAGCCCTACCATCAGGGACCGGTAATACCATGACACCCTACCATCAGGGACTGAATTAGTCAGTGTCACTTGTTGAAGCACTTCTGGGCTGGTTAAAATATCTGATGGCATTTGGGTTTGGTTTTAAACATTTCAGTTTTGTTGGGTTTTTTTTACGTCTGAACTTGATTTCGAATGTAACAAGTTCTTCTACCTTTTTTCTTATTTACTTTTAGTATAGATGTGTTTCTATAACTGCCATCATGATCAGTAACCCCCAAAGTGTCCTTGTAATCAGATTATTAATGAATATCTCGGCAGTAATTACCAAGAATTCTCTATACCTTATTGGTTTCTGCCTGGTGGTGCCTCTATACTATTACAACAGTTATCATGGTTACATACTATCACTCACATTCACTGGTCCACCATTGTGACATCAGTGGGTTACCATGGTTATATACCATCACACACCTGCACTGGTCCAACATTGTGACATCAGTGGGTTACCATGGTTACATACCATTACACACCTGCACTTGTCCACCATTGTGACATCACTGGGTTACCATGGTTACATACCATTACACACCTGCACTTGTCCACCATTGTGACCCCCACATAGAGAGATATGTGAGCCCAATATGACATTTATTATGACGCAAATCTTGGCAGTAGAGTATGACAAGCATGTCGTTGTTGCAACTGCTGATATATTATGGCTACTCTGACTGTGGGGAACAACTCAGCCTGTTGCAAAGGTAGTGAGAAACAGCCTCCACCCAGCCCATCATAAATCAGGGCCCCTGTTTGTTCTTGTTATCTCAGGTTCCTGACCGCCCCCAGGCCCTCCACTCTACCCTCACTGCAGTACACTACTGCAGGCCTCAAAGTCGCGACTAAAACAGTCGACAATGCAACCTAGATTTCAATTTGTCTACTGGCTAAAATTCAGAGGTAGCCACATGACTACCTTGAAAAATATCTTGTGGCAACTAAATTCTATTGCTATAGATATGTAGACACAAAATTAAACATGTCTGTAATTCCTCCTTAAGTCAACAATGAACTGAAATACATAAATATTAATTTAATTAGTATTTTATTTAAGTTGATAGTTTATTGGATAAGCAAGGATATACCTATACAATCTAGTAACATAAATTGTTTGAGTTGCAAATAACAAAACTCAAGTACAGTTTCCACTAATATCATGAATATACGATTTCAAGACTATGCTGTGACTTGTACATATAAAGTTATTTGATAAAAGATCATTTCAAATGCTTTTGGCTACCTACACTATTGGATTGACGTCTTAATTTTACCACTGGCTACCTGGAAAAAAATACTTGTAGCCATATGGCTACTTGAGGCCCATACTGGACTGTAATGATTGCCTCACCTCATAAATGCAAGTGGCAGATCTTGTTGAGGAGCCTCCCAATCATTTCAATTGTTTATTGTGAGCTTTTTTATACATGTAATCGTTTCCATGTGAACTTTGAACCATACTCCAAGATTAACGGTATGTCTACCCTGACAACAGTATCCTGTATCTACCCTGAGAACAGTACCCTGTGTCTACCCTGACAACAGTACCCAGCTGTATCTATCTGACAACAGTATCCTGTATCTACCCTGACAACAGTATCCTGTGTCTACCCTGACAACAGTACCCTGTGTCTACCCTGACAACATTATCCTGTGTCTACCCTGACAACAGTATCCTGTATCTACCCTGAGAACAGTATCCTGTATCTACCCTGACAACAGTACCCTGTGTATCTACCCTGACAACAGTATCCTGTGTCTACCCTGAGAACAGTATCCTGTATCTACCCTGGCAACAGTACCCTGTATCTACCCTGACAACAGTATCCTGTATCTACCCTGACAACAGTGTCCTGTGTCTACCCTGACAACAGTATCCTGTATCTACCCTGACAACAGTACCCTGTGTCTACCCTGACAACAGTATCCTGTATCTACCCTGACAACAGTATCCTGTATCTACCCTGACAACAGTACCCTGTGTCTACCCTGACAACAGTATCCTGTATCTACCCTGACAACAGTATCCTGTATCTACCCTGACAACAGTACCCTGTGTCTACCCTGACAACAGTATCCTGTATCTACCCTGACAACAGTACCCTGTGTCTACCCTGACAACAGTATCCTGTGTCTACCCTGACAACAGTATCCTGTATCTACCCTGACAACAGTATCCTGTATCTACCCTGACAACAGTACCCTGTGTCTACCCTGACAACAGTATCCTGTATCTACCCTGACAAAAGTACCCTGTATCTACCCTGACAACAGTACCCTGTATCTACCCTGACAACAGTACCCAGCTGTATCTACCCTGACAACAGTACACTGTATCTACCCTGACAACAGTACACTGTATCTACCCTGACAACAGTACCCAGCTGTATCTACCCTGACAACAGTACCCTGTATCTACCCTGACAACAGTACACTGTATCTTCGAGAATCAGATTGCCAGTAGACAGATGGGGTCCTTGTTATCGCTCATGTCCGACTAAATGAACATTTCACCGTGACATAGCATCTTCATCTCTCGGGGAACAAGGGAATGTATCTTGACCGAACCCAACCAGGAGTGACCTAGAGGATGTTGACCCTTCAAGATAGTGGCCTTACAGCCGTGGACATTAGACTTAGAAAGAGCAACTGGAAATGTCTTTGTGAACTTGTGAACAATATTCAGACTAATATTAGGCCTTTGATACACACAGCATTTTGCGATGTGGAAACTCCATAAAAGCTTCAGGAAAACTCCAGGAAGATATATTGACATGTGGAAAGAGGTTATCCTGGGGAGATGTATTGACCATTATTGGAATTCAGAAGGTCAGAACAGATTAAGTCTGCTCTGGGGTAGCATTATGCAGATGGCTGTTACAATGAATGCTCGTTCCACCCGTGACGAACAGGTCTGGTTGTTGATGAAACATAGTGATAGCTAAATAGACAGATTTTTTATTCTTTTTTTGTCTTTAAATGTAATATCCAGTTATGTATGACTGTTTAATAATCTCATACCAACTTTGACTGGAGTAGGTCCAATAGTTTTTCAGATATTGTAGTAAACGTTGGTACCTTAAATTAACTTCCAGACTATAGTGCAGTCTCCTCTGAGTGACTCATTACTTTACATTGTGTGGCCTCTAACTGTACAGTGTATCCTTCATCAACAGCTTGTATGCCCCCAAGGCCAGCTGTGTCCAACGTCATCTATTATTCACACTGACGAGGCTGAGTGTTCAGGGATGCTATATATCCTCAGTTGTATTGTGTCAAGGTCACAGGCAATTTGTAATTGATATAACTACAGTGGACTGTTTCTGATCGTGTAGCTCAAGGTGACAAAACACCTTTAGGGGCGGTTTGGTTTTTGAGAAAAAAAAGTCTTTATTTCTTTTGAATGTCCCAAGAGTATGTACCTTTCACACAGACATATTTTTGTTATCATATAAGAATTTGTTCCTGTCTGATCAGATTTCATCTTTTTCCATTGTTTATTATTTCCATGTGATTTTGTGTGATTTAAGTTTTGGCAGACTACTAACACTAAAATAGAAAGTCTTATCTTGGAAAGCACTTGTCATACCCAACCTGCTACGTACACTGTGATACTGCCAGACCTCACTCTGACAAAACCGCCTCCGTGGTCTCGTGGTAGAGCGTCCGCCCGGAGAGCGGAAGGTTCGGGGTTCCATCCCCGGCCGCGTCATACCAAAAGACGTTAAAAGATGGTACTTGTTGTTACCCTGTCTGGCACTCGGCATCAAGGGGCTAAAACAAGGACTGGTCGGCTCGGAGTCAGTATACTGTGTCTGAGTGGGGTATTCATGTTAAACTGCGGCATGGTATCTCAGTGAGCTAGCACTATAAATCGGCATCAGTCTGGACTAGTACAAGCAGCCACACAAAACACACACACGTACATGCACGTCGCTATATAAGTGCAATAATCTTGGACGCGACGTTAAACCCCATTTCACCTCACCTCACCTCACTCTGACAAATTGTTGTGAGTAACGGATGACCTCCACAGTTGACCTCCACGGAGAGATCTATGTGTACCTATAGATGTTCTAAATGTAAACCTGAGTTGTGTTCTATGCCAGGCACATGCATGACCAAATGGATGCAATAGGAGAATAATCACTTTGTTTTTCTTATATTTAAATTAACTTGATTAAGAACTGTAAATCTTGAAATTAACTAGAGCGTGAATTTACTGCAAAAAATGCGAGTGGTCTTTGCTCACATTAATTAACTTCACTGTTATGTCTCCAAATGACTATCAACAACAAGACGGCCTCACTGCACACTTCGGATGGTGGAAATACCAATTTTAATATAAACACAAACAAGGTTTATTGAGCAGCAGTTTTAAGAAAAACACTGTTTATTATTTTTACGGATTTGATTGGATTAGATTAAGGTAAGGATATGTTAATTCCACTGGGGATGGGGTTGGGGAGTCGTATTGATATCACATTTTTGGCAAGGGGTCAGCAGTCGTATTAATTTGGAGATGGATTAATTTCCATATTAACAGTATATAGAGGTTGCGCCTGATGCATGACAATAGGAATTGGCAACACTTATATTCACAGAAACAAGCAGTTTTGTTGTTTTGAAAAGGCATTTGATAAATTCCTAATTGTGTTACCTGTGTATCTCTGATACAACACTCAAGGGTGGGCGGCGTGGCATGAAGAATATAATCACAATCTCCACCACCAAATGAAGCAGGCCGCGTCATGGACCTTCAGCTGCTACAGTGGTACCACGTAAATCCAATTTGTTCCCACTCCCTCTGTGGCAGGAAAAGCTTTCAGTTCTCTTGTCGTTCCAGGGGCAGTCGGGTAGCCTAGTGGTTAAAGCGTTCGCTCGTCATGCCAAAGACCCAGGTTAGAAACCTGACATGGGTACAATGTGTGAAGCCCGTTTCTGTTTCCCCCGCCGTGATATTGCTGGAATATTGCTAAAAACGGCGTAAAACCATACTCCCTCACTCTGGTCTTTCAAAGAGATTTCACCAGTTTTCCTTGGAACCTGACATATCGGCTATGCATGTGTCATTAGAAAAGTGTAGACTTCATGGACTGGGTCCAGCATATTTAACAGTTTGATGGTGACAGTATATGCCACTTGAAGCTCAGCAGCCCTAGGCCCTTCATACCTCTTTCCTGACGAATGTTGGTTGTTTAATGCTGCACAATATTCCAGCTATATGACCGTGGTCGGTAAATAATCGAGTCTGCAATTGGGATACGATGACACGCATCAACCAAGTCAGCAATCCTGACCACCTGATCCCGTCAAGCATGGTCGCCTCTTACAGCAAGCATGGTCGCCTTTTACAGCAAGCATGGTCGCCTCTTACAGCAAGCATGGTCGCCTTTTACAGCAAGCATGGTCGCCTTTTACAGCAAGCATGGTCGCCTTTTACAGCAAGCATGGTTGCCTTTTACAGCAAGCATGTCGCCTTTTACAGCAAGCATGGTCGCCTTTTACAGCAAGCATGGTCGCCTTTTACAGCAAGCATGGGTTGCTGAAGACTTATTCTACCCCATATCTTCACGGGTCCCTTACAACAGTTAACAGATAGGCGTGGACATAGCTGTACGGATCATTGTGACGGAGGGTGAAGTGTTATCTCACTGTAGTAATGTCTCCTTTAGTTGACAGGATTAAAATTACCACAGTAAATCAAAGACCTGGTACTGACAGTATTAAGGTGACCTTACAGTATTAAGGCGACCCAAGTGCCTGTCTCTTCTTAAGGCTGTATTGCCCTCTTTTTTTGTCTAGTTTATTTTCACTTCTTTGAACAAACAAGATTCTAATGAGCCCCATGGCGGGGGATAGTGATAACACTGTTTTCTTATTTTGCTTGTGATGGGAAGATTTACAGATTTGAGGAGTTTGGATGATAAAACACAATGCAACACATGATTTATTTTACCACAACCGTACAGTCAGACCTACCAACAAGACTTACTATTTTATCAATATTACTAATTTGTTACACCAGTTATACCCCATGTTCCTATCTGCCTCGGTTGGGAGGGTGTGTCTCTGCCACCAAGTGACATCGGCTGAACCTTGTACCACATTGGGGTAATTCAAGTACAGCTGGTCCCCAGTAGGGCTGAGACGAGTCCAAATTTACTACTCGGGTACCCAGCACCCTATTACCCGACCCTACCCGGGTACCCGTTGTAGATATTTATGATAGGTACAATCTGTCCGATTTGGAAAAACTTGACCATAGCCCTGGCAAAATGTATTTAGATACACGTAAAACGATCTGGTCATGCATACGCTGAAGTTTATTGCATGAAGCTATATTTTTGTTCATAATGTGACATATAAAAGTCAGAAGGATGAGTGCATTGTCAGGAAGAAAAGGGAACATTAGTGACTTGTAGTGTAACCATAGAGTTTTAGATTATTGTTGTCATTAAACAATATATCACATGACTAACCACGGGTTCGGGTAGTCCTGTGGGTACCCCAGTCCTACAGAAGACCCACCTGACCCAGCCCTCGTCCCCAGCACCCCATGCTTGTCATACATGTATCTGTTTGTTGGTTAATGCCGCACACAGCAACATTCCCTACATGGAGGTCTACCAAGACTCAGAGAGATGTGATTCCATGATATGCTGAGTGGAGATCTGTATAAGATCAATACCAGTACTTCAGTGCACACTGCTAATTATTGTTGACTGTGTATTGATTCCATGATATGCTGAGTGGAGATCTGTATAAGATCAATGCCAGTACTTCAGTGCACACTGCTAATTATTGTTGACTGTGTATTGATTCCATGATATGCTGAGTGGAGATCTGTATAAGATCAATGCCAGTACTTCAGTGCACACTGCTAATTATTGTTGACTTGTGTATTGATTCCATTGTGTGCATGCGTGTCAATCATCTGCAACTACAGTAATGGGGCCTCAAGTTTAGTTTCAGGTCGTTAAGGAACGATTCAGCTCTTAGATAAGACAGGATTGTATGTTGCACTGATTGAACAAAGACCTGCAGAGCCAGGGTGCTCATATAGGCATTGAAAAATACTATTCAACAGTTTTCATTCAAACTTGGTACATATATTAATCAAGGGCTGAAGTGGTGCCTTTTGCTATTTAGGGATTTTTAAAAATAAATTAAATTCCTATTTCCATGGCAACAAGTTTTCTCTGTTCATAGTGGTGTGTTTGTCTGGATCATATCTCTAAAACATATAGGTATTCTTTCTTGACACTTTCAAGACCAGTTTGTCAAATGTTGCCTTTTTATTCTTGGGGGTTTAATATTTTGTTTTGTTTCTGTGGCACCAAGACTTTATCTTTGTTCATGGTGTACCTGACATGGAAATACAAAGTTCCGAATCCAAATTCCATGGTATTGTTTTGATGGCTCAATAACTACTCTTGTGTATGGACAGACAGATTAGATAGAAATTTTCTTACCAAGTTAGACTTAACTTAACACTCAGATGATTTGTTCTTTCAAATGTGAGGGCCGGGGGCTTTGTCTGATGACTTGTTTTTATAGTCAACATTAACTTCCATGTTATTCACTAGCGTATTCGACGTAATAAGCGCCCAGGGCGCTCTTGAAATTAGAAAGAGGGGGCTCTTATTAGAATATAATTTTGGTGAAAGAGTTGAAAGATCGTACATTTTGTGGTTTAGACTGACAGCCCGAAATGATACAAAAGAAAAGTCTGTGCGTATTAGACACGCCAGATATATTTTTCCAGTATTTATATTCCCGTAATTAAGGGTGCATATAACACACGAAGGGTGCTAATTGGGATTGTTCACTAGCCAATATATTAGCAAATATCGCCATGGCGCTTATTAGAGCGGATCGCTTATTACGTCGAATACGAATATGAACAAACACAAATCTAATCTGCCCCGTGGAGGGGGATAGGATGACGCTTTTTGTCTTGTTATTCACCCTGGGTTCAGTATTTTGTTGTGATGTGACCTTGACTTTCCTCCCAGACATCTATAATGCATTAACCATCCACGGCTTATCGGAGGAACTGGTGCTGCCAGACTCGGTGCTCAAAGTAAATCAGTTCTGGAAGACTACAGCGTACAGGATTGCAGGGCTGGTCTTCACTCTGGACGACATTGAACATGGGGTGCTCCGAGGTAGGTCTTCACTCTGGACGACATTGAACATGGGGTGCTCCGAGGTAGGTCTTGACTCAGGACGACATTGAACATGGGGTGCTCCGAGGTAGGTCTTCACTCTGGACGACATTGAACATGGGGTGCCCTGAGGTAGGTCTTGACTCAGGACGACATTGAACATGGGGTGCCCTGAGGTAGGTCTCGACTCTGGACGACATTGAACATGGGATGCTCAGAGGTAGGTCTTCACTCTGGACGACATTGAACATGGGGTGCTCAGAGGTAGGTCTTCACTCTGGACGACATTGAACATGGGGTGCTCCGAGGTAGGTCTTCACTCTGGACGACATTGAACATGGGGTGCTCCGAGGTAGGTCTTCACTCTGGACGACATTGAACATGGGGTGCCCTGAGGTAGGTCTTGACTCAGGACGACATTGAACATGGGGTGCTCCGAGTTAGGTCTTGACTCTGGACGACATTGAACATGGGGTGCCCTGAGGTAGGTCTCGACTCTGGACGACATTGAACATGGGGTGCTCAGAGGTAGGTCTTTTCTCTGGACGACATTGAACATGGGATGCTCAGAGGTAGGTCTTCACTCTGGACGACATTGAACATGGGGTGCTCAGAGGTAGGTCTTGACTCTGGACGACATTGAACATGGGGTGCTCAGAGGTAGGTCTTCACTCTGGACGACATTGAACATGGGGTGCTCAGAGATATGTCTTCACTCTGGACGACATTGAACAAGGTGCTCAGAGGTAGGTCTTCACACTGGATGACATTAAACAAGGTGCCCCGAGGTAGATCTCCACACTGGACGTCATTGAGCAAGGTGCTCAGAGGTAGGTCTTCACACTTTGACTGGCTAGAAATGGCGGTAGTGCTCGTTTCCAGAGCAGATCTCAAAAACCGTAAATGTTTCTTCACCAAAATTGGCACATAGATAGGTCTTGTGGTGCCAATTGATAGATTAGGAATTTTGGAAAATATATTTTACAAGTTTCCATTGCAACAGTTTTGACTGGCTGGAAATTTCAGTTGTGTTTTCAGTAGAAATTTCAGAATTTAAAAACTGAACAATATTTCATCAGCAAATTCAGCACACAGATAGGTCTAGCCATGAACTGGTGTCTTTTGATAATTTTTTACTTTTGAAAAAATTATTATTCAAGTTTCCATGTCAACAATGTATAAATATATATATATAACCAGCTGACATATTCCTAAAAATATTTACTATTGCGGGGGATATCAATGACTTTGTCCTCTTGTTTCTAGCGTGAATGAATGATGCAATGGTTGATTTGTTGCCAGGCAACAGGGCGCATCCTGCTTCCATAGACCCACAGTTTGGTCCGAAGGATCCCCGATTGAAGTACACAATGCTGACCCCTGACCCTCGGATACACTTCGCCTTAGTATGTGGGGCCAAGGTAGGTAACTCTTAGTCACTGGGGCCAGGGTAGGTAACTCTTAGTCTGTGGGGCCCAAGGTAGGTAACTCTTAGTCTGTGGGGCCAAGGTAGGTAACTCTTAGTGTGTGGGGCCGGGGCCAAGGTAGGTAACTCTTAGTCTGTGGGGCCAGGGAAGGTAACTCTTAGTCTGTGGGGCTAAGGTAGGTAACTCTTAGTCTGTGGGGCCATCAATGAGAGGAACCTAATTCCAGCATGACTTTGTTGACCTGCTGGAGTGGGGTGACTTTCACAGATAGCTTGTCCTGACAGACTGGGTGACTTGAGTTTAACTCAGGGGCCCATGGCCAGTTAAAATTATGAAAGTCTTTGCTGAAACATATGTTTAATGTTTTTAATTGGACAGTTCTCGTGAATCATGTTATTTCCATGAGAAAATATTTAGGGGCGATGTGGTCGTGTTAATGGTTAGCTCAAAGATAATCTTAGTAGCATGACACAACTGGCGGCCAGTTTGTAATGTTCTGTCCATAAACATCTGTATTTGCTCAGAAAATTACAATGAAATATGGTAAATAGAAGCCAAAATTTAGGGTTGTTAGGGGTGAGGAGTCCTGTAGTTATGGAGCCCAGTGGGTAATTCAGTTGTGTCCTCCAACATTTAGTTTGGGGACAGATAGTTTGGGTGAGTGAGTGAGTGAGTGAGTCAAGATTTAAAGTCACATGGGCAATATTTCAGCCATATAGTGACTAAATCAAGTTATACAGTAATAATACATTCACATAGATATTAAAATCTGTGAACAAAGGACAGTCAAAGCACTAGACTATCACAGATATAGATTCTAAACTAGCATGTTACCATGAAAATGTGACTATTCTGAACAATACATTGTAAAAATGGGCTAGAGATCACCAGCAACCAAAGTTAGGCCACCATACTAGTGACCATGGGGACTTACGGTACATCTGCTTCCTGCGTGGTACCCCAGCAGGATTTACACCATCCCTCTGGCCACTGGTGATTGTTAGACATTTGAAGTCAAAGTATTTCAAAAACAACAAGCATTCTACGATTAAAATCCAGGAAAATGAAACATACTTTGAAGGAAGTGGTACTTACACACCCTCTCAGGGGAACGATACTTCAACCCCCTTACAGCCACAAACAATCACAGTTATCGAATCATTCTACCATATTAAAATCACATACTTTTTACAATACATTTAATCAAAATCCAAGAATTAAATGAGAACTTACAATAATAAAATCCTTTATGGATGAAACCTGGAAATAATTATCCCTTTTGATTTGGAGAAGGGCCAGTAACTTTTGAAAGGTGCAAACAATTTGTTGTTTAATCTACCCGTCACTGTGGTGTTGCAGTCTTGCCCAGCCATCCAGGTCTACACCGAGGACAACCTGGAGCGAGCGCTGGAGGGGGCGTGCAGGAACTTCTGTAAACAGGAAGTGTCCATGTTCACGGAGAGTAACGAGATCTGGTTGTCCAAGTTGTTCCAATGGTATCGAGAGGACTTCGGCAAGATCGATACGGATGTCATCAGGTAGGGTGAGGGGGCTTGTGTTCTGGAGTTGGTGGAGGACCTACTGGTCTGTAGTCCCAGGGTCTTGATGGGTGCAGTACATGGATAGGTGCAGTAGCTGGTTGCAATGGGTGGGTGCAGTAGATCGGTGGGTGCAGTAGATGGGTGGGTGCAGTAGATAGGTGCAGCAGGTGGGAGCAGTAGATGGGTGCAGCAGATGGGTGCACTAGATGGGTGCAGTAGATGGGTGAAGCAGGTGGGTGCACTAGATGGGTGCAGCAGGTTGGTGCAGCAGGTGGGTGCAGTAGATGGGTGCAGCAGATGGGTGCACTAGATGGGTGCAGCAGATGGGTGCAGTAGATGGGTGCAGCAGATGGGTGCAGCAGATGGGTGCACTAGATGGGTGCAGCAGATGGGTGCACTAGATGGGTGCAGCAGATGGGTGCAGTAGATTGGTGCAGCAGGTGGGAGCAGTAGATGGTGCACTAGTTGGGTGCAGCAGGTGGGTGCACTAGATGGGTGCAGCAGGTGGGTGCACTAAATGGGTGCAGCAGATGGGAGCAGTAGATGGGTGCAGCAGATGGGTGCAGCAGGTGGGTGCAGCAGATGGGTGCAGTAGATGGATGCAGCAGGTGGGTGCACTAGATGGGTGCAGCAGATGGGTGCACTAGATGGGTGCAGCAGGTGGGTGCACTAGATGGGTGCAGTAGATGGGTGCAGTAGATGGGTGCACTAGATGGGTGCAGCAGATGGATGCAGCAGGTGGGTGCAGCAGATGGGTGGTTGCAGTAGATCGATGGGTGCACTAGATGGGTGCAGCAGGTGGGAGCAGCAGGTGGGTGCACTAGATGGGTGCAACAGATGGGAGCAGTAGATGGGTGCAGCAGGTGGGTGCAGCAGGTGAGTGCAGCAGGTGGGTGCAGCAGATGGGTGGTTGCAGTAGATGGGTGGTTGCAGTAGATGGGTGGGTGCAGTAGATGGGTGGGTGCAGTAGATGGGTGCAGCAGCAGATGGGTGCACTAGATGGGTGGGTGCAGTAGATGGGTGGGTGCAGTAGATGGGTGGGTGCAGTAGATGGGTGCAGCAGCAGATGGGTGCACTAGATGGGTGGGTGCAGTAGATGGGTGGGTGCAGTAGATGGGTGTGTGCAGTAGCTGGGTGGGTGCAGTAGATGGGTGGGTGCAGTAGATGGGTGGGTGCAGTAGATGTGTGGGTGCAGTAGGTGGTCGGGTGCAGTAGATGGGTGGGTGCAGTAGATGGGTGGGTGCAGCAGATGCTTTGGTGCAGTAGATGGATGAGTGCAGTATATGGGTGGGTGCAGTATATGGGTGGGTGCAGTAGGTGGGTGGGTGCAGTAGGTGGGTGGGTGCAGTAGGTGGGTGGGTGCAGTAGCTGGGTGGGTGCAGTAGATGGGTGGGTGCAGTAGATGGGTGGGTGCAGTAGATGGGTGGGTGCAGTAGGTGGGTGGGTGCAGTAGATGTGTGGGTGCAGTAGGTGGATGAGTGCAGTAGATGGGTGGGTGCAGCAGATGCTTTGGTGCAGTAGATGGATGAGTGCAGTAGATGGGTGGGTGCAGTAGGTGGGTGGGTGCAGTAGGTGGGTGGGTGCAGTAGGTGGGTGGGTGCAGTAGCTGGGTGGGTGCAGTAGCTGGGTTGGTGCAGTAGATGGGTGGGTGCAGTAGATGGGTGGGTGCAGTAGGTGGGTGGGTGCAGTAGATGTGTGGGTGCAGTAGGTGGATGAGTGCAGTAGATGGGTGGGTGCAGCAGATGCTTTGGTGCAGTAGATGGATGAGTGCAGTAGATGGGTGGGTGCAGTAGGTGGGTGCAGTAGCTGGGTGGGTGCAGTAGATGGGTGGGTGCAGTAGATGGGTGGGTGCAGTAGATGTGTGGGTGCAGTAGGTGGTCGGGTGCAGTAGATGGGTGGGTGCAGTAGATGGGTGGGTGCAGCAGATGCTTTGGTGCAGTAGATGGATGAGTGCAGTATATGGGTGGGTGCAGTAGATGGGTGGGTGCAATAGGTGGGTGGGTGCAGTATATAGGTGGGTGCAGTAGATGGGTGGGTGCAGTAGGTGGGTGGGTGCAGTAGATGGGTGGGTGCAGTAGATGGGTGGGTGCAGTAGGTGGGTGCAGTAGGTGGGTGGGTGCAGTAGGTGGGTGGGTGCAGTAGATGGGTGGGTGCAGTAAATGGGTGGGTGCAGTAGATGGGTGGGTGCAGTAGCCGGGTGGGTGCAGCAGATGCTTTGGTGCAGTAGATGGATGAGTGCAGTATATGGGTGGGTGCAGTAGATGGGTGCAGTATATGGGTGGGTGCAGTAGATGAGTGCAGTAGATGGGTGGGTGCAGTAGCTGGGTTGGTGCAGTAGATGGGTGGGTGCAGTATATGGGTGGGTGCAGTAGATGAGTGCAGTAGATGGGTGGGTGCAGTAGATGGGTGGGTGCAGTAGCTGGGTGGGTGCAGTAGGTGGGTGGGTGCAGTAGATGGGTGGGTGCAGTAGGTGGGTGCAGTAGATGGGTGGGTGCAGTAGCCGGGTGGGTGCAGCAGATGCTTTGGTGCAGTAGATGGATGAGTGCAGTATATGGGTGGGTGCAGTAGATGGGTGCAGTAGATGGGTGGGTGCAGTAGATGAGTGCAGTAGATGGGTGGGTGCAGTAGATGGGTGCAGTAGATGGGTGGGTGCAGTAGATGAGTGCAGTAGATGGGTGGGTGCATTAGATGGGTGGGTGCAGTATATAGGTGGGTGCAGTAGCTGGGTGGGTGCAGTAGGTGGGTGGGTGCAGTAGATGGGTGGGTGCAGTAGCCGGGTGGGTGCAGCAGATGCTTTGGTGCAGTAGATGGATGAGTGCAGTATATGGGTGGGTGCAGTAGATGGGTGGGTGCAGTAGATGAGTGCAGTAGATGAGTGCAGTAGATGGATGAGTGCAGTATATGGTAGGGTGCAGTAGATGAGTGCAGCAGATGGGTGGGTGCAGTAGATGAGTGCAGTAGATGGGTGGGTGCAGTAGATTGGTGCAGTAGATGGGTGGGTGCAGTAGATGGGTGGGTGCAGTAGATGGGTGGGTGCACTAGCTGGGTGGGTGCAGTAGCTGGGTGGGTGCAGTAGGTGGGTGGGTGCAGTAGATGGGTGGGTGCAGTAGGTGGGTGCAGTAGGTGGGTGGGTGCAGAAGGTGGGTGCAGTAGCTGGCTGGGTGCAGTAGATGAGTGCAGTAGATGGGTGGGTGCAGTAGATGGGTGGGTGCAGTAGATGAGTGCAGTAGATGGGTGGGTGCAGTAGATTGGTGGGTGCAGCAGGTGGGTGCAGCAGATGCTTTGGTGCAGTAGGTGGGTGGGTGCAGTAGCTGGGTGGGTGCAGTAGGTGGGTGGGTGCAGTAGATGGGTGGGTGCAGTAGGTGGGTGCAGTAGCTGGGTGGGTGCAGTATATCGGTGGGTGCAGTAGATGGGTGGGTGCAGTAGATGGGTGGGTGCAGTAGATGGGTGGGTGCAGTACCCGGGTGGGTGCAGCAGATGCTTTGGTGCAGTAGATGGATGAGTGCAGTATATGGGTGGGTGCAGTAGCTGGGTGGGTGCAGCAGATGCTTTGGTGCAGTAGATGGATGAGTGCAGTATATGGGTGGGTGCAGTAGATGGGTGCAGTAGATGGGTGGGTGCAGTAGATGGGTGGGTGCAGTAGATGGATGAGTGCAGTATATGGGTGGGTGCAGTAGATGAGTGCAGTAGCTGGGTGGGTGCAGTAGCTGGCTGGGTGCAGTAGGTGGGTGCAGTAGATGGGTGGGTGCAGTAGATGGGTGGGTGCAGTATATGGGTGGGTGCAGTAGCTGGCTGGGTGCAGTAGGTGGGTGCAGTAGATGGGTGGGTGCAGTAGATGGGTGGGTGCAGTATATGGGTGGGTGCAGTAGATGGGTGGGTGCAGTAGGTGGGTGGGTGCAGTAGATGGGTGGGTGCAGCAGATGCTTTGGTGCAGTAGATGGATGAGTGCAGTATATGGGTGGGTTCAGTAGCTGGGTGGGTGCAGTAGATGGGTGGGTGCAGTAGGTGGGTGGGTGCAGTAGATGGGTGGGTGCAGTAGATGAGTGCAGTAGATGGGTGGGTGCAGTAGATGGGTGGGTGCAGTAGATGAGTGCAGTAGATGGGTGGGTGCAGTAGGTGGGTGGTTGCAGTAGATGGGTTGATGCAGTAGGTGGGTGGGTGCAGTAGGTGGGTGGGTGCAGTAGGCGGCTGAGCCTATTTCTGAATTATCCCGTGTGTATCCTTCTTAGAGGGGGATCCTATGTGTATTCTCCTTGTAGATGGGTGATCTTATGTGTATTCCCCTTGTAGATAGGTGATCATATGTGTATTCTCCTTGTAGGTGGGTGATCTCATGTGTATTCCCCTTGTGGGTGGGTGATCCTATGTGTATTCTCCTTGTAGGTGGGTGATCCTATGTGTATTCTCCTTGTAGGTGGGTGATCCTATGTGTATTGTCCTTGTAGATGGGTGATCCTATGTGTATTCTCCTTGTAGATGGGTGATCCTATGTGTATTCCCCTTGTAGATGAGTGATCCTATGTGTATTCCCCTTGTAGATGGGTGATCCTATGTGTATTCCCCTTGTAGATGAGTGATCCTATGTGTATTCCCCTTGTAGGTGGGTGATCCTATGTGTATTCCCCTTGTAGATGGGTGATCCTATGTGTATTTCCCTTGTAGGTGGGTGATCCTATGCGTATTTCCCTTGTAGGTGGGTGATCCAATGTGTATTCCCCTTGTAGATGAGTGATCCTATGTGTATTCCCCTTTTAGGTGGGTGATCCTATGTGTATTCCCCTTGTAGGTGGGTGATCCTATGTGTATTCCCCTTGTAGGTGGGTGATCCTATGTGTATTCCCCTTGTAGGTGGGTGATCCTATGTGTATTCCCGTTGTAGACGGGTGATCCTATGTGTATTCCCCTTGTAGGTGGGTTATCCTATGTGTATTCCCCTTGTAAACGGGTGATCCTATGTGTATTCCCCTTGTAGGTGGGTTATCCTATGTGTATTCCCCTTGTAGACGGGTGATCCTATGTGTATTCCCCTTGTAGGTGGGTGATCCTATGTGTATTCTCCTTGTAGGTGGGTGATCCTATGTGTATTCCCCTTGTAGGTGGGTGATCCTATGTGTATTCTCCTTGTAGGTGGGTGATCCTATGTGTATTCCCCTTGTAGGTGGGTGATCCTATGTGTATTCCCCTTGTAGGTGGGTGATCCTATGTGTATTCCCCTTGTAGGTGGGTGATCCTATGTGTATTCCCCTTGTAGGTGGGTGATCCTATGTGTATTCCCCTTGTAGACTGGTGATCCTATGTGTATTCCCCTTGTAGGTGGGTGATCCTATGTGTATTCCCCTTGTAGGTGGGTGATCCTATGTGTATTCCCCTTGTAGACTGGTGATCCTATGTGTATTCCCCTTGTAGGTGGGTGATCCTATGTGTATTCCCCTTGTAGGTGGGTGATCCTATGTGTATTCCCCTTGTAGGTGGGTGATCCTATGTGTATTCCCCTTGTAGGTGGGTGATCCTATGTGTATTCCCCTTGTAGGTGGGTGATCCCTCACCTGGAGCCAGGCATCCAAGACAGGGCCAACATCCTGCTCCTGAAGCTGGAGACGCAAGGAACAGTTGCCGTCAAGTTCAATGAATATGATTGGTCACTCAACAAGTCATGATAGTACAACATCTCTGATTGGTTTCCATGTCTGCAATTTATCCCAACCTATTATGTTTTAATGTCAGCAATATCTGTGATTTCTGCCTACAGCTGCCTTTGCATAAATTCCTGTAACCATGGCAACATGGTCTTTTGTATCAATACCTGACCTTGAGGGGGGAACCGGAGAGTTCAGATTGTTCTGAGCCCAGGAGGACAGAGTAGTTGCCAAGGTGACAGACCTGTTTTGTGGCTGTGATCCAGGTGCTTGCATGATGCACTTATTGTACGCATAGCCTTGCATTGTTTGCAGTGACAGTGCAATGCATCATCACTTCCATGGTTTCCATGGAGACACAGACTGCAGGCTTTGTCTGACTTTGACCCCTGCTGCCAAGGTCCAAGGTCAAAATCAAAGTCACGGTCTTGAGGTGGAACAATTTCATTAAAACATTTGTTTGTCAAAAAGTATTTAAGGCTTTTATCCTCAAGCTGATGATAACTATACCTTCCTTTTAAGATGGGGGCCCAGTTTTGAAAAGGTTTTTGTCATGTGTATCTCCACCACCATTACCAACCAAACACTCGTCACCATCCACAGCCCCCATCACTACCCACACCACTACTATCGAGAAAACACACCAGGGCATTACAACCACACCTAGTCACCCTAGTCACCTACGCAATCAGCCGCACCCCCACCTCCATAGTCACCTATGCAATCAGCCGCACCCCCACCCCGATAGTCACCTCTGCTATCAGCCGCAACCCCACCCCCACCCCCATAGTCACCTCCGCAATCAGCCGCACCCCCACCTCCATAGTCACCTCCGCAATCAGCCGCACCCCCACCCCCACCCCCATAGTCACCTCCGCAATCAGCCGCACCCCACCTCCATAGTCACCTCCGCAATCAGCCGCACACCCACCTCCATAGTCACCTCCGCAATCAGCCACACCGCCACCCCAACCCCCACCCCCATAGTCACCTCCGCTATCAGACGCACCCCCCCACCACCCCCATAGTCAACTACGCAATCAGCCGCACCCCCACCCCCACCCCCATAGTCACCTCCGCTATCAGACGCACCCCCACCTCCATAGTCACCTCTGCAATCATGTTCATCATCATCGGCATATCTTTCAAATGTTATCTGTGTGATTACTGTTGATCATATACACCTTTGCATTTTCACTTTAGTGGAACTACTAGAAGAAAAAAATCAATTTATTGTTGAAAAATATATGATAAAAAATAATATCGTTTGAAATTCAATATACTCTGGAACCTGTCTATGATGTTGTATGTAGTGAGCACCCCCTGGAGGCAACAAGACAAGTATGCACCTACAGGTCAATGGCAACACCTACTTTCGTCCATCAGAGGTTGCAACTACAGCCTGAGGCGACTATGCTTGTCGTAAGAGGCAAGTAACGGGATCACTGATGCATGTCATTGATCCCAATTACATGGATTGATGCCCATGATGTCAATCACAGGATTGTCTGGTCCAGACTTGATTATTTACAGACTGCTGTCATATAGCTGGAATATTGCGGAGTGTGGCGTTAAACAACAAAACTACAGCCTGGTTGATGTGTTTGTTTCTGGCCACACCTACTTTCCTCCTTCAGAGGTTGCAACTACAGCATGATGGGTGTGTTTGTTTCTGGCCACACCTACTTTCCTCCTTCAGAGGTTGCAACTACAGCATGATCGATGTGTTTGTTTCTGGCCACACCTGGGACTGTCAGGTAACCTAGTGGTTAAAGCGTTCACTCGTCACTCCGAAGACCTGGCTTCGATTCCTGCCATGGGTACAATGTGTGGAGCCCATTTCTGGTGTCCCCTGCCGTGATATTTCTAAAAGCGGTGTAAGATCATACTCACTCACTGGCCACACCTACTTTTCTCCCTCATTAATGAAGGTTTCTGGGCCCTTTCTATGATATTTTAAAGACAACTTAATACAAAATCTTAAGATATTTTCATTTCAGAGTCTAAACGTTAGTCCACCTGTAACCCAGTGTATTCTAGCCTAAAGATATTGTTGCCATTGCTTTAGGCATAGACAGGATGCAAGTGTACAATTCATGTATTGATGTGGTGTGCATTATTCCTATCTGCAGCCACTCAGTAAGTTCCTGGTGCTGTCGTGAACTGGTTGTCAGTCTTGGAGAGGTGATAAAGCCATATTTACCATCTTAACTATTCACAATATTAACAACCTTTTTCTACCCATTTTGTGTTAACACATTGGTGTATTTACTATGCAGAGTTAGCTCCCTTGTTTGTAATGATCTGCTATTTAATTCAAAGCCAACAAACTTGGTCACTAAACTCATCTTTCTCACCAGTCCATACTAAATTTACTTTAGCCAAAGGTGAACAATATTTGCCAAATATCTATTGCTACACAAATGTAAATGATACAAAAGAATTTTATTGCCAAATTAATCACTGTAGTATGTGTTATCTCCCCTTGTCGTAGAGCACTCTGGAGATGCCTGGCTTGTGCAAGGAACAGTAATATATCAGTGGGTACAATGCTCGGCATCTTCCCGAGGCAAGTGAGTTAACTGACTATAAAAGTCCAGTTTCCACCCTTGCTGAACTAGGCTGGTATTATGGAGTTACATTTTGGCTGGACTTACGAGTCTATGCATAGTCCAATCAAAATCGCGAACCGAAATCGAAATCCGGTTTGTAAACTGTCATGCAGATTTCGGTTGATTGCAGGATTTGCAAAGCATGTGCACCGTCAAATCGTTGTCAGCAGATATTTTCCAAATCTTTTCATGTTTTTAATCAAGGTGCTTACGTGATTTGATGCATTTCGCAAGACCTGTTTTATCACAATATAGATCTTGATTATTGATCAGATCGTCCTGACTGGGCGCACAATTTTGTGTGAAGCAAACACAAGTGATGGAATCTGATTGGTCCATAGGAGAGGCTTAAAAGGGACGTAACTGGTAATAGCCACTGGTGGCGCTAGAATCGAGCCCAGTAATTCCAGCCTAGTTCGGCAAGGGTGGAAACTGAACTTTTAAAGTCCGTTAACCCTCTTGCCTCGGGAAGATGAATGCTCGGGGGATACTGAATGTGGGATTCATCACCAATACAAAAAACTCTAATGTATAGTTGTGTCTTTGTTAATAACCCAAACATTCACCCACACTGCAGCAAGCTGATACTTTGTCATTTCTATCTTAAGGGAAAAGGTCTTTCATGATTATACTAGAAGTAATTGTTGGAGATTTGTACTACTGATGTTGATTGTGACTGATTGGTCACGGGATGTTGACTATATACAATGTTATCACTGCGTATTGTTACGTTTTATTTTTTATACTGGTCTATATCATGTGCTTTGTTTATTTACCCTTCTGCTGTTATACACATTATTATTCCCCGTTGTAAACAGATTTACAGCCACTGCTTTCCGAAGGGCTGTGGGCAGGTTGACAATTAAAAAAACACCCTGCAAAATATGTACAAAACTTGGTCAAAAGGTGATGGGAAATGTCCCCCTCTCTCCTCGCCTTCTAGGGGGATGTTTATTTTGCATTTATTGTGGAAGTCTCTGTCTGTCTTCCATCATCTTGCTTTATGGTATATAGCTAGAGATTGTGTAATCACTAGATGCAGTTGTTATTAAACATAGACCTGTTAAGACTGTAACCATCTCTGAACTTAAATAAATATCTGCCTACAGTGATGTGTTTGTCCTCAGCTCAACATAGGGTTCGTTTGTTCAGTATTCCAGCTATATGTGTACTGCCTGATGATGGTCGTGAGTGATCCAGACCAACCAGTCATTCATATTGTGAACAACTAACACTCCATCCTAAAGTGGACAAGCACAGGTTCCTGGGGACCACTTCTCTCCAGGAGTCCACACGCATCAAGTTGCCTGGTCAGGCCAGATACATAATCCACCGGTGTTCAGGTGTAATTGTGCTTCAATCTTAGAGTAGGATTTCCTATACAGTGCACCTCATGCAGGGACTTACTGGACCTGCTCAGAGGCCGGTCCCAAGTCTGCAGCAAATGACAGTAAGAATCACAATTTGAATCTACAGTTAATTACTCAAAATTGCTATTAAAAAAAGTAAATATTTCAGCAATATCTTGATTATTTTTTTTCTCTTGCCAATTTGAAATCCAAGATAAATCCCTCTTGTGTGCATCCAAATAGAACTATTCTTTTACTAATTTCATGGCTTTTTTTGTGTGGGTAAAACCCTATCACGAAAGTAGATGTAGGCACACTGCAAGATAATGCTTGAACGTATTATGCAGTGTTGGATGTATGATTTTTGTTTGTCTGTTGTTAAACGCCACACTCACGGATCTTCACGGGTTGTTTTGACATAAGGCTAAAAAAAAATAGTCTTGGCCTCAGGCAACGTCCACATCATCAGAAATTCTGCAGCATGTTTTTGTTTCCATTTTAAAAAAAAACAAATTAGGTTGATGTTACACAACTGTTTACTTGCTTACATACTAGTTTGAACAAGCTGGAAAAAAAACGAGACCCACCCATCCACACACTGTTTTCAAAAGTCATTGCCTGAGAGCCATTTCTATTATTTTTTAAGCCTAAGCAATCACCCAATCTCCACTTTGACCACACTCTGGACAGGCATGGCATGCTTCAAACCCATTCTGTCTTTGAACCGCCCCATGGTCTGGGCCGGACAGGCCAGTAGGGAAAGGACGACACACAATCACATGACCACCTCATTAATGAACTCTTTCGCAAGCCTAAGATGCTGGGAACACGCTGACCCCCCACAGGGGAAAGGAACAAAAGAAGTGGTATTTTACATAGCATAAGTTTATTGTTGTATATGTACATCTCCGCCTTACAGCCTGGGACAGCCTCACTCCACCCACACACCACAAGACAGGGGACAACACCCAGCTGGTAGTCAGTATGTAACACAGTAGATGATTGGCTCAAACCTCTCTATCACACAGTTCAGGAGCCAATCTCTGACAATGTAAGATTCTAGCACTCTTTTGATTGGCTGAGATCAAAACCAATGAAAAACTTTCTGATACCGAGCACAGGGTGGAACACTTGCACATTAATCTGTCCTTAGTTACCTCGTCCAAGGACAACATCTTAAGAAGTAAAATATACAGTGCTCAACATTTGGTAAGGATATATTACAGACTGCTATTTAATCTGATCGCCAACCCGTACCAAATGTTGCGACACATGCACCAGGCTGAGGAGATATATGGGTGACCCTATCTTAATTGCACCAAGACGAGCGGGTCGTTTCTAACGCAGTGTTTTGTCAGTCATATCACAATCAATTTTGTCGTCTTTCAGAAAATATGATTGTGAAAAGAATGAAATGAATCGTTTTGAAAATGATATGATACTGTAGCACTTATAGATAATGACATTATTCAAACAATGACTCAACTCACGTAGTTATAGGAGCACCATCCTCCCTCTTACCCTCTTAATGTTCCAACTGGTAACACTTTCCTCACAGTTATATAAATAATATATATAATTGTATCTTCTAAACAGTTTCAACAACTTTTGTTTAAGAAAGTGTATCAGCTTCAGAGCATCTACATCCAAACAAACAAAAAATCCTAATTTCTTTTATTTCAGTGATCTGGAGCAGACAACATATTCATTGCTTATCCCAGAACCTGACATAGAGATAGTACCATGCACTACCAAACACCAAATCAGACAGCATTATGAAAACAGCAGGTTACAACATAGTACTATGAAGACTGTCTACCAGGCCATACTCAGGGGAAGCCCTGGGCCCACCTGCACAAAGCTTAGTGCTAAGATGATCCCATACTTTAACATAGGCTTACGATAATCTTAGCACTTAGATGATCGTAACTCCCATACTTTAACATAGGCTTACGATAGTCGTAGCACCAAGATTATCGTAACTCCCATACTTTTACATAGGCTTACGATAGTCGTAGCGCTAAGATCGCTTTGTGCAAGTGGGCCGTTGTCACAGACGCCAACATCGGAATAGGAGGACCAAGGACAGACAAAAGAAATGTCTTGCTAACGCCATCATCAAACCAAATGCTTCCAACGATCAGACCTGCAGTGCTTACACAAACATCTAGGATTCCAGTGTTTGCACAAACACCTAGATCACCAGTGCTTCCACAAACACCTAGATCACCAGTGCTTCCACAAACACCTAGATCTCCAGTGCTTGCACAAACACCTAGATCACCAGTGCTTGCACAAACACCTAGATCACCAGTGCTTGCACAAACACCTAGATTACCAGTGCTTCCACAAACACCTAGATCACCAGTGCTTGCACAAATGCCTAGATGTCCTGTGCTTGCACAAACACCTAGATCACCAGTGCTTGCACAAACACCTAGATCACCAGTGCTTGCAACACCTAGACCTCCAGAACAAACACCCATGAGTGATGAGTAGGTACAGATCCCATATCCGGTCCACCCACCCAGCATCTTGTGAGATCCCCCCATCTTCAGGACCAAGGACAAATCTGACGTGATTCCAATAACTGAAATCCCAATTCTATGACGAGCACTAGTTAAGGCATTACTTGTAATAACTGATCAATTCACTACAATCCATCCATAACACCAGTCATTACCTACAGAAATAACTCAACAAAGTGTCCACTACAATGCTCACTCCACACTCATGCTGCACTGCTGGGGCGTTACCCTCCCCTCCCAGGAGAACCTCCCTCCCTCTGGAGCCTGTCGACCCGGATGCTCCAGTCGGAGGCAGTGCCCGTGTTGGGTACGGGGCTTTAAAGCTAAAATGGACAGAATTGTCATTAAACCGCCCGCATGTTATCAGAAATGAGCAGGCCACTGTAACTTGATAATGCCCTCATATTGATTGATACACGCCATTATCACGCCCGTTGTTAGCTGACGTCATATTTGTAAAAGTGGATCAGTGGTACTCGTGTTGTGTTGATTCCAATAAATGTTTCAAAACCGATATTGTTGTTTTTTTATAATAAATTCTATCCATTTTAGCTATGATAGCAGTAATGCTATTTTTCAGGGCATTATCATACTACTGTTGAAGTAAGACCTCAGGCTTCTGCAAATAATAATGCCCTGAAAAATAGCATTACCCTTATAGTAACGACATGCCCTGTGATGATACAATACGTATCTCAATGTCAAGTCTGTGATATGATAAAACAATACGATACATGAAAACAAGACATATGACACATCAAGGGAAAATTTCCAAAGAAATAAATAGTACCCCAATTAAAACATTCAGAATACAACAGTGGCTTCAGTCCTCTTGTGCACACAAGTGGAACATAATATGTAACAATTTTGGTATGTACCATTTTACATGTCAACCTGGTATATATTTGTATCACTTGGTATTGGTACATGATCTAGCAGGATGATGGTTGTATCGTAGCACAGAGCATCAAGATTGGGAGAATCACCACGAGCCCGGTGAGAATCACAATTTAGCTGCATTCATCTTGCAGGGATGTGTTCCAGCGATAGTTACGCCCTCCCTACACAAGCAGGGGTGTTCCACCGATAGTTACGCCCTCCCCACACAAGCAGGGATGTGTTCCACCGATAGTTACGCCTTCCCACACAAGCAGGGATGTGTTCCACCGATAGTTACGCCCTCCCCACACAAGCAGGGATGTGTTCCACCGATAGTTACGCCCTTCCCACACAAGCAGGGATGTGTTCCACCGATAGTTACGCCCTTCCCACACAAGCAGGGATGTGTTCCACCGATAGTTACGCCCTTCCCACACAAGCAGGGATGTGTTCCACCGATAGATACTCCCTTCCCACACAAGCAGGGATGTGTTCCACCGATAGTTACGCCCTTCCCACACAAGCAGGGATGTTTTCCACCAATAGTTACGCCCTTCCCACACAAGCAGGGATGTTTCAGCGATAGATACGCCCTTCCCATACAAGCAGGGATGTGTTCCAGCGATAGTTACGCCCTTCCCACACAAGCAGGGATGTTTTCCACCAATAGATACGCCCTTCCCACACAAGCAGGGATGTTTCAGCGATAGTTACACCTTCCCACACAAGCAGGGAACGAAAGATGAAAGCGTCATCATACACCAAATGTCATGAGCTGCAGTGAACATTGAGTTTCCAATCTCACCACAGGAGTTGGATCTCGCCACAGGTGTCTGATCTTGCCACAGGAGTCGGATCTTGCCACAGGAGTCGGATCTCACCAGAGGTGTCGGATCTCGCCAAAGGTGTTGGATCTCGCCACAGGAGTCGGATCTTGCCACAGGTGTCGGATCTCGCCACAGGTGTCGGATCTCGACACAGGAGTCGGATCTTACCACAGGTGTCGGATCTCGACACAGGTGTCGGATCTCGCCACAGGAGTCGGATCTCGCCACAGGAGTTGGATCTCATCACAGGAGTGTGATCTCGCCACAAGTGTCAGATATCAGCACAGGTTCAGATCTTAGCACAGGAGTTCGTTCAACAAGCTGGATTTCTCCACAGGAGTCGGATCTCCAAAACGTGTGTCGGCTCTCACCACAAATTATCTTTTGAATTCAGAAAACTGAAAGTGGAACGCGGCCCCAGCTGTTTCATACCGTTTCAACAAAGATGCAAAGCAGGACCAGTGAAGTAAGCAGTGACAGCTGTAACAACATACGTCACAGAACATATCTCGGTCGACTGTGGTAAGATACAGGATACAAAACATGAATACATGACAATTGTCATATCCTATATTGATAGGACTACAGAGACCCAAACAGAACAATCAGTAAACCCGAGTCACACTTACAATGGCTTGAGCACTCTTTTACACAAAGTCAGAAAACAGATATTTAATTATACCACGTTACATATTTATTTTCCATACATTGTCTTGTGTGGGTACATAACCTCACGATACAAGTGTCATACCGTGTCACAGTCTCACGATACAAGTACCATACCGTGGCACACAGTCTCCGATACAAGTACCATACCGTGGCACACAGTGTCCGATACAAGTATCATACCGTGGCACACAGTCTCACGATACAAGTATCATACCGTGGCACACAGTCTCATGATACAAGTATCATACCATAGTACAGTCTCACGATACAAGTATCATACCATGGTACAGTCTCACGATACAAGTATCATACCTTGGCACACAGCCTCACGATACAAGTACCATGCCATGGTACAGTCTCACGATACAAGTATCATACCGTGGCCCAATCTCGGATACAAGTATCATACCATGGCACACAGTCTCACGATACAAGTATCATGCCATGGTACAGTCTCACGATACAAGTACCATACTATGGTACAGTTTCACGATACAAGTACCATACTATGATACAGTCTCACGATACAAGTACCATACTTTGGTACAGTCTCCTATACAAGTATCATACCGTGGCACACAGTCTCACGATACAAGTATCATACCGTAGCACAGTCTCCGATACAAGTATCATACCGTAGCACAGTCTCACGATACAAGTACCATACCATGGTACAGTCTCACGATACAAGTACCATACTATTGTACAGTCTCCGATACAAGTATCATACCGTGGCACAGTCTCCGATACAAGTGTCATACCGTGGCACAGTCTCCGATACAAGTGTCGTACCATGGCATAGTCTCCGATACAAGTATCATACCGTGGCACAGTCTCACGATACAAGTATCATACCGTGGCACAGTCTGACGATACAAGTACCATACTATGGCACAGTCTCCGATACAAATATCACAACGCGGCACAGTCTCCGATACAAGTATCATAACGCGGCACAGTCTCTGATACAAGTATCAGACCGTGGCACAGTCTCCGATACAAGTATCATAACGCGGCACAGTCTCCGATACAAGTGTCATACCGTGGCACAGTCTCCGATACAAGTATCATAACGCGGCACAGTCTCCGATACAAGTGTCATACCGTGGCACAGTCTCCGATACAAGTATCATAACGCGGCACAGTCTCTGATACAAGTATCATACCGTTGCACAGTCTCCGATACAAGTGTCATAACGCGGCACAGTCTCCGATACAAGTATCATAACACGGCACAGTCTCCGATACAAGTATCATACCGTTGCACAGTCTCCGATACAAGTGTCATAACGCGGCACACAGCCTGTCAGTGCATGGCTACCTGGGCGAGTCTTTACAGCCTTAGACAGAGACATGGTGTAATACTTTAGAAGATAATATGCTGTCAACTGGAGGGGACTGTACAAGTGAGCCATCAACACACGCCCCTTCGATCAACACACGCCCCTTCCATCCACCTCGTCCCACCATCCACCTCGCCCCACCATCCACCTCGCCCCACCATCCACCTCGCCCCACCATCCACCTCGTCCCACCATCCGCACTGAGCGAGCTCTCGCAGACCCTGTGTCCTCATTAAACAACTGATATTTTGGTTAGCAAGTTCTACATGTCATTATGGGAACAACACCCAAGCCTGCCGCCGACACAGCCAAGTCAACACTGGTCCAAGGGAGACAATTTGCACTTTCCAAGGGGAAATAATCACAGAATTCTTCACATTTCCTGGAGAGTCTTGCCAACGTGAAACATAAGCTTTGGGTATAGGACCAACCAGCGGTGTTGGTCTGCAGTCAATATTGAAATGCCCCTGGGGTATACACAGTCAGCAACAGGCTCTCGCCCCATCTGGCCGCTTCTCCACCGGCAGCCATGTTAGGGGCAGTACGGGCCCTGCAGCTTCAGGTACTGTGGACAGAGACGAATGTGCGTAACAGATGTCATCTAAATATGGAACATTAATTCAATGAGGCAGATTATTATTATTATTATTATAATTATTATTATTATTATTATTATTTTGTTTATTGGAAGTGGATGGGGAAGTGGATGTGGATGTGGATTTGGGTGTGGATGTGTATTTGGGTGTGGGTGTGGGTGTGGACGGGGAAGTGGATGTGTATTGGGAGTGGGTGTGGGTGTGGACGGGGAAGTGGATGTGTATTGGGAGTGGGTGTGGGTGTGGACGGGGAAGTGGATGTGTATTTGGGTGTGGGTGTGGGTGTGGACGGGGAAGTGGATGTGTATTGGGAGTGGGTGTGGGTGTGGACGGGGAAGTGGATGTGTATTGGGAGTGGGTGTGGGTGTGGACGGGGAAGTGGATGTGTATTTGGGTGTTGGTGTGGTTGTGGGTGTGGGTGTGGACGGGGAAGTGGATGTGTATTGGGAGTGGGTGTGGGTGTGGACGTGGAAGTGGATGTGTATTTGGGTGTTGGTGTGGTTGTGGGTGTGGGTGTGGACGGGGAAGTGGATGTGTATTGGGAGTGGGTGTGGGTGTGGACGGGGAAGTGGATGTGTAATGGGAGTGGGTGTGGGTGTGGACGGGGAAGTGGAAGTGGATGTGGATGTGTATTTGGGTGTGGATGTGTATTTGGGTGTGGGAGTGGGTGTGGGTGTGGGTGTGGGTGTGGATGGGGAAGTGGATGTGTATTGGGAGTGGGTGTGGATGTGGATGTGGAAGTGGATGTGTATTTGGGAGTGGGTGTTGGTGTGGATGTAGTTATAAGTGATCATGGACTGACCTGTATTACAAGAGAGGGGTGTTGCTTTGGATGTGGAAGTGGATGTGGATGTGGACGGGGCAGTGGATGTGGATGGGGCAGTGGATGTGGACGGGGCAGTGGATGTGGATTTGGGTGTGGGTGTGGACGGGGAAGTGGGTGTGGGTGTGGGTGTGGGTGTGGGTGTGGGTGTGGGTGTGGAAGTGGAAGTGGTTAAAAGTGATCCTGGACTGACCTGTATTACAAGAGAGGGTCCTCTGGCGACAATTTCCGCTGGGATCTGACTGAGGGGGCAGTTCTCGATGCTCATAATCTGCAGGTTGGCACAGTAGGCCAGGTCATACGGCAGACTGTGTAACTCGGGGTTGTCATTTATGTACAAAGATTCTAAACTCTCTAATGTACCTGCAAAGTAACACAAACACATTCAGTTCAATGTACAGTGTACATAGAAGTGTCGGCAATTCTACAGAGTAACACATTCAGTGTCATATGGAAGTGTCGGCAATTCATAAGAGTAACTCACATTCAGTTCAACATACTGGGTCATATGGAAGTGTCTGCAATTAATCAGAAGATGTAACAAGTGAGGAGAGAACAGCTTATTACTGACATCAGCAAACGGACTGTTGCCATTCTGAGGCCTACTGACTGCACACAGGGAAGACACAAGCCACACTCACCTATTTCATTGGGCAAGGATGTCAGGTTGTTTTCTCCAGAGCCAAGATACTGCAGGTTCTTCAAGAACCTGGACATACAAGAACATCATCATGGAAAGTTTCTTCACAGCCACAAAACATTAAAATTTGTCAATGCAACACATCTCACTAACAGCTAGAAGCCTCGGTGGCTGAGTGGGTTAGATTGCTGACTTTGTGTGCTGGCGATTAAGTGCCTCACTCTGGCAGTGTGGGTTCAAATCCCGGACAGGACTCAACCCCCCAAAAAGTACGAGAATCTGTACTTTACTCAGAAAGTGTTATCCCAAATATAACATTTGTCACATGTCATACATATTAACTTTCATTTCATTTTAGTCCTACAACATACATGTACAGCGATAAAAACTAACAATTTTAGTCCACTAGTCCTTATAATGATAACCTAAAGTTCCCTTAATGTCCTTATGATACCTTCAAACTATTGGGCAGTTTGGCAAGGACTACAGGACAAGTGCCATATTCTACTGCTGATGTTGCAATTCAATCAATTCTTTAAGAAATTATGTGAAGTCCAGCAGAACAGATTGTTCAATCGTTAAGAGTTCCCTTAAAGCTTCTAAATAAAATAGTTCCTTTAACTGATGGACAAAGACCTTATCTGTAACTCTTTGATTTGCAAAATTCAAAGTCTTACCAGGAGAAGTGTAAAGTTTAAGTCGTGTTCAGAGTGTACGTTGTAGTGCGGACTTACCCGAGTGTCCGCGGCAGACACGTCAACTGATTGGACTGCACAATGAGTCGCTGGAGATCACGCAGGTTTCCTGAAACATGAAACATCAACCTCAGTATCCACAATGCTCCTCTCCATGGCATACAGTATTGATACTGGGATCACTGTCTACCCATACACAAGGCCTCTAGCTCTCAACTGGGAGGCAACTGTATGAATCACACCTCACATACACAATCCGACCCGACCCATACACACACCCCACCCTATCCTACGTACACACCACACCCTAACTTACACACCCCACGACCCGACCCATCCTGACCCATACACACACCCCACCCTATCCTACGTACACACCACACCCCACGACCCGACCCATCCTGACCCATACACACACCCCCACCCCCCCTCGACTCACACCTCCCACCTTGACTCACAAACCCCACCCTGACTCACAAACCCCACCTTGACTCACACATCCCACCCAGACTCACACCTCCCACTTTGACTCACAAACCCCACCCTGACTCACAAAAACCCCACCTTGACTCACACATCCCACCCAGACTCACACATCCCACCTTGACTCACAAACCCCACCCTGACTCACACACCCCACCTTGACTCACACATGCCACCCAGACTCACATCCATCCCCTGACTTACCTATTTCAGGAGGCAGCTGTTCCAGTCTGTTCTCCTCGAGGTCCAATACCCGCAGCTTGTGGAGGTTTCCAATGGTTGATGTCAATCTCTGGCAATGGAAAATACATTAATACTGTGAACAAATCTGTCAAGACATAAAATAGTAGGCAGATTAGAGTTCTAACAAACCATAAACAATCAATTTAATTAGTCTGATGGTTGAAATTATGACATGACAAATCAAAGGAGCTATTAACTGAATGGACACCTACCCTAAGACATAGTAACTGAATGGACACCTACCCTCAGACATAGTTACTGAATGGACACCTACCCTCAGACATAGTAACTGAATGGACCCCTACCCTCAGACATAGTAACTGAATGGACACCTACCATCAGACATAGTAACTGAATGGACACCTACCCTCAGACACAGTAACTGAATGGACACCTTCCCTCAGACATAGTAACTAAATGGACACCTACCCTCAGACATAGTAACTGAATGGACACCTACCCTCAGACATAGTAACTGAATGGACACCTACCCTCAGACATAGTAACTAAATGGACACCTACCCTCAGACATAGTAACTAAATGGACACCTACTCTCAGACACAGTAACTGAATGGACACCTACCCTCAGACACAGTAACTGAATGGACACCTACCCTCAGACATAGTAACTTAATGGACACCTACCCTCAGACATAGTAACTGAATGGACACCTACCCTCAGACATAGTAACTGAATGGACACCTACCCTCAGACACAATAACTGAATGGACACCTACCCTCAGACATAGTAACTGAATGGACACCTACCCTCAGACATAGTAACTGAATGGACACCTACCCTCAGACATAGTAACTAAATGGACACCTACCCTCAGACATAGTAACTGAATGGACACCTACTCTCAGACATAGTAACTGAATGGACACCTACCCTCAGACAGTTGTTGCTGAGAATGAGGACCTCGAGTTTCTGCAGGTTCTGGATGTCGTCAGGAATCTTTGACAGCTGGTTGGTGCCCAAGTTCAACTCCACCATGTTTGTCCATGTTCCCAGGTCTACAAGGGAGGTAAGACATATCTAAATACAGGGACTGCAGGCGATACACTTTGGCCATTGACACACAATTCTGTACACTGTATTGAATGGTTTATTTTAAACTTCAGCATGGATTGATTCATACATTCTTGATTTATGTATACATTCTTGATTCAGTCTTGAAACATTGTGACTGATATTATGTGTTATGTATTTCCTTCCAATGTTTAACTGGCCCGTTAATTGTAAGGCTTATTGTTGACAGGTACAAGCTGTAATAAAAACAAATGTGAAATATTACAACTTGTGACTAATGTGGCAAGTACATGTTGTTAGCATACCAACATTATTTTCCGGATTTTAAACGAAATATCTGTGATGAACCCTTGAACCTTTTCAACATGCAGTTTACCCTTTTACATCATTTACATCTGCTACAGCATTGCTAGTTATCATTTACATGTTGTTACTTATATATTTTGTTAATAATTACAAATGTTATGGGCCTGTTACATCCTACACAAGTTCATTTCATATTCTGTTTACATCCACGTGCTTGGCCTTGCACTCACTAAACCCAGATGATTAACCAGGACAAACCAGAGAAAGTAGAGAACTTAAATGAAGCCCTCATAAAAGAACTAAAGTGACTTATCCTCACAAGTGGGATGTTCTTTAGTAAGGGAGTGAGTAAGATGGGTTTAATGCCCCTTTGAACAGCATTCCAGTTATATCACATCATGTCAGCTTGATGTGGAAGGTAAGCCAGGAGTGATGCCACTTTGGTGAAAACACATGAGCATAGGTATTGAGCTGTTTGTTTGTTTGTTGTTTAATGCCTCATTCAGCAATTGGAAGACGGTCACATGTATCAACCAAGTCAGTGGCATCTTACAACAAACAGTCGCCTTTTATGGCAAGCATGGGTTGCTGAAGACCAATTCTACCCCTGATCTTCACAGGTTGTATTGTGCTGACAAACCTAGAAACAACCGGGATTTGGAGCCACGATCATAAGTTCCTTAAGTGCCCAAGGCACACAACTCTGCACAGCGAATTACTGTGCTTATGACGACTTGCCACATGTGACCCCCTTTAGAAAGTCAATGTGGCAGGTACATTAGGTGAGGTGAAATGGGGTTTAATGTCGCGTACAAGATTATTGCACTAATATAGCGACGTGCATGTACGTGTGTGTGTTTGTGTGGCTGCTTGTACTAGTCCGGACTGATGCCGATTTATAGTGCTAGCCCACTGAGATACCATGCCGCAGTCTAACATGAATATCCCACTCAGACACAGTATACTGACTCCGAGGCGACCAGTCCTTGTTTTAGCCGGACAGGGTAACAACAAGTACCATCTTTAAACGTCTTTTGGTATGACGCGGTCGGGGATCGAACCCCAGACCTTCCGCTCTCCGGGCGGACGCTCTACCACTAGACCACAGGGGCGGTCGGCAGGTACATTAAGGGAAACAGTACCTTTTATTCATAAAAAGGGGGATACTTAGGGGGTTTACTAACTTTATCAATCTGAAGTATTTTAAGCAATAATATATACAGTAAATTATGTTTTATAATGAACACGCTTATAACGAACTGACCGATATAACAAACTCATTTTTTAGTCGTGGCCATTTGCTGTATAAATGCTTTATATATGGTTATAACGAACTAGGGTTAATACAGACTTAAATTAGTGGTCCCTTTGAGTTTGTAATATCTGTAATTTACTGGAGCTATGAAGTAGAAAAGCTTTTATCTCTTTATTAGCCCAGCATCAGTGGCAAAACTCTCGCTCAAAGTCAGCAAAACCAAAAACAGTACTGTGATATTAAAAATATTAATTAGGTCAGACTAAATTCCACGATGGGGATTTCTTCCAATTTTGCTGTATTCGAGTCCGACATTGGGTCATTTTTAGCTTGGATCACTGATAAGATGAATACATCAGTGATCACAAAACTTGTCATACGAATTTCTTGCCAAACAACATGGCTGGACAAGACAGAACTCTGCAAAAACAAGGTTTGACATGACAGGCTTTAGACATGAAGGGTTTAGACCAGAAAGGTTCAGACATGAAGGGTTCAGACAAGACAGGGTCAGACAGACATCCAAGACTGACCTAGTGGGAGAGATGTGAGTTGATTGTCTTTCATGTTCAGCTTGGTCAGAGAAGTGGCGCGGGAGAAGATGCCGAACTGAATCTTGTTTATCTGGTTGTGCTCCATGTTGATTGCCTGAAACCAAACAATTTACAGGTGAAGTGCTGAGGTGAAATGGGGTTCAACGTCGCATCCAAGATTATTGCACTTATATAGCGACGTGTGTGTGTGTGTGTGTGTGTGTGTGTGTGTGTGTGTGTGTGTGTGTGTGTGTGTGTGTGTGTGTGTGTGTGTGTGTGTGTGTGTGTGTGTCTCTGTGTGACGTGTGTGTCTGTGCGTGTGTGACGTCTGTGTCTGTGCGTGTGTGATGTGTGTGTCTCTGTGCGTGTGCGTCATGTGACGTGTGTGTTTTTGTGAGTGACGCAGGGTTAGAAATTGGCACTAATCCTATAGCCCTTGCCAAACTGCCTAATGGTAAAGGTATCATAAGGACAAGTAGAAATTTGCCCTTTTTGAGGGTTTTGCTATATGTTATCATTATAAGGACTAGGGGACGAAAAACTGTTAGTTTCTAACCCTGTGACGTGTGTGTGTGTGTGTGCGTGTGCGTGTGCGTGTGCGTGTGCGTGCTTGTACTAGTCCGGACTGATGCCAATTTATAGTGCTAGCCAACTGAGATACCATGCTGCAGTTAATCATCAATTCCCCACACAGAATAATGACTCTGAGCCGACCTATCCTTGTTTTAGCCCCTTAATGCAGAGCGCCAGACAGGGTACCATCTTTTAACGTCTTTTGGTATGACGCGGCCAGGGATCAAACCCCTGACCTTCCGCTCTCCGGGCAGACGCTCTAACACTAGACCACGGAGGCAGTTCAAATAATTTACAGTACAGATTTGACACCCTGCACTGTAGACTAAGGACCGATACACATATGGGAACGAACAGCAGACCAACACTAGGAGCCTCCAGTAAAACATGGAGTCCTCACAGAGTCCAAAGGACACATACAGCAGGAGAACGCACGGACTGAACTAAGCGAAGGATTTAGACTTCCTGACTCTTCAGTATAACAGTTAAACAAACTGGATGTGGTGAACTCGCAACTTGGCCAGCTGAATAGGAAAAAGTTTCATTTTCATTTTTTTTAATTCCACCATTAACTTTGGGGAGGGAGGGGTCAGCAGATCTTCAAACTATATTTCTTAAGAAGTGTTGCCAACAGGACAAGGATAAGACTCACAATAACTGTTCTGTCAAAAGATGGGGTAAAATATTAACAATGGAAACTCACATAAACTGAACAGAACTGCGATGGCCCCCCCGATGGGTATGACTGCAACGCGTTCCTGGACAGCGTGATGCTCGTCAGGTTCGTCAGACTAGACAGCAACCCCTCCTGAAACAAGAAGGATTATTCATTTTTAGACTTGCAAATAATTACCATCTATTTATTCAGAAAATATTGAAGAATAGAATGATTACTTCTTAACAAGTACATGAACATATCATACTGCAAATGCTTTATTTTTAATGCTTTCTCAGGGAAATACAAATCATCCATGGGAGATAATCACAAGTTGCCTCCCTTTGATTGTGCACAGCTCCAGTGGATGTTTTTAAGAGATAATATGGAGTGTTTCTTCAACCCACTACTGAATGCCCAGCTCATGGTAGCAATTCAAAACATTGCACAGACTACAACAGTGAACAACCATAGGTGATGACTACCAATACTTGGAAATGCATGTTCTCCCGTGAAGATCCGGGGTAGAATAGGCCTTCAGCAACCCATGCTTGCCCGAAAAGGCAACTATGCTTGACTAATGGGATCAGCTGGTCAGGCTCACTGACTGTGGATACATGTCATCGTATCCCAATTGTATGGATCGATGCTCATGACATCAATCATTGGATTGTCTGGTCCAGACTCGATTATTTACAGACCGCTGTCATAGAGCTGGAATATTGTTGAGTGCGGCATTAAACAACAAACAAACAAACAAACAAATCCTTGTAATATAAACACACAGAAGAGGCATGCACCACCAACACCACAGAACAATCCACAGAGCTAGAGAGGCAATGGTGATACAGTACTAATACTGGACTACTGCAGTACAGATCCAGGGCAGGAGCAGTACTAATACTGGACTACTGCAGTACAGATCCAGGGCAGGAGCAGTACTAATACTGGACTACTGCAGTACAGATCCAGGGCAGGAGCAGTACTAATACTGGACTGCTGCAGTACAGATCCGGGGCAGGAGCAGTACTAATAATACTGGACTACTGCAGTACAGATCCAGGACAGGGGCAGTACTAATACTGGACTACTGGACTACTGCAGTACAGATCCAGGGCAGGGGCAGTACTAATACTGGACTACTGCAGTACAGATCCGGGGCAGGAGCAGTACTAATAATACTGGACTACTGCAGTACAGATCCAGGACAGGGGCAGTACTAATACTGGACTACTGGACTACTGCAGTACAGATCCAGGGCAGGGGCAGTACTAATACTGGACTACTGCAGTACAGATCCGGGGCAGGGGCAGTACTAATACTGGACTACAGCAGTACAGTTCCAGGGCAGGGGCAGTACTAATACTGGACTATTTCAGTACAGATCCGGGGCAGGGGCAGTACTAACAGAGTACTCACTGGTAAGCCTGATATGTTGTTGCCCTCAATATTGAACTCATCCATGTGTACACAGTGGGCCAGAGACCGGGGAATGGTGGTCAGTCGGTTGTACCTGAAGCACAATCATCATCATCATCATCATCATTATTATCATCATCATCATCACTACTCAACCTTCGCCAAGTCCACCCATTCCCTTTAGTAGAACGTTGCAGGCACTGTCAGGGTTACTCCCCTACCCTCACGTCATCACCGCACATTGGATTATTGCCATTTGGAAACACGGGTGTTAGCTCAAACAGTAACACCCAACAGTTATCACACAGAAACACCCAAACCTTATCACACAGTAACACCCAACAGTTATCCCACAGTAACACCCAACAGTTATCCCACAGTGACATCCAACAGTTATCCCACAGTAACACCCAACAGTTATCACACAGAAACACCCAAACCTTATCACACAGTAACACCCAACAGTTATCCCACAGTAACACCCAACAGTTATCCCACAGTAACACCCAACAGTTATCCCACAGTAATATCCAACAGTTATCCCACAGTGACATCCAGTTATCCCACAGTAACACCCAACAGTTATCCAACAGTAACACCCAGCAGTTATCCCATAGTAACATCCAACAGTTATCCCACAGTAACACCCAACAGTTATCACACAGAAACACCCAAACCTTATCACACAGTAACACCCAACAGTTATCCCACAGTAACACCCAACAGTTATCCCACAGTAACACCCAACAGTTATCCCACAGTAACACCCAACAGTTATCACACAGAAACACCCAAACCTTATCACACAGTAACACCCAACAGTAACACCCAACAGTTATCCCACAGTAACACCCAACAGTTATCCCACAGTAACACCCAACAGTTATCCCACAGTAACACCCAACAGTTATCCCACAGTAACACTAAACAGTTATCACACAGAAACACCCAACAGTTATCCCACATTAATATCCAACAGTTATCCCACAGTAACACCCAACAGTTATCCCACATTAATATCCAACAGTTATCCCACAGTGACATCCAACAGTTATCCCACAGTAACACCCAACAGTTATCCCACAGTAACACCCAACAGCTATCCCACAGAAACACCCAAACCTTATCACACAGTGACATCCAACAGTTATCCCACAGTAACACCCAACAGTTATCCCACAGTAACACCCAACAGTTATCCCACAGTAACACCCAACAGTTATCCCACAGTAACACTAAACAGTTATCACACAGAAACACCCAACAGTTATCCCACATTAATATCCAACAGTTATCCCACAGTAACACCCAACAGTTATCCCACATTAATATCCAACAGTTATCCCACAGTGACATCCAACAGTTATCCCACAGTAACACCCAACAGTTATCCCACAGTAACACCCAACAGCTATCCCACAGAAACACCCAAACCTTATCACACAGTAACACCCAACAGTTATCACACAGAAACACCCAAACCTTATCACACAGTAACACCCAACAGTTATCCCACAGTAACACCCAACAGTTATCCCACAGTAACACCCAACAGTTATCCCACAGTAACACCCAACAGTTATCCCACAGTAACACTAAACAGTTATCACACAGAAACACCCAACAGTTATCCCACATTAATATCCAACAGTTATCCCACAGTAACACCCAACAGTTATCCCACATTAATATCCAACAGTTATCCCACAGTGACATCCAACAGTTATCCCACAGTAACACCCAATAGTTATCCCACAGTAACACCCAACAGCTATCCCACAGAAACACCCAAACCTTATCACACAGTAACACCCAACAGTTATCACACAGAAACACCCAAACCTTATCACACAGTAACACCCAACAGTTATCCCACAGTGACATCCAACAGTTATCCCACAGTAACACCCAACAGTTATCCCACAGTAACACCCAACAGCTATCCCACAGTAACACCCAACAGTTATGCCACAGTAACACCCAACAGTTATGCCACAGCAACACCCAACAGTTATCCCACAGCAACACCCAACAGTTATCCCACAGTAACACCCAACAGTTATCACACAGAAACACCCAAACCTTATCACACAGTAACACCCAACAGTTATCCCACAGTAACACCCAACAGTTATCCCACAGTAACACCCAACAGCTATCCCACAGTAACACCCAACAGTTATGCCACAGTAACACCCAACAGTTATGCAACAGTGACATCCAACAGTTATCCCACAGCAACACCCAACAGTTATCCCACAGCAACACCCAACAGTTTTCCCACAGCAACACCCAACAGTTATCCCACAGCAACACCCAACAGTTATCCCACAGCAACACCCAACAGTTATCCCACAGTAACACCCAACAGTTATCCCACAGTAACACCCAACAGTTATCCCACAGTAACACTAAACAGTTATCACACAGAAACACCCAACAGTTATCCCACATTAATATCCAACAGTTATCCCACAGTAACACCCAACAGTTATCCCACATTAATATCCAACAGTTATCCCACAGTGACATCCAACAGTTATCCCACAGTAACACCCAACAGTTATCCCACAGTAACACCCAACAGCTATCCCACAGAAACACCCAAACCTTATCACACAGTAACACCCAACAGTTATCACACAGAAACACCCAAACCTTATCACACAGTAACACCCAACAGTTATCCCACAGTAACACCCAACAGTTATCCCACAGTAACACCCAACAGTTATCCCACAGTAACACCCAACAGTTATCCCACAGTAACACTAAACAGTTATCACACAGAAACACCCAACAGTTATCCCACATTAATATCCAACAGTTATCCCACAGTAACACCCAACAGTTATCCCACATTAATATCCAACAGTTATCCCACAGTGACATCCAACAGTTATCCCACAGTAACACCCAACAGTTATCCCACAGTAACACCCAACAGCTATCCCACAGAAACACCCAAACCTTATCACACAGTAACACCCAACAGTTATCACACAGAAACACCCAAACCTTATCACACAGTAACACCCAACAGTTATCCCACAGTAACACCCAACAGTTATCCCACAGTAACACCCAACAGTTATCCCACAGTAACACCCAACAGTTATCCCACAGTAACACTAAACAGTTATCACACAGAAACACCCAACAGTTATCCCACATTAATATCCAACAGTTATCCCACAGTAACACCCAACAGTTATCCCACATTAATATCCAACAGTTATCCCACAGTGACATCCAACAGTTATCCCACAGTAACACCCAATAGTTATCCCACAGTAACACCCAACAGCTATCCCACAGAAACACCCAAACCTTATCACACAGTAACACCCAACAGTTATCACACAGAAACACCCAAACCTTATCACACAGTAACACCCAACAGTTATCCCACAGTGACATCCAACAGTTATCCCACAGTAACACCCAACAGTTATCCCACAGTAACACCCAACAGCTATCCCACAGTAACACCCAACAGTTATGCCACAGTAACACCCAACAGTTATGCCACAGCAACACCCAACAGTTATCCCACAGCAACACCCAACAGTTATCCCACAGTAACACCCAACAGTTATCACACAGAAACACCCAAACCTTATCACACAGTAACACCCAACAGTTATCCCACAGTAACACCCAACAGTTATCCCACAGTAACACCCAACAGCTATCCCACAGTAACACCCAACAATTATGCCACAGTAACACCCAACAGTTATGCAACAGTGACATCCAACAGTTATCCCACAGCAACACCCAACAGTTATCCCACAGCAACACCCAACAGTTTTCCCACAGCAACACCCAACAGTTATCCCACAGCAACACCCAACAGTTATCCCACAGCAACACCCAACAGTTATCCCACAGTAACACCCAACAGTTATCCCACAGTAACACCCAACAGTTATCCCACAGTAACACTAAACAGTTATCACACAGAAACACCCAACAGTTATCCCACATTAATATCCAACAGTTATCCCACAGTAACACCCAACAGTTATCCCACATTAATATCCAACAGTTATCCCACAGTGACATCCAACAGTTATCCCACAGTAACACCCAACAGTTATCCCACAGTAACACCCAACAGCTATCCCACAGAAACACCCAAACCTTATCACACAGTAACACCCAACAGTTATCACACAGAAACACCCAAACCTTATCACACAGTAACACCCAACAGTTATCCCACAGTAACACCCAACAGTTATCCCACAGTAACACCCAACAGTTATCCCACAGTAACACCCAACAGTTATCCCACAGTAACACTAAACAGTTATCACACAGAAACACCCAACAGTTATCCCACATTAATATCCAACAGTTATCCCACAGTAACACCCAACAGTTATCCCACATTAATATCCAACAGTTATCCCACAGTGACATCCAACAGTTATCCCACAGTAACACCCAACAGTTATCCCACAGTAACACCCAACAGCTATCCCACAGAAACACCCAAACCTTATCACACAGTAACACCCAACAGTTATCACACAGAAACACCCAAACCTTATCACACAGTAACACCCAACAGTTATCCCACAGTGACATCCAACAGTTATCCCACAGTAACACCCAACAGTTATCCCACAGTAACACCCAACAGCTATCCCACAGTAACACCCAACAGTTATGCCACAGTAACACCCAACAGTTATGCCACAGCAACACCCAACAGTTATCCCACAGCAACACCCAACAGTTATCCCACAGTAACACCCAACAGTTATCACACAGAAACACCCAAACCTTATCACACAGTAACACCCAACAGTTATCCCACAGTAACACCCAACAGTTATCCCACAGTAACACCCAACAGCTATCCCACAGTAACACCCAACAGTTATGCCACAGTAACACCCAACAGTTATGCAACAGTGACATCCAACAGTTATCCCACAGCAACACCCAACAGTTATCCCACAGCAACACCCAACAGTTTTCCCACAGCAACACCCAACAGTTATCCCACAGCAACACCCAACAGCTATCCCACAGTAACACCCAACAATTATGCCACAGTAACACCCAACAGTTATGCAACAGTGACATCCAACAGTTATCCCACAGCAACACCCAACAGTTATCCCACAGCAACACCCAACAGTTTTCCCACAGCAACACCCAACAGTTATCCCACAGCAACACCCAACAGTTATCCCACAGCAACACCCAACAGTTATCCCACAGTAACACCCAACAGTTATCCCACAGTAACACCCAACAGTTATCCCACAGTAACACTAAACAGTTATCACACAGAAACACCCAACAGTTATCCCACATTAATATCCAACAGTTATCCCACAGTAACACCCAACAGTTATCCCACATTAATATCCAACAGTTATCCCACAGTGACATCCAACAGTTATCCCACAGTAACACCCAACAGTTATCCCACAGTAACACCCAACAGCTATCCCACAGAAACACCCAAACCTTATCACACAGTAACACCCAACAGTTATCACACAGAAACACCCAAACCTTATCACACAGTAACACCCAACAGTTATCCCACAGTAACACCCAACAGTTATCCCACAGTAACACCCAACAGTTATCCCACAGTAACACCCAACAGTTATCCCACAGTAACACTAAACAGTTATCACACAGAAACACCCAACAGTTATCCCACATTAATATCCAACAGTTATCCCACAGTAACACCCAACAGTTATCCCACATTAATATCCAACAGTTATCCCACAGTGACATCCAACAGTTATCCCACAGTAACACCCAACAGTTATCCCACAGTAACACCCAACAGCTATCCCACAGAAACACCCAAACCTTATCACACAGTAACACCCAACAGTTATCACACAGAAACACCCAAACCTTATCACACAGTAACACCCAACAGTTATCCCACAGTGACATCCAACAGTTATCCCACAGTAACACCCAACAGTTATCCCACAGTAACACCCAACAGCTATCCCACAGTAACACCCAACAGTTATGCCACAGTAACACCCAACAGTTATGCCACAGCAACACCCAACAGTTATCCCACAGCAACACCCAACAGTTATCCCACAGTAACACCCAACAGTTATCACACAGAAACACCCAAACCTTATCACACAGTAACACCCAACAGTTATCCCACAGTAACACCCAACAGTTATCCCACAGTAACACCCAACAGCTATCCCACAGTAACACCCAACAGTTATGCCACAGTAACACCCAACAGTTATGCAACAGTGACATCCAACAGTTATCCCACAGCAACACCCAACAGTTATCCCACAGCAACACCCAACAGTTTTCCCACAGCAACACCCAACAGTTATCCCACAGCAACACCCAACAGTTATCCCACAGCAACACCCAACAGTTATCCCACAGTAACACCCAACAGTTATCCCACACACAAGCCGCACTGGCCAAGTTATCCCTCGTTAGCCTACAGTTATCCCACTGCTATCCTCCAGCCTTACCTCAACCCGAGTCGTGTGAGGAGTCGCAGCTTCCCAATCCTCTCAGGGATGTCCAGCAGCTCGTTGTGCTGCAGATCTAGGGAGTTCAGATTTGTACAGTGACAAATTTCTGTAAAGAGAAAAGAAAAAAGTACTACAATCATCTCCACTACATCTGAAAACAGAAGCCATATCATCCCAGTATTTACTGAGAAGCCAAGCTATCACGTACAGAACCATGTTATGTAACATGTGCTTCTCCTTGCTCCTTGCTTAGTCAAACCCATGACTTCCACTTGCCGGGTGTAACAAGGGTCATGACATATTCCCTCGGTTTGGTGCAATTCAGAAATGGAGTTTGGCTAATCATACCCCACTTTTGGTTCATTACCATTGGATACCTTCAGTTCAGTGAAGAAAAAAATAATGCTGGTCCATTTTCCAATATCCGAAATCATCAAAAGGCACCAGTTCACCACTGGACTGCTCTGTATAGCATGTGTCAACAAGAAATATTCAAGAGTTCAGGAGTTCTGCTTCCGAAACAGGAAATGGACGGAGAGATATGCTGATAGCTACATGCCCTCTTGTTCAAAGCGGCAGGGGGATAATAAGACACAGTGATGAGTGAGTATGGTTTTACGCCACTTTAAGCAATATTCCAGCAATATCACAGTGGGAGACACCAGGAATGGGCTTCACACATTGTACCCATGTCAGGAATCAAACCCAGGTCTTTGGCATGACGAGCAAATGCTTGAACCACACCCACCCCTGACACAGCAATGGCTGCCAGTGTGGTTCGACTCCACCTGGGTGTACTAACTAAAAGGTACCCTGTAGCCACATCAATAATCTTACCCTCAGGTAGGTGCTCCAGGTGATTGTGGGAAATGTCAAAGGTCACCAGGTTCTCAAGCTGACCAATCCCCTGAGGCAAGTCTCGAATCCTGTTTTCTCTTAAACTAAACTTGGTTAATTTCTGAAAAACAAATAAACTTACATTTTAATCGGCAACTTAACAAAATATTTGGGTGTCTTTTAATATCTAAAACAACCTCCTTCTCTCCTCAAATTTCACGTCCCCGTCAATATCCAAATTAGTAATGCTAGTCAAACAGAGTCATCAGGAGATGACATATCCCCCGATCTAGTGCAGTTCGGAAATGGAGTTTGGCTACTTATACCCCACTTTTGGTTCATTGCCCTCGGATACCTTCAGTTAAGTCAAGAAAAAAATAATGCTGTTCAGTATTTTACAAAATCCCAAACCATCAAAAGCCACCAGTTCACTAGAGTGAGTGAGTGAGTGAGTGAGTGAGTGAGTGAGTGAGTGAGTGAGTGAGTGAGTGAGAGAGAGAGTCTTACAAGAAGCTGGGGCTTTGGTAGGGCGAGCGAATGCTTTAACTATCGGGATAACCATCCCGTTGTTCGGAGTTAATGACTTACAGTCAGCTGACTGATCTCTTCTTCCACATGCTTGATTCTGTTGTAGCGGAGGAACAGCGTCGTCACCGAGTGCAGCTTGTACACCACTTTGGGTATCTGCAAAAAACACACCTGATACTGTAGCACTGGTAAGTGTAAAACAGACAAACTCCATCTAAACACAGAGTAGTACTTCATTACTCAGACTATGAACTGTACACAAGCACTTGTTAATCATTCAGTCTGTATTAACTGTACACATGAGCATGTTAATCCTGTTTTTACACTACTAATCCTGTTTTTACACTGCTAATCCCGTTCTAACACTGCTAATCCAAATCTGACACTGCTAATCCAGTTCCGACACTGCTAATCCTGTTCTGACACTGCTAATCCAGTTCTGACACTGCTAATCCCAATCTGACACTGCTAATCCCAATCTAACACTGCTAATCAAGTTCTAACACTGCTAATCCAGTTCTAACACTGCTAATCCAAATCTGACACTGCTAATCCAGTTCTAACACTGCTTATCCAAATATGACACTGCTAATCCAGTTCTGACACTGCTAATCTAGTTTTGACACTGATAACCCAGTTCTGACACTGCTAATCCCAATCTAACACTGCTAATCCCAATCTAACACTTCTAATCCAGTTCTGATACTGCTAATCCAGTTCTGACACTGCTAACCCAGTTCTGACACTGCTAATCCCAATCTAACACTGCTTACCCCAATCTAACACTGCTAATCCAGTTCTGACACTGTTAATCCCAATCTAACTCTGCTAAACCAGTTCTGACACTGTTAACCCAGTTCTGACATTGCTAACCCAGTTCTGACACTGCTAATCCCAATCTAACCCTGCCAATCCCAATCTAACACTGCCAATCCCAATCTAACTCTGCCAATCCCAATCTAACACTGCCAATCCCAATCTAACACTGCTAATGTAACACTGCCAATCCCAATCTAACACTACTAATCTTACACTGCCAATCCCAATCTTACACTTCTAATCTAACACTGCTAATCCAGCTCTAACACTGCTACTCCTGGTCACTCACCTCCTGCAGTTTATTATGTCTGAGATCCAGGACACGCAGGTCACGTAGGTACTCCAGCGAGTCCGGCAGACTGGTGATGGAATTCTCACTCAAGGCCAACGTCTGGAGGTTTGTTAGATTACCAATCTCTGGCGGAAGCACAGTCAGACGGTTGCCATAGAGATACACCTCGACTAGCTGAGTCAACTGCAAGGGAACAGAAGCTTGAACAGTGTCTGCTCTGGCTTCAACTTTCTTGGGGTGACTTGGACCCCTTCATCATTTAAATTAGGGGTCCCAAACAAAAATGGAGGCGTCCAATTTATAGCATTATAACATAATAGTAACAACAGAACACAGTGGTTGTGAAAAATCAGAATTCTTTTCTCAACTGCAAAATATCAACAAACAGGCACAGTGAGAGAAAGGTTCACATCAGGACACATCCTGCTCTCATGACCAAGAGGTTTACATTAAGGGACTAACAATTTCTTAAAATGGAAATTTGATATTAATGAATATTTTAACACAAAATTATCCATGTTAATGTCTAACTTTGTAAATGAAAAGGCAGTACACGGTCATTGGGACAGACATTTGTGAATGTTTTTATCTTATAATCTAGATCTAACAATGATTTCAAGTTGATTGATTCAGTCAAGTTCAATGGCTGTTCTGATGCTAGTGTACTGAGTGATGAGTTCATGTCGTAACTGTGACAATTACATCAATGAGTCATGACATAATTGGCATATCAAACGTTTCTTAGTAAGAGTGTGTTCAGGATCCAGCATTTCCTTGATAAATCTAGCCAACATGTTTCAGGTGCTATAAATGTTTGAACATGTCAGTTAAACTGATGACTGTTCTGGCAAAATGTGTTTTGCAATTCTTAATATAACTCTCCAAAGAATGAATTATTAACACTTGGATAAGTCTGTTGTAGAATAACTAAATATTGAGAGTCCCCTAAATAAAAACAACGCTTACATTCAAGTGTTCGCATTTATTCTTTATCATATACAGTATCGCGGTATCGATAAATCTCGTAATCCACAAACTCTGTCGACTGTTTACTTATGCAAATCTAAGCACGATATATTTCATCGCATTATCGATTACAGGACTCGTTGCGGTATGTCACTGCTACTTGAACTTTTTTTTATGATAGTTTCTGGGATGTTTTTGAAGTGGAATTACCCCTACCTCCATCAGAAATTGTGATTAGAAAAGAACCCATTTGTTCCCTTGACCCAACCTCGGTCGTATGCATACTGATTATGCAAAATACAAAACAGAAAGTGATGTAAACCACATAATCCACACAGCCTTACTGCGGTTAGTTTCACTAATGACAGGTAGCCTACTTTGTTTACGAACTCGGTAAAGAAAATCAGCATCGATCAATCCTAATTTGAACAAAGAACAACAAACATTTTGCGCATCACATATTTAATAAGTTTCTACGTGTGCCCCATTATGATCCATTATAAATTAACTACCGCTATAACTAATAACAAAGTGTACCATCCTACAAGGTCACTTGATCTCGCGGGTCACTGTGACCACGTTCTGAAGTATACCCTTCATGTGCCTGGCTATTTTTAGTTTGACACGAGGTCGTGATGTTTTCGACCAATCACCAAGCTAAACGAATTACGAATGTATCCGAGCGGCTTAATATGCGGCACCTGATTTAAACATTAATACATGCAAAACCGAAAATAGATATAGGTCAAGAAACCGGTTTGTGTATTTGTCTTAAGAAATGAGAGAATAATGAAACTGGTTTGATTTAGCAAACGGAAGTGTAAATCAACATGCTTCGCTGTCTTGTTTGGCAATAAAAAACTTTACGCAAAGACATACAGCTTTGATTTACAATAACACTGGCCATTTGATATGAAATGAATAGTGGTCCAGTCACTGCAGCCACGAGACCCACACGTTACGCAGGTGCGTTCAAACTCAAATTTGTGCGTCTCAGACACAAAAACTGTGACAAAATTGTTAACACCAGTTCCTCTCTTTAAATATTTCTGAAACACATTATTTGTGTAGGTGGTAGAATACAGAGCCAAGTAGACAGATCCACACAACACAAAGCCTAAAGACGAACAATATATGAAATTCTGTTACAACAGGTTTGATCACTTGTATACCTCAGAGCATGTGAACACAAACTGTCTTATAAAAGACAAATGATACTTACATCTTTCACGCTGCTGGGCAAGGCAGAGATCTGCAACATACAAATATACACAATGTGAGGGTGGATAAACATGGGCAGCGGTAGAAACTAATAGTTTTAGTCCACTAATACTTATAATGATAACGTATAGCAAATTTCAGCTGGTCTGTAAATAATTGAGTCTGGACCAGACAATCCAGTGATTGACATCATGAGCATCGATCCACGCAATTGGGATCAATGACATTCATGAACAATGTCGGAGAGCTTGACCACCCGATCCCATTATTTGCCTTTCACGACAAGTATAGTTGCCTTTTACAGCAAGAATGGGTTGCCGAATACTACCCCGGGTCTTCACGGGTCACTGAGCACCTTCTGATGGACTCACCTGAGATTTGCTTAGATCAAGCCTCTTTGCTCCCTCTTCCTTGCACTTCTTGAATTCTTTGGCAATATCCTGAAACAGGTGTAATAGTTGTCACAGTTTTTTTTCATGTGATTATGTGCTGCTCAAGATAAATATGTCCCAAACAACATCTTGTTTAATGGAATATACACCTGCACATGAACCAGAGGCTGCAATTACTGGTGCAAGTGTTTCCATGTTACCACACACCCCAAAACATATGTCACATACTGCTACAGAGGCAAACAACATGGAGTCGGGAATTATCTAGGAATCCTTACTAAATGCCAAATTGGGAAATAAAACATACTTCTGTTTAATTTGAAACTTTCTTAAAAGTTACTAATATTTCAATCAATGCAAAAATGTAAAACTACACATTAAAGAGTCTTGCTTATTGGTCCTGTTGTCAGTGACATCACCTCCGCAAAGTAATAACATTAGTTATGACTATAATAAACTGGCACGCCAAATGTTTGTTCCAAACAGGGAATTTTTTACTGACATTTGCTTCAGAATTGGGTCCAAATACTGACCTCTGACCAGGTCTTAATAAATTCCTGTGGATCAACAGAAATCAGGAAGATCAACTGACAAGACAATGACAAACTCAAATAATCGCCATATTGAATAAATACAAACGAGTAGTAGTAGGACTCCTGAGTTCCAAATTTTTCTCTTGCCCACTGACCCACACCTAGTGTGCTTGAGGTTTTCTGTTGAAGTATTTGAAACTATGGACCCCCAAAATCTATAATATGTAACAGAAGCGTCATGACCAGAATCCACTGAAGCAAAGGCTTAAAGGGCAAGTTCACACGGAAATGAACCTATTTTTCTTGTACTTTTTCCACATTAAAAGTGTTAACCTAGTAGTGTCATAGACAAAAATATAAAAATATCACAATTAATTAACATATGTTTTGCATTAAAACGATTTATATTTTTCACATTTACCAAGTGTTCTATCTTCATAACAAAAACACCATGGCTTATGTCCCTTGCAATATGACGTCATTGGTGCCAATTGATAAACATTATGACGTCATCATGGTTTGTTAGAGCCGCTTCACGTGGTGTAGGTACAGGTGTGTGATTCTAGCGTCTCAGATGCAAGCCAGCATAGTGTTATGCTGAGTCACCACTGCGCCGGAGTGTGTCATAGGCCATGTTGTTTTACCGAAAACTGGTACTTGATATCTTTTGCGTTGAGAATAGACAGGGATCCAGTTGAATTGGCACCAATTACGTCATAATCTAAGGGGGATAACTCAGGCCTGTTTAGCTCGAAAAACGAAGGCCTCATAACGGCATATCATTTTCACACTATTGTGAGCTTCCTACTTTCACTGTGAAAAAAATGAGTTTACATTTTCAAACACAGATATTAACTAATTCTAAAATTGCGTTTTGTTTAGAAAAAGAAAGAAAGTGATTTTTGCATGTACACTTCCCCTTTAAGTTAAAAACACTGAGAATCACCAGATCTGCCTTGACAGAGGGCCGAGCTGGGACAGTGGGCTTGGCTTTGTTCTGTCCCGTGATCACCATGACCTGCTTCTTGGGGTTTGCTGGCTCCACAGCTATGGAGCCCTGGCTCCCCTTCTTTTCCTGAAATAACAAAGCAGAATGTGTTTCAAACAACAATGAGGACTGTGACTGAAACAACAATTAGGACTGTGACTTAAACAACAATTAGGATTGTGACTGAAACATAATGACGATTGTGTCTGAAACAATAATGACGATTGTGTCTGAAACAACAATTAGGACTGTGACTGAAACAACAATTAGGATTGTGACTGAAACATAATGACGATTGTGTCTGAAACAATAATGACGATTGTGTCTGAAACAACAATTAGGACTGTGACTGAAACAACAATTAGGACTGTGACTAAAACAACAATTAGGATTGTGACTAAAACATAATGACGATTGTGTCTGAAACAATAATGACGATTGTGTCTGAAACAACAATTAGGACTGTGACTGAAACAACAATTAGGACTGTGACTAAAACAACAATTAGGATTGTGACTGAAACATAATGACGATTGTGTCTGAAACAACAATTAGGATTGTGACTGAAACAACAATTAGGACTGTGACTAAAACAACAATTAGGATTGTGACTGAAACATAATGACGATTGTGACTGAAACAACAATGGAGATACCCAGACAATGTGGTGTTTAACACTAATCACATGACTAGAAGGTGTTCGCATAATTCAGTAGCAGTAATCATGGTAATCTGACCCTGTTTGATATAAATATCTACCGATCACTTCACACACAATTCTGCTGAAATAAATATAAACACCATTAAATAAATATAAACACCACTGAACGAACATTTTGAATAGAACCTAAGTCCAGTTATACAATCAACACTTTTTATAACCAGACAATGAAAATACAAGAATAATTTGCGTACTTCAGTACGGATTTGTTGATATGGTATTTCCACTGTTATGTGCTTTGACAGTTATGTCTTTGCGTTGGAGAAAACCCCCATCAAAATCCATTGTCGTGTGCACAATGCGTACCCCCCTCTACACAGCTAGTTATGGACTAAAGAAAATATCATAGTTTTCAAAGAAAGATGCTGCTTGTAATCAGAACATTATTTTCAGAAATAAGTCTATAAATAAATCTTGGACCGTGACATATATGCTGTGATAAGTTTTCTAAATTATCCCCCACTGTATCATGTATACTTTCATCTGTCCATAGGCCGATACGGCCACTACCTGGAGCAATGAACTACAAGTCTTACGATGACCTGCATGGGACCTACAGAGGACAGATTGGCCTACTACAAGTCTTACGATGACCTGCATGGGACCTACAGAGGACAGATGGGCCTACTACAAGTGTTACGATGATCTGTATGGGACCAACACGGGACAGATGGGCCTACTACAGTCTTACGATGACCTACATGGGACCTTCAGGGGACAGATGGGATACAGTGTCATACTCTACAAGTCTTACGATGACCTGCATGGGACCTACAGAGGACAGATTGGCCTACTACAAGTCTTACGATGACCTGCATGGGACCTACAGAGGACAGATGGGCCTACTACAAGTGTTACGATGATCTGTATGGGACCAACACGGGACAGATGGGCCTACTACAAGTGTTACGATGACCTACATGGGACCTTCAGGGGACAGATGGGATACAGTGTCATACTCTACAAGTCTTACGATGACCTGCATTGGACCTACAGAGGACAGATGGGCCTACTACAAGTCTTACGATGACCTACATGGGACCTTCAGGGGACAGATGGGATACAGTGTCATACTCTACAAGTCTTACGATGACCTGCATGGGACCTACAGAGGACAGATTGGCCTACTACAAGTCTTACGATGACCTGCATGGGACCTACAGAGGACAGATGGGCCTACTACAAGTGTTACGATGATCTGTATGGGACCTTCAGGGGACAGATGGGATACATTGTCATACACTACAAGTCTTATGATGACCTACATGGGACCTTCAGGGGACAGATGGGATACAGTGTCATACACTACAAGTCTTACGATGACCTACATGGGACCTTCAGGGGACAGATGGGATACAGTGTCATACACTACAAGTCTTATGATGACCTACATGGGACCTTCAGGGGACAGATGGGATACAGTTTCATACACTACAAGTCTTACAATGACCTACATGGGACCTTCAGGGGACAGATGGGATACAGTGTCATACACTACAAGTCTTACAATGACCTACAAGGGACCTTCAAGGGACAGATGGGATACAGTGTCATACACTACAAGTCTTATGATGACCTACATGGGATCTACAGAGGACACTTGGGATACAGTGTCATACACTACAAGTGTTACGATGACCTACATGGGACCTTCAGGGGACAGATGGGATACAGTGTCATACACTACAAGTCTTATGATGACCTACATGGGACCTACATGGGACCTACAGAGGACAGATGGGATATACTACAAGTCTTACAATGACTTATATGGAACCTACAGCAGCCAGATATGATACACCTGCTTGTTATTCATGACTGCTATACAAAAATATTCTTTGTTAAAATCCACCATGCAGAGAGTTTCGTAACCAAGATAATTTGTTTAAAATCAGTCATCCAATGATACAATGCAAACTTGTGTGCAGAACATGGGGATCACTTAAACATTAGCTGCAGCCGTATTTGCCCATATATATAAATATATTACACTGAAACAGTAAATATACAAAATGACAATGTGACACAGAGGAGTATTACACTACCAAACATTAAGCAATGACCAGGAGTCCTGAGTCATGCTGACTTCAGGGACATACACCCCCACACACAACCTGCATAGACAACCCCCACACACAACCTGCACAGACAACCCCCACACACAACCTGCACAGACAACCCCCACACACAACCTGCACAGACAACCCCCACACAACCTGCACAGACAACCCCCACACACAACCTGCACACACAACCTGCACAGACAACCCCCACACACAACCTGCACAGACAACCCACACACACAACCTGCATAGACAACCCATGCACACAACCTGCACAGACAACCACCACACACAACCTGCATAGACAACCCCCACACACAACCTGCACAGACAACCCATGCACACAACCTGAATAGACAACCCCCACACACAACCTGCACAGACAACCCATGCACACAACCTGAATGGACAACCCCCACACACAACCTGCATAGACAACCCCCACACACAACCTGAATAGACAACCCCCACACACAACCTGCACAGACAACCCCCACACACAACCTGCACAGACAACCCACACACACAACCTGCACAGACAACCCACACACACAACCTGCACAGACAACCACCACACACAACCTGCACAGACAACCCATGCACACAACCTGCACGGACAACCACCACAGACAACCCATGCACACAACCTGAATAGACAACCCCCACACACAACCTGCACAGACAACCCATGCACACAACCTGAATGGACAACCCCCACACACAACCTGCATAGACAACCCCCACACACAACCTGCATAGACAACCAAAACACACAACCTGCATAGACAACCAACACACACAACCTGCATAGACAACCCACACACACAACCTGCATAGACAACCCCCACACACACAACCTGCATAGACAACCCCCACACACAACCTGCATGGACAACCCCCACACACAACCTGAATAGACAACCCCCACACACAACCTGCACAGACAACCCATGCACACAACCTGCACAGACAACCAACACACACAACCTGCATAGACAACCAACACACACAACCTGCATAGACTACCCCCACACACAACCTGCACAGACAACCCCCAAACACAACCTGCACAGACAACCCCCACACACAACCTGCACGGACAACCCCCACACACAACCTGCACAGACAACCCCCACACACAACCTGCATAGACAACCCCCACACACAACCTGCATAGACAACTCCCACACACAACCTGCATAGACAACCACCACACACAACCTGCATAGACAACCACCACACACAACCTGCATAGACAACCAACACACACGACCTGCATAGACAACCCATGCACACAACCTGCACAGACAACCCACACACACAACCTGCACAGACAACCCCCACACACAACCTGCACAGACAACCCCCACACACAACCTGCACAGACAACCCACACACACAACCTGCACAGACAACCCACACACACAACCTGCACAGACAACTCCCACACACAACCTGCACAGACAACTCCCACACACAACCTGCATAGACAACCCCCACACACAACCTGCACAGACAACCCATGCACACAAAATCCCTGTACAGTGTCAGATGACAAACTGTGACGAAATGTTGTAGAGTGTGACTTCACCTAAAATACTGCATCCTACAATAGGGCTGGCAAAAAAAGATCGATAATCAGAATTATCATCGATGGGAAGAAATATTTACAATTAGTGTCATCGATTATACCTTACATATTGTAAGGCTATTAGCTATTGTGATGAAATAAAGTTAAGAATTACCCACACAGACTTGTTATTGTCAATATGTTATTCATGAAGATGGAAAGTAACCACGAAATTTATCCTTTAACTCTGTTTTTTTCACCAAAATAATATTCCAATAAGAGCCCCCTATTTCTAATTTTGAGAGCGCCCTGGGCGCTTATTACGTCGAGTACGGTAATCAATAATGTATTGATATTTGGTTAACAATTATCGATCTCAATGATCTGTATTGATAGCCAGCAATATCCTACACACAAATATTGGGAATGGACACACATAATTTGTTAGGGTGAGCAACGAAACTGGTATACCAGCAATACACGTATTGCAATACAACCCTTGAATATTATTATTTTCCAAAAGTCACAGAAGAATGAATAAATAATTAATATCTACTATCGTGAGGCATTTGGATGGACTGGGTAAACCATGTAAACAGCACGTGCTGCTTACCTTAACATTCCATACTGATGATGGAATAGGTAGTCTTGTTTATCCATACTAAAAGTACACATCTCGCAATCTGAAGTCTGGATTAATGAATGAAAAACTACCATTCTTATCGCAATACGACCTTGTGCCAATACGCCAACACTAATAATAAGCACTGTCAGTTTCATTGGATACAAAAAGAGAATGTTTGTCATTGAAACAAATTCAAATTTAGCCATAATAGCATACACATAAATTTTCCGGTCCATGTGATTTTTTCTCAAAAGTTTTGGTTGAAACAAGGCAATGTTCATCCTTAGTTAGCACCACACTTCAGGAATAATTTAAATTTTATTTGTTGGTACAAATTGTGCCAACTTGTCCCGCAGAGCAAGTAGAGATCTAGACTAATAGTTGTAGGACTTTCATTTTTGTGGAAGCTTCGGTGGCTAAGTGGGTTAGATCACTAACTTTGTGTGCTGGCGACTAGGTGCCTCACTCTGGCAGTGTGGGTTCTATTCCGGACGGGACTCAACCCAAAAACGGACTAGAATCTGAACTTGACTAAGCAAATGCTAAGAAAGTGTTATCCCAAATAAAGCATTTGTTACATTAACACCTCATTTTCGGTTTTAACAGTCATACAGGGTTTTTATACGGCTTAGTCATGCGGCATACTGACTCGGGAAAAGAACGACAGTTGGCTTGGTTCATCTAAGTGAGGTCACCCTTTACTGTCAATATTTTTGCTTTGACATTTGAAAATTAGTAATGAGTCGCTTACAAAAAAATAATAAAAATAATTGCCTCCCTTATAAAATAGTTTTGAGACCAAAAACGCTTATTGTTTATTTCTTCAACAGACAGTTGCCAGGTGTTCTGTCTAATTATGAAATAAGCAACATGTATTTTGTTTTTGTTACTACGAATGTACAAGAAATAAAAATGTATTTTAGGTATGAAATTAACGTGCATTTTTTATTGAAAATGATTGGAGATGAATTGATCCGATTGAAATATATTTACTTGCTGGGTAGGATGAGTGTTCTTCACTTCTTTCTCGCCCTGCGCATGCTGCCACTCGTCCATATGAGTGGATGAGCAAATGTTTCAAGCTCTGCCTGGTATCACCATTTTAATGAAACTTAACCGAATTGGGAATAATTAATTGCCTTGCATCATATTAGTATATAAGTTCTTTTTTCTATTCCACAGCATCTACCATCAATGAACTTATATTCCATCTTACGAGGTGACATAAAACATACATGTAAAGTATTTGCTGATTTAGATCATAAATTATTTATCATCTAATGTACAAAATTGCATCCAAAAGTCACATTCACTCATCATAAATTGGTGGAATATGGTGATACCTGCATAAAACTGCCCTTTAATTTACCAGTCCAAATGGCTAGCCAAAGACAGAGTTGTTGTCTTTTTCATTATGTCTTCATTTTCATTAACGTCCCCATTGTGAAATATACAAGCAGCCTATAATGGTCGTTTCAACTAATTATGTGGTTACAGTGTGTGCCAACGATGATCATTTGCCATTGTACCATAACACTGTAGGTGATGATGATGATGATGTTGGTGATGGTGATAGCACCTGGTCTATCTTGTTATTTTCAAGATGCAGGTGTAACACTGTTGCTGCTGCCATTCACTGTGTTTATACACTACTGTTAAGGGACAAAACATTTATGTCTATTTTTCTACACTACCCTATCTGCTACATGAGGGGTCAGTATCTGTCATACACAGGGAGATGTGGAACCATGCAACCATGGCAACTAGGGCCCTTTGACTACCTGCATATGACAGGTCACAATACAGCTGTCACCGTGTGGCTGAACCAGGAAATAAGACAACTGACTCTCCTCACTGCTGAGCAAAAGGCATCTAGATCAAGTTATTTTCTGGATATAGGAAATAAAATACATATCCATGGAAAAATTAATTACTGTTCCTTAATATAATTTAAGAAAGGAATTAGGAGATAAAATTTAAAGAGTTATGGGAGAAAGTGAAAGGGATGCATTTTCTCACACGAAAATTGGACATATTAAGAGAGGACATCCCCCATCTAATGAGAGTGGACATCCCCAAATCCATGGCGCTCTCCAGGATCAGCTGCCAGAATTACATAACAAAAACACAAGAACACCTGACAGGCATTACCTTAGGAATTTCTTTGGCTTGAAATTGTTCTCTGATAGAAACATTGTCCATTGGTGCGACTACGTCGTCACAGCCATCATGAGTGTACTGTGCCTGGCGGTGACTTTCCAAGTCTGGTGAATCGGAGCCGGTTCCGTGGGTGGACATGATGGGGATGACACTCTCCCCTCTGTAGTCAGCTAGTCGTTCTGCTGCAACTGAATTATCTTGGGCCTTGTTGGTCTTCCGAGACATTTGCACTCACTGATAGTGTTCACTTCATTTACACATGTGATTTAGACAGTATCTAGTCAGGGACAACTGGTACACCTAGGTATTATATCTCCTGTCTCTGGGGTGGGTCTTTGGTTGCAGCGTTGTTATGACAGAACACTATTTAATGCCTGTCAGAGTTACATAATGATCAATATTTTCAAAGTGTTGAATTGTCTCAAATACGAGCAGTTGTTCTCGAGACAAGGGTCTGCATCAGGGCTGTCATGCTCTAGGCTGTCTTCAGGACATATCTCAAGTCTGCGTGTAGCATTTGACAATATTACAAACTAGTCTGTTTCCCTTGGTGTTCTTTGTAATCGTCATAAGTTCAAATCGATGAAGAAATTACGACTTCTTAAAAGTCCCCATATCGTATTGTTTAGGAGACTGTGTTGCCAATGTTCTTCTCAGACGGTGTCGAGTCAAGTCGCGGTGACACCATTTTACCTCATCGCCACCTGCACAGAAAGAAATAACATTAGCGGTCGCGTGCACTCTCGCATGAGGACAAGCGCCTGACAAAATGAAAGATCGGATTTCAAGGAAACGAATGTCATACCTCAATCGTGGAAAAGAAACTGCACATAAGCAAAGTGCTGACTGAAAGCTCACCCTACACACAAAATATTGCCGACTTCTCAGTACCTTCTGAACGATGCGCATATTATTGCGCAGAAGTAATACTAGAGCGGAAGTTACGTCAATGATTCAGGGTCAGGGAAGGTTTAAACCCTTCATTATCTTACATATCTTACGACTTTATGATAATAAATAATTAACTTATCTTGTATCTTACCGAAGTTTTGATGTGTGTGAATAATTATGAACAGATTTTTTCATCGAAGCTATAAACTATACGTTCACTTATTTATTTATGAAATACACAGCATTAGATCTATCTCTGATAGAAACCACACTCATGGTCATAGTGTTTGAGAGAATTGTGAAATTATTCTTTTATCTAATACAAAATATCTAATACAAAATACATATACATTATCCATACACATTATTATATTGAACCAGTGTCTCATTATGTTTTCTTTGTTGCATCAAGCTAGATTTTCACGTGTTGCAAGTTGTACAATCAGTATGACGTCATAATAGCCCAGTGTAGTTGTAAACTATGACGTCACAAAAATATGGCGCGCACCTGTTTTAATGTGTAAGCTATAATATCGTTGATTGGCCTTTGTCGTTTATTTATTTATTTATTTATTTATTTATTTATCAGGTTGTTTTGAGCGTGCAAGCATCACAGTGAACCGTATGGCTAATGATCATAATGACACATTCCATTTTTTTCAATATGTACAATACCCGTGAAGATTCCGGGGTAGAATAGATCTTCAGCAACCCATGCTTGCCGTAAAAGGTGACTATGCTTGTCGTAAAAGGCGACTAACGGGATCGGGTGGTCAGGCTTGCTGACTTGGTTGATGCATGTCATCGATCCCAATTGCGTTGATCGATGCTCATGACATTAATCACTAGATTGTCTGGTCCAGACTCGATTATTTACAGACCGTCGTCATATAGCTGGAATATTGCTGAGTGCGGCGTTAAACAACAAACCAACCAACCAACCAATATGTACAATAGAAGCAGTTAGGTTTGATTGTGGTAGGTTTTGGGTTGTTGTTAACAACGTCACCAATGGCACCACGTCACCAATCGAAGAACAACATCGAAGTGGCGAACAAAAAAAACTTGACCTTGCGAAACCGGCACCGTATCTTAGTACTGTTTGCACTGATTTGTTTTTTTGTTTTGTTTTGTTTTTAAATATAAAATATTAATCAAGTATATGTATTTTAGAGTTATTTTCTTTAAAGGCAATACTATCAAAATGTTATCAGTTGTCAGACATGGTTAGATACAGCATATGTAACAATATTGCCTTGAAACATTAAATAATTGTTATATTTAATATTTTATTATCGTGGCAACAATTATAATAAAGAAACGTTCTCAGGAAACAATGTTATTGCATGAATTGTGAGCCACACGTTCTGATGCGAGTACTGGCTGTACTGAATGACTAGTCCATGGGTTTATAGTACTTCTTTTAAGTCTAGAAAAGCGGAAAGTACTGTCTCTTATGGGGACAATTTGTTTTTATTATTTATATAATCAAGATATTATGATTTAAACTAATAATTATTGCCTTGGAGACATAAGTCTGTCATGTGAGGGATTGGCGCCATTCTAAAAAATAAAGCCCCACCCCACCCTACCCCACCCCCCACCCCGCCTCTCAAATGTGTAAATTCAAAACATTGATTAAGAACACGTATAGAAAGAAGGATGAAGTCTTAGATAATATTTTTAAAAATTATAATTTTAAAAGGATTTATCATCCTTCTCAAAATAAACAAGACATTCACAGGTTAAGGTAAGATGTATATTTTGATCATTCATTGTTAAAAGCGACTTACGGGATCGGGTGGTTATAGGCTAGGTTAGGTTAGGTTTTTGAAGGTTTGAAGCTGAAGCTTTTTTTAATGAGGGCCTGAAGAGTTTGGTCAGTGCCTGCAGCTTTTGAAGTTTGTGGGTCCTGATGGCAGCCAACATTTTTTTTATTTAACCGCAGTACACATTGTAAACTGTTGAAACGATAAGGGTGATTTTGTTTTGCCTCTCAGCGGTTCTGTCCCTTTGATACCCTTGTATAGGTGGCGCAGTTAAAACTACTTCCTTTTCCGGCATTCGGCCATCAACACAGGGTCGTTGACATGTATGTAAAGATTTAATCGAATTGTATCAGCATACCCACACTACATCCAGTTTTCAAATGAAGTCATCCAATTGCACAATAACAGAACGGTGTTATGTACCAATTCATAAAAATATGTTATTGACATTCTCTGCATAAAACACCAATGAATCCACACATGCCGTGCCCTCGGTGAAATTGTCATATAGTTTGGCATCTGAGGTTCCTCATAATCATATCGTTTCACGCTTTGTCAGATTTATGGTTTTAGCATACTTTAATTAAGAAAGAGACACGTTTTTCAATATCCTAGAGTCATGTCATTGTGTGATAATCTGATTATTAAGACGCATCCGTACAAGCTACACGGTATTTGTATCTTATCGAGCTTACTATATTAGGCCTAGTGATTTTACTACAGCTAGGTCCAAATTGATCTATCAGTTTCAAATAAATGCACCTTGATATGGTTATAATCCGCAAACGTCTCAATGGTCATTTTGTAATGAGCAAAATACAGAGACTGGCATTTCATAATTTTCCACAAGCATGTTAGACCAGATTAACTTGAAAGTTTGTTTACTGGCATTTATCTAGAACCCAGGCATGTTTTATCTCAGATTCTTCTGCTTTATTGTGCATGGTTTCTTGTGTCGTCAATCTTTAAAAGTACCAGAACAATCAAATTCTTGAAAGAAAATCATTAAAAAGTTCGATTACTGGATTATTAGCCTTTATCCCAGGTTTCCTTGCGCATCCTGACGGCTGACTAATGGCTGATTGATCCTCAGCAATACTCATTCCCTGTGTTATGTATGTTCTACACTTTTCGGATCATACCCTCTTCCAGACTCAATTATTTTCAAGATACCATAATTTGATCTGGAATATTGCTGACAACTGTTCGAAATCAGTTGTGACAGGCAATTAATCATTATCATATCTCTGATGTTAAAAGTACCCAAGATTCAAATAACAGCAAACCTCAAGGATCCCAGAGCATATTTTGAACACTGCTGACAGTGGTAAACAAAGTCATTCCAGAACATATAATGTAATTGCTTTTCCGTCATGTGTGTTAGAAAAAACACAATAGTTTTGGGACTGACTTCATGGCATTGAAATTTGTGTGTTCTATTTACACAAGTTTTCTTCATATGTTGGTAAGCCCTGTGAGTATTCCAGGTTAGAATTGACCCCCAGTATCCTGGTCATTTGAGTCAAGTAGGGCTGTAATGATTCACCAATACCTACAATACTAAGGCAGCGTTAGAAATTGGCACTAGTCCTATAGTCCTTGCCAAATTGCCCAATAGTTAAGGTATCATAAGGACTAGTAGAAATTTGCCCTTTTTAAGAGTTTTGCTATATGTTATCATTATAAGGACTAGTGGCCTAAAACTGTTAGTTTCTATCGCTGTAAGGTACGCACAATACTTGCATCATCACCCTTTGTGAGATCGCGATACACTATTAATAGAACAGGAACTAATAGTTACCTCCCGTAATAGCAGAAGTAACATAGCGCCACCTGTAGGCATGGCAGAAGCTGAGGATGTGGTGCCTGAGGATGCACCGACTTCAGGGTTTGACAAATATGCTGGCCAACTAGACAAATGCTAGTGAAACTTGATCTGGGCCAGTAATTTTATATTTATACTGGACCAGCTGGCTATTGAAATAATATGGTGTACCAATCGCTTTAAGTCAGGTTAAAACTCACTCGATCTTTTATTCAGTCAACAAAAGCCATACATCAACTTTTCTCTGCCAACTACCAATCTTAGTTACCTCCCTTACCGAGACCGTAACACGATGTATAAAATCCTGTTAACTGGCTATTTATGTCCGTGTGGCATGCACATACTATGATAACAACTCTACATAGGAAATGAGAGACCAGTTGTTAATAACCAATAAATTCCATCGTAGCAAACAGGAAGTGATTAATGTGACTAATCAAATTGATGCTACTTTCTACGCTTCACATACCAGTATTCTGTAATGGCCGTCACTGCTTCGTGGAATTTTTTAAAGCCTCCGCGGTAAATTGAAAAGCCCTGTGAACCAACACAAATTGCAAGAAAGAGGGGAAGGACATTCCAACAGTCGTGGAAGCTCAAATTTCCATGGTTAGAAGTGCATTAAACAAACAAAGTCAGTAAAGTCATGAATAAAATGACTAACTATATTGACAAGTGTTTGCTCTCTTAAGTTTCTGAATTTCTGTTGGACTTGTAACTTAATAACTGGGCCAGTAGTTTTTATTTCTTACTGGACCAGTGGGCTAGTGTGTAGATAAGACATTTGTCAAACCCTGGACTTACATTTAGTAACCATCCCTTCATTTAAAACTCTTTTGTTCTTGTGGTTTTCTTTGTTAAAGTTTTTGAGATGACATTAAATAAATGTATAAAAAAAAAAGGTTTTAGAGCCTCATTTCAGTGACTTCATCAGTTCTTAGTACTGATGTGGTGTGTTGTGTTACCAGTAGTATCGTCAGTCTTTATCGTGATACAAATCATATAACAAGACTCCAGGCGATACTCAGCTCTAGTGGTCAGGCGCTGATACTTGGCTAATAGCGTGTCTTCACATTCTGACAACATGGATAATTGCTCAGAATATCAATCACTAGATTGTCTAGTCCAGACTTCATTCAGATGCCATCATCTAGCTGGAATATGGAGTGCCGTAGTGTTAAGTAACTGACACAAACTTTGTGTGCTAACATTGTTACAAAACAGGTTTTCAAGTTAAAATACCAAAATGCCAAGAAACAGGTGGTTAAAAAAATGTGAAATCCCTCTAAGAATTGTGGATCCCCAATCACTATCAAACCCCTGGGTAAAATACCAAAATGACCAAAAGCTTATCTAGAGCTCTGGTATATTAATACTTTTTGTTGCATAGTTGGTACGCTAGGATTTGATTTGTCTGCATATTTCAGTTTATTTGATGGTTTAAGTATTTTACACAAGTACACAGCTTATCGACAACTCTGCAGCTACAGTGAACCCAGTATAACCCTGAGTACCACAGTGATTGTGAACACTGACCATCCAGAATAGCTAAAAGTTGATTCAGAACAAGCAATGGTGTACAGAAATTTAACATCTTAGAGGCCCTTATTCAGTCCCAAGCACAACCAATTTTTAATTGTTATGGCTTTGTTGAGGTAACTTGTATTTCACCGATAACAAGATGAATAAAGATGAAGATGCTTTTATATGTTTGATGCTTTTTGAGCCTTAGTAAAAAAAATTAATTGAATGCAATGTTAAGATACCTTGTTAAAAATGTCTGAATCACCTTCCAGGGGCATTGGGAGACATATCCTTACCCTAATTCCCACAGGGAAGTCTTTGTTATGACTTGATGAAGGTAAAGTCTTCAACTTTAACCATGAGTTTGGAGCCCATGTCTAGTAACTTTTGTACAGTCCAGTTAGCTCAAAGTCTTTTTTATGACTAAATTTTACTGAAATGATGCTGAGATTTAAGTTCAGGCGAGTAGCCTCAAAAACTTTTAAATCAGACTGTGGGTCACAGGTAATAGGAATCAGTAGGAGTAACCCTTCATCAACCTTAGGAATTCATTTTTATCTTATTTTACTAGTCCTTGGAGTAGGTAGCTAGTCCTGAATTAAGACAGACATGTTTTACCATGTTTACATTACCTGTGAAGATTCCGGGTAGAATAGGCCCCTAGCAACCCATGCTTGCCGTAAAAGGTGACTATGCTTGTCGTAAAAGGCGACTAACAGGATCGGGTGGTCAGGCTCGCTGACTTGGTTGATGCATGTCATCGATCCCAATTGCGTGGATCGATGCTAATGATATTAATCACTAGATTGTCTGGTCCAGACTCGATTATTTACAGACCGCCGTCATATAGCTGGAATATTGCTGAGTGCGGTGTTAAACAACAAACCAACCATGTTTACATTGTCAGTTTTATTCAGTATCAATTTATAGCAACATGGAAGCCTTGTTCAGAGTTATAGCCCTTAAATGGAACAAGGTCAGTGAGGGCTACAATCATTGGGTTTTTATTTACACTCTGGTCAAGTCTCAGGCTAGCAGACTGGCATGAATTTTCGAGCCTGCCTTCCTACTTTGTGATGCTATATCAAAATGTGCAGTTTGATACCCTGTGTTGAATCGTTTAGTCCACAATTGAGGCGAGTGGTTTATGCAACACACTGGTCATTGCTATGGTTACTGTATACAGGGGCAAGTTGTTTTTGCAACATAATGGTGGTTACTGTGGTAATAACTGTCTCGGCAGCAGTGGTTTAAGTAATATACTGCTGGTTACTGTGGAAACTCCATCTCCTTCAGCTGTTCAGATTTTAGCTCGTCTGCAGTAGGGACAAGTAGCCATGCATTACCACCAGGTATAATTTGATGTCCAATTGTTTCCATGGTTAAGATGATTCTGGAACATGAGTAACACCTGCTCTTTGTTTTCCAGCTAGAAAAGAAAGATGGCCATCCGACCCCTAGTTAAGTACAAGATTCCTCGAAAGAGGAACAAGAAGTTCATCCGTCATCAGTCGGAGCGGTACATGAGAGTTAAGGTGAGCAACAACACTGAAGGTGTAGAATTGAGGCACTGCAGTGAAGGACTGCTGACTTTTGGTGTATGCTTCTTTTACCTAAAGGGCTTTATGTTAACACAGTATATATTCATTGGGTGTAAACTCCCCAGGCCACACCTACTGAACCCTTAAGTATGCTTGTCCACTGTCATGGTATGCATCAGTGATTTCAACTTAGATATTGGACTTAACTTAAACAGGCATTGAAGGTGATCGAAATTTTGATACAGAAATAATATGCCTGGAAAAGATTCCGATACTGTAATAATAGGAAGTTTGCTGCAGCCATCTACGCTTGTGCAGTGGGAAGTGTAAGAAAAGGACTTGTGCTTCCAAAAAACAGGGGGGGTCAGGTAGCCTCGTGGTTAAAGCGTTTGCTCGTCACGACAAAGACTTGGGTTCAATGCCCGTCATCGGTACAATGTGTGAAGCCCATTTCAGGTGGCCCCCGCCTTGATATTGCTGGAATGTTGCTAAAAGCGGCGTAAAACCATACTCACTCACTCACGCCCAAAATCAAAATTGGCACTCTAAGATAAGAATTACCGTAACTGTACTTAACAGGTTGGATGAGATGAATAAAAAATGAGATCTACTTTAATATTGCTTACAGTAGTGTAAAAACCAATTTAGTTTCAAATATCCAAATATGTCTGTAAGCACCATATCTGTCTTTGTTTATCCAAAGTGATTAGGACCTTTAAACTTTCCTCCCAAATCAGGCTGATATGCAACTGATATACTGTTCAAAGCATCAGTAAACTCACCCACTCACTATTCTTGCTAGTAATCTGTTCAGAATGCGGTCTGTGTGTGTGTGTGAGACTGAGCGCCTCCGCCATCTAGTGGATAGAGCGTATTCTCGGAGGGCGAAAATGTTGCCCAGTCCCCTGCCTCATACACCAAAAATGGTACTTGTACCCTGCCTGGGACTTGGCATTAAGCTGACTGCGTCTGAGTGGGGTATTCATGGTAATCTGCGACATGGTATCCCAGTGGGCTAGCTCTGTAACACTGTCATTAGTCCAAACCAGTACAAGCGTACACACGCGCACATAGATAAGTGAAACAATCTAGAACGCAACGTTGAACCCTATATCACCTCACCTCACTTGTGTGTGACTAAAGAAATCCTACTTTGATGTATGTTATTGGCATAGACCAAAGAGTATTGACAACAATGTCACTTCATTGATGTGTGTTCTTTCTCCACAGCAAGCATGGCGTAAACCAAAGGGTATTGACAACAGAGTGAGACGTCGCTTCAAGGGGCAGTATCTGATGCCAAACATCGGTTATGGAACATCCTACAAAGTAAAGCATGTCTGCCCTGATGGCTTCAAGAAGTTCCTTGTACACAACGTCAAGGTACGCAGTGTTCTGCTTCACTTATTGCAGTGCTTGATAACTTCAGTTTGGGGGGGAGGTTTGAAGCAAGAGCTAATTAAGTTAACCACTACAGCAGTCGATGTCTTCCTTTTACATTGTGGATCACCATATTATACTTCTTGATACAAGTACCGATCACAGACGCACACCAAGTAAAAGGTATTGATTCTTACCTTAAATGTTTTTTTTAAATAAATGTAACACCGACACTAATTACTTGTGAAAACGTAAATATTTTCGTCCATTGCGCCATACCTGACACTGCCAACTGTTAATCATTAGTGTGCCAGGTATTTGGCAATCCTGTCTATGAAAAGGATGGCTCACTCACCACAGAAAAGAGCACATGCGAGTATCATGATACGTATCATATCAGGAGCAGGTTATTGTGATATGTTTCGGATCGCACCGTTGGTGTATCGTCCCAACCCTAATTGTTTAACATAATTAAGTCATACTTTGTGGCCTGGTGTTGATTTAAGAGCTGGCCATTTGACCCATGGAAAGTTAAAATTACAAAGGGATTGCTGAAACGTAAAAGTAGATGGTCCGTCTGGCTAATCAAATTTCCTTCCTTTCCGTCTTTGCTTATATTTATACTTGGATCATCTTTATAGAATGCCAACCGGCCGCCATATTGTAATTGTGTACAACATCTTCATTTGCTCATAAATCACCACGAAATGAGGCAAATGGAAGCCAAGATTTAATCTCAGAGAGCAGGAAAAACTTTTTAGGGATGAGGTGTTATTGGAATATTGCTAAAAGCAGCGTAAAACCAAACCAAACTCACTCACTCACACATTCCCCTGTTATGTAAGACGGTCGTGATATGGCTTGAATATTGCAATCAGTTGATAGTGGATAGAAAATGGATAGTAGTGTGACGCTCTCTCACACTTGTGAACTATAGTGATACTACAGTACTGTATGATATATTCCAGGAGATATGACAAAAGTGGATGTGAACTTGTTGCTGTTATATTACTAATGGTGTACATGCATCGTGAAGAGGAAGCTCCCTTTTGTCTTCCCTCTGATGTGAACTCCCAGTTTCCCCTGCAGTCATTCTATCAGTGTTCAAAATAATTTTGAAACTCAGCAAGACTTTCGGACAAGTGACCCATAATATGATTCTGCATATGTTGACATTTGAACAGCTTCTCTCATGTTGCAGGAATTGGAGGTGTTATTGATGCAAAACAGAACTTTCTCAGCTGAGATTGCTCACAACGTCTCGTCACGAAAAAGGAAAGAGATCGTTGAGCGTGCCCAGCAGCTCGCGATCAAGGTGACCAACCCCAACGCCAGGCTGAGGTCACAGGAAGACGAGTAAACTGTACAAAAAAAAATCATAAAAAAATCACACCATATTTGGTGTTTTGTTGTCTGTAGTGATGGGTGACAGCAGTTTTACAACGGAGTTAATCACTGCAGTAGGACGAGTGGAGACCTGGCTGGGCCTGGGTTCCTAGCACTTCCTTGTTGGTTACAGCGGGCGGCAAGTGTGGATGAGATATATAGATCTGCGACTTGCCTGATTACATGGCAACACACCCTGATTGCATACCGTATTCGACGTAATAAGCGCCCACGGCGATATTTGCTAATATATTGGCTAGTGAACAATCCCTTCCCCACCCCTTCCGACTGATCAATGTACACAAGACCTATTTATTCGTGTATAATACGCACTCGTGTGTAATAAGCACCCTCAATTATGGGCAATTAAATTCTGGAAAAATATATCTGTCGTATATATAAACATTTCAGGCTGTCAGCATAAACCACGAAATTTATCTTTCAACTCTGTTTTTTCACCAAAATAATATTCTAATAAGAGCTCCCTATTTCTAATTTTGAGAGCGCCCTGGGCGCTTATTACGTCGAATACGGTATATCATGATCATATTGTCCCTGGTTTGTTTGGACCAGACAATCCAGTGATTGACATGAGCTTCAATCTACCAAGTCAGGGAGCATGACCACCTGGTCCAGTTTGTTGCCTCTTACGACATTCATTGGTCAACCAGTTCTAACACGGATCTTCATGTGCATGCGTGCATGCGTGCGTGTGTGCGCATGCGATATTGGAATCACTCGGGTGTGACATGTCCAAGGCATCATGCTAGAGTCCTTGGCCACCCTGGTGTGATGTTTCATCCAAAAACAGTTTCACAGTAAAATAATATGACAAGTACGAATGGATAAAAAATCATGTAACAGTTAAGTACAATTCTGTATTTAAGAATATATTTGCATAAATGTAAACAAAAGAATTTGTGTTGGCATCACTTCATCTACCACAACTGAAAATACTGAAATGTTCTATTTAAAATAAAATGAAAGTCTAGCAAAGCTTTGTTTAGTCAATGATGATGATAAGCATATCTCTCAATTCTCCTGATGCTTGCCGTCCTTGATCTGACATGGAGTAAAACTGGCTGTCCAATACAATCAGCACTTTACATCTTAATAAACACCCCCAATTAACAAACAAAATCCTGTCAGCATTGATATTCAAATATGTAATGTACAATAAAACATACTGATATACATTAACATAAAAACACGTTAAAATCCTCATGAATTTAACCAAATATGATGTCATAAGGAGAGCCATCATGTCAATGTTCAGCTTCCGACGAGACGTGAGGCTTCAGTTGAGTCTATGACAAGTAAACACACTGAGCCACGAAAAACAACATGGTTCTGTTTCGTCGTGTTATCACAGTCGCTTCGAACAACAAACTAGAATGTAACAGTATAAAAACTATCCAAAACTATGAACCACACAATATTGCAGTCTCTCATCTCCCAACAAAACGTGTCAAGTTCCTGAAGTAGCAATACATTTATCTATCATATATAACCTGTTGCATGTGAGCTTAAAAACGACTTGTGCTCACAATTTTAAACCCCAATAGTTGAGGATGGATCAAAAGATGTGAGCGTTTACCACGAGTGAGAACAAACCACACGAGGTGAGAATGGACTCGCTATGGTCCTTCAGGGACTCTCTGTGCGGAGTACATGACGTCTGTCCTGACCGCGTACTTCCGTCCCTCCTCCAGGGTAGAGCCTTCATGTAGGATGTCGTGTTGGAATACCAGGACCAAACCTATAGTGAGACAGAGACCGACCGAGAGACATTATCAACCAGGGCCCCATTCTTAGCGCTACGATTGTCGCAAGTCGGTGACAAAGAATGGGAGTTATTAGGGCTGGGACGAGTCCACATTTACTACCCGGGTACCCACCCCTCTATTACCTGACCCTACCCGGGTACCCACTGTAGGTCTCAGGAGATGTCTCAAAATGTCCGACTGGGAACAGTTTTAGCATAAGCCTGGCAAACATATTTAGATACATGTATTAAACAATCTGGTCATTCATACACTGAATTTGATTTAAGTTATATCTTTATTCAACCATATGAAAAATCAGAAGGAATGGGTGCACAGTCAGAAAGAATTGCGAACATTAATGACTTGTAGTGTAACCATAGAGTTCCAGATAATTTGTGTCATTAAACAATATGTCCAGTGACTAACCACGGGTCCGGGTAGTCCTGTGGGTACCCGGGTCCTACTCAGTACCCACCCGAACCGGGTACCTGAGTTACCCGTCCCAGCCCTAGGAGTTCTGATCTACTTTGTTAAGATCACCTTGTGGAACGGGGCTCAGAAGCTATTGCCGAATATTGGATACAAGGATCCAGCTGTTTGGAAAGTAGTTCAATATTTTGTGATGGTATGTCAACATACAAGTGCTAGTTGTTGGCAAATGTTGAGAAATCATACTGAAACATCGTAGGTAATACATAGACTTATAACAGACTGGTCTATAACAAGGGGCTGTCGGGTGGCCTAGCTGTGAAAGCGTTCGCTCGTCACGCCGAAGACCCGACATGGGTACAATGTGTGAAGCCCATTTTCTGGTGTCCGCCGTGATATTGCTGGAATATTGCTAAAAGCGGCATAAAACATACTCACTCACTCACTCACTCACTCACTCACTGGTATATAACAACAAGTTGGTGGTTGAAGGCCCCGCATCCAACTTGCTAGTTGGTCTGAGTCTGATACAAATATATCAAATACAGCCCATGCAAGTCTATAATATTTGGCAAGTCTAGATTACTGAAGTATCTGAAAATAAAGAGAGTCTCTGGGCTCCTTTTTATTAAATATATTTTAACACATGTTTTCTTCTGTACAATATGTTAATTTCAGAGACTAGATGTAAGTCTAAGAGACTGTGAACAGCTCTACCTGTTTTGGGTACCACTGGGACGATGGTGTCTGTGCTGTACCCGAAGAACGTTGTGCTTCCCCCAACAAAACCCTGAAACAAAACGCTTGAAATGATGATTCCAGGGAATATATAGACTTCCTGAGATAACTGTACACTCTCAGAGTGGTCAACCTCTGACGTATCTATCACAGAAGGGGACCTGGCGGCAACAGCCATAAAACATGGGGGTTACATCTAGCATGTCATAGAACATGGCGTTAAAACAAGGCAGGGCTGTATAAAACTAATTAGGATAATGGTAATACCGAACAAAATGTTTTATCAGCATATCAAACAAATTTTATCCCACTGCACATCATGTACAGCTGTACAGTGTGTGTAGCCACCACACCTCATTCAGGTACAGTGATGTAGCCATCTCACCTCATTCAGGTACAGCTGTACAGTGGTGTAGCCACCCCACCTCATTCAGGTACAGCTGTACAGTGGTGTAGCCACCCCACCTCATTCAGGTACAGTGATGTAGCCATCTCACCTCATTCAGGTACAGCTGTACAGTGTGTGTAGCCACCCTACCTCATTCAAGTACAGCTGTACAGTGATGTAGCCACCACACCTCATTCAGGTACAGCTGTACAGTGGTGTAGCCACCACACCTCATTCAGGTACAGCTGTACAGTGATGTAGCCACCACACCTCATTCAGGTACAGCTGTACAGTGATGTAGCCACCACACCTCATTCAGGTACAGCTGTACAGTGGTGTAGCCACCCCACCTCATTCAGGTACAGCTGTACAGTGGTGTAGCCACCCCACCTCATTCAGGTACAGTGATGTAGCCACCACACCTCATTCAGGTACAGCTGTACAGTGATGTAGCCACCCTACCTCATTCAGGTACAGCTGTACAGTGATGTAGCCACCACACCTCATTCAGGTACAGCTGTACAGTGATGTAGCCACCACACCTCATTCAGGTACAGCTGTACAGTGGTGTAGCCACCCCACCTCATTCAGGTACAGCTGTACAGTGGTGTAGCCACCCCACCTCATTCAGGTACAGTGATGTAGCCACCACACCTCATTCAGGTACAGCTGTACAGTGATGTAGCCACCACACCTCATTCAGGTACAGCTGTACAGTGATGTAGCCATCTCACCTCATTCAGGTACAGTGATGTAGCCACCACACCTCATTCAGGTACAGCTGTACAGTGATGTAGCCATCTCACCTCATTCAGGTACAGTGATGTAGCCATCTCACCTCATTCAGGTACAGCTGTACAGTGGTGTAGCCACCCCACCTCATTCAGGTACAGTGATGTAGCCATCTCACCTCATTCAGGTACAGCTGTACAGTGTGTGTAGCCACCCTACCTCATTCAGGTACAGCTGTACAGTGATGTAGCCACCACACCTCATTCAGGTACAGCTGTACAGTGGTGTAGCCACCCCACCTCATTCAGGTACAGCTGTACAGTGATGTAGCCACCCCACCTCATTCAGGTACAGCTGTACAGTGGTGTAGCCACCACACCTCATTCAGGTACAGCTGTACAGTGATGTAGCCACCACACCTCATTCAGGTACAGCTGTACAGTGATGTAGCCACCACACCTCATTCAGGTACAGCTGTACAGTGATGTAGCCACCACACCTCATTCAGGTACAGTGGTGTAGCCACCACACCTCATTCAGGTACAGCTGTACAGTGATGTAGCCACCACACCTCATTCAGGTACAGCTGTACAGTGATGTAGCCACCACACCTCATTCAGGTACAGCTGTACAGTGATGTAGCCACCACACCTCATTCAGGTACAGTGGTGTAGCCACCACACCTCATTCAGGTACAGCTGTACAGTGATGTAGCCACCACACCTCATTCAGGTACAGCTGTACAGTGATGTAGCCACCCCACCTCATTCAGGTACAGCTGTACAGTGATGTAGCCACCACACCTCATTCAGGTACAGCTGTACAGTGATGTAGCCACCACACCTCATTCAGGTACAGCTGTACAGTGATGTAGCCACCACACCTCATTCAGGTACAGTGGTGTAGCCACCCCACCTCATTCAGGTACAGCTGTACAGTGATGTAGCCACCTCACCTCATTCAGGTACAGTGATGTAGCCACCTCACCTCATTCAGGTACAGCTGTACAGTGATGTAGCCACCACACCTCATTCAGGTACAGCTGTACAATGGTGTAGCCACCCCACCTCATTCAGGTACAGCTGTACAGTGGTGTAGCCACCCCACCTCATTCAGGTACAGTGATGTAGCCACCACACCTCATTCAGGTACAGCTGTACAGTGATGTAGCCATCTCACCTCATTCAGGTACAGTGATGTAGCCATCTCACCTCATTCAGGTACAGCTGTACAGTGATGTAGCCAACCCACCTCATTCAGGTACAGCTGTACAGTGGTGTAGCCACCCCACCTCATTCAGGTACAGTGATGTAGCCATCTCACCTCATTCAGGTACAGCTGTACAGTGTGTGTAGCCACCCTACCTCATTCAGGTACAGCTGTACAGTGATGTAGCCACCACACCTCATTCAGGTACAGCTGTACAGTGGTGTAGCCACCCCACCTCATTCAGGTACAGCTGTACAGTGATGTAGCCACCCCACCTCATTCAGGTACAGCTGTACAGTGGTGTAGCCACCACACCTCATTCAGGTACAGCTGTACAGTGATGTAGCCACCACACCTCATTCAGGTACAGTGGTGTAGCCACCACACCTCATTCAGGTACAGCTGTACAGTGGTGTAGCCACCACACCTCATTCAGGTACAGCTGTACAGTGATGTAGCCACCACACCTCATTCAGGTACAGCTGTACAGTGGTGTAGCCACCACACCTCATTCAGGTACAGCTGCACAGTGATGTAGCCACCACACCTCATTCAGGTACAGCTGTACAGTGGTGTAGCCACCACACCTCATACAGGTACAGCTGTACAGTGATGTAGCCACCACACCTCATTCAGGTACAGCTGTACAGTGGTGTAGCCACCCCACCTCATTCAGGTACAGCTGCACAGTGGTGTAGCCACCACATCTCATTCAGATACAGCTGCACAGTGGTGTAGCCACCACATCTCATTCAGGTACAGCTGTACAGTGATGTAGCCACCACACCTCATTCAGATACAGCTGCACAGTGGTGTAGCCACCACATCTCATTCAGGTACAGCTGTACAGTGATGTAGCCACCACACCTCATTCAGATACAGCTGCACAGTGGTGTAGCCACCACATCTCATTCAGGTACAGCTGTACAGTGGTGTAGCCACCACACCTCATTCAGGTACAGCTGTACAGTGATGTAGCCACCCCACCTCATTCAGGTACAGCTGTACAGTGGTGTAGCCACCCCACCTCATTCAGGTACAGCTGTACAGTGGTGTAGCCACCTCACCTCATTCAGGTACAGTGATGTAGCCACCCTACCTCATTCAGGTACAGTGGTGTAGCCACCTCACCTCATTCAGGTACAGCTGTACAGTGATGTAGCCACCTCACCTCATTCAGGTACAGTGATGTAGCCACCTTACCTCATTCAGGTACAGTGATGTAGCCACCTTACCTCATTCAGGTACAGTGGTGTAGCCACCACACCTCATTCAGGTACAGCTGTACAGTGATGTAGCCACCCTACCTCATTCAGGTACAGCTGTACAGTGATGTAGCCACCCCACCTCATTCAGGTACAGCTGTACAGTGATGTAGCCACCCCACCTCATTCAGGTACAGCTGTACAGTGATGTAGCCACCCCACCTCATTCAGGTACAGTGATGTAGCCACCCTACCTCATTCAGGTACACTGGTGTAGCCACCTCACCTCATTCAGGTACAGTGATGTAGCCACCTTACCTCATTCAGGTACAGTGATGTAGCCACCTTACCTCATTCAGGTACAGTGGTGTAGCCACCACACCTCATTCAGGTACAGCTGTACAGTGATGTAGCCACCCTACCTCATTCAGGTACAGCTGTACAGTGATGTAGCCACCCCACCTCATTCAGGTACAGCTGTACAGTGATGTAGCCACCCCACCTCATTCAGGTACAGTGATGTAGCCACCCTACCTCATTCAGGTACAGTGGTGTAGCCACCTCACCTCATTCAGGTACAGTGATGTAGCCACCTTACCTCATTCAGGTACAGTGATGTAGCCACCTTACCTCATTCAGGTACAGTGGTGTAGCCACCACACCTCATTCAGGTACAGCTGTACAGTGATGTAGCCACCCTACCTCATTCAGGTACAGCTGTACAGTGATGTAGCCACCTCACCTCATTCAGGTACAGCTGTACAGTGATGTAGCCACCTCACCTCATTCAGGTACAGTGATGTAGCCACCCTACCTCATTCAGGTACAGCTGTACAGTGATGTAGCCACCACACCTCATTCAGGTACAGCTGCACAGTAATGTAGCCACCCCACCTCATTCAGGTACAGCTGTACAGTGATGTAGACACCTCACCTCATTCAGGTACAGCTGTACAGTGATGTAGCCACCCCACCTCATTCAGGTACAGCTGTACAGTGATGTAGCCACCACACCTCATTCAGGTACAGCTGTACAGTGATGTAGCCACCTCACCTCATACAGGTACAGCTGTACAGTGATGTAGACACCTCACCTCATTCAGGTACAGCTGTACAGTGATGTAGCCACCTCACCTCATTCAGGTACAGCTGTACAGTGATGTAGCCACCTCACCTCATTCAGGTACAGCTGTACAGTGATGTAGCCACCCTACCTCATTCAGGTACAGCTGTACAGTGATGTAGCCACCACACCTCATTCAGGTACAGCTGTACAGTGATGTAGCCACCTCACCTCATTCAGGTACAGCTGTACAGTGATGTAGCCACCCTACCTCATTCAGGTACAGCTGTACAGTGATGTAGCCACCCTACCTCATTCAGGTACAGCTGTACAGTGATGTAGCCACCTCACCTCATTCAGGTACAGCTGTACAGTGATGTAGCCACCACACCTCATTCAGGTACAGCTGTACAGTGATGTAGCCACCCTACCTCATTCAGGTACAGCTGTACAGTGATGTAGCCACCACACCTCATTCAGGTACAGTGATGTAGCCACCCTACCTCATTCAGGTACAGCTGTACAGTGATGTAGCCACCTCACCTCATTCAGGTACAGCTGTACAGTGATGTAGCCACCCCACCTCATTCAGGTACAGCTGTACAGTGATGTAGCCACCCCACCTCATTCAGGTACAGCTGTACAGTGATGTAGCCACCTCACCTCATTCGGGTTCAGCTGCTTCTTTGTTTGTTTATTTACAAGGTAGATATTTTCACACTGACATTTCACCCAGCAGTCAGCAATATTCCACCTATAAGACGGTGGCCTGTAAATAATCAAGTCTGGACCAGACAATCCAGTGATTGATATCATGATGAGGCTGACCACCCGATTCCATTAGTTGCCTCTTACGAGAAACATAGTCGCCTTTTACAGCAATCATGGGTGTGCTGAAGACCTATTCTAAACTGGATCTTCACGGTTTCAGGTACATACAGTGATATAGTTGACCCACCTCATTCAGGTACACCTGTACTGTGATATAGTTGACCCACCTCATTCAGGTACACCTGTACTGTGATGAGGCTCCTTTCCCCGTTGTCTCTTCGATATTCGCCATCTTCGTGAGGTTTGAAATATTCTCCTGGGTTGTACCGGAGGAAGCGGAGTCTGCACAAACAGGTTACAGAGTACAATATTCTACACCAGGAGACACAAACGTGTTACAAACTACAGTATTCCACACCAGGTCACTAAAACATGTTACAGAGTACAGTATTCTACACCAGGAGACACGAACAGGTTACAGAGTACAGTATTCTACACCAGGAGACACAAACAGGTTACAGAGTACAATATTCTACACCAGGAGACACAAACAGGTTACAGAGTACAGTATTCTACACCAGGAGACACAAAGGGTTACAGAGTACAGTATTCTACACCAGGAAACACAAACAGGTTACAGAGTACAGTATTCTACACCAGGAGACACAAACAGGTTACAGAGTACAATATTCTACACCAGGAGACACAAACAGGTTACAGAGTACAATATTCTACACCAGGAGACACGAACAGGTTACAGAGTACAGTATTCTACACCAGGAGACACAAACAGGTTACAGAGTACAGTATTCTACACCAGGAGACACAAACAGGTTACAGAGTACAGTATTCTACACCAGGAGACACAAACAGGTTACAGAGTACAGTATTCTACACAAGGAGACACAAACAGGTTACAGAGTACAATATTCTACACCAGGAGACACAAACAGGTTACAGAGTACAGTATTCTACACCAGGAGACACAAACAGGTTACAGAGTACAATCGTCTAAACCAGGAGACACAAGCAGGTTACAGAGTACAGTATTCTACACCAGGAGACACAAACAGGTTACAGAGTACAGTATTCTACACCAGGAGACACAAACAGGTTACAGAGTACAGTATTCTACACCAGGAGACACAAACAGGTTACAGAGTACAATATTCTACACCAGCAGACACAAAAAGGTTACAGAGTACAATATTCTACACCAGGAGACTCAAACAGGTTACAGAGTACAATATTCTACACCAGGAGACACAAACAGGTTACAGAGTACAGTATTCTACTCCAGCAGACACAAACAGGTTACAGAGTACAGTATTCTACACCAGGAGACACAAACAGGTTACAGAGTACAGTATTCTACACAAGGAGACACAAACAGGTTACAGAGTACAATATTCTACACCAGGAGACACAAACAGGTTACAGAGTAGAGTATTCTACACCAGGAGACATAAACAGGTTACAGAGTACAGTATTCTACACCAGGAGACACAAACAGGTTACAGAGTACAATATTCTACACCAGGAGACACAAACAGGTTACAGACTACAGTATTCTACACCAGGAGACACAAACAGGTTACAGAGTACAGTATTCTACACCAGGAGACACAAACAGGTTACAGAGTACAGTATTCTACACCAGGAGACACAAACAGGTTACAGAGTACAGTATACTACACCAGGAGACACAAACAGGTTACAGAGTACAATATTCTACACCAGCAGACACAAAAAGGTTACAGAGTACAATATTCTACACCAGGAGACTCAAACAGGTTACAGAGTACAATATTCTACACCAGGAGACACAAACAGGTTACAGAGTACAGTATTCTACTCCAGCAGACACAAACAGGTTACAGAGTACAGTATTCTACACCAGGAGACACAAACAGGTTACAGAGTACAGTATTCTACACCAGGAGACACAAACAGGTTACAGAGTACAATATTCTACACCAGGAGACACAAACAGGTTACAGAGTAGAGTATTCTACACCAGGAGACACAAACAGGTTACAGAGTACAGTATTCTACACCAGGAGACACAAACAGGTTACAGAGTACAGTATTCTACACCAGGAGACACAAACAGGTTACAGAGTACAGTATTCTACACCAGGAGACACAAACAGGTTACAGAGTACAGTATTCTACACCAGGAGACACAAACAGGTTACAGAGTACAGTATTCTACACCAGGAGACAGAAAGGGTTACAGAGTACAGTATTCTACACCAGGAGACACAAAGGGTTACAGAGTACAATATTCTACACCAGGAGACACAAACAGGTTACAGAGTACAGTATTCTACACCAGGAGACACAAACAGGTTACAGAGTACAGTATTCTACACCAGGAGACACAAACAGGTTACAGAGTACAGTATTCTACACCAGGAGACACAAACAGGTTACAGAGTACAGTATTCTACACCAGGAGACACAAACAATTACAGAGTACAGTATTCTACACCAGGAGACACAAACAGGTTACAGAGTACAATATTCTACACCAGGAGATACAAACAGGTTACAGAGTACAGTATACTACACCAGGAGACACAAACAGGTAACAGAGTACAGTATTCTACACCAGGAGACACAAACAGGTTACAGAGTACAGTATTCTACACCAGGAGACACAAACAGGTTACAGAGTACAATATTCTACACCAGGAGACACGAACAGGTTACAGAGTACAGTATTCTACACCAGGAGACACAAACAGGTTACAGAGTACAGTATTCTACACCAGGAGACACAAACAGGTTACAGAGTACAGTATTCTACACCAGGAGACACAAACAGGTTACAGAGTACAGTATTCTACACCAGGAGACATAAACAGGTTACAGAGTACAGTATTCTACACCAGGAGACACAAACAGGTTACAGAGTACAGTATTCTACACCAGGAGACACAAACAGGTTACAGAGTACAGTATTCTACACCAGGAGACATAAATATGTTACAGAGTCTAATATTTTACACCAGGAGACACAAACAGGTTACAGAGTACAGTATTCTACACCAGGAGACACAAACAGGTTACAGAGTAGAGTATTCTACAGCAGGAGACACAAACAGGTTACAGAGTACAATATTCTACACCAGGAAATACAAACAGGTTACAGAGTACAATATTCTACACCAGGAGACATAAACAGGTTACAGAGTACAGTATTCTACACCAGGAGACACAAACAGGTTACAGAGTACAGTATTTTACACCAGGAGACACAAACAGGTTACAGAGTACAGTATTCTACACCAGGAGACACAAACAGGTTACAGAGTACAGTATTCTACACCAGGAGACACAAACAGGTTACAGAGTACAATATTCTACACCAGGAGATACAAACAGGTTACAGAGTACAGTATACTACACCAGGAGACACAAACAGGTAACAGAGTACAGTATTCTACACCAGGAGACACAAACAGGTTACAGAGTACAGTATTCTACACCAGGAGACACAAACAGGTTACAGAGTACAATATTCTACACCAGGAGACACGAACAGGTTACAGAGTACAGTATTCTACACCAGGAGACACAAACAGGTTACAGAGTACAGTATTCTACACCAGGAGACACAAACAGGTTACAGAGTACAGTATTCTACACCAGGAGACACAAACAGGTTACAGAGTACAGTATTCTACACAAGGAGACACAAACAGGTTACAGAGTACAATATTCTACACCAGGAGACACAAACAGGTTACAGAGTACAGTATTCTACACCAGGAGACACAAACAATTACAGAGTACAGTATTCTACACCAGGAGACACAAACAGGTAACAGAGTACAGTATTCTACACCAGGAGACACAAACAGGTTACAGAGTACAGTATTCTACACCAGGAGACACAATCAGGTTACAGAGTACAGTATTCTACACCAGGAGACACAAACAATTACAGAGTACAGTATTCTACTCCAGGAGACACAAACAGGTTACAGAGTACAGTATTCTACACCAGGAGACACAAACAGGTTACAGTGTACAGTATTCTACACCAGCAGACATAAACAGGTTACAGAGTACAGTATTCTACACCAGGAAACACAAACAGGTTTCAGAGTAGAGTATTCTACACCAGCAGACACAAACAGGTTACAGAGTACAGTATTCTACACCAGGAGGCACAAACAGGTTACAGAGTACAGTATTCTACACCAGGAGACACAAACATGTTACAGAGTAGAGTATTCTACACCAGCAGACACAAACAGGTTACAGAGTACAGTATTCTACACCAGGAGACACAAACAGGTTACAGAGTACAGTATTCTACACCAGGAGACACAAACAGGTTACAGAGTACAGTATTCTACACCAGGAGACACAAACAGGTTACAGAGTACAGTATTCTACACCAGGAGACACAAACAGGTTACAGAGTACAGTATTCTACACCAGGAGACACAAACAGGTTAGAGAGTACAGTATTCTACACCAGGAGACAGAAACAGGTTACAGAGTACAATATTCTACACCAGGAGATACAAACAGGTTACAGAGTACAATATTCTACACCAGGAGACACAAACAGGTTACAGAGTACAGTATTCTACACCAGGAGACACAAACAGGTTACAGAGTACAGTATTCTACACCAGGAGACATAAACATGTTACAGAGTAGAGTATTCTACACCAGCAGACACAAACAGGTTACAGAGTACAGTATTCTACACAAGGAGACACAAACAGGTTACAGAGTACAATATTCTACACCAGGAGACACAAACAGGTTACAGAGTACAGTATTCTACACCAGGAGACACAAACAATTACAGAGTACAGTATTCTACACCAGGAGACACAAACAGGTAACAGAGTACAGTATTCTACACCAGGAGACACAAACAGGTTACAGAGTACAGTATTCTATACCAGGAGACACAATCAGGTTACAGAGTACAGTATTCTACACCAGGAGACACAAACAATTACAGAGTACAGTATTCTACTCCAGGAGACACAAACAGGTTACAGAGTACAGTATTCTACACCAGGAGACACAAACAGGTTACAGTGTACAGTATTCTACACCAGCAGACATAAACAGGTTACAGAGTACAGTATTCTACACCAGGAAACACAAACAGGTTTCAGAGTAGAGTATTCTACACCAGGAGACACAAACAGGTTACAGAGTACAGTATTCTACACCAGGAGGCACAAACAGGTTACAGAGTACAGTATTCTACACCAGGAGACACAAACATGTTACAGAGTAGAGTATTCTACACCAGCAGACACAAACAGGTTACAGAGTACAGTATTCTACACCAGGAGACACAAACAGGTTACAGAGTACAGTATTCTACACCAGGAGACACAAACAGGTTACAGAGTACAGTATTCTACACCAGGAGACACAAACAGGTTACAGAGTACAGTATTCTACACCAGGAGACACAAACAGGTTACAGAGTACAGTATTCTACACCAGGAGACACAAACAGGTTACAGAGTACAGTATTCTACACCAGGAGACAGAAACAGGTTACAGAGTACAATATTCTACACCAGGAGATACAAACAGGTTACAGAGTACAATATTCTACACCAGGAGACACAAACAGGTTACAGAGTACAGTATTCTACACCAGGAGACACAAACAGGTTACAGAGTACAGTATTCTACACCAGGAGACATAAACATGTTACAGAGTAGAGTATTCTACACCAGCAGACACAAACAGGTTACAGAGTACAGTATTCTACACCAGGAGACACAAACATGTTACAGAGTAGAGTATTCTACACCAGCAGACACAAACAGGTTACAGAGTACAGTATTCTACACCAGGAGACACAAACAGGTTACAGAGTACAGTATTCTACACCAGGAGACACAAACAGGTTACAGAGTACAGTATTCTACACCAGGAGACACAAACAGGTTACAGAGTACAGTATTCTACACCAGGAGACACAAACAGGTTACAGAGTACAGTATTCTACACCAGGAGACACAAACAGGTTACAGAGTACAGTATTCTTCACCAGGAGACACAAACAGGTTACAGAGTACAGTATTCTACACCAGGAGACACAAACAGGTTACAGAGTACAGTATTCTACACCAGGAGACACAAACAGGTTACAGAGTACAGTATTCTACACCAGGAGACACAAACAGGTTACAGAGTACAATATTCTACCCCAGGACATGCAAACAGGTTACAGAGTACAGTATTGTACACTAACGTGTGGTTTTGATTAAATGTTCGGGTTTATTAATCAAATCTACATTTAACTAAACTGAGTAATCAGTTGTTTATCTCCGGAGTGATTAGGAAGAACTCACGTAAAGCAACAGCTAACTATATTACCTTTCATTTAAACCCATGACTCTTCTCTGCTTGAATACTTCGGGGACAAAGGTTTTAATCCTGTCCCAGATTTTGTTGGCCTCTAGTTCTGAGTCCCAGATATGTCGTGAACTGTTTCTGATGTCTGTCCTTGTCACCCTGGAGAGAGAAAAATGACAGTTACCTCCCCTGACTCACAGGTTACCTCCCCTGACTTACATGCATATGTTAGATATCTTCACATACACAGATTACCTCTCTGGTGCACAGATTGAGCGTATAGGGTCTATTAAAAACCCTTAAGGAAAATTACACAGAGTTGTCTCCCCTGACAACTCTTTCTGGCATGTATATTCAAAACAAAACATGACAAAGGATAAATATGCTGCATTTGTTTCTGAAAAACAATCACTTAATCTTTGTATCCTTTCATTAGATTACCTGTATTGAATTAATATTTATTCACCGACAAAGGAAAGGCGAATCATAGAAACATATAGAGAAGTATGTACATTAAGAAGAGATGTTTCCAATGTGTACCATTTATTTTTTTTCATTTTTTTTTTTATCCCATTTTCATCATATTTTACATTTCAATATCATACATAGAGAGTGCATGGATTTATTGTGACATTATTGGCATGTTTGTAGCATGGACAGATCAGATATCATAGTTATACAGAGTCTCTAAATAATACTTGCATGGAAACTTGCATAATTACAATTTGAAATTGCAATACATTTTGTAATTTCATAATATTGAAGTATTTCTTTTTGAATTAGTAAAAAGATTGGTTTGACTTATTTTCTATTAACTGTGTACAGCATAGATTTTGTTACCATAATTACTGCATTGAGTGAATTGTTATTCTTCCCTTTAAATCCAAACAGTATGTGTTCATTATTAAAATTAACTCTGCCTTCTGTATAGTTTCCAAGCCAATCTGAAAGTTTCGTCCATATATCAGCAGCATAGTGACAATTACATAATACATGAGTAATTGTTTCAGATGGTTCATTACATAATGAGCAAACTGGCGATTCAACATATCCAATTTTAAATAAATAAACAGTTAGTACCCAGCTAGTTGGGTTTAACGCCGCTTTTAACAGTATTCCAGTTATATCGCAGTGTCAGTTTAATGTGGGAGGAAAGCCCAAAGTGATGCAGGTCCCAGACGTTTACCACTTCGTTGAAACCCAGGAGCACAGGTATGGTGCTGACAAACCTAGAAACATAATTGGACGAACCGGGATTCAAACCCACAATAATAGGTTTCTGGCGTGTCCAAGGGACGCAACTCTGCACAGCGAATCGCGGCACCTTAGACGACTGGGCCACCCGTGCTCCCTTTCTCTGTATGAACTCAAACAGTTCATGCCTTCTATGTCAAAGATGACCAGACTTGGTAAGAATCCTTGTTTATCTGGACAAGTTCAACTATTTATATATATATTTAATGTGGGGATAAGTCAATGGGGAGTAGTGCACTTCACCAGGCGCACAATTTCAGATCCAATTAGGGCTGTTGGGGCTTGAACGCGTTTTGCCGGCTCACTGGCTTGGCTAATTAATGCGTTAATTAGCTGACGCTCTACCACTGGACCACGAGTGCTATCACATGTACTTAGTGCTCGTTTACGGGTCATTAGCACCCCATTAACACGCATGCGTAATTCAGTAAACAATGAATTGCGCATGCGTGTCACGGTCCGCTCTCCCATTCATCTTTTCTTGAAACCACACCCGCAGTTGTTTATGTCAACATGACCGACCAATCTAATTAACCGGATTAATGCTTGAAAAGGTAAGAATTTATGGCTAACCCTTTCCCAAACAAGCTAACCCTAAGGACCGAAAAGGGGTGTTGAATCGTAAAGACGTGTAAGTTTCCCTAAGACCAAAAAGGGGTGTTGGAGCGTAACAACGAGTAAGTTTCCCTAAGACCGAAAAGGGGTGTTGGATCGTCAAGGTGTGTAAGTTTCCCTAAGACCGAAAAGGGGTGTTGGATCGTAAAGATGTGTAAGTTTCCCTAAGACCGAAAAGAGGTGTTGGATCGTCAAGGTGTGTAAGTTTCCCTAAGACCGAAAAGAGGCGTTGGATTGTAAAGACGTGTAAGTTTCCCTAAGACCAAAAAGGGGTGTTGGATCGTAAAGACGCATACGTTTCCCTAAGACCGAAAAGAGGTGTTGGATCGTAAAGACGCATACATTTCCCTAAGACCGAAAAGGGGTGTTGGATCGTAAAGACGAGTAAGTTTCCCTAAGACCGAATAGGGGTGTTGGAGCGTAAAGACGCATACATTTCCCTAAGACCGAAAAGAGGTGTTGGATCGTAGCGATGTGTAAGTTTCCCTAAGACCGAAAAGTGGCGTTGGATTGTAAAGACGTGTAAGTTTCCCTAAGACCAAAAAGGGGTGTTGGATCGTAAAGACGCATACGTTTCCCTAAGACCGAAAAGAGGTGTTGGATCGTAAAGACGCATACATTTCCCTAAGACCGAAAAGAGGTGTTGGATCATAAAGACGCATATGTTTCCCCAAGTCCGAAAAGAGGTGTTGGATCATAAAGACGCATATGTTTCCCCAAGACCGAAAAGAGGTGCTGGATCATAAAGACGTGTAAGTTTCCCTAAGACCAAAAAGGGGTGATGGATCATGAAGTGAGAGTCACCGGAGTGTGAGACACAGTAAAGGTATAGCAAGACAACAGTGGCACTATAGCGTGGTAATTGAGAGGATGGTATAGCTCAGGCTGTGCCCAGTAAACTGCATTGTTGCCAGTCAATGTGCAGATATGTATAATATTTTTCCAGTCAACGTGTTATTAAAACCTTAACTTAAAAAACTTTAAATCATTTGTTATGTTTGACCTCAATGAACTTGATGATGAACATTTCATATTTGGTTTTCTGTTTCCTTTTGTGATGGGAGGTGCTTCCAAACACCACAAACAAATGTTACTTGTAAATACATGTCAGTCAGTCACACACAAGCACTGTCTACCACTAATGACACTCCAAAAAGGTATTTTACATCAGTGAAGTTCTACACGAACAGACCCAAGAGAAGGGACTAGAAGAGAAGAATATTAATTAACATCTACCGTACATATTATCAAAAAGGTTTTATGTCCTTGTGAGGCATTTAGAAGGTGGAACAGTAATGTTTTTATGGGTATCTATTATCTAGCAAAACCAAACATGGTTAAGATTTTAAGATAGGAAAAAACTTAAATATTTACATTTAGCATGTTTAGTAGAAGTGACAAGGGATTAGCTATGTACTGAATCATTATTGCTTTAAGCTGTCAGTTTGGCTGTTTATCTAAGCCGTAACTTCACGTACAGCCATAATATGTTATAAACAGGTGAAAACATATACAAATGTACAAGTTTAAAATTCCCCGCATCCATGAGGCACTAGATACACAGTTTCATCAATCATTCATTAATACACGACAGCAAGACAGCATGTGATAGAGGGTTTTCATTTGACATTAGAGAGATGTATTTCTGTACATTAGTTAAACAAGTTAAATATTCAACAATAGTCACGGAGATATATAATGTTTTCTCAGCACAAAAAAATAGCTAGCAGACAATCATACATTTGACACGATTAGTAGTTATTTTCACTCGAACATATAATCTCCCCTTATTCACAAGGAAGATATTTTCACACTGACATTTCCCCCAGAATGTTGTTTGTTTCATGGCTGTTTAACGCCACACTCAGCAATATTCCAGCTATATGACAAGGATCTATAAATAATCAAGTCTGGACCAGACAATCCAGTGACTGACATCATAAGCATCAATCCACGCAATTGGGATACGATGACATGCATCTACCAAGTAGGTGAGCCTGATCGCCCGATCCCGTTAGTTGCCTCTTACGACAAGCATAGTCACTTTTTAAGCAGGGGTTGCTGAAGACCTATTCTACCCCGGATCTTACGGAAAGCAGGGGTTGCTGAAGACCTATTCTACCCCGGATCTTTACAGCAAGCATGGGTTGCTGAAGACCTATTCTACCCCGGATCTTACGGAAAGCAGGGGTTGCTGAAGACCTATTCCACGCCGGATCTTCACGGCAAGCATGGGTTGCTGAAGACCTATTCTATCCCGGATCTTTACGACAAGCAGGGGTTGCTGAAGACCTATTCTTTCCTGATCTTACGGCAAGCAGGGGTTGTTGAAGACCTATTCCACCCCGGATCTTCACGGCAAGCATGGGTTGCTGAAGACCTATTCTATCCCGGATCTTTACGGCAAGCATGGGTTGCTGAAGACCTATTCTACCCCGGATCTTACGGAAAGCAGGGGTTGCTGAAGACCTATTCTACCCCGGATCTTACGGAAAGCATGGGTTGCTGAAGACCTATTCTATCCCGGATCTTAGGGCAAGCAGGGGTTGCTGATGACCTATTCTACTCGGATCTTACGGCAAGCAGGGGTTGCTGAAGACCTATTCCACCCCGGATCTTTACGGCAAGCATGGGTTGCTGATGACCTATTCTACCCCGGATCTTACTGAAAGCAGGGGTTGCTGAAGACCTATTCTACCCCGGATCTTACGGAAAGCAGGGGTTGCTGAAGACCTATTCCACGCCGGATCTTCACGGCAAGCATGGGTTGCTGAAGACCTATTCTATCCCGGATCTTTACGACAAGCAGGGGTTGCTGAAGACCTATTCTATCCCGGATCTTACGGCAAGCAGGGGTTGCTGAAGACCTATTCCACCCCGGATCTTCACGGCAAGCATGGGTTGCTGAAGACCTATTCTATCCCGGATCTTTACGGCAAGCATGGGTTGCTGAAGACCTATTCCACCCCGGATCTTTACGGCAAGCATGGGTTGCTGATGACCTATTCTACCCCGGATCTTACGGAAAGCAGGGGTTGCTGAAGACCTATTCTACCCCGGATCTTACGCAAAGCAGGGGTTGCTGAAGACCTATTCTATCCCGGATCTTACGGCAAGCAGGGGTTGCTGAAGAACTATTCTACCCCGGATCTTACGGAAAGCATGGGTTGCTGAAGACCTATTCTACCCCGGATCTTACGGAAAGCAGGGGTTGCTGAAGACCTATTCTACCCCGGATCTTACGGCAAGCATGGGTTGCTGATGACCTATTCTACCCAGGATCTTACGGAAAGCAGGGGTTGCTGAAGACCTATTCTACCCCGGATCTTACGCAAAGCAGGGGTTGCTGAAGACCTATTCTATCCCGGATCTTACGGCAAGCAGGGGTTGCTGAAGAACTATTCTACCCCGGATCTTACGGAAAGCAGGGGTTGCTGAAGACCTATTCTACCCCGGATCTTACGGAAAGCAGGGGTTGCTGAAGACCTATTCTACCCCGGATCTTACGGCAAGCAGGGGTTGCTGAAGACCTATTCTACCCCGGATCTTACGGAAAGCAGGGGTTGCTGAAGACCTATTCTACCCCGGATCTTACGGCAAGCAGGGGTTGCTGAAGACCTTTTCTACCCCGTATCTCCACAGACCCCCAGGATGCAGTGTGTTAACCAACGTACTGTCCAATCCCTGTGTTGACCTGGGCCAGCTCGTACCCCTTCCTCTCCGTCTCCGCGATGTACCACTCACACTCCTGCAAAAACAACAAACATGAGGAGTACATACATACCCAGCCCAATGTACAAGTTAGTAGTATTTAGTTTACAGATTCATATTGTAAAACCACACATTTCATGGTAAGAACAAACATTAAAATACAAATTCATCTACTATTACGAGAACATCTCTTCTCAGATATGATTCATATCGTCATGTCACTTTTGGTTTACAGCTGATATCATTACATCAGTAATATCACTGATATCATCACAACATAACTTCTCAGTTATCATTGATATGACAACATCAATTGCTACTCGCACATCACTAACTTCATCACAACATCACCAGTTTCATCACAACATCACTAATTCATCACAACATCACCAGTTTCATCACAACATCACTAATTTCATCACAACATCACCAGTTTCATCACAACATCACTAGTTTCATCACAACATCACTTATTTCATCACAACATCACTACTTTCATCACATCACTAATTTCATCACAACATCACTAATTTCATCACATCACTAGTTTCATCACAACATCACCAATTTCATCACAACATCACCAGTTTCATCACAACATCACTAATTTCATCACAACATCACTAGTTTCATCACAACATCACCAGTTTCATCACAACATCACCAGTTTCATCACAACATCACTAATTTCATCACATCACTAGTTTCATCACAACATCACCAATTTCATCACAACATCACCAGTTTCATCACAACATCACTAATTTCATCACAACATCACTAATTTCATCACAACATCACTAGTTTCATCACAACATCACCAGTTTCATCACAACATCACCAGTTTCATCACAACATCACTAATTTCATCACATCACTAGTTTCATCACAACATCACCAATTTCATCACAACATCACCAGTTTCATCACAACATCACTAATTTCATCACATCACTAGTTTCATCACAACATCACCAATTTCATCACAACATCACCAGTTTCATCACAACATCACTAATTTCATCACAACATCACTTATTTCAACTCAACATCGCTAGACCTGTGAAGACCAGGGTTAGAATAGGTCTTCAAAAACATGCTTGTCGTAAGAGGCGACAAACAGGATCGGGTGGTCAGACTCGCTGACTCCAATTGCGTGGATCGATGCTTGTGATATCAATCATTGGTCTGTCTGGTCCAGACTCGATTTTTTACAGGCAACCGTCTGGAGTATTGCTGAGGGCAGTGTTAAACAACAAACAAACACAACATCACTAGGCTATCATCACAACATATATATGACTATTGCATCATCACATTCTAGACACGCTACCTCTGGTGTGAGGACATTTTCCAGGACAAACGCAAGTTTGTGCTTTGAGTCTTCTGGAAGATCGAGTTTCTTGTACACAATCTCTGACTTGTCACTCATCCTGATCTGGATATAGGAAAAAAATATAATTATGGACATTCTACATTTTCTATATACTTTCTTCTGTTGTTCCTGACAATTTAAAGGCAGCGAGTTTGATTTGGATCAGGATGGACACGACTGTGACGTCATATCTTTTGCGTCACAATAAGCGTTATGTCATCATAACGGTGATGTGCGACGTCAATCTCATTAAAATTTGACCTTAGTTCTCGCTACTGCTAAACAAAGATCTGAAGACATCCCATTAGGGGTCACGTCAGAACGACCTTTCATCTGACCAATCAGTACGTCGCTTACCAGATTATGAAAGTGACAGTCGGAATGTGATTTCTAGTCATGCAATCTCGAAAACTTTAACATGGTGTATTCCGAACGATATAGTTACGGGTTTAACGACTGAATCCTTACAATCTAGACCATCTAGTTGCCATTCAAGAATGTTTTTTTGTTCAGGTTTCAAATTTGTAATCGAGAATTTGTCAAAATATGTTTTGAAGCGTAGTCGCCAATTTGAAATTTGTGCCGTAAAGCACGAGAAACTGCCTTCTGATTGGTCATTCCATTGGTCGGTCAAAGTTCGCGCAAGGTCAGCCTGACGTGACCCGTAATGGGATGTCCACAGATCTTTGTTCAGCAGAAGCGAGAACAAAGATCTGATTTTAATGAGATTGGTGCCACGTAGAACTAAAGCTTTACAAAGCTTGTTTAGTTTTCTTTAGGGGTGCCCGCCTCATGTTAGCTTTCCAAAGTGCCTATATGCCTTCAATGCCTGTCATACCTGTGAGTGCAGTATAATGGTGTAAACAAACTGTTTGAGCATGTACAGCGCCTTATTTTGTTTCCAGGCTGTTGTTGGTGATTCCATAATTCAGATCAACAACACTCTCAAAACACTGAACTGCTTCACTCAATATATTTCCAAACACCAAGGAGTGCATGTTTTATTTAGTCATGGTAGAATGGAGATATACATACTGTGTTTTCAATGTAGTGCAAGGTTACCCGTAGATTTAACCGCGCTAAATTTAACACTGCACATTTGGTTCCAAATTCAGTTTTGCACAGTTAAATCTACAGGTAACCTTACTCTACATTGAAAACACAGTATGTATATCTCCTAATAGTCTCGCTTGTACAGATAAAACATATTGTAGGCCAAGTAAAACCAAGATGGGATAGAGTGTACACAACCAATCACAACCTATTTATGAGAGAAGTAAGAAATGTAGCTATAAACACATCGATACAAAAATATCCCCTAAACTTCCACTATAAACAACATGCTAAAAAGTTCCAAATTAAAAACCAAAAGAAAAAATAAACACACACTAGAAACGACGTCATTGCTGAAGATTGGATTATGGAAACTCGTCTGTGTGTGTAGACATGTAATAAATATATAATAAATAGAACATTATGTTCGTGTCCATGTCATACTAAGTTTACGTCACTTGTGGATAAATTCCGGTATTTCTCTAGCGAAACCAGAATTAAGACACTCTTGTCGTAAACAAGAACACTCATATAATATCCTTGCTAACATCCTGGTATAGATCTGCAGTTGAAGACTTAGGTACAGGGCATGGAAGCGTAACAATAAGTTTACAGAGTCAGTGATAGGACAACTCAAGTGGCGTTATACGTAACACAAAGCAAACAAATTCTACATATTCATTGAAACTTGTCTATTCCTATTAATGTTTAATGTTTCAAATTATTTATTTTCACTTGGTACAGATTCGCTTTTTTGTGTACGAGTCATCCAGTTGATTAGGTACGAGTGGGTACAGTTTGTCCAACACTTGGGTACGAGTCATCCAGTTGATTAGGTATGAGTGGGTACGGGTATCCAACACTTGGGTACGAGTCATCCAGTTGATTAGGAACGAGTGGGTACGGTTTGTCCAACACTTGGGTACGAGTCATCAAGTTGATTAGGTACGAGTGGGTACGGGTATCCAACACTTTTGTACGAGTCATCCAGTTGATTAGGAACGAGTGGGTACAGGTTGCCCAACACTTGGGTACGAGTCATCCAGTTGATTAGGTACGAGTGGGTACGGTTTGTCCAACACTTGGGTACGAGTCATCCAGTTGATTAGGAACGAGTGGGTACGGGTATCCAACACTTTTGTACGAGTCATCCAGTTGATTAGGAACGAGTGGTTACGGGTTGTCCAACACTTGGGTCCGAGTCATCCAGTTGGTTAGGAACGAGTGGGTACGGTTTGTCCAACACTTGGGTACGAGTCATCCAGTTGATTAGGAACGAGTGGGTACGGGTATCCAACACTTGGGTACGAGTCATCCAGTTGATTAGGAACGAGTGGGTAGGGGTTGTCCAACACTTGGGTCCGAGTCATCCAGTTGATTAGGAACGAGTGGGTACGGTTTGTCCAACACTTGGGTACGAGTCATCAAGTTGATTAGGTACGAGTGGGTACGGGTATCCAACACTTTTGTACGAGTCATCCAGTTGATTAGGAACGAGTGGGTACAGGTTGCCCAACACTTGGGTACGAGTCATCCAGTTGATTAGGAACAAGTGAGTACGGGTTGTACAACACTTGGGTACGAGTCATCCAGTTGATTAGGTACGAGTGGGTACGGCTTATCCAACACTTGGGTACGAGTCATCCAGTTGATTAGGAACAAGTGGGTACGGCTTATCCAACACTTGGGTACGAGTCATCCAGTTGATTAGGAACAACTGGGTACGGCTTATCCAACACTTGGGTACGAGTCATCCAGTTGATTAGGAACAACTGGGTACGGCTTATCCAACACTTGGGTACGAGTCATCCAGTTGATTAGGAACAAGTAGGTACGGGTTGTCCAACATGTGGGTACGAGTCATCCAGTTGATTAGGAACGAGCGGGTACGGGTATCCAACACTTGTGTACGAGTCATCCAGTTGATTAGGAACAAGTGGGTACGGCTTATCCAACACTTGGGTACGAGTCATCCAGTTGATTAGGTACGAGTGGGTACGGATTGTCCAACACTTGGGTACGAGTCCGCCCAAACAGTTTGGGTAAGGATTGTCCGTGCAGTCACCACCCAGCTAACACGAAAATGTTATAAAAAACCTCCTTAAAACAGTTTACCAACCGTTCCGGGAATGTTTAAAAAAATGTTTTCTTCACGTGACTTTGTATGGTTCCAGAAATGTTTTAAAAACATTTTCCGGAAACATTTGGTTTAAACGTTTCAAAAATGTTTTTGTAAAATATTGCAGAAATGCTTTTGGAAACGTTTTATTCATTTGATATTGTATGGTTCCAGAAACGATTTAGAAACATTTTCTGTGAACATCTGATCATAACGATTCTAACATGTTTCTGTAAAATATTCCAGAAATGCTTTTGGAAATGTTTTATTCGCCTGAATTTGTATGGCTCCGGAAACGTTTAAGGAACGTTTTCTGTGAACATTTGGTTATAACGTTTCTAAAATGTTTTGAAAAGAAACCAGGGCGTTGGAAAAGCAGTTATGCTGCCAATGTTCAAAACGTACAACACCCACTCACTGGTAACAAGATGCAAATGATGAGGACAACTAGTCAGGGACAGTACACCCTTCAGCCATGATGTCTTCAACATTCAGTCAACAAAGAGCTTCAAGACTCAGTTCTGTGGACATTTTAATATTTCTAGAAAACTTTTACATCTTTCTAAATTATTGATTGTCAGAATCTTCTTTCATTGGTCCACTTGATCCACTTTTCTGAAACAAAAACACATTCTGAATAAATCTAATGCAGTCATTAATATATATATAGTATAGATACATCCAACTGAAGAGACAATATTCCATTTAAGATAAGTTTTATCAGTAATCTTACATTCACCTATTTGTAGGTGTTTGGTGGAAACATATTTTAATATTCATTCAGAGACAGATAAAGTCTTGTGGTAACTGTAATAGTATAACAGTATCATGCATCACTTGACACCAGGAACACCAGGAACACCCAAACCAACTCAACACTCTGTGGCTGAGTGCAGATACAAATCCAATTCTTAGCATTAATTTAAAGCCACAAAACCATCAAAAGATACTTGATGTAGTAGCTCATGGTATTTAACAACAGTTTCTGCACTAACGTTTGCATCATTTTCAGTCTCTGGTGTATTCCTCAATACAAGTGCAAGTCCATGCGCAGCTACAAGTATTATCATAGTTGTCTACACCACGGCCTTTATGCATTGTGAACTTCATTTCAATGCCCTATTTAATAATGCGGATATAACTAACAATGGATTGCAACTACAGATCATGGTTGAAAAGAACTTGGTATCAAACAAACCGTGACATTACCATAACGGTTGTATTCGCCAACTTAAGTACAACAGTGTCCCTCTGTATTTCTACACAACTCGATATGCTGACCTCTTGACTACGCTATAAATACACGTTACGCTCTGCATTCAACATGGGTAAAAGTCATTCATTGCTGATGTGAATTTGATGACTGTTCAAGTATATGCACATTGAAGTTTTCACTTCGATCATTACGTATTGTGTAGGTTGGTGTCTGGTGCAGCTGTTCGGCTTTCAGGAATGTTATTGCCTAATCCCCTCTGCCACCGAGGCTTCCACAACAATGATAATCCGACAACTGGTAGTCTTTGGGCACGTTGCAAGCCATGAATCGCTTAGAGAAAGCAAATTAATTGCTGCAACAGGTCGAGGCGCATGCGCACTCTTCCAAAATGGCAGCGCAACTACCACTTGGTTGTCTTGACGAAGAAGAACATAACAAAAGAGACTTGATGAAAGCTGATGAAATTTATGACTACTTTGATGATGTGGAGCAGACTGAGGATGATGGGATGTTAGCTACCTTTGCTCATTTCCTCGTTAATCCAGTCAAGAATCTCTTGCTCCGCTGTCAAAGTCAGCCGCCATTTTGGTTTGAGAACGAAGCATCCTCAGCCAGCGATTGTTTTGCTTGCAAGCGGCTAAACGTTAGCACACTGTTGTAAGGCAAATCACAGCTTGCAAGCAGTTCGCACTTTGCAAAGCACCCCTAGATCACGTACTTTGTGTACCCCTCTGACAAGTGTAAATTTGCACGGCTCCAATGGCCGAAGGCAATGAATACACAATGACATTTAGAAGGTGGTCAAATGTAACAAATGTTATATTTACACAATGCCATTTAGATACTGCTTAGATAAGTGGATACTGGTTTTGAAAATGAACTTACCCCCTTCGACGATCCAGCTCTTGCTGCACAATGTCACTTGCATGTAGAGTAAACTTGAACTGATGATGGCGGGTGCCAAATATGACGTAATAATGTGATGTCATTCTGAAGTCATTTCACGAGACAAATGGCAGTTTGTCACGACATTTTTTCAATTGTTTTCGAAACGCTTTTTAAAATTTTTGTGGTAATTTTCAAAAACGTTTTAAGACATTTTAATAACTAGTCATGAAAATAATTAAATGTGAGAGAATGCGTCTTTGACCATAGATCTATATTTATTCACTTCTCAACGGTGTCTCTCGCACGCCCCTGCAAATTATGCGCGACTAATTGTAATTGCGTGTGACACTATTTGTGATCAGCAACAAACAAATCATGTGAAGTTTTGTCTTACTCATATCTGCTATATTTTCTTTAGACATTTAGTCTACAGATTAAACTGTAACTGTTGTGAAAATGTTCTATTACTGTATTTCCAATACACAGCATTATGAAAACAGAGTGTGCCAGCTGGCGAACTTGTGTCCAACTAAAGGCTGTTGGGGTCGTTATCAGTACTCACATGGCGATAATATTTCATGAATTTTTTTTTCCAGCATAACATTTCTGCAATGTGTTTAAAACATTGCAATAACATTTTATGAAACAGTATCTCCTATGTTACAACATGATGTTCTTGAAAAACAATTTAAAAACATTTCAATAACATTTTGAATAATTATAAAACATTTACACCTTATTCGGATGATTTTACATATGTGTGCACGATGTATTTAAAACATGATGATAACATTTCATTAAATATGTTCTGGCAAAACATTTCTGCAACGTGTTGAAAACATTGTAATAACATGTTATGATTGGTTGGTTGGTTGGTTGGTTGTTTAACGCCTCACTCAGCAATATGCCAGCTATATGACGGCGGTCTGTAAATAATCTGGACCAGACAATCCAGTGATTAATATCATGAACACCAATCCACACAATGTGGGATCGATGACATGCATCAACCAAGTCAGTGAGCCTGACCACCCGATCCCGTTAGTCGCCTCTTACGACAAGCATTGTTGCCTTTTATGGCAAGCATGGGTTGCTGAAGACCTATCCTACCCCGGATCTTCACGGGTCTATAACATGTTATGATATAGTTTCGCCTATGTTATAGCATTATATGTTCTTGAATAACATTTTGAAAACATTTCAATAACATTTTGAATAGTTCTAAAACATTTCTAAAACGTTAATAAAATGTTTTGACGAAAAGTTTTTGAAAAAACTACAATGAAACCTTTCGGAAATGTTTTGAAAATGTTATGTGTTAGCTGGGCGTCTCACTATACATAACCAAACAGTCAAACGGGCGCGGAACCTCCAATGTTGACAAGTCAGGACGCGAAACATGACATGATATCTCAACCTGGGGATTGTGTCATGCCTTGTCATGTTTGTGTCAATTTGCCGCAGAGCATACAAACACATACTCACCAGTTGTGTGTCACTGCCTTCTGAGACGGTAAAATACGTCCACCGTCAATGTGTGCCTGTCATTACTTCCTATTTGCTGAGGAAATCCCAAAACCTATTTTTAGTATAATACGCACAAAATATTTTAGACCATTTGATTGGTCCATGTGGCCGGCAGCCAGTCAGCCAGCCATGCTGAGTCACCACTACGCCGGAGTGTGGTATAAAACGTCACGGGAAGGGTGCGAAGCAAATAATAATACATATCTATTTTTGAAACAAAATAGAACATTATTACGCCGAAACACAAATTGATAAATATTTTTCGGTTGCGAGTGATAATATGAATAATAGTATCATGGGGTGGGACTGCATACATACGTTGTTCGGCACGTGACACCAACAGACGATGACAGATGAAGCGTTTTGGTGTTGGCCGTCCTCAGAACTGATACAGGTTGTACCTCGGCCACACCGTAGCCGGGTCAAAATAATATATATAGGTTCATGAACCTACCTGTCATATCATTCAAATATTAAATGTTTCGCTTTTCTAAATGTCTGAAAATACGTATTTTATTTCAAATTAATTATTTTATCGATAAATTTGAAAAAGATTGACATGTTTCATACATACCCGTTGTGATATTTTTCCAATATCATTTCCTGAAATGGTTAAAGCGGAATTTAAAGACCTTTTAAACAAATCGTAAATAAATTGAAATAATGTAATAAATAAGATCAACAAACAAATTTATAAAAATGGTCAAACTAACATCTGAGTTACTATTTATTTTCGTACGATCGTGTAATGTAAGTCAAATGACATCTCAGCATTTGTCGCCTCGTTTTTTAGTCTCGGACACGATGTTCAATGCCAAAATATATGTATGCCAACAGACGTTGACAGATGAAGTGTTTTATGCTTGCCGTCCTAAGAACTGGTACAGTTTGTTCCTATGTGTCCTCGACAGATTTAGACATGGTGTCACAGCCAGACGAGGCGCGGGACGCCCATCATGCATATTCGTGAACCTCCCCACCCCAGGCCGAGGGACGCTCATCATGCATACTCGTGAACCTCCCCACCCCAGGCCCAGGGACGCTCATCATGCATACTCGTGAACCTCCCCACCCCAGGCCCAGGGACGCTCATCATGCATACTCTTGAACCTCTCCACCCCAGGCCCAGGGACGCTCATCATGCATACTCGTGAACCTCCCCACTCCAGGCGAAATTTGATACTCGAATTTCGCTAAACATAATCCCGTGGATGAAGCAGATGTCCAACTGAAACTAATCAAATATCATCATTTTACTAATTATTTTCGGGATTAGTGGATCTAATCCGTTAAGCCCCTGTATGAGGGAGTGTAGTCCTTCGCTATGACTGTGGAATTTATAAACTGGTATATATATACTCAACAACAAACGTTCCCGTGACACCAATATTTTAGTGTATTTTTCAAACAAGTAAAGTTTGGTTTTCAATATTGTAGTACGTGTATGGAATCAAGTCACAAAAACGCAGCTGCTACAGAAAAGCATGCATTCCATGCAAAAGTTGACTTTTATGCAAGCCCCATGCATTTCACTACCCAAATATGGGTATAAAAACATGTGCGTTAACGGGATTCCATATTTCCATTTGCATTGTTTAGCATTGTGCTGACAACAACCACTCAGAAAAACAACAAAATTACGCAATTATTCAACATTACGAAATGCCGCCTATCCGAAAATGTGCGTCTGGGGGCATTGGTATGCTTGAAGCAGGATCGAGTCAACGTGATGTTGCAAGACAATTTAACGTCCACAGAAACACCATTTGGTGTTTATGGCAACGTTGGCAACAGACGAATGCAGTCAGAGACCATCCTCGGAGTGGCAGGCCACGCGTAACCAATAATCGACAAGACAACTGGATTCGAACAACACACTTACGAACTCGATTCCAGCCAGCAACAGTGACTGCAAGAAGCATCCCTGGCCTTCGACGAATATCTTCACAAACCGTACGTCGTCGCCTCAGATGTGCAGGGATTGTCACCAAAAGACCCACCAGACGTCCCATTTTGACAGGAAACCACCGTCAAGCACGTCTACAGTGGTGCAGACAGCATTTGTTTTTGGGGTGGGGTTGTGTGTGCTTGTGCGTGTGCGTGTGCGTGCGCGTGCGTGTGCGTGTGCGTGTTGGTGTTGAAAACAGGTGTGTGTAGTTGGTTTTACGTCTGTAACACCATAAACGCAACACATATTGAAGTCAACTATTAAAAATAAATATGTAATAATAATATCTTATATATAATATATGTCCGACATTAAGCCCCATTTCACCTCACTATATACTCCCCTGGTGAGATTACACGGAGTTCCCTAATTTCCACGTTTCTACGTGTAAATTCTTGCCCCAGTTGAAACAACGGTAGAATAACCATCTACACTCTTCAAAAAAAAAGAAACGCAGCAGTAGATTTTCAGAAAATTTATTGTACCTAATAAAGCCGATATATTTAATTTAATATCATAGACACAAATATGACATTTTGGAGCTCGATAGTCACATGTCGTTGTACAAAGGCACTGAAAACTGTTCATTGTCATGTCACATAAGTCACAAGGTGGCGCTGAACTCAGTATCCCCTGTGACCGTGTAGACGTTCATCTACGATTGGGTTGAGATCCGGAGATCTCGACGGTCAGCACAAGACGTTGATGTTGACATTATGAAGGTACTCTACCGTGACACGAGCTGTGTGCGAGCATTGTGTGGAGCGTTGTTCTGTCAAAACAGCTCGCTCTGGCGGTCAATGATTGGAAGTAGATGATGTTGAAGAGTTTAATTCATGTAGCGATTTGCTGTCAAATTTTCCTGAACCACAACCAAGTCAGACCCCCCCCCCCCCCCCCCCCCCCACACACACACACACACACACACACACACCATGACACTACTGCTACCGAATTTGTCGAATTCACGTACACAATGTGGGGCAAAACGCTCATTCCGACGACAATAAACACATTGTTTTCCATCTCACCGGTGAAGAAGAAATCGTGATTCATCGCTGAACCACACTCGTCTCCAGTTTCTCAAATTCCAAGGCTGCATGTAAGGTATGGCACAAACGCAAGCGTCGCTGTCGATGCATCTGTTGCAAAACAGGGACGATAACTGGTCTTCTGGGTCGGATTCCAGCCTCGCAAAGATGGTTCCTGGCAGTCTGGTCCGATATCCTCCTCAAACCAGGGATGCGTCCTGCAGACTCCGTAGCTGTGGCATTGCGATGAAGTAGATGGAACAGTCGAATGTAGCGATCCTGTGCAGGGGTGGTAACTCTTGGTCGGCCGGTTCTCGGACGGTCCGCAGTGGAATTGAACTGTGTGTACTGGTCACAAAGGCGGCACATGGTGCTGTGGTGGACGTTGAAGTGGCGTGCAACAGAAGACTGCGATTCACCTCTTTGGATACGTCCTACTGCGATGTACCGATCGGCAGCGCTGAGTCTTGGCATTTTCGAACTTCAAAAATGTTGACAATTGAATGACACATTACCGGCTTGTGCTTGCCTTTTTATAGCCACTACCACGAGTTATGGCATTCGTAACTTGCACGTGCATTTTGCTTTACTGTTTTCCTCCATGATATTTTTGAACAAGTGGGAAAACAGTGCCGTTTAAGACATTGCAAATCGACAATGCCTGCGTTTTGACGCACCTTTTGTCGAATATCAGACCACCAACATTTTCCAATAACATATATCCAATTTATATACCGAATTTTTTGTGTAGTCAGGTTCAATAAACTACATACTACTTTCTTTTTTTGAAGAGTGTAAAATATTATCCTCACTGTACATGACAGTTGTGCACCCACCCATACCCAGAGCCGATACCCGGGTAGATAAGGAGGCGATACCCGGGTAGATAAGGAGGCTATACCCGGGTAGATAAGGAGGCTATGCCCGGGTAGATAAGGAGGCGATACCCGGGTAGATAAGGAGGCGATACCAGGGTAGATAAGGAGGCTATACCCGGGTAGATAAGGAGGCTATGCCCGGGTAGATAAGGAGGCGATACCCGGGTAGATAAGGAGGCGATACCCATTTAGATATGGAGGCTATACCCGGGTAGATAAGGAGCCGATACCCGGGTAGATAAGGAGCCGATAACCGGGTAGATAAGGAGCCGATACCCGGGTAGATAAGGAGCCGATAGCGTGGTAGATAAGGATGCGATACCCGGATAGATAAGGAGGCGATACTCAGTTAGTTTAGGAGCCGATACCCGGGAAGATAAGGAGCCGATTGGGGGGGGGGGGGGGGGGGGGGGGGGGGGCGAGTAGGGGAACGGTGGAGTGGTGGAGTGGCGTGAGAAATCATAATGTAGTATGTTGCAGGATGCAAAATTCTAGTTCCGCCTTTGAAATAACTCCTTTAATTTAAATTGAAAAGGTGCCCCAGGAAGTGAGGTGAGATTCAGAACCTGATGAAAATCTAGACTTTCTTCAGTTACAGCTTTTGCATTACAGAGGAGGCAGGGAGGGAGGGAAATACTGGGGTTCAGGGAATGTGAGACAAACTAATCGATAAGGTACCCGAACCATCAGCAGATTCTACGAAACAGCGGCAGCCATAGACTAACATTTAGTCTCTGAAATCTTATATTACACAATATCCTTCTTGACTCTAAAAATAAAAAAAATCCCTATGCTGATTTCAGGAATAGAGCTAGCTTGAGCTGGCTAGACTTGCTTTTGTATGCATTTCTAGATTATTATTTTTTCATAAAATAAATATATTCCACGGTCATGGTGCAGGACTACGGCAGCCAGTGAAATGGTGGCAAATATTCTGCGCAGCTGATGCTATAAATAGGAAAAGGGGATTTCCCAGAAGAAAGACAGGAGGTGAAATTTCGACATACTGATCATCGGGTGAGGCAGCGGCAGCATGGGCATCAAACAGTCTGTGAGTGTTCAGCAGTTCCGTCTGTCTAGATCTGGTTGTGTTGCGTGTTCCTCTGTCTAGGTCTAGTTGTCTGTGAGTGTTCAGCAGTTCCGTCTGTCTAGATCTGGTTGTGTTGCGTGTTCCTCTGTCTAGGTCTAGTTGTCTGTGAGTGTTCAGCAGTTCCGTCTGTCTAGATCTGGTTGTGTTGCGTGTTCCTCTGTCTAGGTCTAGTTGTCTGTGAGTGTTCAGCAGTTCCGTCTGTCTAGATCTGGTTGTGTTGCGTGTTCCTCTGTCTAGGTCTAGTTGTCTGTGAGTGTTCAGCAGTTCCGTCTGTCTAGATCTGATTGTGTTGCGTGTTCCTCTGTCTAGGTCTAGTTGTCTGTGAGTGTTCAGCAGTTCCGTCTGTCTAGATCTGGTTGTGTTGCGCGTTCCTCTGTCTAGGTCTAGTTGTCTGTGAGTGTTCAGCAGTTCCGTCTGTCTAGATCTGGTTGTGTTGCGCGTTCCTCTGTCTAGGTCTAGTTGTCTGTGAGTGTTCAGCAGTTCCGTCTGTCTAGATCTGGTTGTGTTGCGTGTTCCTCTGTCTAGGTCTAGTTGTGTTGTGTGTTCAGCAGTTCCATCTGTCTAGATCTGGTTGTGTTGCGTGTTCCTCTGTCTAGGTCTAGTTGTCTGTGAGTGTTCAGCAGTTCCATCTGTCTAGATCTGGTTGTGTTGCGTGTTCCTCTGTCTAGGTCTAGTTGTCTGTGAGTGTTCAGCTGTTCCGTCTGTCTAGATCTGGTTGTGTTGCGTGTTCCTCTGTCTAGGTCTAGTTGTCTGTGAGTGTTCAGTAGTTCCGTCTGTCTAGATCTGGTTGTGTTGCGTGTTCCTCTGTCTAGGTCTAGTTGTCTGTGAGTGTTCAGCAGTTCCATCTGTCTAGATCTGGTTGTGTTGCGTGTTCCTCTGTCTAGGTCTAGTTGTCTGTGAGTGTTCAGCAGTTCCATCTGTCTAGATCTGGTTGTGTTGCGTGTTCCTCTGTCTAGGTCTAGTTGTCTGTGAGTGTTCAGCAGTTCCGTCTGTCTAGATCTGGTTGTGTTGCGTGTTCCTCTGTCTAGGTCTAGTTGTCTGTGAGTGTTCAGTAGTTCCGTCTGTCTAGATCTGGTTGTGTTGCGTGTTCCTCTGTCTAGGTCTAGTTGTCTGTGAGTGTTCAGCAGTTCCATCTGTCTAGATGTGGTTGTGTTGCGTGTTCCTCTGTCTAGGTCTAGTTGTCTGTGAGTGTTCAGCAGTTCCGTCTGTCTAGATCTGGTTGTGTTGCGCGTTCCTCTGTCTAGGTCTAGTTGTCTGTGAGTGTTCAGCAGTTCCATCTGTCTAGATCTGGTTGTGTTGCGTGTTCCTCTGTCTAGGTCTAGTTGTCTGTGAGTGTTCAGCAGTTCCGTCTGTCTAGATCTGGTTGTGTTGCGCGTTCCTCTGTCTAGGTCTAGTTGTCTGTGAGTGTTCAGCAGTTCCATCTGTCTAGATCTGGTTGTGTTGCGTGTTCCTCTGTCTAGGTCTAGTTGTCTGTGAGTGTTCGGCATCAGGTTCAGTCTGTCTAGATCTGGTTGTGTTGCGTGTTCCTCTGTCTAGGTCTAGTTGTCTGTGAGTGTTCAGCAGTTCCATCTGTCTAGATCTGGTTGTGTTGCGTGTTCCTCTGTCTAGGTCTAGTTGTCTGTGAGTGTTCGGCATCAGGTTCAGTCTGTCTAGATCTGGTTGTGTTGCGTGTTCCTCTGTCTAGGTCTAGTTGTCTGTGAGTGTTCGGCATCAGGTTCAGTCTGTCTAGATCTGGTTGTGTTGCGTGTTCCTCTGTCTAGGTCTAGTTGTCTGTGAGTGTTCGGCATCAGGTTCAGTCTGTCTAGATGTGGTTGTGTTGCGTGTTCCTCTGTCTAGGTCTAGTTGTCTGTGAGTGTTCAGCATCAGGTTCAGTCTGTCTAGATCTGGTTGTGTTGCGTGTTCCTCTGTCTAGGTCTAGTTGTCTGTGAGTGTTCGGCATCAGGTTCAGTCTGTCTAGATGTGGTTGTGTTGCGTGTTCCTCTGTCTAGGTCTAGTTGTCTGTGAGTGTTCGGCATCAGGTTCAGTCTGTCTAGATGTGGTTGTGTTGCGTGTTCCTCTGTCTAGGTCTAGTTGTCTGTGAGTGTTCAGCATCAGGTTCAGTCTGTCTAGATGTGGTTGTGTTGCGTGTTCCTCTGTCTAGGTCTAGTTGTCTGTGAGTGTTCGGCATCAGGTTCAGTCTGTCTAGATCTGGTTGTGTTGCGTGTTCCTCTGTCTAGGTCTAGTTGTCTGTGAGTGTTCGGCATCAGGTTCAGTCTGTCTAGATCTGGTTGTGTTGCGTGTTCCTCTGTCTAGGTCTAGTTGTCTGTGAGTGTTCGGCATCAGGTTCAGTCTGTCTAGATGTGATTGTGTTGCGTGTTCCTCTGTCTAGGTCTAGTTGTCTGTGAGTGTTCGGCATCAGGTTCAGTCTGTCTAGATGTGGTTGTGTTGCGCGTTCCTCTGTCTAGGTCTAGTTGTCTGTGAGTGTTCAGCAGTTCCATCTGTCTAGATCTGGTTGTGTTGCGTGTTCCTCTGTCTAGGTCTAGTTGTCTGTGAGTGTTCGGCATCAGGTTCAGTCTGTCTAGATGTGGTTGTGTTGCGTGTTCCTCTGTCTAGGTCTAGTTGTCTGTGAGTGTTCAGTAGTTCCGTCTGTCTAGATCTGGTTGTGTTGCGTGTTCCTCTGTCTAGGTCTAGTTGTCTGTGAGTGTTCAGCAGTTCCATCTGTCTAGATCTGGTTGTGTTGCGCGTTCCTCTGTCTAGGTCTAGTTGTCTGTGAGTGTTCGGCATCAGGTTCAGTCTGTCTAGAGGATGTTCGTTTACATTGTTCCAGTTCTTCATTACAATGTCTCATACATCTGAGAGACATAAGACCCGTGAAGTCTTCAGCAACCCACGCATGCCGTAAAAGGCGACTATGCTTGTCGTAAGAGGCGACTAACGAGATCGGGTGGTCAGGCTCGCTGACTTGGTTGATGCATGTCATCGTATCTCAATTGCGTGGATCGATGCTCATGATGTCAATCACAGGATTGTCTGGTCCAGACACGTTATATAGCTGGAACATTGCTGTGTGCGGCGTTAAACAACATGAAACAAACAAGACGGAGAGACGTACTTATAGATGACTGTTCATTATATTACTTGACTTTCAGGTTGGCAGAGCATGCCTGACTTACAGGCACAACCAGTCCAAGTTCTCCGTATTCCGCCGTCAGCTACACGTAATTTCCCCACAGCTTCAAACATTCAGTTAACATAAATATCTTTTACCCAATGCTTCGAGGTACATATAATAAGTGTTTCAAGGTATACTTACTTTTGTCTGACTAAATACTTCATAATATGCTTACACTCCGTTAACTAATGTTTCAAGATATGCTTACACTCCGTTAACTAATTCTTCAAGATATGCTTACATTCCGAGAACTAATGCTTCAAGATATGCTTACACTCTGTTAACTAATGCTTCAAGATATGCTTACGCTCCGTTAATTAATGCTTCAAGATATTCTTACATTCCGTAAACTAATGCTTCAAGATATGCTTACACTCCGTTAACTAATGCTTCAAGATATGCTTACGCTCCATTAACTAATGCTTCAAGATATGCTTACGCTCCGTTAACTAATGCTTCAAGATATGCTTACGCTCCGTTAACTAATGATTCAAGATATTCTTACATTCCGTAAACTAATGCTTCAAGATATGCTTACATTCCGTAAACTAATGCTTCAAGATATGCTTACACTCCGTTAACTAATGCTTCAAGATATGCTTACAATCCTTTAACTAATGCTTCAAGATATGCTTACAATCCGTTAACTAATGCCATATCTTGAAACATTTATGTTAAAGAGTATCTCCTGAAGTATTTAGTCAAATGGAAGTATGAATATTTGGAAGCTTTAAGTCTTTTATATGAAGCAATAAGCTAAATGCATAGAATCATGTGTACGTACAAGAACGTATGGAGATGTGTATAGCCGAAGTAATATATTGATAACGTGTGCCCACATCCCTTAAACTAAATGCTTCAAAATAAACATGAATTCCTTTATCTGAATGCTTCATGGTATGCACTAGTTGGTGGTGATTCATAAGCACATGCTCATGATGTCATCGGAATCTGGAAAGTTGTGCGAGCAGGAAAGTGCTGCGAAAATCGCGAGTGACCCCCGCAGTTTCATGATGCAGGTATTTGTCAACCAGCCAGTACATGATTAAACATAAAGTTCCTCACACACTGTTTCCTTAATTACACCTTGTCAGCTCGCCACTACATGATTAAATATAATATCCCCCAAAACCTGTTTCCTTAATTACACCTTGTCAACCAGCCAGTACATGATTAAACATAAAATTCCTCACACATTGTTTCCTTAATTACACCTTGTCAGCTCGCCACTACATGATTAAATATAATATCTCCCAAAACCTGTTTCCTTAATTACACCTTGTCAACCAGCCAGTACATGATTAAATATAAAATCCTTCACAACCTGTTTCCTTAATTACACCTTGTCAACCACCCAGTACATGATTAAATATAATATCCCCCAAAACCTGTTTCCTTAATTACACCTTGTCAACCAGCCAGTACATGATTAAATATAAAATCCCTCACAACCTGTTTCCTTAATTACACCTTGTCAACCAGCCAGTACTGATTAAATATAAAATCCCCCCAAACCTGTTTCCTTAATTACATCTTGTCAACCACCCAGTACATGATTAAATATAAAATCCCCCACAACCTGTTTCTTTAATTACACCTTGTCAACCAGCCAGTACATGATTAAATATAAAATCCTTCACAACCTGTTTCCTTAATTACACCTTGTCAACCACCCAGTACATGATTAAATATAATATCCCCCAAAACCTGTTTCCTTAATTACACCTTGTCAACCAGCCAGTACATGATTAAATATAAAATCCCTCACAACCTGTTTCCTTAATTACACCTTGTCAACCAGCCAGTACTGATTAAATATAAAATCCCCCCAAACCTGTTTCCTTAATTACATCTTGTCAACCACCCAGTACATGATTAAATATAAAATCCCCCACAACCTGTTTCTTTAATTACACCTTGTCAACCAGTCAGTACATGATTAAATATAAAATCCCTCACAACCTGTTTCCTTAATTACACCTTGTCAACCAGCCAGTACATGATTAAACATAAAATTCCTCACACACTGTTTCCTTAATTACACCTTGTCAGCTCGCCACTACATGATTAAATATAATATCCCCCAAAACCTGTTTCCTTAATTACACCTTGTCAACCAGCCAGTACATGATTAAACATAAAATTCCTCACACATTGTTTCCTTAATTACACCTTGTCAGCTCGCCACTACATGATTAAATATAATATCCCCCAAAACCTGTTTCCTTAATTACACCTTGTCAACCAGCCAGTACATGATTAAATATAAAATCCTTCACAACCTGTTTCCTTAATTACACCTTGTCAACCACCCAGTACATGATTAAATATAATATCCCCCAAGACCTGTTTCCTTAATTACACCTTGTCAACCAGCCAGTACATGATTAAATATAAAATCCCTCACAACCTGTTTCCTTAATTATACCTTGTCAACCAGCCAGTACTGATTAAATATAAAATCCCCCACAACCTGTTTCTTTAATTACACCTTGTCAACCAGTCAGTACATGATTTAATATAAAATCCCTCACAACCTGTTTCCTTAATTACACCTTGTCAACCAGCCAGTACATGATTAAATATAAAATCCTTCACAACCTGTTTCCTTAACTACACCTTGTCAACCAGCCAGTACATGATTAAATATAAAATCAGACAATCCAGTGACTAATATCATGGAGAGCGATCCACTCAAATGGGATACAATGACATGCTCGCTGACTTGGTTGATGCATGTCATCGATCCCAATTGCGTTGATCGATGCTCATGATATCAATCACTGGATTGTAAGGTCCAGGCTCGATTATTTACAGACCGCCGTCATATAGCTGGAATATTGTTGAGTGCGGCGTAAAACAACTAACCAACCATCAAGTGCATTATGGAATATATTTTCCGCATATGCACATTAAACTTTTCACTTCGATCATTACGTATTGTGTAGGTTGGTGTCTGGTGCAGCTGTTAAGCTTTCAGGAATGTTATTATCACCTCTCTCAGCCACCGAGGCTTCCACAAAAATGAAAGTCCGAAAACTGGTAGTCTAGATCACGTACTTTGTGTACCCCTCTGACTAGTGTGAATTGGCACGGCTCCCATGGCCGAGAGCTATGAATACACAATGTCATTTAGAAAGTGGTCAAATGAAACAAATGTTATATTTACACAATGCTATTTAGATGCTGCTTCTCAGCGGTCTCTCTCACGCGTCTTTTACCACAGATCTATATTCATTCACAGACTGCCATTATTTACAGACTGCCATCATATAGCTGGAATATTGCTGGAATAACAACAAACAAACAAACAAACGAACAAAAAACCCACAAAAAACACATGGGTGTTATCGATGAAGACCACGTTCAGGGACAAATGCACCGTTGATAAGTTTCCCTTGTGGGAGAAGGGTGTACACAGTTGACAAAACACAAGCCATAACTGTACGTGGTTCATTTCATACATTGCAAAAATCAAGCAGTTCCTTTGAAGATTTACATGGTATTAATTCTACTCGTTTCAAAAACTTCAAAATCCTAAAAAGTGTAAAAACATCAGAATATTGGTACAGTTAAATAATAATTTTATTTCTAGTTCACAGTATGTTTTATTGATATCCAGATCAGTGACAAGCCAGAGCTAGTGTACAAGAAAGTCGATCTTCCTGAGGACTCCAAACACAAACTTGCGTTTGTCCTGGAAAATGTCCTGTCTCCAGAGGTAAGAAACATACAACAGTGTAGAAAATAACATTCAGGCCACCGAAACAATACATAATGAGTATTTTTTACAACCACAACCAAAAAGGACCACCTTACCTATACTTAGAGAGTATTTGTCACAACCATTATCAGGAAGCTCATGTAATTATGACAAGTATTTGTCACCCTTCCCTACTGTGACTCCGTCAACTTTTGATACAATCTATCTCTGTCCAATCCACTACACCTCTAACCACACCCACTACACCTCTATCACCCCCGTTTCATCCACCCCACCCCAAACGTCACTGTACTCCATCTATCCCCATTCACCACCCCACCCCCCTTCGTCATAACACTCCATCCATATCCACTGCACTTCACCTCTCCCTGTTTCACCTCTACCCTTCCCCACTACACTCCATCCCTCCCTGTTTCACCTCTACCCTTCCCCACTACACTCCATCCCTCCCTGTTTCACCTCTACCCTTCCCCACTACACTCCATCCCTCCCTGTTTCACCTCTACCCTTCCCCACTACACTCCATCCCTCCCTGTTTCACCTCTACCCTTCCCCACTCCACCCCTCCCTGTTTCACCTCTACCCTTCCCCACTACACTCCACCCCTCCCTGTTTCACCTCTACCCTTCCCCACTCCACTCCATCCCTCCCTGTTTCACCTCTACCCTTCCCACTCCACTCCACCCCTCCCTGTTTCACCTCTACCCTTCCCCACTACACTCCATCCCTCCCTGTTTCACCTCTACCCTTCCCCACTACACTCCATCCCTCCCTGTTTCACCTCTACCCTTCCCCACTCCACTCCACCCCTCCCTGTTTCACCTCTACCCTTCCCACTACACTCCACCCCTCCCTGTTTCACCTCTACCCTTCCCCACTACACTCCACCCCTCCCTGTTTCACCTCTACCCTTCCCCACTACACTCCACCCCTCCCTGTTTCACCTCTACCCTTCCCCACTACACTCCATCCCTCCCTGTTTCACCTCTACCCTTCCCACTCCACTCCACCCCTCCCTGTTTCACCTCTACCCTTCCCACTCCACTCCACCCCTCCCTGTTTCACCTCTACCCTTCCCCACTCCACTCCACCCCTCCCTGTTTCACCTCTACCCTTCCCCACTGCACTCCATCCCTCCCTGTTTCACCTCTACCCTTCCCCACTACACTCCACCCCTCCCTGTTTCACCTCTACCCTTCCCCACTGCACTCCACCCCTCCCTGTTTCACCTCTACCCTTCCCCACTGCACTCCACCCCTCCACGTTTCGACTCAACTGGCGGAGATTAATTATTTCTTCAGGAATGTCAGTGGTTCATCGAGAAGACCGAGAAGAAAGGGTACAAAAGAGCCCTGATCAAACTTGGCGGTGGGTATGTAAAATGCAGCAAGTTCATTTTTGTACTGTTCTATCAATGGAAAATATATCACATACAAGACACATCACTAAGGAAACATGTGATAATTCCTTGTATTCTAGGTGGTACATATATCAGATACAAGACACATCACTAAGAAAACATGTGACAGTTCCTTGTAGTTTCGTGGTAGATATATCACATACATCACTTAGGAAGCATGTGATAATTCCTTGTACTGTAGATGGTACATATATCAGATGCAAGACACGTCACAAAGCAAACATGTGATAATTCCTTGTGGCAATTTATTGTACTGAATGTGGTGAAGTGGTTACATCACTGTACAGCTGTACTTGAATAAGGTGAGGTGAGGTGGCAACATCACTGTACAGCTGTATCTGAATGAGGTGAGGTGTCTACATCACTGTACAGCTGTACCTGAATGAGGTGAGGTGGCTACATCACTGTCCAGCTGTACTTGAATGAGGTGAGGATGGGCTCGCTACATCACTGTACAGCTGTACCTGAATGAGGTGATGTGGGGTTGCTACATCACTGTACAGCTGTACTTGAATAAGGTGAGGTGAGGTGGCAACATCACTGTACAGCTGTATCTGAATGAGGTGAGGTGGCTACATCACTGTTCAGCTGTACCTGAATGAGGTGAGGTGGCTACATCACTGTACAGCTGTACCTGAATGAGGTGAGGTGGCTACATCACTGTACAGCTGTACCTGAATGAGGTGAGGTGGCTACATCACTGTACCTGAATGAGGTGTGGTGGCTACATCACTGTACCTGAATGAGGTGAGGTGGCTACATCACTGTACAGCTGTACTTGAATGAGGTGAGGTGGCTATATCACTGTACAGCTGTACCTGAATGTGGTGAGGTGGCTACATCACTGTTCAGCTGTACTTGACTGAGGTGAGGTGGCTACATCACTGTACCTGAATGAGGTGAGGTGGCTACATCACTGTACAGCTGTACTTGAATGAGGTGAGGTGGCTATATCACTGTACAGCTGTACCTGAATGTGGTGAGGTGGCTACATCACTGTTCAGCTGTACTTGACTGAGGTGAGGTGGCTACATCACTGTACAGCTGTACTTGACTGAGGTGAGGTGGCTACATCACTGTACAGCTGTACTTGACTGAGGTGAGGTGTCTACATCACTGTACAGCTGTACTTGACTGAGGTGAGGTGGCTACATCACTGTGCAGCTGTACTTGACTGAGGTGAGGTGTCTACATCACTGTACCTGAATGAGGTGAGGTGGCTACATCACTGTTCAGCTGTACTTGACTGAGGTGAGGTGTCTACATCACTGTACAGCTGTACCTGAATGAGGTGAGGTGTCTACATCACTGTACAGCTGTACCTGAATGAGGTGAGGTGGCTACATCACTGTACAGCTGTACCTGAATGAGGTGAGGTGGCTATATCACTGTACAGCAGTACCTGAATGTGGTGAGGTGGCTACATCACTGTACAGCTGTACCTGAATGAGGTGAGGTGGCTACATCACTGTACAGCTGTACCTGAATGAGATGTGGTGGCTACATCACTGTACAGCTGTACCTGAATGAGGTGAGGTGGCTACATCACTGTACAGCTGTACCTGAATGAGGTGAGGTGGCTACATCACTGTACAGCTGTACCTGAATGAGGTGAGGTGGCTACATCACTGTACAGCTGTACCTGAATGTGGTGAGGTGGCTACATCACTGTACAGCTGTACCTGAATGAGGTGAGGTGGCTACATCACTGTACAGCTGTACCTGAATGAGATGTGGTGGCTACATCACTGTACAGCTGTACCTGAATGAGGTGAGGTGGCTACATCACTGTACAGCTGTACCTGAATGAGGTGAGGTGGCTACATCACTGTACAGCTGTACCTGAATGAGGTGAGGTGGCTACATCACTGTACAGCTGTACCTGAATGAGGTGGGGTGGTTACATCACTGTACAGCTGTACTTGACTGAGGTGAGGTGGCTACATCACTGTACCTGAATGAGGTGAGGTGGCTACATCACTGTACAGCTGTACTTGACTGAGGTGAGGTGGCTACATCACTGCCCAGCTGTACCTGTATGAGGTGAGGTGTCTACATCACTGTCCAGCTGTACCTGAATGAGGTGAGGTGTCTACATCACTGTCCAGCTGTACTTGAATGAGGTGAGGTGTCTACATCACTGTCCAGCTGTACCTGAATGAGTTGAGGTGGCTACATCACTGTACAGCTGTACCTGAATGAGGTGAGGTGTCTACATCACTGTACAGCTGTACCTGTATGAGGTGGGGTGGCTACATCACTGCCCAGCTGTACCTGAATGAGGTGGGGTGGCTACATCACTGTACAGCTGTACTTGAATGAGGTGGGGTGGCTACATCACTGTACAGATACAAGACACATCACTTAGGAAACATGTGACAGTTCCTTGTACTGAAGGTGGTAGATATATCAGATACAAGACACATCACTTAGGAAACATGTGGCAGTTCCTCGTACTGAAGGGTGGTAGATATATCAGATACAAGACACATCACTTAGGAAACATGTGACAATTCCTTGTACTGAATGTGGTAGATATATCAGATACAAGACACATCACTTAGGAAACATGTGACAGTTCCTTGTACTGAAGGTGGTAGATATATCAGATACAATACACATCACTAAGGAAACATGTGACAGTTCCTTGTACTGAAGGTGGTAGATATATCTGATACAATACACATCACTAAGGAAACATGTGACAGTCCCTTGTACTGAAGGTGGTAGATATATCAGATACAATACACATCACTAAGGAAACATGTGACAATTCGTTGTTCTGTAGGTGGTGATGAGGGAGAAGTTTTCTGATATATTGAAGGTGACATTATACATTATATGCCGGAAATGTTTAGATGGAAGTTAATTATGTGCTTTTTCCAGTCAAGAAGTGGCCCATGAGGTGAGAAATAGTTCCCGATACATGTGGGACTCGAGGAAGGTGTCGAAGAAGCTCTGGAGCAGGGTGAAGACATATGTCCCCGAAGTGTTCAAAGGGAGGAGGGCTTTGGGTCTGAATGAAAGGTAGATTGCAGTTGTGTGTCTTCCCCATAAGGGTATTTTGATTATATCAGTGTTGTCTTTCTGTTGGTTACTAAGGGACAGACCATTTTATAGTCTAGGGGGGAGGGGGAGGAACCAAGGACTGTGTGTCGAGAGTCGATATGTTTTACCTGCAGCTGCAAAATCAGATATTTGTTTATCTAAAAAATTGAGCCTGAATTTTTTTAAAGAAAAACAACACTGTATTTTTGTGGCAGGCCATTTCATGTTTACCCGATAAAAATCACAGTCTTATAATAGGGTCCTGGATTAATACGCCGACCCTCATTGTCTACTGTCGAGTAATAAGCATCTCTGTCTCTAGGCTTCGCTTCCTCCGCTACGAACCTGGAGAATATTTCAGGATTCACAAGGATGGGATCTACACAAGGAAAAACATGGAGCGAAGCTACATCACTGTACAGATGTACCTGAATGAGGTGAGGTGGCTACATCACTGTACAGCTGTACCTGAATGAGGTGAGGTGGCTACATCACTGTACAGCTGTACCTGAATGAGGTGAGGTGGCTACATCACCGTACAGCTGTACCTGAATGAGGTGAGGTGGCTACATCACTGTACAGCTGTACCTGAATGAGGTGGGGTGGCTACATCACTGTTCAGCTGTATCTGAATGAGGTGGGGTGGTTACACCATTGTACAGCTGTACTTGAATGAAGTAAGGTGGCTACATCACTGTACAGCTGTACTTGAATGAGGTTGGGTGGTTACACCATTGTACAGCTGTACTTGAATGAGGTAGGGTGGCTACATCACTGTACAGCTGTACCTGAATGAGGTGGGGTGGTTACACCAATGTACAGCTGTACTTGAATGAGGTGAGGTGGCTACATCATTGTACAGCTGTACCTGAATGAGGTGGGATGGTTACACCATTGTACAGCTGTACTTGGATGAGGTGAGGTGGCAACATCACTGTACAGCTGCACTTGAATGAGGTGGCAGGGGTGGCTACATCACTGTACAGCTGTATCTGAATGAGGTGAGGGTGGCTTTGCTACATCACCGTACAGCTGTACTGAGGTGAGTGGGATGGCTTCATCATTTTCGACGTCTCCTCTCAAACCACTGTTTTTAAGAAGCTGGCAGCGTGTGTTGACTACGCTTAGATTCAGATCCAGGAGACTTTACTGCTATTAACATTGAGACTATTAAAAACTGAGACCGGTTATTCTCGAGCATTGCAGTTGTAAATTTACAGGGCTTCCAAGGGGGATGCACAACGTTCTTTTCCAGTGATGCTTTACAGAAGGTGCCAGTTGTCCCAAAGAAAGGTACAGTTGTACAATATTTACAGAATATTCCACCCGTCCGTTAGCTGTAAACCTACAAACTCGTCTTCTTCTTCATAATGACTACACTTATCAATATCAAATTACCACGCCACGCCTCGCCTCCACTCACCACCGCACCACACCACACGTTGTACAGTTCCGAATAAAAAGAAACTGGTATTTAATTTTTAAATTTGTTCTAGAACAAATACATTGACACATAAGTGTTAAGTCCAAAATATATGCGTGTTTTGAAGCAGTGCCAGAGGGATCGAAGTTCCTTGTCTCTTATCCCACCCCTACCACGCCAGAATGGTCCATGACGTTTGATTTCATTTGCTTCATCTGAATGTGTTCGACACGTATGAACTATATATTTTTTGCTACAATTATTTCCTGTTTCATTCACAAAATGTCCATGCAAAGAAAATTTGCATCTCCCCTCCAGACCTTAATCACAGCAATATTTGTATTCCATTGTGTATGTCAATGTTTATAACTTTTCATTATAACTAGTCATGTTCATGTGTTGTACCCTGCCCCCTGTGGGTGTTTATGTACAATAAATTGTCTTCTTCTTCTGCCTGAAGCACATGATAGTCGCAGGTGTGAAAGAGTTGCTTTGGTTTATGAACATCGCACAATGAAACATTCAAGCAGGTCCATCTTTCAGTCTTTGTAAAAATATCACAAACGTATAGTCTGGAAGGTAATTTAAGGTACCGACGTTTACTACAATATCTGAAAAACTATTAGACCTACTCCAGTCAAAGTTGGTATGAGATTATTAAACAGTCATACATAACTGGATATTACATTTAACGACAATCGGTGCATGAATAAAAAATCTGTCTATTTAGCTATCACTATATTTCATCAACAACCAGACCTGTTCGTCACGGGTGGAACGAGCATTCATTGAAACAGCCATCTGCATAATGCTACCCCTGCGTCACAGGGCCATATGACACAGTTGAACCAATCAACTCAACTCGAAAGGGTGCACGGGAATCACGCACGTTGAGACGCCCAACGCTAACACCGTATTCGTGAGTGCGTGATTCCCGTGCACCCTTTCGAGTTGAGTTGATTGGTTCAACTGTGTCATATGGCCCTGTGACGTAGGGGTATCTTGGACCTCTGGCTTCAGTATTGTGCGCCTTATAGTGTTGCAGACTGAAAAAAACCCATTGATGCCGGTGAGAAAACATTGTGGGACTTTGATGCAAGTTGCTGGTAAACTACTAGCTGACATGTGTTGCTGTTTTTTGATGTTTGACCTTACGCCTGTCACCGTCCCCTGCAGGGTCAGCGCTGATATTCCAACACGACATCCTCCACGAGGGGTCGGAGGTGATGGAGGGACTGAAGTACGCGATCAGGACAGACGTCATGTACTCGGCAGAGCGACTAACAGATTCACCTGAGTTCTCCGAGGATGAAGTAAACTCCCAGACATGATGAAGTAAACTCCCTGACATGATGAAGTACTCCCCGGCAGTTTACATTGGATTATATGATATACCAGTTTATGTTGACATCTTTAGTGCATCTTGTTGACATCATTAGTGCATCCTGTTGACATCATTAGTGCATCCTGTTGACATCTTTAGTGCATCCTGTTGACAGTTTAGTGCATCCTGTTGACATCATTAGTGCATCCTGTTGACATCTTTAGTGCATCCTGTTGACAGTTTAGTGCATCCTGTTGACATCATTAGTGCATCCTGTTGACATCTTTAGTGCATCCTGTTGACATCATTAGTGCATCCTGTTGACATCTTTAGTGCATCCTGTTGACATCTTTAGTGCATCCTGTTGACAGTTTAGTGCATCCTGTTGACATCATTAGTGCATCCTGTTGACATCTTTAGTGCATCCTGTTGACATCATTAGTGCATCCTGTTGACATCTTTAGTGCATCCTGTTGACATCTTTAGTGCATCCTGTTGACATCTTTAGTGCATCCTGTTGACATCTTTAGTGCATCCTGTTGACAGTTTAGTGCATCCTGTTGACATCTTGAGTGCATCCTGTTGACATCTTTAGTGCATCCTGTTGACAGTTTAGTGCATCCTGTTGACAGTTTAGTGCATCCTGTTGACATCATTAGTGCATCCTGTTGACAGTTTAGTGCATCCTGTTGACAGTTTAGTGCATCCTGTTGACAGTTTAGTGAATGTTATGTAGCCAGCTACAGCAGTATCAGTTGTTTGTCTTCAGCAGAGGCGCACGTGAAGCGTCAGGCATGGAGCAGGCCATGCTCGTCATTATATAAACAGTAAACACGTTTGTAATATTTAACAAAAACAATGGTGTCCCCAAAAATGTTAAATGCATTAGAATCCATCTATGCCTGTGTTAAAAGCTGTGTTAAGATCAGAGATTGTTTTACAGAATGTTTTGATTGCCCTCTAGGACTTCGGCAAGGCTGCGTAATGAGTCCATTTTTATTTTCTATTTTTATAAACGACTTAGCTTTGTATATAGAATCAACATGCACTCCAGGTGTACAGCTACACCCTGACACTGTACAGATTTTTCTATTGTTGTTTGCTGATGATGTTGCATTTATTGCTGATACTGTGTATGACCTTCAAAAACGCATAGAAGCTCTGGAAAGTTTTTGTAGTAACTATCATCTAACAGTCAACTTGGATAAAACTAAAGTAGTGGTATTTAAACATGGGGGTATTTTATCAAAATATGAAAAGTGGTATTACGAGGGTCAAAAACTTCAGTGTGTAAGTTCTTATAAATATCTCGGTACACTTCTTTCAAAAACTCTCTCCTGGTCTTTGCATGTTAATAGTGCTGCTTTACAAGCTAAAAAGGTCCTATTTGGTGTCATCAAATCTCTAAAAATGCTTCAACCTCTTCCTTATGACTTGTTTTTCAAATATTTTGATTCTAAAATATCTCCAATTCTTTTATAAGGTGCCGAGATTTGGGGTGTAGATACTTACAAAGAATTAGAGCAAATCCACGTACTAGCATGTAAACGCTTTCTTGGGGTTAAACAATCTTCATCAAATCATGTGGTTAGGGGGGAATGCGGAAGGTATCCTATGTACATATGTGCTTATAAGCGTGTAGTTACTTATTGGTACAGAATTTTACATTTGCCTGAAAATAGATTAGTTAAGAAATGTTAAAGATTATTAGTACTTAATGTTAAAAATGGTAAGATCAACTGGGTCTCTAAAATCAAACACATTCTCTGTTCGTTTGGTTTTGGCTACATACGGGAGATGCAATTTAGTAATAATAGTAGAAGTTTTATCTTGGAATTTGTAAACCGTTTAAAAGCCTCGTCTGAGCAAGATTAGCATGCAGCTGTTTCATCTAGCACTAAATCCCAAAGTTACTCTCTTAACAAAATTTCATTTGGCTTAGGAAGCTATATCAATGTAGTAAATGTTTCAAAATTCAGAGCTGTACTTGCTCAGTTGAGATGCTCCTCCCATCGGCTGCGAATTGAGACCGGTCGATATATTAAGGAAATTAGAGGACAGAGACTGTGTTTGATTTGTAACCAGAATTTTATTGAGGACGAATATCATTTTGTGTTTATATGCAATGCTTATAGTGATTTAAGAGCTGAATATAGTCCTCATAAATATTTTACAACCCCTTCTAAAAATAAATTTAACGCTCTTATGTCATCCACTATTTTTAAAGTCATACGAAATCTAGCAGTCTACGTTTACAAAGCTTTTCGACTTCGTTCATTGCATACAGTCTAAATATTTATTTGTATATATGCATGTGTATGTGTATGAATGTGTATGGATATGGATATATATGTTAAATAGTGGTAATTCTTTTTTCTCCCTCTCTCTGTAAATAGTTCTGTGTAATAGGCCTACGGCCTAACACTTTTTGTGAACAAACACTATATATAACAACAATGAAATGTACTTCCGTCGACAAAGACACTCTGAAACTAAGTACTCCTTGTCCATCGCTAGAAACTTGGCTTCGAAAAAATCAAGCAAAACAGTAAATATATTGAACACAGTATGTCTCTAAATTTAAGTGAAAATTCTTCACAGATATTGAGAATACATTCCACATCACCCCACCGGAATGAGGTTTCCTGCGCTCACGGCCCGGAGCGAGTCCACATAGATCCACTCCATGGCGCGGTACGGAGCCAATAGCTTGCAGTAGTACACGCCCCCGTAGGTGCCGCGAGTCGTCACGAGGGAGGGGGATGTTACCTCCAGTGCATTCACAGTTTCCTTCGACTCCAAGTTCCTTGCAAACCATTGGGCGCCATTACCGGTTTTAACGTCGTTTTTGAAAACCATTCTCCTCACTGCACGTTTCTGGTAGCGAGTCCTAGCCACGCTGGAGGAAGAGCTGAGAGCCAGTTGTAAAGCAGCCTGTGTAGAGAGTCAACACACCATGTACAACAATCTCCATACAGCGTCACGCCTTGTACAACTATTGCCATACAGAGACATACCATGTACAACAATCTCCATACAGGGACACACCATGTACAACAATCTCCATACAGAGACACACCATGTACAACAATCTCCATACAGAGACACACCGTGTACAACAATCTCCATACAGAGACACACCATGTACAACAATCTCCACACGGAGACACACCATGTACAACAATCTCCATACAATAACACCCCATGTACAACAATCTCCATACAGAGACACACCATGTACAACAATCTCCATACAGAGACACACCATGTACAACAATCTCCATACAGAGACACACCATGTACAACAATCTCCATACAGCGTCACGCCATGTACAACAATCTCCATACAGAGACACGCCATGTACAACAATCTCCATACAGAGACACACCGTGTACAACTATTGCCATACAGAGACACACCATGTACAACAATCTCCATACAGAGACACACCATGTACAACAATCTCCATACAGAGACACACCATGTACAACAATCTCCATACAGAGACACACCATGTACAACAATCTCCATACAGAGACACACCATGTACAACAATCTCCATACAGAGACACACCATGTACAACAATCTCCATACAGAGACACACCATGTACAACAATCTCCATACAGAGACACACCATGTACAACAATCTCCATACAGAGACACACCTTGTACAACAATCTCCATACAGAGACACACCATGTACAACAATCTCCATACAGGGACACACCATGTACAACAATCTCCATACAGAGACACACCATGTACAACAATCTCCATACACAGACACACCATGTACAACAATCTCCATACAGAGACACACCTTGTACAACAATCTCCATACAGAGACACACCATGTACAACAATCTCCATACAGGGACACACCATGTACAACAATCTCCATACAGAGACACACCATGTACAACAATCTCCATACAGAGACACACCTTGTACAACAATCTCCATACAGAGACACACCATGTACAACAATCTCCATACAAAGACACACCATGATGCTGAGTACAGTAAATAACAAACATTATACATGATAATTATGAGAAATGTTTACAAAAATACGAATCATGTTTGCAGTCAGAACTAATCATATTCAACCAACTCGAGATGCAGCAGCAATAATGTTGCCTTGCACTTTATACGCTTGGTGTCTAAATCAAATTCTTTCAAAGTACATTAAACTTTGGTTTTTGTTGTTCATTTTATGAAGAATAGTCCGTGGATTATGATCAGTGTACATTTGTATAGGAAACATCTGTCGTACCCGAGTACACTTCAAATTGTTGCAAAGCTTACAACAGAGCAAGAGGTTCATTTTGAATGGTGGAATAATTTCTCTGATGTTTGTCAAATTTTCGTGAATAATAACAAACAGGCTAATGAAACTCTTATGCTTCTTTCTGCTATGGGATGTCTGCTCAAGCACCAATGTCCCTGCATCTACAGCTACTTTGAAAGATTTTTTAAAGTTTGGTGCCCTGAGAACAAGAAAATTCATGAGAATGGCTTTAATTTTCTCAAAAGCAGACTGAAAATTGCTGTCCCAAACAAATTTCACCTTTGTGCCCAGCACATCAGTGAGAGGGGCCACCACGTGTGAGAGATTTGGACAAAATCGACAGCAGTAACCAGCCATACCCAGAAATCTCAAAAGTTCCTTTTTGTTTTGTAGATCTAGGAATTTTGAAATAACTTCCATCTTTGGCCTATAACATGACCTTAACATTGTACATGTGCCTGTACAAATTCTAACAGTCAACTTGGCTTCAGTGAGTCTCTCGAAGAAGGCACGGATCCTCTTCAGGTGTTCGTTCCACTCCATGGAATGATAGATGACATCATCAACGTTGGCTTCGGCACCCTCAAGATTGGCTGTGATGTCAGTGTCCCGCATGTACTGAATCTCCTTCTTCAGAACTTTAAGCTAGATTGGATTCATCCGGTAGGGATGTTGTTTCACAGGCACAGCGTCACCCACATCTACATCATGAAATATGTTTACACACCACATCTGTACGGCCAGGTACATCCATTAACAAGTGAGCAAACTCTTGAATTAACTCTGACACTTGGATGTTTTGCTCAGATGACAAATGACTTAACTTAGCATCTAAGTTAGCTAACACTTCAGAAATGTTAAGTTAGGGCTCGCATAATCAGCAATGCCATCAAACTTGACAAACTCTCAGTTATCATCAGCATCACAGCCTGATGCAATATGCATAGGAGAAACAGTGGCAACACACTAAGTAGGTCCAATGTCATTTCTTTCATGATACTTTCTAATCATATTGACATGACAAAGCTGTGTCTTTTTACGACGGCCTGGTGTTTGTACAGCATAGTCAATATCACTGATTTTTCTGTCAAAACCATACAGACCGTTGTACCTAGCATGTACTGATTGACCAGGGATTGGCAAAAACACTATGACTTTATCGCTAGGACTGACATTTCTCGCGTGAGACTTTTTGTCATAATGTATTTTGTCCTTGGATCCCTTCAAGTTTTCCCTAGCAACTTCACAAGTTTTTGAGAGCCTAGCCCGAAATGATGAGACATACTCCAACAATCTCATTTCAGACATCTTTCAGCCAATGCTCCTTCAAATGCCTTAAAGCTCCACGGTATGGCCAAAGGCAAGGTCAAAAGACCTAGGGACTCCTGAACTGACTCCATCATAGCAACAACACCAAATGAATGCCTTCATCAAATTCCTTCTCAGTCTCAAAACAGTAGGTCCGTATCATATTCTTAAGAGTCTGATGAAATCTCTCTAAAACCCCTTGAGATTCAGGATGATATACACCAGACTTAATCTGAGTGGTGAAGAACTATACAAAAGCCTTCATAATAACTTGAGCTGTAGTTTTCCATAAAGGAATAGCCTCTGGAATCCTTGTGAAAGTACACATAACAGTGAGCATGACTTAGTTTTAGGCAAAAGGACCAACACAATCAATGATGACTTTATTGAATGGTTACCCCAAAGCTGGAATGGGTTCAAAGGTGTGCCTTGGATTTGCTAATAAGGTTTAATAACCATTTGACAAACGTGGCACGTTTTGCAAAATTCAGACCCATCATGCCGCGAATGAGGCCATAAGAAACGGGACAGATATTACCCAATATATCCACTGTAATTGAACTAACTGCCCCCTACCCAGAACTGGTTCCTCAAGCGCCAAACTGTCAGAATTTTTAGTACTTTCCTTTAAAAAGAGAATGAACCATAAAAGTGCCAGCCAACTCAGAACTGGAATCATTCTCAGAAGAGCTTTGTTTAGCCATAGCACGAGTAACATCACCCGAAGGAAAAATTACTGGAATTTCTTTTTCAAGATTTTCAGTACCTTCCGAAGTGCTTGGCTCAGGACAAATAACAGGATCCCCCAACCACCTCCCCCCTACCAAATAATTCCCAATGAGCTTGTCTACACCTTTAACAGGTAGGGGTTCTACAACACCCACCTTGACCAACCCAGACACCAAACCTGTCTTCAAATTCACAAAATGGAAAGGTTCACTGGTATAGCCACATAGAACCCTCTAACCAAACCTCAGGGTCATCTGATGACTCCTCAGAAAGTGGTAAATTACCATCCAAAATTAGAGTTTGAAGAGCACCAGTATCCCTCAAAACGGTAACGGGCTTAACAGTGGAACTGTCAGCTTATCTGACACAAACCTTTACTTTCATAAGGTAAGTACTCCTCTCACCACAGACACCTCAAACGACAGACTTTGATTACTCGTCTACATCAGCTAACTCATCATTAGCCGAACCCTAAAAGGCTGTGACTTGACATTCACAAAAGCATTCGGGGAAGAATACCTGTTTTTGAAAGCGAGCTTTATACACTCAGAAATTATATGCCCTGGCTTACGGTAATATCTACAAGTAGGCGTAAATCTAGAGGTATCGTTAGACCAACTGGAGTAGATGTTTTGTCAACAAACTCAGAACCAGACTTGTTAGAACTAGATCAACTCCTGTAACTCCTGTCTGTAACTCCTGCCTGTAACTCCTGCCTGTAACTCCTATCTGTAACTCCTGCCTGTAACTCCTGCCTGTAACTCCTGCCTGTAACTCCTGCCTGTAACTCCTGCCTGTAACTCCTATCTGTAACTCCTGCCTGTAACTCCTGCCTGTAACTCCTATCTGTAACTCCTATCTGTAACTCCTGCCTGTAACTCCTGCCTGTAACCCCTGTCTGTAACTACTATCTGTAACTCCTGCCTGTAACTCCTGCCTGTAACTCCTGCCTGTAACTTCTGCCTGTAACTCCTGCCTGTAACTCCTGCCTGTAACTCCTGTCTGTAACTCCTATCTGTAACCCCTGCCTGTAACTCCTGCCTGTAAGCTTCAGAAACCAATTCATAAGCCTTCAAAACTTCAGCCAAATAAACAACCTGATAATCAGGACGCCTATCAATGGGTAAAGTACAATAAACGTCTTGAGCATTTACCCTAAACACACTTTGCAACAACATGGTCCACTGATCCTGTGGCCACTTGAAACTGTATACTGCCTTTTCAAAATGTAGGAAAGCCTTCTCCACATCACATTCAGAGAATTGCAGAACAAGTCTAATCTGCTTGGAAAGATCAACCGATCCATCACATCACCTGTTGAGATACGGGGAGAGATATCATTCTGTAATTCAATTTGCTTCAGCTTAATTTCTTTATCGGTTTCAATTTCTACTTGCTTACTCGGAAATTCACTGTCTTCTTTTTCTTTCTCGGCTTCCAATTTCAAAATTTCTTTTTCATTCTTAACCTCAATTTCTTTAAGCCAAAATTCTTTCTTATTCTCAACTTCGATTCTTCTCCTTTCTTTACATTTCTTAAGACGAATTTCAATAGCCAAATTTTCTCTTTCAAATTGTAATTTCTTCAAAGCCAAAACATCAGTCTTTTGTTCAAGCAAGGCAAAAGCATCTTCATTCAAAATGTTTTCCCCAATAAGGTAAGTTATCAAGATGTTCTTGCCATCATCCTTAAGCATACCCGATTTGATATCAAGTTTGTAATGTTTGGCCAATTCGACCAGTTCAGACTTTTTGAGCATACAGGCTTGTTTCGTTGGCTATTCACAAAATACCACAGTGATTGTTGGCTTCTCACAATATAAGACAATAAAATGTTTCTCCAAATTTGTGTACAAATACTTTGTGATATATTTAATTTCTATCCCGGACGAGCCCCCAATTTCTGTTACGTGTCGATTCCCAAATTGATACACAATCTACAAATGTATTACAAAATTCACTAGGTTTACAAATAATTACAAATTACTGCACAACAATTACAATGGCAGTACACAATAGTGAGTGAGTGAGTGAGTTTGGTTTTACGCCGCTTTTAGCAATATTCCAGCAATATCACGACGGGGGACACCAGAAATGGGCTTCACACAATAGAGAGGTAATACAATATTCAATGGCAAATATATAATATGATGGCAGTGTTCAGTATCAACTCAAAAAATAGCAAAAGTAATAATAGTATATTCACCCAGCGGCGACAGTTGTCAAACTTCAGAGATGAGCCTTGGCAGGGAATCAGGGTGGGGGATCTTCTCACGGACGCTAGTCTTGATGTTTGTTTGTTTGTTGTTTAACGCCGCACTCAGCAATATTCCAGCTATATAATGGCGGTCTGTAAATAATCGAGTCTGGGCCAGAAAATCCAGTGATTAATATCATGACCATCGATCTACGCAATTGGGATCGATGACATGCATCAACCACTTCAGCGAGCCTGACCACCCGATCCCGTTAGTCGCCTCTTACTACAAGCATAGTCGCCTTTTACAGCAAGCATGGGTTCGTTAAGACCTATTCTGCCCCGGATCTTCACGGGTCTTGATGTTATGAAATGTGTGAGGGACGAAATGTATGAGAAAGACGAGAGGCACAGTCGTGTCCCCTTATGTACAGTCTCACCAGCTTCTGGACATTTCTACACAGTGCCATCACCAGTGTAGCGGCACTAGAACATCACAGAATATTCCACCTATGTCCACGGTACACCGGAAGTTTACACGCGATTCTAGCATCTAAATATAGACACTTCCTCAAAACTGCTTTCATTAAACAGTACTACATTCCTGACAACTAATCACTGTCCAAACACAATACAACGAGCATCTACCGAATCTCAACAGAAACAATGGAACACAGCTACAATCACTGTTCAACAACAAAATACACTGCATATAAAGTGTATATACTGCCTGTCTTCCTCAGGCTAGCTGACTCCACTGTGAAGATGTTATTAACCTTAGATGACGCCACGAGAGGCACGTAGTTAACCAAAGCTGGACACACGAAAAGGATGGCGTAAACCCAGCTTGATCAGGGCGCACGTGAAGTTACGGGCACCAACATGGATCTATTCAATAAATGAACAGTCAACACATAATTCTTGTCCATCGCTAGAAACATTTCTTTGAAAAAACTCGAGCAAAACAGTACAACACATTTAATTCAGCATATGACAACTAAATTTGAATGAAACACTCTTCACAGATAATGTGAACACATTCTCCATCACCCCACTAGACTGGGGGATTTCCCTGCGCTCACGGCCCGGAGCGAGTCCACATAGATCCACTCCATGGCGCGGTACGGAGCCAGGAGCTTGCAGTAGTACATCCCCCCAAAAGACGAGATGAAGGTGTTGAGACTCGTCACAAGGGAGGCAGAAGTTACTTCCAGCTCAGTCGCAGATTCCTTTAACTCCAACTTCCATCCTACCCATTGGATGCCAGTGCCAATTTTAACGTCGTCTTTGAAAACCATTCTCCTCACTGCACGTTTCTGGTAGCGAGTCCTAGCCACGCTGGAGGACGAGTTGAGAGCCAGTTGGAAAGCAGCCTGTGTGTAGAGGGTCAACACACCATGTACAACAATCTCCAAACAGAGACACACCATGTACAACAATCTACATACAACGTCACGCCATGTACAACAATCTCAATACAGAGACACACCTTGTACAACAATCTCCATACAGAGACACACCTTGTACAACAATCTCCATACAGAGACACACCATGTACAACAATCTCCATACAGCGTCACGCCATGTACAACAATCTCCATACAGAGACACACCTTGTACAACAATCTCCATACACAGACACACCATGTACAACAATCTCCACACAGAGACACACCATGTACAACAATCTCCATACAGAGACACACCATGTACAACAATCTCCACACGGAGACACACCATGTACAACAATCTCCATACAGAGACACACCATGTACAACAATCTCCATACAGAGACACGCCATGTACAACAATCTCCATACAGAGACACACCATGTACAACAATCTCCATACAGAGACACACCATGTACAACAATCTCCATACAGAGACACACCATGTACAACAATCTCCATACAGAGACACACCATGTACAACAATCTCCAGACGGAGACACACCATGTACAACAATCTCCATACAGAGACACACCATGTAAAACAATCTCCATACACAGACACACCATGTACAACAATCTCCATACAGAGACACACCATGTACAACAATCTCCATACAGAGACACACCATGTACAACAATCTCCATACAGAGACACACCATGTACAACAATCTCCATACAGAGACACACCATGTACAACAATCTCCAGACGGAGACACACCATGTACAACAATCTCCATACACAGACACACCATGTACAACAATCTCCATACACAGACACGCCATGTACAACAATCTCCATACACAGACACACCATGTACAACAATCTCCATACACAGACACGCCATGTACAACAATCTCCACACAGAGACACACCATGTACAACAATCTCGATACAGAGACACACCATGTACAACAATCTCCAGACAGAGACACACCATGTACAACAATCTCCATACACAGACACACCATGTACAACAATCTCCATACAGAGACACACCATGTACAACAATCTCCATACAGAGACACACCATGTACAACAATCTCCATACAGCGTCACACCATGTACGACAATCTCCATACAGAGACACACCATGTACAACAATCTCCATACAGAGACACACCATGTACAACAATCTCCACACAGAGACACACCATGTACAACAATCTCCACACAGAGACACACCATGTACAACAATCTCCATACAGAGACACACCATGTACAACAATCTCCATACAGAGACACACCTTGTACAACAATCTCCATACAGAGACACAGCATGTACAACAATCTCCATACAGAGACACACCATGTACAACAATCTCCATACAGAGACACACCATGTACAACAATCTCGATACAGAGACACACCATGTACAACAATCTCCATACAGAGACACACCATGTACAACAATCTCGATACAGAGACACGCCATGTACAACAATCTCCATACAGCGTCACACCATGTACGACAATCTCCATACAGAGACACACCATGTACAACAATCTCCACACAGAGACACACCATGTACAACAATCTCCATACAGCGTCACGCCATATACAACAATCTCCATACAGAGACACACCATGTACAACAATCTCCAGACGGAGACACACCATGTACAACAATCTCCATACAGAGACACACCATGTACAACAATCTCCATACAGCGTCACGCCATATACAACAATCTCCATACAGCGTCACGCCATGTACAACAATCTCCATACAGAGTCACACCATGTACAACAATCTCCATACAGAGACACACCATGTACAACAATCTCCATACAGAGACACACCATGTACAACAATCTCCATACAGAGACACACCATGTACAACAATCTCCAGACGGAGACACACCATGTACAACAATCTCCATACACAGACACACCATGTACAACAATCTCCATACACAGACGCGCCATGTACAACAATCTCCATACACAGACACACCATGTACAACAATCTCCATACACAGACACGCCATGTACAACAATCTCCACACAGAGACACACCATGTACAACAATCTCGATACAGAGACACACCATGTACAACAATCTCCAGACAGAGACACACCATGTACAACAATCTCCATACACAGACACACCATGTACAACAATCTCCATACAGAGACACTCCATGTACAACAATCTCCATACAGAGACACACCATGTACAACAATCTCCATACAGCGTCACACCATGTACGACAATCTCCATACAGAGACACACCATGTACAACAATCTCCATACAGAGACACACCATGTACAACAATCTCCACACAGAGACACACCATGTACAACAATCTCCATACAGACACACCGTGTACAACAATCTCCATACAGAGACACTCCATGTACAACAATCTCCATACAGAGACACACCATGTACAACAATCTCCATACAGCGTCACGCCATGTACAACAATCTCCATACAGAGACACACCATGTACAACAATCTCCATACAGAGACACACCATGTACAACAATCTCAATACATCGTCACACCATGTACAACAATCTCAATACATCGTCACACCATGTACAACAATCTCCATACAGAGACACACCATGTACAGCAATCTCAATACAGACACACCATGTACAACAATCTCCATACAGCGTCACGCCATGTACAACAATCTCCACACAGAGACACACCGTGTACAACAATCTCCATACAGAGAAACACCATGTACAACAATCTCCATACAGAGACACACCATGTACAACAATCTCCATACAGAGACACACCATGTACAACAATCTCCATACAGCGTCACGCCATATACAACAATCTCCATACAGCGTCACGCCATGTACAACAATCTCCATACAGCGTCACACCATGTACAACAATCTCCATACAGAGACACACCATGTACAACAATCTCCATACAGAGAAACACCATGTACAACAATCTCCATACAGCGTCACACCATGTACAACAATATCCATACAGAGACACACCATGTACAACAATCTCCATACAGCGTCACACCATGTACAACAATCTCCATACAGAGACACACCATGTACAACAATCTCGATACAGAGACACACCATGTACAACAATCTACATACAACGTCACGCCATGTACAACAATCTCCATACAGAGACACACCATGTACAACAATCTCCATACAGAGACACACCATGTACAACAATCTCCATACAGAGACACACCATGTACAACAATCTCGATACAGAGACACACCATGTACAACAATCTACATACAACGACACGCCATGTACAACAATCTCCATACAGAGACACACCATGTACAACAATCTCCATACAGAGACACACCATGTACAACAATCTCCATACAGAGACACACCATGTACAACAATCTCGATACAGAGACACACCATGTACAACAATCTCCATACAGAGACACACCATGTACAACAATCTCCATACAGAGACACACCATGTACAACAATCTCCATACAGCGTCACGCCATGTACAACAATCTCCATACAGAGACACACCACGTACAACAATCTCCATACAGAGACACACCATGTACAACAATCTCCATACAGAGACACACCATGTACAACAATCTCCATACAGAGACACACCATGTACAACAATCTCCATACAGCGTCACACCATGTACGACAATCTCCATACAGCGTCACGCCATGTACAACAATCTCCATACAGAGACACGCCATGTACAACAATCTCCATACAGCGTCACACCATGTACAGCAATCTCCACACAGAGACACACCATGTACAACAATCTCCATACAGCGTCACACCATGTACAACAATCTCCATACAGCGTCACACCATGTACAACAATCTCCATACAGCGTCACGCCATGTACAACAATCTCCATACAGCGTCACGCCATGTACAACAATCTCCACACAGAGACACACCATGTACAACAATCTCCGTACAGCGTCACACCATGTACAACAATCTCCACACAGAGACACGCCATGTACAACAATCTCCACACAGAGACACACCATGTACAACAATCTCCATACAGCGTCACACCGTGTACGACAATCTCCATACAGCGTCACGCCATGTACAACAATCTCCATACAGCGTCACACCATGTACAACAATCTCCATACAGAGACACACCGTGTACGACAATCTCCATACAGAGACACACCATGTACAACAATCTCCATACAGAGACACACCATGTACAACAATCTCCATACAGAGACACACCATGTACAACAATCTCCATACAGAGACACACCATGTACAACAATCTCCATACAGAGACACACCATGTACAACAATCTCCATACAGCGTCACACCATGTACAACAATCTCCACACAGAGACACACCATGTACACAATCTCCATACAGCGTCACACCATGTACAACAATCTCCATACAGCGTCACACCATGTACAACAATCTCCATACAGACACACCATGTACAACAATCTCCATACAGAGACACACCATGTACACAATCTCCATACAGCGTCACACCATGTACAACAATCTCCACACAGAGACACACCATGTACACAATCTCCATACAGCGTCACACCATGTACAACAATCTCCATACAGCGTCACACCATGTACAACAATCTCCATACAGACACACCATGTACAACAATCTCCATACAGCGTCACACCATGTACAACAATCTCCATACAGCGTCACACCATGTACAACAATCTCCATACAACGTCACACCATGTACAACAATCTCCATACAGACACACCATGTACAACAATCTCCATACAGCGTCACACCATGTACAACAATCTCCATACAGAGACACACCGTGTACGACAATCTCCATACAGAGACACACCATGTACAACAATCTCCATACAGAGACACACCATGTACAACAATCTCCATACAGAGACACACCATGTACAACAATCTCCATACAGAGACACACCATGTACAACAATCTCCATACAGCGTCACACCATGTACAACAATCTCCACACAGAGACACACCATGTACACAATCTCCATACAGCGTCACACCATGTACAACAATCTCCATACAGCGTCACACCATGTACAACAATCTCCATACAGAGACACGCCATGTACAACAATCTCCATACAGAGACACACCATGTACAACAATCTCCATACAGAGACACACCATGTACAACAATCTCCATACAGAGACACACCATGTACAACAATCTCCATACAGCGTCACACCATGTACAACAATCTCCATACAGAGACACACCATGTACAACAATCTCCATACAGAGACACACCATGTACAACAATCTCCATACAGAGACACACCATGTACAACAATCTCCATACAGAGAAACACCATGTACAACAATCTCCAGACAGAGACACACCATGTACAACAATCTCCATACAGAGACACACCATGTACAACAATCTCCATACAGAGACACACCATGTACAACAATCTCCAGACAGAGACACACCATGTACAACAATCTCCAGACAGAGACACACCATGTACAACAATCTCCATACAGAGACACACCGTGTACGACAATCTCCATACAGAGACACACCATGTACAACAATCTCCATACAGAGACACACCATGTACAACAATCTCCATACAGAGAAACACCATGTACAACAATCTCCAGACAGAGACACACCATGTACAACAATCTCCATACAGAGACACGCCATGTACAACAATCTCCATACAGAGACACACCATGTACAACAATCTCCATACAGAGACACACCATGTACAACAATCTCCATACAGAGACACACCATGTACAACAATCTCCATACAGAGACACACCATGTACAACAATCTCCATACAGAGACACACCATGTACAACAATCTCCATACAGAGACACACCATGTACAACAATCTCCATACAGAGACACACCATGTACAACAATCTCCATACAGAGACACACCATGTACAACAATCTCCATACAGAGACACACCATGTACAACAATCTCCATACAGAGACACACCATGTACAACAATCTCCATACAGAGACACACCATGTACAACAATCTCCATACAGAGACACACCATGTACAACAATCTCCATACAGAGACACACCATGTACAACAATCTCCATACAGAGACACGCCATGTACAACAATCTCCATACAGAGACACACCATGTACAACAATCTCCATACAGAGACACACCATGTACAACAATCTCCACACGGAGACACACCATGTACAACAATCTCCATACAGAGACACGCACATTGTTGAGACACGCACAATGAGCATGAAGAAGACGGGTTTGGGTCCTGATTTTCACAGACAGTTGTTACCACAAGTCAACTGGGCGGCCCACGTGATCACATTCAAACAGGAACACGTATATCTCTCACCTCGTTGATGTCTTTGCACGTGATAGAAGGGGCGGACCCGGCCTTGACCCCCGACAAAGATTTCACGACAGCTTCACGTGTCTTCATCTTGGCCTCGAGTTGGTCTGGGGATGCTTTGTTTGTGGAGACATCCAGGGGGTTGAAGGGCAAGGCCACGTGGGTGACGGTATCGACGTTGTTGGTGCCCGTCTGTGCCTTGGCCAGCACAAACTGAGCCTCGCCGTCCTCCTTGTTCGTGATCTGATATACACAGATATACTACAGTTGACCTGTGTGTGATATACACAGATATACAACAGTTGACCTGTGTGTGATATACGCAGATATACTACAGTTGACCTGTGTGTGATATACACAGATATACTACAGTTGACCTGTGTGTGATATACACAGATATACTACAGTTGACCTGTGTGTGGAATACACCGATTTACTACACCTGACCTGTGTGATATACACAGATATAGTACAGTTGATATGTGTGTGATATACACAGTTATACCACAGTTGACCTGTGTGTGATATACACAGATATACTACAGTTGACCTATGTGTAAAATATACACAGTTATACTGCAGCAAACCACAGTTAACCTGTGTGTGATATACACAGATATACTACAGTTGACATATGTGTGATATACACAGATATACAACAGCATACCACAGTATACTTGTGTGATACAGACATAAAATTATATGGGGGAGTGAACATTTATCACACGATGTACATGTTTAATACCCATAGTTTTAGAAATAACCGATTTAATAAAAATGGCATTTGCAGTTGTGCAAAGAATGACTTCACGCGCACCAGTGTATTCCTTACGTCATCCGAACGGCATCGTTGACGTCATTCGAGCCTTATTGTGACATGATGTCTGAATGACCTCAAAATGGAGTTCAAAAGGATTAAAAAATAATGGCTAATAATGACATCAAAACACTCGCATGTGTGTCAAACTGATTCTACGAAACTCAAGCAAGAATTCATGCATTACACTTACTCGCGTTCAGGAAATTAAAGATTTCTGACATTCATTTCATCAGTATGTGCAAAGATTGTGCAAGTATTGGAACCTCTTCTACTTCATAGAAGTACATCATGATATACATGGATATACATCAGTAAACCTCTCCCATATGATATACATGGATATACATCAGTAAATCTCTCCCATATGATATACATGGATATACATCAGCAAAACGTCTTCAGTGTGATACACGTGGATATACACCAGTAAAACCACTCTAGTTGAACTGTATGGAGCTTACTAATTGTAGCAATCTCGTTAAAGTAGACAGAGACAACCAGTTGATATACTCTCTGACTGCTCGCCTACCTTCAGCGTCTTGGCGATGTCGCCTAGCAACAGTTGCTGGGCGCGGATGGTCCAGCCGGACACCTTCTGGTCATTCACGTCGAGGGTCTTGAGGTCCAGCAGTGGCTGTGGCCGGGAGGAGAGTGGGGTTAGTCTTGTTTGTTAGTTAGTTTGTTGTTATAAATAGAGTCTGGACCAGAGCATCCACTGATTGACATCATAAACATCGATCTACGCAAATGAGATACGATGACATGCATCAATCAAGTCAGCGAGCCTGACCACCCGCCTCTTACGACAAGGAGTTGCTGAAGACCAATTCGTACGGGGATCTTTATGGGCCATCATGTACATTAGTGCTGAATACTGTATCATCATGTACAGCAGTGTCGAACACAGTGTCGTCATGTACTGAGTATCAAACACAGTGTCGCCATGTACAGTAGTGTCGAACACAGTGTCGCCATGTAAAGCATTGTCGAACACAGTGTCGTCATGTACAGTAGTGTCGAACACTGTGTCGTCATGGACAGTAGTGTCATACACAGTGTCGCCATGTACAACAGTGTCGAACACAATGTCGTCATGTACTGAGTATCAAACACAGTGTCGCCATGTACAGTAGTGTCGAACACAGTGTCGCCATGTACAGTAGTGTCGTCATGTACAGTAGTGTCGAACACAGTGTCGCCATGTAAAGCATTGTCGCCATGTACAGTAGTGTCGAACAGAGTGTCGTCATGTACAGTTGTGTCGAACACAGTGTCGTCATGTACAGTAGTGTCGAACACAGTGTCGCCATGTACAGTAGTGTCGCCATGTACAGTAGTGTCGTCATGTACAGTAGTGTCGAACACAGTGTCGTCATGTACAGTAGTGTTGTACACAGTGTCATCATGTACAGTAGTGTCAAACACAGTGTGGCCATGTACAGTAGTGTCGAACACAGTGTCGCCATGTACAGTAGTGTCATCATGTACAGTAGGGCCGAACATAGTGTCGTCTTGTACAGTAGTGTCGAACACAGTGTTGTCATGTTCAGTAGTGTCGAACACAGTGTCGCCATGTACAGTAGTGTCATCATGTACAGTAGGGCCGAACACAGTGTTGTCATGTACAGTAGTGTTGTACAAAATGTTGTCGTGTACAGTAGTGTTGTACACAGTGTCGTCATGTACAATAGTGTTGTACACATTGTTGTCATGTACAGTAGTGTTGTACACAGTGTCGTCATGTACAGTAGTGTTGTACACAGTGTCGGCATGTACAGTAGTGTTGTACACAGTGTTGTCATGTACAGTAGTGTTGTTTACAGTGTCGTCATGTTCAGTAGTGTTGTACACAGTGTCGCCATGTACAGAAGTGTTGTACACAGTGTTGTCCTATACAGTAGTGTTGAACACAGTGTCGCCATGTACATTAGTGTCGAACACACTGTCGTCATGTACAGTAGTGTCGAACACACTGTCGTTATGTACAGTAGTGTCGAACACAGTGTCGTCATGTACAGTAGTGTCGAACACAGTGTCGTCATGTACAGTATTGTCATACACAGTGTCGCCATGTACAGTAGTGTCGAACACACTGTCTTCATGTACAGTAGTGTCGAACACAGTGTCGTCATGTACAGTAGTGTCGAACACAGTGTCGCCATGTACAGTAGTGTCGTCATGTACAGCAGTGTCGAACACACTGTCGTCATGTACAGCAGTGTCGAACACAGTGTCGCCATGTACAGTAGTGTCATCATGTACAGTAGTGTCGAACACAGTAACGCCATGTACAGTAGTGTCGCCATGTACAGTAGTGTCGAACACAGTGTCGTCATGTACAGAAGTGTCGAACACAGTGTCGTCATGTACAGTAGTGTTGAACACAGTGACGCCCTGTACAGTAGTGTTGTACACAGTGTCGTCATGTACAGTAGTGTCGAACACAGTGTCGTCATGTACAGTAGTGTCGAACACAGTGTCGTCATGTACAGTAGTGTTGTACAGTAGTGTCGCCATGTACAGTAGTGTCGAACACAGTGTCGTCATGTGCAGTAGTGTCGAACACAGTATCGTCATGTGCAGTAGTGTCGAACACAGTGTCGTCATGTGCAGTAGTGTCGAACACACTGTCGTCATGTACAGTAGTGTCGAACACAGTGTCGTCATGTGCAGTAGTGTCGAACACAGTGTCGCCATGTACAGTAGTGTCGAACACAGTGTCGTCATGTGCAGTAGTGTCGAACACAGTGTCGTCATGTGCAGTAGTGTCGAACACAGTGTCGTCATGTACAGTAGTGTCGAACACAGTGTCGCCCTGTACAGAAGTGTTGTACAGTAGTGTCGCCATGTACAGTAGTGTCGAACACAGTGTCGCCATGTACAGTAGTGTCGAACACAGTGTCGTCATGTGCAGTAGTGTCGAACACACTGTCTTCATGTACAGTAGTGTCGAACACACTGTCGTCATGTACAGCAGTGTCGAACACACTGTCGTCATGTACAGCAGTGTCGAACACAGTGTCGTCATGTACAGCAGTGTCGAACACAGTGTCGCCATGTACAGTAGTGTCGAACACAGTGTTGTCCTATACAGTAGTGTCGAACACACTGTCGTCATGTACAGCAGTGTCGAACACAGTGTTGTCCTATACAGTAGTGTCGAACACACTGTCGTCATGTACAGCAGTGTCGAACACAGTGTTGTCCTATACAGTAGTGTCGAACACACTGTCGTCATGTACAGCAGTGTCGAACACAGTGTTGTCCTATACAGTAGTGTCGAACACACTGTCGTCATGTACAGTAGTGTCGAACACACTGTCGCCATGTACAGCAGTGTCGAACACACTGTCGTCATGTACAGCAGTGTCGAACACAGTGTAGCCATGTACAGTAGTGTCGTCATGTACAGTAGTGTCGTCATGTACAGTAGTGTCGTCATGTACAGTAGTGTCGAACACAGTGTCGCCATGTACAGTAGTGTCGTCATGTACAGTAGTGTCGAACACACTGTCGTCATGTACAGTAGTGTTGAACACACTGTCGTCATGTACAGTATTGTCGAACACAGTGTCGCCATGTACAGTAGTGTCGAACACAGTGTCGCCATGTACAGTAGTGTCGAACACAGTGTCGCCATGTACTGAGTGTCGCCATGTACAGTAGTGTCGAACACAGTGTCGCCATGTACAGTAGTGTCATACACAGTGTCCCCATGTACAGTAGTGTCGAACACAGTGTCGTCATGTACAGTAGTGTCATACACAGTGTCGCCATGTACAGTATTGTCGAACACAGTGTCGCCATGTACAGCAGTGTCTAACACAGTGTCGTCATACAATAAATACCTTGACCACTGCTTTGTCCAACAAGACTGAACCATTAAATGTTTACTTTCATGATGCGACTTGTAGCCGCATACGCCTGCTTGAGCGCGACCTTGGCCTTCGAGACGTCGGTCTGCGGCTGTTGAAGCGTTGCTACCAGGAAGTTATTGCAGTGCTGCGCAATCACTTTGTGCGCACTTGATTCAGTGACCTCTGCGGCCAGGTCCTCCTTGACGACCCCCGAGGGCATGGTGCCTGACGCGAACTGGGCGTGGTTGATGCCAGACATGATGACGACAGGGGTGCGGTACATAGCGTTGGCGTCCTTAGCAACGTCGCTCTGCAACTCCCTGGAATCAGTTTTACGTGCACGTCGTGCATACAGTACCCGGCTGGTGATAGGGGTTAAACAAACTTACACAGGGTGACGTGACGGGGGTTTAAGCAAACATACACAGGGTGACGTGACGGGGGTTTAAAGAAACTTACACAGGGTGACGCGGCGGGTGTGTTTGTGTGTGTGTGCGTGCGCGCGCGCGTGCGTGCGCGCGTGTGTGCGTGTGTGTGTGCGTGCGTGCGTGCGTGCGTGTGTGTGCGTGTGTGTGTGCGTGTGTGTGTGTGTGTGTGTATGTGTGTGGTAAAACAAGCATACACAGGGTGACGTGACGAGAGGTTAAAAGACATACACAGGTTGACGTGACCAGAGGTTAAAGAGACATACACAGGGTGACGTGACGAGAGGTTTAAAGACATACACAGGTTGACGTGACGAGAGGTTAAAAAGAGACACACACAGGATGACGTGACGAGAGGTTAAAGAGACATACACAGGTTGACGTGACGAGAGGTTAAAGAGACATACACAGGTTGACGTGACGAGAGGTTAAAGAGACATACACACGTTGACGTGACGAGAGGTTAAAGAGACATACACAGGTTGACGTGACGAGAGGTTATAGAGACATACACAGGTTGACGTGACGAGAGGTTAAAGAGACATACACAGGTTGACGTGACGAGAGGTTAAAGAGACATACACAGGTTGACGTGTCGAGATGTTAAAGAGACATACACAGGTTGACGTGACGAGAGGTTAAAGAGACATACACAGGTTGACGTGACGAGAGGTTAAAGAGACATACACAGGATGACGTGACGAGAGGTTAAAGAGACATACACAGGATGACGTGACGAGAGGTTAAAGAGACATACACAGGATGACGTGACGAGGGGCTCAACAAACATAAACAGGTTGACATGACGGGATTTTAAACATAGGACGTAATCTCTAAATAAAGCAAATTCTCACATTGGGGCTAGTAACGTATACGTCTGTTGCAATGATTTGTAAACGTTCTAGATTGGGGAGCAATTAATGGTACGAAAAGGACGAGAAATTAAAAGTACATATGTGAAAAGGATAAAGAGCAGGGCGGGATTTTGGTCGCATTTTCATGTTTGTAGTACTCGTCGTTAAAAAGATCATCAGTGCAGACGGTGTTGACGTAGTGCATGGAACTCACTGGAAGGTGTCTGCGATCCTGGTGATGCGTGTGTTGCCGTCCAGGTCGCCGGAGATAGTGAGGACAGGAAGAGGGTACTGGGACAGGGGATTCCCCTTGGTGATGTAGGACGCCAACAGCAGGATGCCCTTTAACTGTTTGGCATGAGATTTCCCATGGTTCCCAACGAAGACGCCTGTTGAGAGAGAGAGATACTCTTATTTGAAAGTGATTTTACATTCAGTAGAACAGTTGTAAATATGAATGCAGAAAGTGTCCGTGGCAGCAAATGATTGACTTGCTCGTAAAAGAGACGTCGAGTGATGTCGTGGCCAAATTTGAACAACTGTCAACTTTCCATAATGGTTTTAATCGTTCGAGAAGTTTCTGTAATGTACAGTTTCTCGAAGGCTGGCTGAACCATTAAAGCAGCGGCAAGAGAGAGATTCGAGATCTTTTTCGACCTCACTTATTTCTAATCTACTTGCTACGTGTGGTTTGTATTACTGTTTGGAAGCATCGCATTCCTACCAGCTTCCAAAGCCATTCTTGATTCAAGAAGGCTTCTTTCAAGACATTCCGACAAAATTCTCCCCGACTACTTTTCTAGGTTTGTCAGCACCATAACCGTGCTCGTGGGTTTCACCGAAGTGGTAAATGTCTGAGACCTGCATCACTTCGGGCTTTCCTCCCACATTAAGTTGACACGCCGTGATATAACTGGAATAATGTTAAAAGCGGCGTTAAACCCAACTCACTCACTCAGTCATGTATTGTCAATTTTACTGATTGCCTAATTCAGTTCTCTGCAAATCCTTAGTTGGCCTCTGTGTTTTAGTTTTAACGCAACATCACTCAAGATTATCAAATAAAATTGGTTTAACGAGCGAGTGATTACTATTGTAACAAATATGTACATATGTGATTCTGCAAAAGTTGACCACCCAAATACCTCCGAGACTGTGTCCTGCCAGGAAGACGTTGTCGGAAGTCATTCCTTTCTTCCGGAGCTGCGCAATGGCGTCCGTGACAGCCCCCGACAGTTGTAGGGGGTTTGGGAGATCGGCGATAAACTCCGCCAGAACAACTACCCAGAGTTTCAGAGGAGACGACGTCTGTATTTCCTGCCCTGTGTTGGACAAAGAATGTTAAAACACGTTGTTGATCTTAGCATTAGTATTTTATGCAGCCCCAAGTACATGTTTCCTTGTTGTTATATATACCATATATCTACATGTGTAATTCTGTCCTCGGTGTTATATATAACATATATCTACATGTGCAATTCTGTCCTCGGTCTTATATATAACATATATCTACACGTGTAATTCTGTCCTCGGTGTTATATATAACATATATCTACATGTGTAATTCTGACCTCGGTGTTATATATAACATATATCTACATGTGTAATTCTGTCCTCGGTATTATATATAACATATATCTACATGTGTAATTCTGTCCTCGGTGTTATATATAACATATATCTCAGGTGTAATTCTGACCTCGGTGTTATATATAACATATATCTACATGTGTAATTCTGTCCTCGGTATTATATATAACATATATCTACATGTGTAATTCTGTCCTCGGTGTTATATATAACATATATCTACATGTATATATCTGACCTCGGTGTTATATATAACATATATCTACATCTGTATATCTGACCTCGGTATTATATATAACATATATCTACATCTGTATGTCTGACCTCGGTATTATATATAACATATATCTACATCTGTATATCTGACCTCGGTATTATATATAACATATATCTACATCCTTTTTACATCTGCTCACGGCACCTCGAGGGACCTTCCATGAGAGACTAGTCTTCTGACCCAGCTAGCGACCTACCTAGTGGGATATACTGTTCTCCCTTCACGTAGGCCCCGGGCACGATGATCAAGGCAGCCTCGGGGCCTGGTTTGGCCTGGGGGGTCAGGATGTGAGGGGTGACGGCTAGGGCCACGCCCAGGACGGAAGTCAGCAGCAACAGAGAGGCCGTCATCTTGGGAACTGATCCAGTCAATGTGGGAAGCGGAAAGAGCTTGCCACAATGTTTTTGAAGGTGTTACTTATGTAAACTGATAAGGCTGGGTAATTAGACATCTGTCGGAGGACATTCGTCCTAGTTTCCCTAGTCGTCTGAGATTGTCGAAAACATCCGATAGCGTAAAGGTTAAAACACCCATTTCTTTTAAAACGGCACTTTTATATGTCACATGATATACTACATGTCAAAATAATCAGTTGTCAGGTATATGCACTATACGTTCAGGGTATATCAAAGTGTCACATCGTACACCTGTCTCAACCTGCGTCAGGTATATGCACTATACGTTCAGGGTATATCAAAGTGTCACATCGTACACCTGTATGAACCTGCGCCAGGTATATGTACTATAAGTTCAGGGTATATTAAAGTGTTATATTGTACACCTGTATTAACCTGCGTCAGGTATATGCACTATACGTTCAGGGTATATCAAAGTGTCACATCGTACACCTGTCTCAACCTGCGTCAGGTATATGCACTATACGTTCAGGGTATATTAAGGGTTACATCGTACACCTGTATGAACCTGCGCCAGGTATATGTACTATAAGTTCAGGGTATATTAAAGTGTTATATCGTACACCTGTATTAACCTGCGTCAGGTATATGCACTATACGTTCAGGGTATATCAAAGTGTCACATCGTACACCTGTCTCAACCTGCGTCAGGTATATGCACTATACGTTCAGGGTATATTAAGGGTTACATCGTACACCTGTATGAACCTGCGCCAGGTATATGTACTATAAGTTCAGGGTATATTAAAGTGTTATATCGTACACCTGTATTAACCTGCGTCAGGTATATGCACTATACGTTCAGGGTATATTAAGGGTTACATCGTACACCTGTATTAACCTGCGTCAAGTATATGCACTATACGTTCAGGGTATATTAAGGGTTACATCGTACACCTGTAATAACCTGCGTCAAGTATATGCACTATACGTTCAGGGTATATTAAGGGTTACATCGTACACCTGTATTAACCTGCGTCAAGTATATGCACTATACGTTCAGGGTATATTAAGGGTTACATCGTACACCTGTATTAACCTGCGTCAAGTATATGCACTATACGTTCAGGGTATATTAAGGGTTACATCGTACACCTGTATTAACCTGCGTCAAATATATGCACTACTGTATATGTTGATGGTTATATTAATCCGTGACAGCTATATGAATATTATGCGTTACATCGCACACTCGTATTACCCTGCGTCAGGTATATGCACTATACGTTCATGGTATATTTAAGTGGACACCTGTATTAACCTATCAAGCAATATGTATATTAAACGTTCATGGTATATTAATGTTACAAATCAAACCAGTATTAACCTGTAAAGTATATGTATATTATACGTTCATGTATATCAATTAATTGGTTACATCGTACACAAGAATAAACCTGTGGTACGGTATATGCGCAATACGTGGTTATTAATATAAGTGGTATATTAATAAGCGGCACGAAATAATAAACAACTTTTAACCAAAACATATTTCAACAAGCTATTTGCATTTCAGAGGTGACAGGTAAGTCTAGACCAAAACTAGGAGTGCAAGATCACCATTACACAAGTGTATTGTGAAAGTGTGGCCTCATGAACGTGGGTGTTGCAAGGACATCGTTCTAGATGCTGACACCAGATACGCTGTGGTCATTGACACGTAGAACCAGTCGAACAATATCGGCTTGTCTCATCTACATACCTGGATCCCGGCGTGCTTCTCAATACACACGATACTATGATACACACTTGACTATGATACACACGAGACTATGATACACATGAGACTATGAAACACACGAGACTATGACACACACGAGACTATGATACACACGAGACTATGATACACACGAGACTATGACACTCAGGAGACTATGATACACACGAGACTATGACACACACGAGACTATGACACACATGAGACTATGAAACACACGAGACTATGACACACACGAGACTATGACACACATGAGACTATGATACACACGAGACTATGATACACACGAGACTATGACGCTCATGAGACTATGAAACACACGAGACTATGAAACACACGAGACTATGACACACACGAGACTATGACACACATGAGACTATGATACACACGAGACTATGATACACACGAGACTATGATACACGCGAGACTATGATACACACGAGACTATGATACACGCGAGACTATGATACACACTTGACTATGATACACACGAGACTATGATACACACGTGGCTATGATACACACGTGGCTATGAAACACATTTCCTTGTCAATTTTCGACCGTTTGTTATCATATAATAATGTTCTCTGTCTCCTAGCATTTAGCCATGTATACACCCGATAAAGGAGTAAGTATATACGTTGCGTTTCTCATAATAAACAAGTTGACATTCATAAGTTCTCTCCCTTATGCGTATGAGTAAATGCCTTTCAAAGACTTTCTCATCTCATATTTGAATGTTCTTCTGTTGAACAATGCTTCTATATACTGCTCATGTTTTATATGCCTTTTTACCACAAACTTTTAAACACCTTTAGCTGTTCTTATCTCCCGCTACCAGACTTCTTTATAGATAAGAAAAAACTGCTCTTCGGTCTTAATCCAACATACTCTGCAATAGGAGTTCCAGCACATTTATCCTTCATCTTACCTAATACCTTCTTATTCACTGTGATGTGCAATTGGTTATCTTTTGGGTAATCACTTGTATCACATATATGTATTTTTTGCCATATATTTATATGCATCATCAGTTTTCTATTTCCAGTAACAAAGAATCTGTATCGGTATTTTACACCCGTCATCTATCACTGCATTGCTTCTTAAGTTCATTGTAATAAAAGTCATACATTAAGTGTTTTGACAAGTCAAGAGTACTCATACCAACATAGACTGGTCCGTTGAATGTTATATTGCTCTTCCTCATACGTAATGCCGCTAAGTCGTTGTCAAATATCTTACTTCTGTTAAAAGCCGGACTGACTATAAGTTGCCTTAGTCTTTCTTCCTCATTAGATCTGACTAATTTAACATCAACACGCTTGCTTAGATTCTCCATAGTTTTACCCAGAAACTGAGTTATTCATGAGCTTATATAGATTCTTTTCGAACTCACTAGTAGCCTTCTTTCTTAAATCTGTGTTCAGCGTTATATTGGGCTCCATCCAAGTGATTTGGCCAAACTTAAGAACTCTATATATGTTCTTATACCTAATGATAGATACAACTGGATATTTTTATGGCGGCCTTTATATATATATATCTTATCCATGAATTTTGGTACGCATTTTTTCAACATTAGCTAATTTAGTCTTTCCCGTCGAGTTCTGTAGATATTCGGCCATCCAATCTCTATTAACCATTAATCTTTCAGGAGCTAGCGGATAACAGTTATGATGTTAACGTACATTTGTGGCGTATTCTAAGTCAAGTTCTGGTATATACCTTTATCAGAATCTTTGGGAATATTATTCACATCGACATTGTCTACCCCCTGGAAAACACAGGTGGGTAAAGGTGGACTCATAGCCCATCGGTACAGATGGTTGGTGTCGAGATATAATATGGTTGTAGAAGGTTTACTCGGTTCATATCCTTCTACTAATTTAGTTTCATCAAGCCTGGGCCAATCATGCATATATTCGTAAGGATAGACACCTTTTTCTCAGCAACAAATGCCGAGTTAACCGATCAGTATATCGATTTGTTATAGAAGTCATCGGGATTGTTTGCATTTGCTAAATTGTCCAGAGAAGATTTTGTTCTCGCTTTCTTATCCTCGTCTGTATAATGTATAGTTTAAGTCAAAGAGAATGATATAAAACTGCCCATACTATTAGCAATACACGTTAAACCACCATCAGTCTTTGCATGAGATGAGAATCATATCCTCTAAGATTATGAAATAAAATGGGGATTGATATTGTTTTGGGATTTGTTTTAAGTTTCAAGTTACACTCATTATGCGCGGCTCCTCTAAATGTACCTGTGACGTGGCAATGATCTCTTACAGAATCCCTATTAAGGGGTTTATTAGAAACATGACAACTCCAATTGTCATCCATATGGGTTTCATATGCAATAAATTTTCCCTGATTATTCCCTTTTCATTTTGTTGAGATTCTAGGAGTTTTTCCACTGCACCAGGGCCACTGTAAATCACAGGAGCATTTACGACTATATATCCAACCCCGCAAGCCTTATGTTCGTGAGTTTTGTAAATAAACCTACATTCATAACTGTGTTCAGTATTTTCAATCAGTGTTATATAAACTTCAAAGTCAGGGTAAATTATGTCTGGTACTGGCATTTGATTACCCATGACGACAAGCCTGAGCTAGCTGACTTCTCCAGCGAAAACTACATGTCAGACAACCTACCTGGTTACCATCCGAAATTGATGCACTTTGTGGCCACTAAAAACTTCTCACCCTACATCATTCAGTCCGAACATGAGTGTTATATCCTCACTGACAGCAAACCTTGTGTCCAAGCCCTTGAGAAGCTATGTCGTGGGAGTTCTCAGCCAGATCGAGAGTGTCAACATTCTTGTCAGCCGTTACCAAGCTTCAGTATATATCTGGCACAGCCAACATTCCGTCTGACAATGCTCCCAACTGCACAAACGAATCTTGTCAAGTGTGCTCTTTCGTTGCGATGCGAGGTTGCCTCACAGGAGCTGAGCTGCCTGACTTGCCATCCGGTCCGAGAGCTCTGACCTACGACGTACCCATGCCCATCTTATCCAGGGTACCCGCCCATCTTATCCAGGGTACCCGCCCATCTTATCCAGGGAACCCGCCCATCTTATACAGGGTACCCGCCCATCTTATCCAGGTAACCCGCCTATCTTATCCAGGGTACCCGCCCATCTTATCCAGGGAATCCGCCCATCTTATCCAGGGAACCCGCCCATCTTATCCAGGGTACCCGCCATCTTATCCAGGGAACCCGCCCATCTTATCCAGGGTACCCGCCAATCTTATCCAGGGTACCCGCCCATCTTATCCAGGGAACCCGCCCATCTTATCCAGGGTACCCGCCATCTTATCCAGGGAACCCGCCCATCTTATCCAGAGAACCCGCCCATCAAATAAACAGAGTAATATCAAGAACACCAAACGCTGCCTCCACGTGGCATACATTGCCAAAGATGGCCTGCTTGTTGTGCCTCAGAATGAACCAAAAGCTCCTGCAAGGAACTCCTGCAAAAGCTCCTGCAATCCCCAGAAGTCTGTCGGACTCCTCTTTGCTGCAGTTCTTGTGGTAAGAGAATGACAGCCAGTTCTTGTGGTAAAAGAATGACAGTCAGTTCTTGTGGTAAGAGAATGACAGTCGGTTCTTGTGGTAAAAGAATGACAGTCAGTTCTTGTGGTAAGAGAATGACAGTCGGTTCTTGTGGTAAGAGAATGCGTAACATCCTTGACTACAACAAGCATGATAACAGATGAACGCCACAAGACCTTGCGTAATTGTGCCTCCAACTCAAGCCCCTGACTGGACCACCTAATGCCATACGGATTGATTGGTACCACTAATAATAATCAACGTGAAAGTCCTTCTACTCTACTCCAGTCAAAGATGAAAAATACAATAGAGGTAGAAGCGAATTGTTCTCAGCATTACAGTATAAGAAGTTAAGGCGGTGCATTTTTACGAAACTCAAAGTTTCAATACTTTCTGATCTTGGAGACACAGAAGGATTTGATAAACCTGGTATTGAAAGCAGATTATATAATGTTTTACACTTACACGATAATGTATAAAAGCGGAAAGAAGTTACATTTGCAGCATCTATTCTAGGAGATTTAAATGATGTTGAGGTAAGAGAACCCATTAAAAACACCTTGTACAATCCTGTCCTCACTGGTGATGATAAATGGATTATGCTTGAAAAAAAAATCGACTGGCTTATAAATATCCTCATTAAACCACCATATGTGATTATGACGGGTAAGGAACGTCGTTTAAATAAGGTCATGAATCGTAGGATTATACCGGGGGCTTATATTCCATCAAAACAAAATTGCGTGTTCATTGCTCCACTACCAGAGAAGGGGCGGTCGGGTAGAGGTTAAAGGGTTCGCTCGTCACGCCGAAGACCCGGGTTCGATTCCCGACATTGGTACAATGTGTGAAGCCCATTTCTGATGTCCCCCGTCGTGATATTGTTGGAATATTGCTAAAAGCGGCCTAAAACCATACTCACTCACTCACTCACTCACTCACTACCAGAGAAACCGGGCCATCTGTTAATGAGTCGCCCAGCATTTAAGGATGTGAGCTTAAATGTGGTTGCTGAATTTAATTATGTATTCAAGAACTTGAGTGCAATACCTCCCAGCTCCACACTTTATATTGAAGTCTTGTTGCTCCTAGTGATTTCCTCGCTGTATTACCGGGTCTAAGTCTTAGATGGCGTAAAAACTATGAACCATTTAAAGACTCATGATAGTTAATATACGTATGACGGGTTTATATCCTATCCTTGATGAAGTATCTGAATAGATGGATACCGTTGACGGAATTCGAAAACATCAAATAAGTGAAATAAAACATCAGCAAGAGAAGGAGCTGGATTCTCAAATTGGATTCTAAAACAAGGTATCGTGGAGTTGTGAATGTTCTTGGTGGAGTGGACATTACGCTTCTACAGTCAACTGCAGTTATAACGAACACGCTTATAACGAACTGACGGATATAACGAACTTACTTTTTGGTCCCGACGATTTGCTGTAGTTATGCTGTATATATGCTTATAACGAACTACGGTTATAACGAACTAAAATTAGTAGTCTCTTTGAGTTCGTTATAACCGTACTTTACTGTAGTTGCAGGCATGGGCTTGGTGCAGCTGACGTTGGTTTGTCTCTGGACTGACAGGAATAACTCGCCAGATGCAAAAGAAAGCATTAAAACTTGATAGTATTCGTGGGCTGGCTGACGCAAAGTTAAACAGCATTGACGAGCATGTATCAACAGCACTGGCTCATGGTGAGATATCTATGCAAAAGAAAGCACTAAAACATGATAGTATTCGTGGGCTGGTTGAAGCAAAGTTAAACAACATTGACGAGCATGTATCAACAGCACTGGCTCATGGTGAGAAATCTATGCAAAAGAAAGCATTAAAACTTGATAGTATTCGTGGGCTGGCTGACGCAAAGTTAAACAGCATTGACGAGCATGTATCAACAGCACTGGCTCATGGTGAGATATCTATGCAAAAGAAAGCACTAAAACATGATAGTATTCGTGGGCTGACTGACGCAAAGTTAAACAGCATTGACGAGCATGTATCAACAGCACTGGCTCATGGTGAGATATCTATGGAAGATTTTCGTTTAGTGTTGTCAGAACTCACCAAAGACAACACAATGAAGCAGAATATTCGATAAAATTCGAATGGGTCGGCTTGTGATCTGCGGGGGCTGGTTGGAAAGGGAAGTGTGTCATATAGCTGGAATATTGCTGAGTGCGGCGTTAAAAAACAAACAAACAAACAAACAATATATTGTATTGTATTGAGACGGCTCAGGTGTACATGTTTCAGTTTTTCAATCGACTACTCGGCGGTGGCTGGAGACATGTCCGAACACAAGCGGGATGTGTCTCTAGTCAACTACATCGACATCACAGAACAACAGCCACATCACAGGACAACAGCGACATCACAGGGTGTGGTTCCTGAGCGAGTCGACGTATATCCACTCCATGGCGCGATATGGCGACAACAGTTTGCAATAGAACATCCCGGCCAAGGACGAAATCACGAAATCCACAGGCGTTATCAAGGAAGCGGATGTCACCTCAAGCGCATGCTCCGTTTCTGTAAACTGAAGTTTCCATGGTAACCACTCTAGTCCGGTCTTGAGATTGGTGTCGTTCTTGAAGACCAGCGGCCGTACAGCTCGAGTGCGATACCGATACTGTGCCCGGAGGGAGGAGGAAGTAACAGCCAGTTTCGTCGCGGCCTGTGGGCGGAGAGAACATTTCATTATTTTATTATTACGAAGACGTAAAGACCAGGGCCCCGTTCCTCAAAGTGATCCTAGCGCTAAGGTGATCTAAGACGTTACGACCTAGTTATCATGCTTCTAAGACGTTACGACTGGTTATCATGCTACTAAGACGTTACGACTGGTTATCATGCTACTAAGACGTTACGACCTATTTATCATGCTTCTAAGACGTTACGACTGGTTATCATTCTGCCTAGCCGTTACGACTGGTTATCATGTTATTAAGACGTTACGACGTAGTTATCATGCTTCTAAGGCGTTACGACTGGTTACCATTCTACCTAGCCGTTACGACTGGTTATCATGTTATTCAGACGTGACGACGTAGTTATCATAATAGCTTTACGGCTGGTTATCATGCTACTACGACGATACGGCTAGTTATCATGCTACTAAGACGTTACGGCTAGTTATCATGCTACTAAGGCGTTACAGCTGGTTATCATGCTACTACGACGTTACGGCTGGTTATCATGCTACTAAGGCGTTACGGCTGGTTATCATGCTACTAAGGCGTTACGGCTGGTTATCATGCTACTACGACGTTACGGCTAGTTATCATGCTACTAAGACGTTACGGCTAGTTATCATGCTACTAAAACGTTACGACTGGTTATCATGCTACTAAGACGTTACGATCTAGTTATCATGCTACTAAGACGTTACGATCTAGTTATCATGCTACTAAGACGTTACGACCTATTTATCATGCTACTAAGACGTTACGACCTAGTTATCATGCTACTAAGGCGTTACGGCTGGTTATCATGCTACTAAGGCGTTACGGCTGGTTGTCATGCTACTACGACGTTACGGCTGGTTATCATGCTACTAAGGCGTTACGGCTGGTTATCATGCTACTAAGGCGTTACAGCTGGTTATCATTCTACTGAGGCGTTACGGCTAGTTATCATGCCACTAAGGCGTTACGGCTAGTTATCATGCTACTAAGGCGTTACGGCTGGTTATCATGCTACTAAGGCGTTACGACTGGTTATCATGCTACTAAGGCGTTACAGCTGGTTATCATGCTACTACGACGTAACGGCTGGTTATCATGCTACTAAGGCGTTACGACTGGTTATCATGCCACTAAGGCGTTACGGCTAGTTATCATGCTACTAAGGCGTTACGGCTGGTTATCATGCTACTAAGGCGTTACGACTGGTTATCATGCTACTAAGGCGTTACAGCTGGTTATCATGCTACTACGACGTTACGGCTGGTTATCATGCTACTAAGGCGTTACGGCTGGTTATCATGCTACTAAGGCGTTACAGCTGGTTATCATGCTACTACGACGTTACGGCTGGTTATCATGCTACTAAGGCGTTACAGCTGGTTATCATGCTACTACGACGTTACGACTGGTTATCATGCTACTAAGGCGTTACGGCTAGTTATCATGCTACTAAGGCGTTACGGCTGGTTATCATGCTACTAAGGCGTTACGACTGGTTATCATGCTACTAAGGCGTTACAGCTGGTTATCATGCTACTACGACGTTACGGCTGGTTATCATGCTACTAAGGCGTTACGGCTGGTTATCATGCTACTAAGGCGTTACAGCTGGTTATCATGCTACTACGACGTTACGGCTGGTTATCATGCTACTAAGGCGTTACGGCTGGTTATCATGCTACTAAGCCGTTACGACTGGTTATCATGTTATCCAGACGTGACGACGTAGTTATCACTCTACTGAGGCGTTACGGCTGGTTATCATGCTACTAAGGCGTTACGGCTGGTTATCATGCTACTAAGGCGTTACGGCTGGTTATCATGCTACTAAGCCGTTACGACTGGTTATCATGCTACTAAGGCGTTACGGCTAGTTATCATGCTACTAAGGCGTTACGGCTGGTTATCATGCTACTAAGGCGTTACGACTGGTTATCATGCTACTAAGGCGTTACAGCTGGTTATCATGCTACTACGACGTTACGGCTGGTTATCATGCTACTAAGGCGTTACGGCTGGTTATCATGCTACTAAGGCGTTACAGCTGGTTATCATGCTACTACGACGTTACGGCTGGTTATCATGCTACTAAGGCGTTACGGCTGGTTATCATGCTACTAAGCCGTTACGACTGGTTATCATGCTACTAAGCCGTTACGACTGGTTATCATGTTATCCAGACGTGACGACGTAGTTATCATTCTACTGAGGCGTTACGGCTGGTTATCATGCCACTAAGGCGTTACGACTGGTTATCATGTTATTAAGGCGTTACGGCTGGTTATCATGCTACTAAGGCGTTACGACTGGTTATCATGTTATTAAGGCGTTACGGCTGGTTATCATGCTACTAAGGCGTTACGACTGGTTATCATGTTACTAAGACGTTACGACCTAGTTATCATGTTACTAAGGCGTTACGACTGGTTATCATGTTACTCATGGTTGAACCTGGATCTAACAGATCGTCGTGATGACGGTATCCACTTGGTCGGAAGATACCCGGTGATCCTGTTCAGCAGTACCTCGTTAATTTCCCTGCAACTTCCGGCTGAGTCTGTAACAGTGCTGGCACCAGAGGTCGTTGCTTGAACAATTGCGTCACGTGATTTCATCTTAACCTCGAGTTGTAGAGGAGAGTCAAGGTTGGTGGAGATGTCCAGGGGGTTGGAGGGAAGGTCAACGTGGGTGTAGGTGTCGACAACTTCTTCATCTTGTCCCGTCTTGTTGATCTTTGGTTTCGAAGAACCGAAGTCCACCGAGTCATACACGGTGTTGACCACCTACATGAACATAAAGTCGCTATCAATAGATAGAGACTATTTCAAGAAAATAAAGTAGCTCTTGACAGATAGAGACTATTTCATGAAACTTAAAGTAGTTCTTAATAGATAGAGACTATTTCATGAAACTTAAAGTAGTTCTTAATAGATAGAGACTATTTCATGAAACATAAAGTAGCTTTTAATTAATAGAGACTATTTCAAGAAAAAGAAAGTAGCTCTTGATAGATAGAGACTATTTCAAGAAACATAAAGTAGCTCTTAATAGATAGAGACTATTTCATGAAACATAAAGTAGTTCTTAATAGATAGAGACTATTTCATGAAACTTAAAGTAGTTCTTAATAGATAGAGACTATTTCATGAAACATAAAGTAGCTTTTAATTAATAGAGACTATTTCAAGAAAAAGAAAGTAGCTTTTGATAGATAGAGACTATTTCAAGAAACATAAAGTAGCTCTTAATAGATAGAGACTATTTCATGAAACATAAAGTAGTTCTTAATAGATAGAGACTATTTTATGAAACATTAGGTAGTTCTTAACAGATAGAGACTATTTCATGAAACATAAAGTAGTTCTTGATAGATAGAGACTATTTCATGAAACATAAAGTAGTTCTTAATAGATAGAGACTATCTTCATGAAACATAAAGTAGTTCTTAACAGATAGAGACTATTTTATGAAACATTAGGTAATTCTTAACAGATAGAGACTATTTCATGAAACATAAAGTCGCTATAAATAGAGACTATTTCATGAAACATTAAGTAGCTTTTAATAGATAGAGACTATTTCACGAAAATTAAAGTTGATTTAATAGAGAGAGACTATTTCATGAAACATTAAGTAGCTTTTAATAGATAGAGACTATTTCAAGAAAAATAAAGTAGCTTTTTATTAATAGAGACTATTTCAAGAAAAAGAAAGTAGCTCTTGATATATAGAGACTATTTCATGAAATATAAAGTCGCTATCAATAGATAGAGACTATTTCAAGAAACATAAAGTAGCTCTTGATAGATAGAGACTATTTCATGAAACATTAAGTCGCTATCAATAGATAGAGACTATCTTCATGACACATAAAGTAGCTCTTGATAGATAGAGACTATTTCATGAAACATAAAGTAGCTCTTGATAGATAGAGACTATTTCATGAAACATTAGGTAGCTCTTGACAGATAGAGACTATTTCATGAAACATAAAGTTGCTATCAATAGTTAGAGACTATTTCATGACACATTAAGTAGCTCTTGATAGATAGACATTCCTTCATGAAACATAGAGTATGAAACCGTCTGCCAGACGTGTGACGTCATCAAGCCCCGACAGCGGAAACGTTGATGGTGGTAGCAACCACATCGTTCGTGACCCACACTCAGTTAATGTTTAGTTATATAACTACGTAACATCACCAGATTCGCTGACTAGTGGGACGTATGTACGAGCAGTGTAGCTCACCATCATGTACTTGTGCTTGTACAGACAATCTAGCACAGATAACAATCACCTTGAGTGTTGTGCCCACGTTGCCAGCAAGGATTTTCTGTGCCTGGACGCTCCATCCGGACACCAAGTGCTTATTCTCGTCCAGCGTCTTCATTTGAAGCAGAGGCTGGAACGGAGAACGCAATATCTAGCAAGTGCTTGAACACAGAAGGCAATACCTAGCAAGGGCTGAATTAGAGAACTCAGTATCTAGCATGTGCTTAAACAGAGGACGCAAAATCTAGCAAGGGTTGAATTAGAGAACGCAATATCTAGCAAGGGCTGAATTGGAGAACGCAATATCTACCAAGGGCTGCTTTAGAGAACGCAATATCTAGCAAGGGCTTAAACAGAGAACGCAATATCTAGCAAGGGCTGAATTAGAGAACGCAATATCTAGCAAGGGCTGGATTAGAGAACGCAATATCTAGCAAGGGCTGAATTGGAGAACGCAATATCTAGCAAGGGCTGGATTAGAGAACGCAATATCTAGCAAGGGCTGAATTGGGGAACGCAATACTTTCCAGCTTCCTATCACATCACCCCACCATAGTCCACACAGCAGCTGGTTGGGATGGGTGCAGCTGGGTGCAGCTGGGCGCAGTTGGACGCAGTTGGGCGCAGTACATCTGTCAGCTCTCTCCATCCATGAAATAAAGTTTTTCACATCGAATATAGAAGGATGAAGGTAGTTGCATATCGCGTTATCTAAGCTAACAGCCCTACCTCCATGATGCTGCTGGTGTTCCTATACGCCTGGGTCAAGGCCGCCTGTGCAGTTGTCACGTGACTTGTAGGCTGCTGCAGAGTAACAACCATGAAGTCGTTGCAGTGCCGAGCTATTGCCTTGTGCGCAGTCGTCAGGTTCACTTCCGGGTCAAGGTCCTTCTCGAGGACGCTTGGAGGCATTGTACCAGACGCAAACTGGCCGTGGTTTATTCCAGGCATGACGACGACGGGAGTGCGGTACATGGCGCTGACGTTGTGAGCGACGTCGCCTTTCAGCTCCCTGTGGACAAGGACAGTTTCCCTTCTTTATGTAAGACAAGATATCTTCGTAACATCACGTTCACGCAATATGCATTACGGATTCATAGATCACCGGCTTCTCGATCTCAAGAGATGTCAGTACAACGCTTGTCTGTATTACACGTCTGTTTAACGGGGGACGGTCGGGTAGCCTGGTGGTTAAAGCGTTCGCTCGTCACGCCGAAGACCCGGGTTCGATTCCCGACATGGGTATACAATGTGTGAAGCCCATTTCTGGTGTCCCCCGCCGTGATATTGCTGGAATATTGCTAAAAGCGGCGTAAAACCATACCCACTCACTCTAAACGACATTTCAGTGATAACACGCGGTTGCAGCTTATTGTGGATGGGATTGAGTGAGTGAGTGAGTGAGTGATACTATCTCGGGTCTTCGGCGTGACAAACGGAACTGGACGGAACTAAACGGAAAGCCTTAGGTGACGATGCGGGTTGGAAACATAGTTTTGTTGATACCAACGGGCACGGGTATGGAGTCGACAGATCCAGGCGATCCCAATATCAGAGGATCCTGTTACAGTTAAGGGACACTACTTTTTGATTTGCCCTTGAAATCTGCAAGAAACTCATGTTTGTTGACTTTGCAGTGCAGCAAAGTAGATAGTGTTACTTTAACGGTCTGCTATCACTCACTGGAAGGTGTCGGCGATCCTGGTGATGCGGGTCATACCGTCCAGGTCGCCGGAGATAGTGAGAACAGGAAGAGGGTACTGCGACAGAGCATTCCCCTTGGTGATGTACGACGCAAACAGCAGGATCCCCTTTAACTCATGTGCGTGGGAATTTCCATACTCGCCAACAAAGACCCCTGAGAAAACACCGCATAGACGCGTACATCGCTCAAGTCTATTACAGGGCTCGATTTGAGGTACTGGATTTACCTTGCACCGGGTGGATGTTGACATGAAAAGCTAGTTGCACACTAAAGGTGCAACATAGATGCATCAAGTAATCTAGATAAGTACAAGGAGCTCTGATGATTATGTCATGTGTCGTGAATTCGACATGACAGACGGACTAGTGAAGTAGTGTGATAAGCTTAGAGATAAAGCTTAGAGATGGTCACACACAAATATATGTATGTATGTATGTACGTACGTACGTACGTACGTACGTACGTACGTACGTACGTACGTATGTATGTATGTATGTATGTATGTATGTATGTATGTATGTATGTATGTATGTATGTATGTATTTGTCATATATATATATTTGTCAGTTCAGTTCAGTTTGTTCTCAGACAATCCCACAACGGTGGTACATGAGAAACATTATATGATAAATTCATAATATAATAAAAATATCAGTATCAAGATGTCAGGAGTATTGTGCAAATACATACTAGTATATGAGTGAGTGAGTATGCTTTTACGCCGCTTTTAGCAATATTCCAGCAATATCACGGCGGGGGACACCAGAAATGGGCTTCACACATTGTATACCCATGTCGGGAATCGAACCCGGGTCTTCGGTGTGACGAGCGAACGCTTTAACCACTAGGCTACCCGATCGCCCCTACTATAATGTACAGGATCAAAGGTTACAAAGAAATATGATAGAAATAAAGTAACAAGAGTCCCATACACGTTTTCGAACAGCTTCAACATTTCTAAATATGGTATTGATGAATTTGGACAAGTTTTTCATATCTTTTACTTTAATGCTGCATAAACATTTTTTAAATTTATGCAAATTAGGCCATTCAGAAAGATCTTTTGGTATGTACATAGACCGCCACTGGAGAAGAGCTTCACATCTAAACAGGTAATGAAACTCGTCACCAACCGCGGGAGAACTACATTAATCGCACAAACGTTCCACTCTGGGGATGTCAGACCAGCGTCCAGTTTTAATTGGTAAGTTATGGTTTGTGGTTCTAAATTTTAAGATTGGGTGATAAACATTTTTAGGCTTCTATAGATATTTTTCAAAGGTTATATTTTCTTTAAACATTTTATAGTACATAACCTAAGAACTCTCAGTAATGGAACTGTGTCAATTCTGCAGGAACAGGTCTTTCAATATTTCTTTAACTTTTAAATCTGGCCTTGGAGATGAACACAGGAACGGGTTGTCGAATACTTCACCGAGAACACAGTTGTTTCGTATTTTCTTGACAAGTGTTGTCCATTGAAGTTTTTCAGAGATGCAAGCGTAGTTATGAGCGATCAATGTATAGACCATATTTGTTAATTTTGGAGTTTGATTATAGATTATGCCAGAATAGAATAACACGTTTGTTCATTTTGATATAGAGGGTTCCCTGCCGAGCTCCCCGTAAATCATATAATTTGGAGTTGCATTTCGAAGACCTGCTGCCAGTTTAAGAAATTTTAAGTGACCTTTTTCTATTAGTTTTATGTTTTCAAATGCCTAGATTTCACAACAGTACATAAGGATCGCGAAAATCAAAGAATCCAATGCGGATTTTAAACAACCCAAAGTCAAATTAATATTACGTCTTATTAAGTAATGAGCATATCTTTTGTTGCATTTTCTACTGAGGTTTTGATGGCTTTTACAAATCTCCCGTTTCTGTGAAACTTTATTCCAAGGTAAGTATAGTTATCGACAATTTCTATAGTTTGGTTGCCAAAGGTGAATTAGTATTTCAGATTGCTGTTTCTAGCAGGCCTGGTTCCAAAAACTATTATTTTGGTTTTGGACAAGTTTACATTTAGTTTCCATCGTGAACAGTAACTATGAAAATTGTCAAGTGATTGTTGTAGGTCTGCAGGGTCTTCACTGAATAAGGCAGCATCATCTGCATATAACAAAACGATAAACTGCAGGCAAAATATTAGATTGTCGTTGATTGGTTGCGCCCTAGTGCATGTTTGTGCAACATATGTTTCATTGTCAAGAACAATTATGGCAGTAACACAATGGCTGGACGGAATGGCATAAAAGTGTTTTGTATATCTACTGTGGTAAAGTTATTGATATTTTTCATAATTAATCTTTTCAAAGTAATAGTTGCATTGTTGTAATATTATTTTATAATGAACTAGATCGGTGGAGGCATGCAGATATTGTTAAAATTGAAACCCACAACGTTGTGAGTGCGTAGTTTTTATTCAACCATGAATCATACTTCTCTATGAGAGTTACCTCCCTGTGCTTAGCGTGATGTATGTTTACTCCTGTAGCCTGGCACGTCAATTATTCACGCTGTACAAAAGCGCTCGTACGTATACCTCGCTACACGGAAACTGGGTCGACGTTTCCCGCCCGTCCCCAGGACAGAGCTTGGCATCCTTTGATCTTTGAGCCCGAGTAACACAAACATGTTTAGTGTACTAATGTACAGTTAGAAAGGTTATAAGATATTTTCATAATGGTTTCTGCATTTCGTACGTACACGTATCATTATCTATGCGTGAGACAAAGATATGGTTCCTCTCAAAAATGTGTTAACATCGATCTAACAATTACTCGTATCATAAAGTTTACCTCCCTTTGATAATTGTCCCCGATTTACACAAGTCATACATGGTTAGCATAATAAGATACAGTTAGGAATGTTTTAAAACATGTTTTTATAATTATTTATGGATCTCGTATGTACACGTATCATTATACCCGTGCGAGATAACGATAGGGTTTCTTTTAAAAGTTTATTTACATTTTTCCAACTATTACGCATCTCCATGTTACTTTCTCTTACCAAAAATAAACAAAGTAAATTACACATCCAGAAGAGCTGATTAACAATACAGTATTTAAATTACACCAAAAATCATTATCCAGCCGATAAGTAGATTGATAGTAAGCCAAGTAGAATGGTGGTAGGGTGGGTAGATTGACAGTAAGTCACGTAGATTGATAGTAAGCCAAGTAGATTGATAGTAAGTCACGTAGAGTGATAGTACTGACTGAGTATGGTTTTACGCCGCTTTTAGCAATATTCCAGCAATATCACGGCGGGGGACACCAGAAATGGGCTTCACACATTGTACCCATGTCGGGAATCGAACCCGGGTCTTCGGCGTGACGAGCGAACGCTTTAACCACTAGGCTACCCGACCGCCCCAGAGTGATAGTAAGCCAAGTAGATTGATAGTAAGTCATGTAGAGTGATAGTAAGCAAAGTAGATTGATAGCAAGGCTAGTAGAATGGCGGTAGGGCGAGTAGATTGATAGTAAGTCACGTAGAGTGATAGTAAGCCAAGTAGATTGATAGTAAGTCACGTAGAGTGATTTTAGCCAAGTAGTTTGATAGTAAGTCACGTAGAGTGATAGTAAGCCAAGTAGATTGATAGTAAGTCACGTAGAGTGATAGTAAGCCAAGTAGATTGATAGTAAGTCACGTAGATTGATAGTAAGGCTAGTAGAATGGCGGTAGGGCGAGTAGATTGATAGTAAGTCACGTAGAGTGATAGTAAGCCAAGTAGATTGATAGTAAGTCACGTAGAGTGATTTTAGCCAAGTAGTTTGATAGTAAGTCACGTAGAGTGATAGTAAGCCAAGTAGATTGATAGTAAGTCACGTAGATTGATAGTAAGGCTAGTAGAATGGCGGTAGGGCGAGTAGATTGATAGTAAGTCACGTAGAGTGATAGTAAGCCAAGTAGATTGATAGTAAGTCACGTAGAGTGATTTTAGCCAAGTAGTTTGATAGTAAGTCACGTAGAGTGATAGTAAGCCAAGTAGATTGATAGTAAGTCACGTAGAGTGATAGTAAGCCAAGTAGATTAATAGTAAGGCTAGTAGAATGGCGGTAGTTGCGAGTAGATTGATAGTAAGTCACGTAGAGTGATAGTAAGCCAAGTAGATTGATAGTAAGGCTAGTAGAATGGCGGTAGTTGCGAGTAGATTGATAGTAAGTCACGTAGAGTGATAGTAAGCCAAGTAGATTGATAGTAAGTCACGTAGAGTGATAGTAAGCCAAGTAGATTAATAGTAAGGCTAGTAGAATGGCGGTAGTTGCGAGTAGATTGATAGTAAGTCACGTAGAGTGATAGTAAGCCAAGTAGATTGATAGTAAGTCACGTAGATTGATAGTAAGGCTAGTAGAATGGCGGTAGGGCGAGTAGATTGATAGTAAGCCAAGTAGAATATCATATGACAGTTCGACAAGCCAATAGGGAGGTCAGTCCTGCTATTTCAGTCGTGTAAGGTCCTCCCTCACTATACCTATGTATCAAAGGACATATATTCAAACATTCATCCAAACGGAACCTTTGTGATTTTACCTCCTAAACTGTGACCAGCCAGGAAAATGTTATCAGAGGTCATCCCGCGCTTCCGGAGCTGCGCAGTCGCGTTTGCTATGCCCTTGGGCAGCTCTACTGGATTTGGAAGGTCATCGAGGAACTCCCCGAGAACGACGACCCAGAGTCTCAGGGCTGCCGACAGTTGGATCTGAGTACCTGCAACACAACATGTCGTGTACCTGCCCCGCTCAACCCCCTTCACCAACTTGCCCATGTGGTCCCGTGAACATCCGGGTTAGAAATGGTCTTTAACAACCCATGCTTGTCGTAATGGGCGACTAACGGGATCAGTTAGTCAGGCTCGCTGACTTGGTTGGTGCATGTCATCGTATCCTTATTGGGTAGATCGATGTTTTCATAATCACTGAATTATCTGGTCCACACTCGGTTATTTACAGACCGCCGTCATATAGCTGGAATATTGCTGTGTGCGGCAACCAACCAACCCACATCAATCGATCAATCAATCAATCAACCATTAAGTCAATCATTAAGTCAATCAATCAATCAATCATTAAGTCAATCATTCAATCAACAAACAATGCTGTTTCAGGTGTAAATCTTTGCAACAGTATCAATCGATAATGCTACACAGTAAATAACAATGTTCACAAGAATGACGTTTTCAAAAATCATGCCGTACACGTCGTCTTAATTGTAGGTAGTTCGTATCGTAGGACATAAACTTACCTAATGGTATATAGGCTTCTCCCTTCAGATATGCCCCAGGAACAATAATCACCGCCGCCTCTGGACCTGTTTCGATCAGAGGGGGGAGAATGTGGGGGGTGACCGCGAAAGAACACGTTACCCATCCAAGAACGGCCACGACAACAACAACCTTCCACATCCTCAGCTCGCAGCGACTGAACGACCTGGAACCTGTGCGATCTCATGTATTCATATCAGTAATATACAAGGCTGGGTCATGTGATAGTTAGTTTGGCCGATAAACAGTGCCAAGCACATGCGTCTGGGTTCACGAGAACTTCCACAGTTGTCCATTGACGGCTTTCGACAGATGTTGACTGCTTCTTTTTGTTTATTGTTTGTTGTTTCGTGTCGGCATGCAAAAGAAACGCGAATACCTATTATGTTGGTCAATAGAAGAAGAATTACTCATGTTCAAGCGATCTTAGATTAGTTCGACGCACAAACGAACATACGGGTATGTTGTGTGAATGGACGGCCATGAACGCATCACATGTGACGTCATAGATCCATGACTTGAGATGCACCATTTGTTTCATGCAGGATTAGCGTGTAAAGTTTGGAAATCACATGCAGCATATCGTGATAAGAATAAAGACACTCTGTGGTAACACTTGTCTGATTGTTAGTTTTGTCATTGATTGGTACACATTGGAAACGCCTCTTTTTAACGTACATACCTCTATATATGTTTTTTATGGTTCGCGTTCTTTTGGCTGTGAGTATATATCAGGGTCAGGGTTACATTCTCGGCATATCTCCGTGTACCAATCATCGACGTCTAGTCATGTTTAGACAAACCGATATAAGCATCACGTGGTCCATCATGGGGGTGGCGGTTTTTTAAAAAAAGGAAAGACACAGCTCATTATTCTGTGTAAGTAAAAATCTCCATCTCCTTGAAAAACAATCTCATCCTCAAAAAAAAGAAGCAGTCTCGACCGCAATACGACCAGCCTCATCAATACAGAGTATGTCGTGTGCAAAGCCATAATGTTTGACATCGAGACATGAGCCTGACAGACATGTCTGTGACACGTATTTATTAGTATATCCTTGGACAAGGTTATTGACTTCACTTGTTCCGCTGTGATATGACTGAAACAGTTGTTGAATGTGACATGAAATGTTTCATTTATCCTTACTTGGAAACAAATACAACATAAACATACTTGTCAAAAGACATGAATTATAAATCAACATCATAAAAAATTATGCCATGAATGAGAACAAAAAAGAAGGTATTGTGTCCAAAGTTTGGAGGGTGGGATCAGTTGTTCAGTATTCGATCAACCAGCAAAACTGAAATCAGCATATGAAACTCATTTTAATCATTCCTAATGTCACAACTGTCAGTCTATATTGTGTATATGCCCACCACGGGAATCTATGGACGCCAAAACTCGACCATGAGAAGATGTGACACGTCTGATCACAAGAAATGGGATTCAACGCCATTCTTCTCAGAGGGCCTGTGCCGACTGATCCTTGGTATAAGGGCGACCTAGCCATGCTCTAATTTGACGTTCAATGTAGTCTCACAAGAGTCCTATAGGTGATAAGTCTGGTGATTGTGTTGGCCAGGGCCAGAAGTTGTATGGGGCCTTGTTTTGTTTTGTTGAAAAAGGGTCTGTCCTGTTTTGTTGCAAGAACGGTAGTACAACAGGCTAGAGAGACTAGTCAATGTGACGCTGTCTAGTGACGTTTCCTTCGAAAAATAACCAGATCTGTCTTGACTTGGCTACAGATGCTGCATTGCAGGATTAATGTTGCCACATTGACGGGATTACAGATGCTGCAGTGCATGGCTAATGATGCCCAATCTCATTAAAATCATATCTAAGTTCTCGCTGCCGCTAACAAAGATCTGAGAACATTCCATTACGGGTCACGTCAGAACGATGAAGAAGTATGATTCATGGTTAAATAAAAATTACGCACTCACAACGTTGTGGGTTTCAATTTTAACAATATCTGCATGCCTCCATTGATCTAGTTCATTATAAAATAATATTACAACAAAGCAACTATTACTTTGAAAAGATTAATTATGAACAATATCAATAACTTTACCACAGTAGATATACAAAACACTTTTATGCCATTCCGTCCAGCCATTGTGTTACTGCCATAATTGTTCGTTTAATTCTTGACAATGCAACATACGTTGCTAACATGTGATGCGCCAACAAAAGTTTTGTTTTTGCCTCTCGGTTAAAACTTTAAACATTTAACATCTATACCACTGTGATTGCGCCAACGTAATACCTCTTTTAACTTGAAGACAATACCACATGGGATTGTTGTGAAAACATTACTTGTTTTGTTTTCATGATGTTTTATTTATGTTTTTATATATAATACATATAGAGAATCTCACCCGAGTGTTTTTTTATATCAAATATATCAGAGAGTGTTGATATATTTGATATCAAAAGACAGGTGATAGCCAGTTTTGGATGATAAATGTACTTAAACTCAAATGTGTCATGTTCTCATTCCTGATGGGGGCACGGGTGGCCCAGTCGTCTAAGGCGCCACGATTCGCTGTGCTTTGGGCACGCCAGAATCCTATGATTGTGGGTTCGAATCCCGGTTCGCCCCGATTATGTTTCTAGGCTTGTCAGCACCATACCCGTGCTCGTGGGTTTCACCGGATTGGTAAACGTCTAAGACCTGCATCACTTCGGGCTTTCCTCCCACATTAAGCTGACACGCCGCGATATAACTGTAATACTGTTAAACGCGGCGTTAAACCCAACTCACTCACTCACTCACTCCTGACACTGAAGGTACCACATGCAAATTACAATTTGTTTAACCGTCAGGGTTACATCTGTAAGTTTTATGACAGTATAGGTACTTACATCAATAGGTAGGTATGCTACAACATTTCTTGGAGCTGTGTTGATCCTCTGGAACAAAGTTATCTTGTATTTTAGTTATTTGCATCAGCGTACCTAATTAATAAAATGCGTTCGCTCGTCACTCAGACGACCCGGGTTCGATTCCCGCATGGGTGCAATATGTGAATCCATTTCTGGTGTCCCCCGTCGTGGTATTTCTGGAATACTTGCTGCTACCTGCCCTACTCCATGGTCGGAAAGGTCCCGAACGGATGAAATAGTATGACTGGGATCCGTCTTTCGCTGCGCAACATAACAAACTGTGTCAGTCAATTATGGAACTCTTCCTCACCAGAGTCACAAATATTGATACTTCCGGATAGCGATGTGGGATTTATTCACATGTGCTTATTTGTTATCATTTGAATAAATACAGACCTTTCAATGTCAAATATTTAAATAAACACAAGAAAACCAAGCAGTTACCACTCCTCTTGTTTGTAATAGTCGCCATACCGGCTTACGACCCTCGCGACGAGATCTTCTAGAATCGTCTGGAGACACTTCGATTTTTCCACATTAATCTTGACAAGCGTCGAAGAATTACTGAACAAACCTATGCGTGCGCAATTATGATGAGAAGTGCGGTATATATTGAGTAACTCTTCAGCTGTGTGGAAGTCAGAATTAGTTGATATCGAGACAGCGCCTATTCCAGGAGTAACGGGACTGAGTATAACTCGCCATGGCAGCACCTGGTGACGACGGCAATGGAGGCCCATCTAGAATCCCAAAAGACATGAAGAGTCTTCTCCAGTTCTGTGTGCAGGCCACACAAGCCGAGGATCCTACGACCTCAGCAGATTTTAGCCAGATGTCTGATGAGGTAATAACCCGATAGTTAATGTAATCGGGCTCTTTGCCACCCTCTAGTAAATAATATTTGTTGATTTTCATGGTTTGAAAACGTATTTTTAAAATTAAACCTCGACATTTGAGACAATAAGCATGATAAGAGAAGTCTCACGTGAAGTCAGTGGTAATTCAGCAAAATATAATCATATATAACTCTTTCATATATTTATATGTGATTTTCTACTTTCTAGCCTCTATCTGGAAATATATTAATCATAGGGATAGGAATATTCATGATACCACACTCACATTACCATGCACACAACCTGCAGATGTTCCTGTTAAATGACTAGTGAACACCGGTTTTCATCCTTTAGCTGTGACTGAGACTGACTGTCAGCCTCCAATCTGTTCCACAGCCGGACTTCATTACTGGTCCCAAAGAAATTTCAAACATTTGCAGTTTCCTTTTATTTTCGGTTTTGATGCAGCTCATCTTTTAATTCTAACAAAAGGTTCAATGGCAATATTGAGTCTGATTCTAGACGTTTTTAAACCTTTTATTTTGATCAGTGGAAATGAAAGTTGATGCAAGCGTATTGTTTTGTCTGGAACGAGGCTTTGATTTTTATCGTTTGTGTCCAACTACAAGTTTTAATTTTGCTGTTAGAAATGAAAAGGGGCCCTGGGGTCCTGGAGGTTTTCTGTTACAGTTTTTTATTCTAGGGCCCCCCAAATCTCCCCCTTTGACAAAACGTACATGATCCCTTAAGCATGTTGCATTGTTTACTTATTATAACATGATGATGTTCTATTATTATCATGAGGTGGATATTTCAGCGGAAGGAATGGCTGGAGAAGGCGCTGACCGACATGAGTGTGAGCCCAGTGGAGAGAATGCAGCTGTGTGTCCGTGTGGTCAAGATGGAGGGCGACAGCGATGATGGTGTGGAGAAGAAGGTAACTGCCCTGGAGGAGATTACCGAGTGGGCAGAACAGATCGACTTCGCTATAGGTGTGTACAACCTTCACAGCATATCAAGATTATCTCCCTTCAGGTAACCATGGTTACAGCTTTGATTATCTCCCTTCAGGTTACCATGTTTACAGCTTTGATTAATTATTTGATCTTCTGCAGTGTGTATGATGTCTATTGCGTAAATATCAATTCTTTGTGTTGAAATATCTGTAACCAAGTGTAGTGATGTCTGTTGGATTACCTCGTTGACATATTTGTTGATTAGATGTCTGCGGGTCATTTTTGCAGACTTTCACAAGATTGGTGGATTTGAAATCCTGCCTGTTCTGCTAAACAGCGATGTTGCGGAACTGCGATGGACATGCCTAGACCTGATCGGAACAATGACACAGAACAACCCGTACTGTCAGGCGGCTGTCCTGGAGGCGGACCTCCTCCCCACACTGCTGCAGCTGCTGGACTCTGACCTTGACCCTACTGTCAGGACCAAGGCCCTGTATGCCATCTCATGTACGTGAGTTGGGGCAATCTCATTTAAATCAAATATTAGTTCTCGCTACCACTAAACAAACATCTGAGTACATTCCATTACGGGTCACTTCAGACCTTTGACAGACCAATTGAATAGCTAACAAGAAGTCGACAATAGCCACTCAGAAGGCAGCATAATGAAGCTTTACAGCACTAGTTTCAAACTGGTGACTATGCGAAACATATTTTGACATATACTTGATCGAAAAATTGAAGACTTAACAAAAAAACATTTTGGAATGGCTAATAGATGGTCTAGATTGTATGAACACAGACATAAAGCCCGTAACTGTCGTTTGGAATACCCTATGTGGATTTTTTTTTGAGGTTGCGCGATCCAAAATCACATTCCAACTGTCACTTTCAGGATCTGATAAGCAATGCTCTGATTGGTCAGATGAAAGGTCGTTCTGACATGACGTGTCAGACTGATGTAGGAGGAGAGTGAGTGAGTTGGGTTTAATGACACTTTGAAAGTCTTTCAGTTATATCTCCACGTGTCAGACTGATGTAGGAGGAGAGTGAGTGAGTGAGTTGGGTATAATGACACTTTGAAAGTCTTTCAGTTATATCTCCACGTGTCAGACTGATGTAGAAGGAGAGTGAGTGAGTGAGTTGGGTTTAATGACACTTTGAAAGTCTTTCAATTATATCTCCACGTGTCAGGCTGATGTAGGAGGAGAGTGAGTGAGTGAGTGAGTGAGTTTGGTATAATGACACTTTGAAAGTCTTTCAGTTATATCTCCAAGTGTCAGGCTGATGTAGGAGGAGAGTGAGTGAATGAGTGAGTTGGGTTTAATGACACTTTGAAAGTCTTTCAGTTATATCTCCACGTGTCAGACTGATGTAGGAGGAGAGTGAGTGAGTGAGTGAGTTGGGTATAATGGCACTTTGAAAGTCTTTCAGTTATATCTCCACGTGTCAGACTGATGTAGGAGGAGAGTGAGTGAGTGAATGAGTGAGTTGGGTTTAATGACACTTTGAAAGTCTTTCAGTTATATCTCCACATGTCAGACTGATGTAGGAGGAGAGTGAGTGAGTGAGTGAATGAGTTGGGTTTAATGACACTTTGAAAGTCTTTCAGTTATATCTCCACGTGTCAGGCTGATGTAGGAGGAGAGTGAGTGAGTGAGTGAGTTGGGTATAATGGCACTTTGAAAGTTTCAGTTATATCTCCACGTGTCAGACTGATGTAGGAGGAGAGTGAGTGAGTGAGTGAGTTGGGTATAATGGCACTTTGAAAGTCTTTCAGTTATATCTCCACGTGTCAGACTGATGTAGGAGGAGAGTGAGTGAGTGAATGAGTGAGTTGGGTTTAATGACACTTTGAAAGTCTCTAGTTATATCTCCACGTGTCAGACTGATGTAGGAGGAGAGTGAGTGAGTGAATGAGTGAGTTGGGTTTAATGACACTTTGAAAGTCTTTCAGTTATATCTCCACGTGTCAGACTGATGTAGGAGGAGAGTGAGTGAGTGAATGAGTGAGTTGGGTTTAATGACACTTTGAAAGTCTCTAGTTATATCTCCACGTGTCAGACTGATGTAGGAGGAGAGTGAGTGAGTGAATGAGTGAGTTGGGTTTAATGACACTTTGAAAGTCTTTCAGTTATATCTCCACATGTCAGACTGATGTAGGAGGAGAGTGAGTGAGTGAGTGAGTGAGTGAATGAGTTGGGTTTAATGACACTTTGAAAGTCTTTCAGTTATATCTCCACGTGTCAGGCTGATGTAGGAGGAGAGTGAGTGAGTGAGTGAGTTGGGTATAATGGCACTTTGAAAGTCTTTCAGTTATATCTCCACGTGTCAGACTGATGTAGGAGGAGAGTGAGTGAGTGAGTGAGTTGGGTATAATGGCACTTTGAAAGTCTTTCAGTTATATCTCCACGTGTCAGACTGATGTAGGAGGAGAGTGAGTGAGTGAGTGAGTTGGGTATAATGGCACTTTGAAAGTCTTTCAGTTATATCTCCACGTGTCAGACTGATGTAGGAGGAGAGTGAGTGAGTGAATGAGTGAGTTGGGTTTAATGACACTTTGAAAGTCTTTCAATTATATCTCAACATGTCAGACTGATGTAGGAGGAGAGTGAGTGAGTGAGTGAATGAGTTGGGTTTAATGACACTTTGAAAGTCTTTCAGTTATATCTCCACATGTCAGACTGATGTAGGAGGAGAGTGAGTGAGTGAGTGAATGAGTTGGGTTTAATGACACTTTGAAAGTCTTTCAGTTATATCTCCACATGTCAGACTGATGTAGGAGGAGAGTGAGTGAGTGAGTGAATGAGTTGGGTTTAATGACACTTTGAAAGTCTTTCAGTTATATCTCCACGTGTCAGACTGATGTAGGAGGAGAGTGAGTGAGTGAATGAGTGAGTTGGGTATAATGACACTTTGAAAGTCTTTCAGTTATATCTCCACATGTCAGACTGATGTAGGAGGAGAGTGAGTGAGTGAATGAGTGAGTTGGGTTTAATGACACTTTGAAAGTCTTTCAGTTATATCTCCACGTGTCAGACTGATGTATGAGGAGAGTGAGTGAGTGAATGAGTGAGTTGGGTTTAATGACACTTTGAAAGTCTTTCAGTTATATCTCCACGTGTCAGACTGATGTAGGAGGAGAGTGAGTGAGTGAATGAGTTGGGTTTAATGACACTTTGAAAGTCTTTCAGTTATATCTCCACATGTCAGACTGATGTAGGAGGAGAGTGAGTGAGTGAGTGAATGAGTTGGGTTTAATGGCACTTTGAAAGTCTTTCAGTTATATCTCCACGTGTCAGACTGATGTAGGAGGAGAGTGAGTGAGTGAGTGAATGAGTTGGGTTTAATGACACTTTGAAAGTCTTTCAGTTATATCTCCACATGTCAGACTGATGTAGGAGGAGAGTGAGTGAGTGAGTGAATGAGTTGGGTTTAATGACACTTTGAAAGTCTTTCAGTTATATCTCCACGTGTCAGACTGATGTAGGAGGAGAGTGAGTGAGTGAATGAGTGAGTTGGGTTTAATGACACTTTGAAAGTCTTTCAGTTATATCTCCACGTGTCAGACTGATGTAGGAGGAGAGTGAGTGAGTGAGTGAATGAGTTGGGTTTAATGACACTTTGAAAGTCTTTCAGTTATATCTCCACGTGTCAGACTGATGTAGGAGGAGAGTGAGTGAGTGAGTAGTTGGGTATAATGACACTTTGAAAGTCTTTCAGTTATATCTCCACGTGTCAGACTGATGTAGGAGGAGAGTGAGTGAGTGAATGAGTGAGTTGGGTATAATGACTCTTTGAAAGTCTTTCAGTTATATCTCCACGTGTCAGACTGATGTAGGAGGAGAGTGAGTGAGTGAGTTGGGTATAATGCCACTTTGAAAGTCTTTCAGTTATATCTCAACATGTCAGACTGATGTAGGAGGAGAGTGAGTGAGTGAGTGAGTTGGGTTTAATGACACTTTGAAAGTCTTTCAGTTATATCTCCACGTGTCAGACTGATGTAGGAGGAGAGTGAGTGAGTGAGTGAGTGAGTGAGTGAGTGAGTTGGGTTTAATGACACTTTGAAAGTCTTTCAGTTATATCTCCACGCGTCAGGCTGATGTAGGAGGAGAGTGAGTGAGTGAGTGAGTTGGGTTTAACGCCGCTTTTAACAGTATTCCAGTTATATCTCGAAGTGTCAGGCTGATGTAGGAGGGGAGCCCGAAGTGATACATGTTGTTGATTTTTACCACTTTCATGAAACCAACAATCACAGGTTTCGTGCTGAAACAAAACTGGAAACAGGATGAGGGTGAACCAGGATTCGAACCAGTAATCCAAGGTTCCTTGCATGGCAAAGGGAGGCTACTCTGCATGCCTATAGGATTCAACTCTGTATAGAGTCTCATGTTTGTATCTGATGCTGTAGATGTATAGGTTTCAGTTGAATATGTTAAGTATTTTTTGATAAATGAAAAGACAAGTTTGACATGGCTGTAGATCTTTCACTGAAACTGGGGTGCTGTTTACATGGTTCACAAACATCTCAGTCAACATGTGGTGAGTGTAAAGAGCTGGTGGAAGCTTTAGAAGCACTGATCATGGGTCTATGTAATATGTGTCATGTTTTGAGAGATGATATAAAATCAGTGTTGCCATGGTTACTATGATGCTGTGTCATGGATGTGCAGGTTTATCTCGGGAGAATTGTGAAGCCCAGAAAGTCTTTGTGGACAAGGATGGTTTCTCTGTGTTGATGCGGGCGATGCAGGCAGATGTGGAGAAACTCAAGATAAAGTCATCCTTCTTCCTCACTCACCTGTGCTCCAACCGACCAGCTTATAAAGGTAACCATAGTAACAAATTATGATTATGTCAAACAGCTTTTGGTGGTTACATACCAGTTGACTGACAAACTCCTGTTTTTCAAACATCTTCTTGTGTGATATTAACATGATTGATTATATGATTGACAACCATTCTGTTTTTCAGACATCCTGTGCGATATTGACATGATTGATTATGTGATTGATATTGCGATATTGACATGATTGATTATATGATTGACAACCATTCTGTTTTTCAGACATCCTGTGTGATAGTGACTTGATTGATTATATGATTGACAAGTTATAACAACCATTCTGTATTTCAGACATCCTGTGTGATAGTGACACGATTATATGATTGACATCCATTCTGTTTTTCAGACATCTTATGTGATAGTGACATGATAATATGATTGACATCCATTCTGTTTTTCAGACATCCTATGTGATAGTGACATGATTATATGATTGACATCCATTCTGTTTTTTCAGACATCCTATGTGATAGTGACATGATTATATGATTGACATCCATTCTGTTTTTCAGACATCCTGTGAGAGAGTGACATGATTATATGATTGACATCCATTCTGTTTTTCAGACATCCTATGTGATAGTGACATGATTATATGATTGACATCCATTCTGTTTTTCAGACATCCTGTGTGATAGTGACATGATTATATGATTGACATCCATTCTGTTTTTCAGACATCCTATGTGATAGTGACATGCTTATATGATTGACATCCATTCTGTTTTTCAGACATCCTGTGTGATAGTGACATGATTATATGATTGACATCCATTCTGTTTTTCAGACATACTATGTGATAGTGACATGCTTATATGATTGACATCCATTCTGTTTTTCAGACATCCTATGTGATAGTGACATGATTATATGATTGACATCCATTCTGTTTTTCAGACATCCTATGTGATAGTGACATGATTATATGATTGACATCCATTCTGTTTTTCAGACATCCTGTGTGAGAGTGACATGATTATATGATTGACATCCATTCTGTTTTTCAGACATCCTGTGTGATAGTGACATGATTATATGATTGACATCCATTCTGTTTTTCAGACATCCTGTGTGATAGTGACATGATTATATGATTGACATCCATTCTGTTTTTCAGACATCCTATGTGATAGTGACATGATTATATGATTGACATCCATTCTGTTTTTCAGACATCCTATGTGACAGTGACATGATTGATCATGTCACTCACAACCATTCTGTGTTTAGACATCCGGTGCGATATTGACATGATTGATCATATGATTGACAAGCATTCTGTTTTTCAGACATCCTATGTGATAGTGACATGATTATATGATTGACAACCATCTGTTTTTCAGACATCCTGTGCGATATTGGCATGATTGACCAGCTGGTCGGCCACCTGGGAGAGGACCACAGCCAGCTACATGAACATCTGATGAGCGCGCTGCTGATGATTGTCACGGACCACAGTCGAGCAGTTGCGGAGTGTCGGAGACCGGAGCTGCAGCTGCACCAACTGCTGAAAGACAGGATACAGCTGGTCAAAGACAAGGAAGAGTTTCAGGTGAGTCTGTGAAGGTTGTTTCAGGTGAGCCTGTTAAGATTGTTTCAGGTGAGTCTGTTAAGATTGTTTCAGGTGAGTCTGTTGAAATTGTTTCAGGTGAGTCTGTTAAGATTGTTTCAGGTGAGTCTGTTAAGTTTGTATCAGGTGAGGTGTTGAGGATGTTTCAGGTGAGTCTGTGAAGGTTGTTTCGGTTGAGTCTGTTACGCTTGTTTCGGGTGAGTCTGTGAAAGTTGATTCGGGTGAGTCTGTGAATGTTGTTTCAGGTGAGTCTGTGAAGGTTGTTTAAGGTGAGTCTGTTAAGGTTGTTTCAGGTGAGTCTGTGAAAGTTGATTCGGGTGAGTCTGTGAATGTTGTTTCAGGTGAGTCTGTGAAGGTTGTTTCGGGTGAGTCTGTTAAGGTTGTTTCAGGTGAGTCTGTGAAGGTTGTTTCAGGTGAGTCTGTGAAAGTTGTTTCAGGTGAGTCTGTGAAGGTTGTTTCAGGTGAGTCTGTTAAGGTTAATTCAGGTGAGTCTGTTGAGGTGAGTCGGTGAAGATTGTTTCGGGTGATTCTGTAAAGGTTGTTTCAGGTGAGTCTGTGAATGTTGTTTCTGGTGAGTCTGAAGATTGTTTCAGGTGAGTCTGTTAAGGTTGTATCAGGTGAGCCTGTTAAGGTTGTTTCAGGTGAGTCTGTGAAAGTTATTTCGGGTGAGTCTGTGAATGTTGTTTCGGGTTAGTCTGTTAAGGTTGTTTCGGGTGAGTCTGTGAAGGTTGTTTCAGGTGAGTCTGTGAAGGTTGTTTCAGGTGAGTCTGTTGAGGTTGTTTCAGGTGAGTCTGTTACGGTTGTATCAGGTGAGTCTGTTAAGGTTGTTTCAGGTGAGTCTGTTGAGGTTGTTTCAGGTGAGTCTGTTATGGTTGTATCAGGTGAGTCTGTTGAGGTTGTTTCAGGTGAGTCTGTTACGGTTGTATCAGGTGAGTCTGTTGAGGTGAGTCTGTGAAGGTTTCGGGTGAGTCTGTTAAGGTTGTTTCAGGTGAGTCTGTTGAGGTGAGTCTGTGAAGGTTGTTTTGGGTGAGTCTGTGAAGGTTGTATCAGGTGAGTCTGTGAATGTTGTATCAGGTGAGTCTGTGAAGGTTGTATCAGGTGAGTCTGTGAAGGTTGTATCAGGTGAGTCCGTGAAGGTTGTATCAGTGAATGTCGAGGATGTTTCAGGTGAGTCTGTGAAGGTTGTTTCAGGTGAGTCTGTGAAGGTTGTTTCAGGTGAGTCTGTTGAGGTTGTTTCAGGTGAGTCTGTGAATGTTGTATCAGGTGAGTCTGTGAATGTTGTATCAGGTGAGTCTGTGAATGTTGTATCAGGTGAGTCTGTGAATGTTGTATCAGATGAGTCTGTGAAGGTCATTTCAGGTGAGTCTGTGAATGTTGTATCAGGTGAGTCTGTGAAGGTCATTTCAGGTGAGTGTGAAGGTCATTTCGGGTGAGTCTGTGAATGTTGTATCAGGTGAGTCTGTGAAGGTTGTATCAGTGAATGTGGAGGATGTTTCAAGTAAAAACCTTTTACACAATATATTACTGGACCTATTCTGCCCCAGGTTCTACCAAATATTGTTCAACTAAATGTGAACAAAAAAGGATATTATTAAATGTTAACCTTATTATCTCGCCGGCTTGAAAAATGGGGATATAGCAATCACTATGTCTGTCAGTACACCTGTCCGTTCGCTGGCCGTATTTTCTGTTTCCGGGAGCAGAACTCTAAAACAGTTAAATACGTCTTGTTGAAATTTGCTACATATATTGCTTTGTATATAGATCAGTCTAGGATTTTTAAATATTTTTATATTTTTTTTTTTCTCTCATGACAACAAAGTGGACTTTAGTAAAAATGAGGGTAGTGGTTGTGGTCATTTGATGATTTGTTTTTTTTACAAATACTGAACAGCATTATATTTTCTTTACTAAACTTGGCATGCAGGCAAATAAGGTCATTTCCAGATTGCACCAGATCTGGGAGCTATATCATCATGTGATGAACCTTATTTGTGTGGATTTATTGTTTTAAAAATCGAAAAACAGGAATGTTGCTTTGTCTTGCCTCACATACGAGAAGAATCAGGTGGACCAGGAGGTCAGTCTCGTGGATCAGGTGGTCAGTCTCGTGGATCAGGTGGTCAGGCTAGTTGGTTGGTTGGTTGGGTTGTTGTTTTACGCCGCACTCACCAATATTCCAGCTATATGAAGGTGGTCTGTAAATAATTGAGTCTGGACAAGTCAATCCAGTGATTGATATCATGAGCATTGATCCACTCAACTGGGATCGATGACATGCTTCAACCAAGTCAGCGAGCCTGACCACTGATCCCGTTAGTCGGCTCTTACGACAAGCATAGTCGCCTTTTACGGCAAGCATGGGTTGCTGAAGACCTATTCTACCCCGGATCTTCACATGCCGGTCGGGCTAGTGGATGGGGTAGTCTGGCTCGTGTATTGGGTGGTCAAGCTTGTGTATTGGGTGGTCAAGCTTGTGTATTGGGTGGTCAGGCAGGGGCGTCGGGTGGTCAGACTCCGTGATTTGGTTGATAGCATGTCCTTTGACCTCCATTTTAAGGATTGTTGATCACAATATTGATCACTGGATTGTCTAGTCCAGACTTGATTATTTACAGGTCGCCATCATATGGCTTGATTATTGCTGCGTGGAGCATTAAACAACAAACAAACAGGCTAATGATGCTGAGAGAGGTTGCCTCCAATACTGAATGATTATCAAGTTTGGTTTGTAGAATTAAGATTGTCATGCAGTGATTTACCCAGATAAATACTCTTGGCAGACAGCTTGTGAATTTTTTGTTATTTGATTTTGCCCAAATTGGTCAGTGGAATACAATTGCCTGTACAAAGTCCTAACATAAGTTAGTACAAGGCAACATGAATCCGGAAATTTGTCATTCTGTTTTGCAAATCTTTATTTGGTGACATTTGGTTCAGACTACTAGGTGTAGGTGTAGAGACTAGTAGGTGTAGAGAAATCCCTGTCACTACCTTTGCATCATTTGAGGAAATGTTGATATAAATGAGAAAAGTATTCCTGTCATTGCATGTTGCGGTCAATGCAGGGATGTGAGCAGGTTTTCCCGAAAAAAGAGGAAAAGTCTAGGGGGGTCTGGGGGCATGCCCCCCCAGAAATTTTTAAAACATTTGATTGCATTTTAAGCAATATTGTGCAGTTTGGACAACATTCACACCAAGAAATGTAATAAGTCAATGGCCAAAGTCAATAAGTCAAATAAACAAGATGGCAGATGCAGTAAAATTTCGAAGTTAAATCAGTACTTTTAAAAAATTGGGCATAGCTTTCGCGCACCTGGCTACCCGCCAGGTCTGGGAGCAATACTGCCATAAACTTCAACCCCCATCCCCCAGACACAAGGACAACTGTCACAAGCGTGCAATGTCTGACCCTTTCCCCATGTTGAAGCATATTGAAAAAAACTTACCTTGTACTTACCTTTTGATGAAAAAAACAAAACTCCATTGCAAACATAAGACATTAATACAACATATATCCCCATGACATGGGGTTTTGGACGCTGAAGAAACATTCATAGTTTTCTCGCTTATCACATGAACAACTGTAAAACATCTCATTCACTTACAGGCTAAAAGACAACTTTATCTTAAAAACAAGCCATCAGCTGACTCTGAGTATTTACAATTTCTGTGTGTAGCCACACCCCACGTTATAGTGCAAGTATTCGTGACAGAAAACGTATGATGTCCGAAAACCTATGCTGGTGAAAGCTCTGATCGAAAACAGGACAATCCGCGCCAATTGTCCGGTTTTCGATCATATTTTTCATTGGTTTTTTTTAAAATAATATTAAATTTTTACGCGGGAGATGATTTTTTTCCGAGGACTACTGTTTTAAAAAACGCGATTTTCCGCCTTTCCGCGGAGATTTCACATCCCTGTCAATGTGTGCCACATCCTGGTTGGGGGAGCACGGGTGGCCCAGTCGTCTAAGGCGCTGCATTAAGCTGACACACTGTGATATAACTGTAATACTGTTAAAAGCGGCGTTAAACCCAACTCACTCACTCACTCACATCCTGTTGGTTTCAGGAGGAGGAACAGTATGCCACCCAGCTGCTGCGCATCATCTCGGAGGGGGACTCGACTGTGGACTGCGGGGCCAGGTGAAGCCGGCTGGGGCAGGTCATGGGATGTCACGGGAAGGATGCAGCACACACATGGTTGATTCAGTAACCGGACTGCCCAGCCTCCAGCAGCCGTGATGGCAGGACTCAAGGAGGCTTGTGATGTGTTGATTTTGTTGCTGAAGCTACAAGTGACTTGATGTGCAGCGTTAACCATGGGGGATGTTCCCTCTGGGGATGCTCGCTCTCCTGTTGTGTTATCTGCCATGCTATTGCTGGATTATTGCTGATGATGTTGTAAAAAACACTAATGATGTAAAAACTGTTTTGACGATTTGTGGCTGTTACTGTGACACTGACAGGACATGTTGCACTTTGTTACCATGGTTACTGTGTGGATGTGTGACTTATCGTGAGGCTTACAGGACATCTTGCCTCACTTTGTTACCATGGTTACTGTGTGGATGTGTGACTTATCGTGAGGCTTACAGGACATCTTGCACTACTTTGTTACCATGGTTACCTTGAGTGCCCCATTTCAATCACTGATAGCAGGAACGTCACAAGCTCCAACGTTCGTAGTTAGGCCTTCACTATAGGAATGTTTAAGCTCCAGTGAACTCACACAAAGTGAAAGTCATCTCTTATAATTCTTTCTATCACTATTTTGTACCTCGAGGGATTTTTCCACAATTTCCTTTAGTATGTGGGACTTCCTCTTTACACCGACAGCCACACAACCAGTTGTATCGCAGGATGCAGACAAAATGACAGCACATGAGCACACCAATTTCTCTTCATTAACAGGGGCGGTCGGGTAGCCTAGTGGTTAAGCATTCGCACGTCACGCCTAAGATCCGGGTTCGATTCCCGACATGGGTACAATGTGTGAAGCCCATTTCTGGTGTCCCCCGCTGTGATATCGCTGGAATATTGCTAAAAGCGGCGTGAAACGATATTCACTCACTCTTCAGTAACATCTATTGTAGTTACAACAAAGAGATTTATTTAATATCAGCTGATGAGGAATGTCTGTTATGAACTAACTGTAAGACGTTAAAATAGCCAACATGATCCATCTGATGGGCGAGATTTCCAAAGTTGTCAATGAACCTGTGACAATGGGGCATTAATCTTCATTGATCGTTTGGCCGATCTTTCAATGTGTCAAATGGATACTTAGGTAAATTGATAGATTGCTTTAGAATGTTGAGGACTGTCCGTCTAGGAACAGATCGAGTCGATGGTTTCAGTGTTCGTGGCTTGATCATGTTCACCCTGATGGGCCGTAGCGACAATGGTTTTATCACAGACTTGCAAAATGCTGACCTGAAGATTAAAGTGTCCAAGTGATAAGAAACATGCTTCTGTATTTATTCCCTGCTGTTTCGCCAGGAGTGTGGAAGGAGTCCATCAGTGTTTACGTCATTTCAAGAATAGTCTCGTGAAAAATGGATGAAAATCAAGATGTGTCACATGCATGGTACTCTCGGTCATAACAGCAACTCTGCTGATGAGATGTAATACGTGCCATGGTTCACAATAGCTCACCTGAACCTGAGACATCACTACAGCTGTAGGCTGCATCACTACAGACGCTTGAAGATCCGGGGAGGAATGGGTCTTCAGCAACCCATCCTTACCGTAAAAAGCAATAATGCTTGTCATAAGAGGTGACTAACGGGATCGGGTGGTGAGGCTCGCTGACTTGGTTGATGCATGTCATTAAATAGATGCTCATGATGTCAATCACTGGATTGTCTGGTCCAGACTCGATTATTTACAGACCAGCGTCATATAGCTGGAATATTGCTGAGTGCGGCGTTTAACAACAAACAAAGTAACTGTAGACTTCAGGATGTCGTTACAACTGTAGACTTCAGGACGTCGTTACAACTGTAGACTTCAGAACGTCGTTACAACTGTAGACTTCAGAACGTCATTACATCTGTTGACTTCAGAACGTCATTACATCTGTAGACTTCAGGACGTCATTACATCTGTTGACTTCAGGATGTCATTACAACAGAGGATGAAGAACATAAGTTATAAAACAACACATGAAACGTATAAAAATCCATTGTTTATTTCCAGTGAATTGCATAAAGGACAAACAGCACAACTATTTGTACAGGGTGGTTGTTCAGACATCACTTCATGTTGTTACAGGCTTACAATTACTTCTATTCTTATACAAATATAAATCAGCAACTCACAAACTGATGCAAAAATATTAGCTGTATGGTGATAAAATATAAACCAAAACTATTTTATCTTTTGAAGTGATAGCAAACTTGAAGAAAAAAGAAGGTCAAGTACAGCAGTAGTTGTAGTAAAAATTTGCACTAACTCTTACACAGTGAAACCTTCTCAAAGCAAACTCTGTTTAATGTGACGATCTCACACAATGGCCTAATATGGGCACCCTACTTGCATACGTGTGACAAAATATGACAACGTTTCACTGTGTTCTACAAAGCGTGTCACGAACATGTGATTGTCAGAATCTGACCGAAACCAAGGACGCTAAGTTCATGACAAAGCTAAAAATGTTATGTATTCAGTGATGAAATACTATTTTATTTGAAAATTTAAAAAAATGATATTTTGCACAAGTGAAGAAGACGGTGGTTTTCAGTGTAATATCATGACGATCAATGCATCAATATCAATATCAAAACATAATAAACAGAACTTTATCTCATGGAGCAAACTGAAAAAGCTGACACGTTCATTTTGTCAGCAACACTCGCAGGTCACTGAAGATGAATAATTTCTTGTTTTGTTAAAAAAGACAAATTTCTCTTTTTTCTTCTAAGCCTTTCATCTGAAAATTTCCCATCTCCCTTTCACATGAAATCTTCTGCTGTGACTGTGCAACACTGAGAGAGAAAGCAGCTAACACAATGGGAACAATACACTACAACAAACTAAAAAACACCTAACTGCAAAAATATCCATTTTCAATAGTTTCAGAATTATTGCAGGTCAAGCAAAAACAATCTAAGCTGTCATTGTACATGTACAAATAGAGGCTAACCTGCACGTGTGCATGTGCGTGAGTTGGAGAGAGAGAGCCTGTGTTTGTATTTTCAGTGACACGCAAGTCGTGATCCCTATGATTCAGAAGTCTCCCATGTTATTCCAAGGGAACCCCATGCCAGACTCCTGAAGATTCACCCGGAGATCTGTTCCTCCGGGCTGCCATGTCACAGGGGACAGTAGCATGCTACACTATATTAGGCTAAAAAAATAATAGTCTTGGTTCTCAGGCACCGCCCGCATCATCATAAAGTCTGGCGCATGTTTTGTTTTATTTCCATTATTAAAAAATCCTAATACTTAAAATCAATGCTATCCAATATAGCACCCAGTTACTTCCCTTAATATGCGCACCGCTTTACTGCACATCGTGTGTTATGGTCATGGCGGCAATAGGAGCGGTTGTTTGTTGATATAGGGAGGCCCTTTCCCAGGTTGATGGTACACAACTGTTTATTTGGGCACCTACTAGTTTGAACAAGCCAAAGAAAACCACTGCCCGCATGCACTATATTTTCAAAAGTCATTGCCTGTGAACCAATTCTTTTCATTTTTTTAAGCCTTATTATGGTAATTAATTCCTAATGGATGGTAATGGCAATCACTTACTAACCTATTAAATATGTCGTACGCAAAATGTTTCTTGTTTGTTGTTCAACTTTTATGAAATATCAATTGGGATTGATTGGTGCTGATTTTCTTAACAGAGTTGGGTAAACAAAGTACCTGTCATTAGCGACTCAAGGGTGGGTAAGGCAGTATTATCGCAGTATCACTAGTTTGTGTGATACGTGTGGATTATGCATAATCAGTATGTATGCCACGTACGGCCTAGTTTGCGTCAAGGGACATCGCGTAAAAAAATGGGTTCTTTTCTAACAAATTTCGAATGGAGGTAGGGGTAATTCCACTTCAAAAACATTCTAGAAACTCTCATAAGAAAGTTAACGCGTATACTCATACTTAGATTTGCATAAGTAAACAGTTGACGGGTTGTAGATTAACTGATACCGCGATAATACAGAGCCTATGAAATACTATCCAGATGATCAGGACTTCACTGGATGTTCTTCACATATATCTGCTCTCTGTACACTACACGTCACACGACACGTCGCACGACAATATCAACATACATTTCCACATGACGTTCTTCCAGTCACCTCATCACTGATCTAGAGTTAGTACTTGAAAGTACTCGTTTAAGTAGTAACAAGCAGTATCATTTAATACAAACTTTGGCAAACAGATAACACCAGTTTTCTACAGTTGATTACAGGAGTGCTGTAAACCCACCATACACAACATGTTTGATACGAGAAGCATTCAGACAATATGGAAATACGAAATGTCAATTCATCTGCTGTCGCCACATGAGAATACCTGCTTTGTAATTATTACCTTTTTCGTTATAGCTCTTGTAGTCCCAAGACTATGATCACTAAACAGTGCAGACTATATTCACATAGTACAATTGTCAATGGTTCATATATTTTCAAACAGTTCAGCTGGAACAGCAATAATAACCTTAGACATAGCCAGTAAATGGCTTTGACAGGCCTCTCCACATAGAATGCAGACATGATGTACAAATATATACAAGACAAATGCATCAGGAAGATAGGGAGAGCTCTATACCAGGTAGATAGGGAGAGCTCTACACCAGGTAGATAGGGAGAGCTCTACACCAGGTAGATAGGGAGAGCTCTACATCAGGTAGATAGGGAGAGCTCTACACCAGGTAGATAGGAGAGCTCTACACCAGGTAGATAGGGAGAGCTCTACACCAGATAGATAGGGAGAGCTCTACACCAGATAGATAGGGAGAGCTCTACACCAGGTAGATAGGGAGAGCTCTACATCAGGTAGATAGGGAGAGCTCTGCACCAGGTAGATAGGAGAGCTCTACACCAGGTAGATAGGGAGAGCTCTACATCAGGTAGATAGGGAGAGCTCTGCACCAGGTAGATAGGGAGAGCTCTGCACCAGGTAGATAGGGAGAGCTCTGCACCAGGTAGATAGGGAGAGCTCTAAATCAGGTAGATAGGGAGAGCTCTACACCAGGTAGATAGGGAGAGCTCTACACCAGGTAGATAGGGAGAGCTCTACACCAGGTAGATAGGAGAGCTCTACACCAGGTAGATAGGGAGAGCTCTACACCAGGTAGATAGGGAGAGCTCTACACCAGGTAGATAGGGAGAGCGACCAGCCAGAGATCCAGGTAAAACACACAATTAAACAATCCAAGTAAAAAAAGATGCAGTATTTCAAACCAACAGAATCAAATCTCACTGGTTCAGTGAATGAGCAAATGCTATATGAATATAAGATCACTAAAATACATATTGCCATCGGTTGCCCCTCCCGGCTAAACTGTTCAACGTTTGTATACAAAATATGTTCTGGAATGATGATCGACATACGTATTGGAATGTTGTGTGAGGACACAAACATCTGCACAACAGTTGTTCCATCATCTTGAACAACAACACAACACAGCTCCCACAACACGGAATGCAACAAGGGGGATAACTCTAGATCTGGGACTCATTCTTGTAGCTGGCTAGCAACATGTTCAGCCTGTGTTGAATAACTACAAATAGTGCCACACACAATATTCTCCACTTCCTGCAGGCCTCACGTGAATCAAGGCAATCAGAACGCTGCAAATTACATGTTGATTCCAACAGAACTTCATAAACATATCGTGTACATTTCCTCCAACAGCTATATCTCGGGGTATCCATGGTTACCAGATTCCTGAGATCAGCAGACCATCACAGAACATAAGGCATCAATGTAAGAATGCACACACATGAGATACAACTTTTGAAGTTTGCATCCTGTTTTTGTTTTGTTTGAAAAATGGGCAAATTTGCGGAAACAAAATAATTTGCATTTCCCTGCTGGAGTCTGAGAAGCAAGGTGCTATATTTTCGTACCTCTACATTCAAACACAAGACATAATAGGAAATATCTGGCATAATGAATTATCTGAGTAAGATACACACTTCCATCACTGAAAGAACCGAATGATACACGTCTCATGGTGAAAGTACCGACAGCTATTTACTGACGCACACAGATGATACTCGTCTCATGGTAAAAGTACCGACAGCTATTTACTGACACACACAGATGATACTCGTCTCATGGTAAAAGTACCGACAGCTATTTACTGACGCACACAGATGATACTCGTCTCATGGTAAAAGTACCGACAGCTATTTACTGACACACACAGATGATACTCGTCTCATGGTGAAAGTACCGACAGCTATTTACTGACGCACACAGATGATACTCGTCTCATGGTAAAAGTACCGACAGCTATTTACTGACACACACAGATGATACACGTCTCATGGTGAAAGTACCGACAGCTATTTACTGACACACACAGATGATACTCGTCTCATGGTGAAAGTACCGACAGCTATTTACTGACGCACACAGATGATACTCGTCTCATGGTGAAAGTACCGACAGCTATTTACTGACACACACAGATAATACTCGTCTCATGGTGAAAGTACCGACAGCTATTTACTGACACACACAGATGAGAGTGGCTGTCAGGAGTGAGTGAGTTTGGTTAAACGCCGCTTTTAACAGTATTACAGTCATATCACAGCGTGTCAGCTTAATGTGGGAGGAAAGCCCGAAATGATGCAGGTCTCAGATGTTTACCACTTCGGTGAAACCCACAAGCATGGGTATGGTGCTGACAAACCTAGAAACATAATTGGGGCGAACCGGGATTCGAACCCATAATCATAGCATAGCGAATCACGGCACCTTAGACGACTGGGCCACCCATGCCCCCAAGCTGTCAGGACCAGGTTCCCCGAGTGGGTAACTTACCATCTCACCAGACTCATGGAGTAGCATGTTTTACTTTAGTGAGTGAGTGAGTGAGTGGAAACCTGATACAGGTATTAGACTCTGGGTAAAACCAACGAACACAAACAAACCTTGAACCATAACCAGGGCGGATCTAGGATTCAGTCACGGTCATTGGTGTCTGGCACTCCTAAGGGAGACAACTCTGCAGAGACAATGACAGTTGGCCCATGGTTCTCTAGATGGAGAATGTACTGAGTGGAATGCTTAAATCACAACTTCAGTGTCTTATACTATATGAAGAATGTAGTGAAGGGAATGTTCAAATCACAACTTCTTGTCTTATACTATATGAAGAATGTAGGGAAGGGAATGTTCAAATCACACCCTCTAGCAGCAGTAACCACAGCCCCTGCACTCCACACTTTCAAGCAGGAGCTGTCATAGCAACAGTAACCATGACAACACAATGCTACAACTCCTGCACTCCACACTTTCAAGCCATAGCAGCAGTTACCATGACAACGCCACAGCTCCCACACTATCAAGCAGGAGCTGTCATGGCAGCAGTAACCATGACAACACAACGCCACAGCTCCCACACTCCACACTATCAAGCAGGAGCTGTCATGGCAGCGGTAACCATGACAACACAATGCCACAGCTTCTACACTCCACACTTTTAAGCCATAGCATCAGTTACCATGACAATGCCACTGCTTCCACACTTTCAAGCAAGAGTTGCCATAACAACAGATACCATGATAATACACACCCAGAAAATGATCAATCTCTAAGCTCATTAACCGATTCAGGAAAATCTGTGCAACTTAGACAAACTAATATTGTTTTTATATTAACTTTCCCCTATCAATTCCAATAATAACTCAATACAATATTATGTCTTTACTTGTATGATGTGTCTTAATATTTCCATAGAAAATTAAAATTTTATTCAACTGATCTATATAAATAAATAAATACTTGTACACATCAAGGCTAAAAGATACCGGACGTGAGCCCAAGTACTTGGGACAGTCTACAACAGCTGTTGACCAAGGTCCAGTGGGCTGTACAGTAACGAAACCTGTGTTAAAAAATATTTTCATTTCTAAGGCATTGAACAAAAAACAGTTCCAATAACAAAATCCACTTTAACACGGAACAAAAGAATATCCCTAGAGATTTTGATTAAATCAAGACTGCTCCTGTCTATACGTTGTGTTCAGGTCTGACAGAAGCTGGCCATGCTCACAACCCAGTAAACTTTGAAATCAAACTAACCATTGAGAGATCTGTGTACACACAATGCCTCTTTCCTACAATCTCAGCTGACATTACTTGAATTTTGTTTTCTTTAATTTCTTGATGGAGAATTGCTGACTGCTGCCAAATGTGATCACAAGTTCAAGTCATCATCCTCGTCGTGGTACTCCACCTGCCGGTCGCGCTTGAAGGGAGCACCTGGCTTCTTCTTGACGCGATGTCGCAGTCCCAGGCAGGTGAAGAGGACTCCCAGAACCAGTCCAAGCAACAGACAGCCGATGGCCGCCCCAGCCACCACATCTGAAACATCAAACAGAACTTACAGATGGGGTGCACACTGGGGGTACACTAGTATGGTATTATACTCATGCTACACTTGCTGGTATTATACTCAAGCTATGCTTGCTGGTATTATACTCATGCTACACTTGCTGGTCTTATACTAAAGCTACACTTGCTGGTATTATACTTATGCTACACTTGCTAGTATTATACTCATGCTACACTTGCTGGTATTATACTCATGCTACACTTGCTGGTATTATACTCATGCTACACTTGCTGGTATCATACTCAAGCTACACCTACCAACATGGTATTTAACTCAAGCTACACTTGCTGGTATTATACTCAAGCTACGCTTACTGGTATTATACTCATGCTACACTTGCTGGTATTATACTAATGCTACACTTGCTGGTATTATACTCATGCTACACTTGCTGGTATTATACTCATGCTACACTTGCTGGTATTATACTCAAGCTACGCTTGCTGGTATTATACTCAAGCTATGCTTGCTGGTATTATACTCATGCTACACTTGCTGGTATTATACTCATGCTACACTTGCTGGTATCATACTCAAGCTACACCTACCAACATGGTATTTAACTCAAGCTACACTTGCTGGTATTATACTCATGCTACGCTTGCTGGTATTATACTCAAGCTACGCTTGCTAGTATTATACTCAAGCTACGCTTGCTGGTATTATACTCATGCTACACTTGCTGGTATTATACTCAAGCTACGCTTGCTGGTATTATACTCAAGCTATGCTTGCTGGTATTATACTCAAGCTATGCTTGCTTGTATTATACTCAAGCTATGCTTGCTGGTATTATACTCAAGCTATGCTTGCTGGTATTATACTCAAGCTACACCTACCAGCATAGTATTAAACTCAAGCTACACCTACCAGCATGGTATTAAACTCAAGCTACACCTACCAGCATGGTATTAAACTCAAGCTACACCTACCAGTATGGTATTAGACTCAAGCTACACCTACCAGCATGGTATTAAACTCAAGCTACACCTACCAGCATGGTATTAAACTCAAGCTACACCTACCAGCATGGTATTAGACTCAAGATACACCTACCAGCATGGTATTAAACTCAAGATACACCTACCAGCATGGTATTAGACTCAAGCTACACCTACCAGCATGGTATTAAACTCAAGATACACCTACCAGCATGGTATTAAACTCAAGCTACACCTACCAGCATGGTATTTAACTCAAGCTACACTTGCTGGTATTATACTCAAGCTACGCTTGCTGGTATTATACTCAAGCTACACTTGCTGGTATTATACTCATGCTACACTTGCTGGTATTATACTCAAGCTACGCTTGATGGTATTATACTCAAGCTATGCTTGCTGGTATTATACTCAAGCTATGCTTGCTGGTATTATACTCAAGCTACACCTACCAGCATAGTATTAAACTCAAGCTACACCTACCAGCATGGTATTAAACTCAAGCTACACCTACCAGCATGGTATTATACTCAAGCTACACCTACCAGCATGGTATTAAACTCAAGCTACACTTACCAGCATGGTATTAAACTCAAGCTACACCTACCAGCATGGTATTAGACTCAAGCTACACTTACCAGCATGGTATTAAACTCAAACTACACCTACCAGCATGGTATTAAACTCAAGCTACACCTACCAGCATGGTATTAAACTGAAGCTACACCTACCAGCATGGTATTAAACTCAAGCTACACCTACCAGCATGGTATTAGAATCAAGCTACACCTACCAGCATGGTATTAAACTCAAGCTACACCTACCAGCATGGTATTAGACTCAAGCTACACCTACCAGCATGGTATTAAACTCAAGCTACACCTACCAGCATGGTATTAAACTCAAGCTACACCTACCAGCATGGTAATAAACTCAAGCTACACCTACCAGCATGGTACTTGACTGGCGGGGGTTGTTTTACTGTTGTTTGCAGGATTCCGTGGAGGACCCAGTCCCACATGCCCCCCGTGAAGCCCGTGTTGGCTGGCGTGTTGGACTTGGACAGATCTTCAGCGAAGTAAATAGCAATCCCTGAAACATATGAGTTTGTGTGACCTGATCACAGGTGTATGCAAACAGACTAAAGACTACAGGTATATCTGAACAGACTAAAGACTATAGGTGTATGTGTTATAGACTGAAGACTATAGGTGTATCTGAACAGACTAAAGACTATAGGTGTATGTGTTACAGACTAAAGACTATAGGTGTATGTGTTACAGACTAAAGACTATAGGTGCATGTGTTACAGACTAAAGACTATAGGTGTATGTGTTACAGACTAAAGACTATAGGTGTATGTGTTACAGACTAAAGACTATAGTTGTATGTGTTACAGACTAAAGACTATAGGTGTATGTCTTGAAGACTGAAGACTACAGGTGTATCTGAACAGACTGAAGACTATAGGTGTATGTGTTACAGACTAAAGACTATAGGTGTATCTGAACAGACTGAAGACTATAGGTGTATGTGTTACAGACTAAAGACTACAGGTGTATCTGAACAGACTGAAGACTATAGGTGTATGTGTTACAGACTAAAGACTACAGGTGTATGTGTTACAGACTAAAGACTACAGGTGTATGTGTGACAGACTGAAGACTATAGGTGTATGTGTTACAGACTAAAGACTATAGGTGTATGTGTTACAGACTAAAGACTACAGGTGTATGTGTTACAGACTGAAGACTACAGGTGTATGTGTTACAGACTAAAGACTACAGGTGTATGTGTTACAGACTAAAGACTATAGGTGTATGTGTTACAGACTAAAGACTACAGGTGTATCTGAACAGACTGAAGACTATAGGTGTATGTGTTACAGACTAAAGACTACAGGTGTATGTGTTACAGACTTAAGACTACAGGTGTATGTGTGACAGACTGAAGACTATAGGTGTATGTGTTACAGACTAAAGACTATAGGTGTATGTGTTACAGACTAAAGACTACAGGTGTATGTGTTACAGACTGAAGACTATAGGAGTATGTGTTACAGACTAAAGACTATAGGTGTACGTGTTACAGACTGAAGACTACAGGTGTATTTGTTACAGACTAAAGACTACAGGTGTATCTGAACAAACTGTATGTTTACCTTTGAGGCCAAAATCATGGGCATACTGATACTTGAGCCGGAGACTGTGGATGTTCTCGTACCAGTACTGGTGACAGTTGGACATGTTAGACGTCTGAAACACACAACTACAGATACAGACACGATAAACCACGTAGTACATTACAGACACGATAAACCACGTAGTACATTACAGACACGATAAACCACGTAGTACATTACACACACGATAAACCATGTAGTACATTACAGACACGATAAACCACGTAGTACATTACACACACGATAAACCACGTAGTACATTACAGACACGATAAACCACGTAGTACATTACACACACGATAAACCATGTAGTACATTACAGACATGATAAACCACGTAGTACATTACACACACGATAAACCATGTAGTACATTACACACACGATAAACCACGTAGTACATTACAGACACGATAAACCACGTAGTACATTACACACACGATAAACCACGTAGTACATTACACACACGATAAACCACGTAGTACATTACAGACACGATAAACCACGTAGTACATTACAGACACGATAAACCACGTAGTACATTACACACACGATAAACCACGTAGTACATTACAGACATGATAAACCATGTAGTACATTACAGACATGATAAACCATGTAGTACATTACAGACATGATAAACCATGTAGTACATTACAGACACGATAAACCACGTAGTACATTACAGACATGATAAACCACGTAGTACATTACAGACATGATAAACCATGTAGTACATTACAGACATGATAAACCACGTAGTACATTACAGACACGATAAACCACGTAGTACATTACACACACGGTAAACCATGTAGTACTTTACACACACGATAAACTGGGTGTACTTACACAATGGTCAAACATGGGCGTCCATGGTGAACTTACACAATGGTCAAACATGGGTGTCCATGGTGAACCCACACAATGGTCAAACATGGGCGTCCATGGGTGTACTTACACAATGGTCAAACATGGGTGTCCATGGGTGTACTTACACAATGGTCAAACATGGGCGTCCATGGTGAACTTACACACTGGTCAAACATGGGCGTCCATGGTGAAGTTACACAATGGTCAAACATGGGCGTCCATGGTGAAGTTACACAATGGTCAAACATGGGCGTCCATGGGTGTACTTACACAATGGTCAAACATGGGCGTCCATGGTGAACTGACACAATGGTCAAACATGGCTGTCCATGGGTGTACTTACACAATGGTCAAACATGGGCGTCCATGGTGAACTTACACAATGGTCAAACATGGGTGTCCATGGGTGTACTTACACAATGGTCAAACATGGGCGTCCATGGTGAACTGACACAATGGTCAAACATGGGCATCCATGGGTGTACTTACACAATGGTCAAACATGGGCGTCCATGGTGAACTTACACAATGGTCAAACATGGGCGTCCATGGTGAACTTACACAATGGTCAAACATGGGCGTCCATGGGTGTACTTACACAATGGTCAAACATGGGCGTCCATGGTGAACTTACACAATGGTCAAACATAGGCGTCCAAGGGTGTACTTACACAATGGTCAAACATGGGCGTCCAAGGGTGTACTTACACAATGGTCAAACATGGGAGCCTTGTAGGCCTTGTTCCAGTAGGCTGTGGTCAGTTGGTCCTGATGCTTGTCCAGGAGTTCTCCAACTGATATCATTTCTCGGGACCCGGCAACGTCGCAGTGGCTTGTGTTGGACCCCTCGCTCTTGACTTCCTTCAGGGTGCACTTACTTAAATCCATACGCTGGCAACAAATCAGTGAGTGAGTGGGTGAGTGAGTGAGTGAGTGAGTGAGTGAGTGAGTGAGTGAGTGAGTGAGTGAGTGAGTGAGTGAGTGAGTGAGTGAGTGAGTGAGTGAGTGAGTGAGTTTGGGTTACAGAGAAGAACAGTCTGGCCTGCTGTCATCTGGTTATGTTGTCATTTCATGGTGCCGGCTAGTCCGGTTATCATTGAGATATATCATCACTTACTTATGTAGACAAGTCTTCTCATCATCTAGTTGATGTTAGTTTGTCGTTTAACACGACACTTAGCAATATTCCTATAGTAGTAAATAATCGAGTCTAGGCCAGACAATCCAGTGATTGACATCATGAGCATCGATCCATGCAATTGGGAAATGATGACATGCATTACAAAGTCAGCGAGCCTGACTTCCCAACCCTGTTAGTCGCCATATAGGACAAGCACAGTCGCCTCTTACAAAAGGCATGGGTTGCTGAAAACCTTTTCTATCCCGAATCTTCATGGGTCGCATCATCCAGTCATCTCCAAGGCATCATCAGTTATCATCCATCTTCATCAGCAATCGTCGTGTCGTCAGTAATCATCGTCGTATCATCATCAGTCATCATCTTATCATCATGATGTCATCATCAGTCATCGTTTTGTCCTCATCAGTCATCGTCATCATGTCATCATCAATCATTGTTGTATCACCATCAGTCACCATCGTGTCATCTGTCATCATCAGTAGCCGTCGTATCATCATCAGTCAAAAATGTGTCATCATCAGTAAATGTCGGGTCATCATCAATCATCTTTGTATCGTCATCATCAGTCATCGTCATATTATCATCCAGTTATCAGTCATTAGTATGTCAACATCAAGTCATTGTTAGTCTTCATCAGTCATCACCATGTCATCATCAGTCATCATCCGATAATCATGATCCAATCATCATCGTGCCACCATCAGTCATCGTCAGTCATCATCCGTTCATCATCAGTCATCAGTCATCGTCGTGTCATCATCAGTCATCATCTAGGGATGTCATCATCTAGTCATGCAAGTCCGAGCCAGCAACACACACACCAATGGATGACAGGACATGCTAGTATTACAACAACTGTGGGTCTACTCACAAATGTGAAGTCTTTACAGTTGTACTTGTAGCCATGCCAGGGGATGCCAAGGATCACTCGCTCCTCGTTGATCCCGAAGGATGCATATTCATCCACACCTGGTCAAGCAGAAACACCAAATGGGAGGCAAGACAACAAAGTATGAATGTGCGGAGAACTGTAACTACTGGGTCATAGACCCCCCTTCTCATAGGAGTAGACATTGGGTTGTCACCATGTGGAGACGGTGGCTCCAGCTTCACACAGCCCTCCCTGCCTCTAACAAGCACCTGCACTCACCCAGACTGATCATGGTGGAGACAGTGGCTCCAGTTTCACAAAGCCCTCCCTGCCTCTAACAAGCACCTGCACTCACCCAGACTGATCATGGTGAAGACAGTGGCTCCAGCTTCACACAGCCCTCCCTGCCTCTAACAAGCACCTGCACTCACCCAGACTGATCATGGTGGAGACAGTGGCTCCAGCTTCATACAGCCCTCCCTGCCTCTAACAAGCACCTGCACTCACCCAGACTGATCACGGTGGAGATAGTGGCTCCAGCTTCACACAGCCTTCCCTGCCTCTAACAAGCACCTGCACTCACCCAGACTGATCACGGTGGAGACAGTGGCTCCAGCTTCACACAGCCCTCCCTGCCTCTAACAAGCACCTGCACTCACCCAGACTGATCATGGTGAAGACAGTGGCTCCAGCTTCACACAGCCCTCCCTGCCTCTAACAAGCACCTGCACTCACCCAGACTGATCATGGTGGAGACAGTGGCTCCAGCTTCATACAGCCCTCCCTGCCTCTAACAAGCACCTGCACTCACCCAGACTGATCATGGTGGAGATAGTGGCTCCAGCTTCACACAGCCTTCCCTGCCTCTAACAAGCACCTGCACTCACCCAGACTGATCACGGTGGAGACAGTGGCTCCAGCTTCACACAGCCCTCCCTGCCTCTAACAAGCACCTGCACTCACCCAGACTGATCATGGTGGAGACAGTGGCTCCAGCTTCACACAGCCCTCCCTGCCTCTAACAAGCACCTGCACTCACCCAGACTGATCATGGTGGAGACAGTGGCTCCAGCTTCACACAGCCCTCCCTGCCTCTAACAAGCACCTGCACTCACCCAGACTGATCATGGTGGAGACAGTGGCTCCAGCTTCACACAGCCCTCCCTGCCTCTAACAAGCACCTGCACTCACCTAGACTGATCACGGTGGAGACAGTGGCTCCAGCTTCACACAGCCCTCCCTGCCTCTAACAAGCACCTGCACTCACCCAGACTGATCATGGTGAAAGGCACAGTGGCCCTAGCCTGACACCCGCTTCCTTCATGCTGGTACTCAAAGCTGCTGGGGTCAATCATGATCCAGTCACAGGCGTGATACAGGGTGTCCTGAGTGATGGTGCAGTCACCACCATAGCAAGCCGGCTTCCAAGGCACCACACACACCATCTGCAACGACAACATTAACAATAATGAAAATTCAGTACAGATCAACACACCTGAACACCAAGGCTGTTATGATTCACTCGCGTATCCGATGAATTGAACCATATCCATTCATGAACTGAATTCATTTTTCTAGGTCACTAGAATTGAATAGCTTTTAATATGGAGTTATGTGCATTTATATACCTTGTCCCTTAAAATATCCCTAAAAATATATTACACGCATAGCTTTCTTCAAAGACAACACTCTTATATATTTCATTTGACTAGTACCTGGATAAGTGCAGTATATAAAATGTATAATAAATAAATAATTAACAAACTATGTCAAATAATTTATGTTATTGTTTCACTGAATATAATAAATAATACATCAACTGCTGACTTGTTATTGTAATCGTGAATAAATATTCGCATTTGTTACCCTATATTCATGATACGAGTTATATTCGTCTAACTCATTGTACCTAAACTACTGATCATCACATAGTTAGGTAGGTTCCTAGACAGACAGTGTACCCACCTCAATAGGATGTCCATAATGTATCTTTGGAGTTAGCGCTGACTTGAGCGCAAGGAGGATTTTGTTCACTTTCTGCACTATGGAAGCATCCTTAGTTTTGAGGACGTTCATGAGTTTGACTGAGACAAAGTCGGCGTGTGAGGAGTTCCTGCGGCTGACAATGCTGTCGACCCACGTGGTGGAGCTGGAGTTGGAGTTGGCAGCCTTGTAGTCCAGATGGACTGAAACACAACCGTCAGTGAGACAGGGTCCTCATGCACTCATTTAGCTGTACAAGCCAGGAACAGCCAAACTGCAGCCTCAACAATCTGTTGCAACGATCAACCACACACATCCACTCCTACCTTCAATCTCACCCGGTAACTACACTTAGCCATCTCACCTGACAACCACACTTAGCCATCTCACCCGACAACCACACTAAACCGTCTCACCCGACAACCACACTTAACCATCTCACCTGTCAACCACACTAAACCGTCTCACCCGACAACCTCACTTAACCATCTCACCTGTCAACCACACTAAACCGTCTCACCCGACAACCACACTTAACCATCTCACCTGTCAACCACACTAAACCGTCTCACCCGACAACCTCACTTAGTCATCTCACCAGACAACCATGCTTAGCCACCTCACCAGGCAACCATGCTGAGCCACTTCACCAGACAACCACAATAAGCCATAGCAGAAAGACTCTGCAATGTTATGGGTTATTATAAAAAAAATAATTCAACTCCAAACAATCATATCAAGAAACACATCACAGATCTTCTAACATGTTTGCAGGCGATTTACTTCATGAACATAAAATGAAAACTAGGAGAATATCTCCCGGTCTCCCAACACCCCATCTTCCTGAGGCAAGAGAGTTAGCTGACTATAAAAGTCCAGTTTCCACCCTGCCGAACTAAGCTGGTATTTTGGAGTTAAGTTTTGGCTGGACTAATGAGTCTATGCATAGTCCAATCAAAATCACACAACAAATTCGAAATCCGGTTCGTAATCCGTTGTACAGATTTCGGTCGTTGTCAACAGATATTTTCCAAATCTTTTATTGTTTTTAATCAAGGTGCTCACGTGAGTTGATGCACTTGGTGCTGTAAGATCCGTTTTATCACAATATAGATCTTGATAATTGATCAAATCGTCTTGACTTGACGCCAACATTTTGTCTGAAGCAAATGCAAGTGATACGAGAGATGGAATCTGATTGGTCCATTCATAATAGATACGATCGAGCCCAGAAATTCCAGCCTAGTTCAGCAAGGGTGGAAACTGGACTTTTAGAGTCAGTTATCTCCCTTTGCCTCAGGAAGATGCTGACAACCAGGAGCAGTGCCTGCACTAGTTACCCATGAAGCCGTATTTCTTGTGCATCTGATGAGCAAAGCACATGACGTCTGTGTTGAGGTTGGTCTCCGTGGCGATGACGGAAGTCAAGGAATCCCATTCCCAACTCCTGTAGTCTGCCGTACCATTTGTCACAATAAATACCTGTGAACAGTAAACAGCCAGGGATGTAGCTAGGCTTCTTAACTGTTTGTTTATTTGTTTGTTGTTTAACGCCGCACTCAGAAATATTCCAGCCATATGATGGCTGTCTGTAAAGAATCGAGTCTAGACCAGACAATCCAGTGACTGACATCATGTGCATCGATCCACACAACTGGGATACTATGACATGCATCAACCAAGTCAGCGAGGCTGACCACCCGATCCTGTTAGTTGCCTTTTACGACAAGCATAGTCGCCTTTTACGGCAAGTATGGGTTGCTGAAGACCTATTCTACCCCAGGTCTCCATGGGTTGCTTCTTAATTGAGTGCTCCTGGCAGGCAAATTTGGAAAGTCATTATGTTGTCCAAAATTGGGATTTTTTAAAAGTTTAAAATGGTTAACTGAGATCCCCAACAGCAGTTGTTTTGAAGTTCGTATACAACCTCTGTTTGTATGCATGTCCATGAAAGGCATTTTTGTTTTTGCCTGCAAGGTTTTTCCATACACCCAGGTTATACTTTGTTTATACAGTTTTCTGTCTGCTAGTTCTTTTCCAGGTCAAGCTTCTACCCACAATAACAATGCTTGTTTCTCAATTATCGTCTTAGGCTGGCAAGACCTAAATTTCCCATCAACCCTAGCGGCAAGGTAAAAACTTAACTTAATATTTTCCCTTAAATTTTATAACTTATCTAATTTGCATGTGCCTCACTATTCAATATCTGACCTGGTCAACGCGATTTGGGTTACACAACTTTTAATTCTCACCTTCAGACGTAAACTTCAAATCTCTGCGTGTACAATTCTATCATATATATTACATTTCATGCCTCGTCTTTACCAGTTGCCTCCACACCTACTTACAGATGTACGGAACACTATTATTTAAAAGATATTTTCTATATGAGTAGGTTTCATTCTCGCTTAATATCTTATCAAATATTACTTGTGCCATACAGTGTTTGGTTACTTGCTTGTTTAATTTAATGCTTGGGGTTTAATTTGTTCAAGTATACACTTTCTTACTGTGTAACCTTATGTGCCAAATATTGTACCTTGTCTGCATCTTTTACCTACTTCGGCCAAATAAATCTAGTCATTTTGGTCCTGTTGTGGTTCTTAATTTGAGAATATTATTAAACCATGCAGAATTTGAAACATGAGTCATATATCACAACTGAACTGGAATTATCTCAATCCTCCACATGTTGAATCTTGGCATTATTTTAAACATTATGGCCTAAGTCAGCTGACATATATAATGTGGCAGGGAGTACAGCACATAATATATCATCCCACTGTCAGTGAATAAAGAGAGTTGATAATTCCTGTTATTGTCCTAAACATGCTGAGCCATGGTATAATCAGGAACATGTTCTAGAGTGAGTGAGTTTGATTTTACACTGCAACATTCTAGCATTATCATGGCGGGGGAAACCATAAATGGGCTTCACACATCGTACCCATGTCAGAAATCAAACCTCAGTCTTCGGCGTGACGAGTGAACGCTTTAACCACTTTACTACCTGACCGCCCTGACACATTCTAGAGGAAGTAGAAACAGTTTGTGAAAGTCTTATGGATGATGATGCGAAGGACAGCATCAACAAAATCTGCATTGACAACATCAACATCAACGTGTAGGCGGGGCAGGATGAGCAATAACAAGATGGTTTTGTCATCACAACTGTGAGTCAGCATGACAGCATATTTAACAAGGGGGTTGGAAACAATATGCATAACTTTCACTTTATTCATTGATTATTTTGTGGGCTGAAAAGTATTATTTGTTTAAAATATATTCAATATCTTTCCATCAATATTTTTTGGCCCCAAGTGCACCTGATGTACAAGTGAAGGAGGTTGTATCAAACAAGGGCAGGTAACTCTAGCCACATTCTCATCACTGGAATGTGGTCATCCCTAGTGTCCAGTTCATCATCATATAGAGTAACATTTTAGGACAGAATTCTAGAATTATAATCTCCATATACTCATACTGAGCTCATGGAAACATAAATCAAAATGAAGACAACCATGTTATATTTTACAACGTTCCTAAAGATGAATACCGATAAATAAAACCCAGATAAATAGATTGACTAAACATCAACATGATCAACAAAATTAGATATTACTGACATCAATGAAAAAAATATGACAGAGTACGTGGTTTCGTTATGACTTATCCATATTTAATCGCTTTAGAGTGTAGTATATTGTTATAAGAGCTGAAGCAAGTCTAGAGGCGACTTCACTTCCGCGTTTTGTTTTACGAATGTACAACAATCAGACACCCCTATAACTATGACTGAACTGCAGAGCCGAAATGATGCGACCAGTACCTCTTTATCCGTGGACTTCATTCTGTTCGGACGAACACACCCATCCTTCGTCTTGCATGGACATACCACCTTGCCTGCAGACGAGACGGAGAGAGCCGACATAGCAATCACCAACAGGTAAGCGCAGGTGTGCACTGAGGTCAACGCCATATTCACTCTGTGTCAACGACAGTGATGAAAAATGTAAATATGGAAAAAGTTTATGGTGAATGTACCACGGGGTGCGCAGTGGATCTCGGCAATCACTTCAAACGACGGACCTGTTCTCGATGTCCAGAGGCATGTCAGCCGCCATTACGTGTGTGCGTATACTAGTTCCCCAGCAACAGGTTCTACACCGCAACTGCGCAACGACCAACAGAATGACGACTTAGAGAATATTTCTGAATTGTGGCGCGCAGAAATCTCATCTTGTATTTCTGAGCATGAACGCTTTAATTTCTTCAGTAAATATTAAAGTAGTCAAATACATAGATATTGAACATATAACAAAGCAGCAGCGAATTTATACCACATTTTTATGATAAATTAATAATCCTTAATACATTTATTGATATGTAATATCATATATAGATTGTTACTTTATTTTTACATGTTTCTTTAAAGATTTTGATACAATCCTGGAACAAGAAAGCAGAAGTGAGGCTTGTTGACGTCCCCTGTGAATCGAAACAAGGTGACCATTGATCTCCCGGGACATGTAGACGAGTGCACAGGTAGCTAGGACCGGACCTCGAGGGGCTTGCAGCAAGACAAAACACATCACATCGGCCGTTGGTTTCGAGGCTGTTAATACATGTGTAGTTGGTGGCGTTACAGCCTGCGGTGGGTGTTCTTGGGGGATGTTGTTGAGGGGATACAACATACGAGTATAGATCTGGCATTTACAACAACTGAAAAATTAAGATGAAAACACATGTAGGTATGTGTTTACAGCCATGTCAAACCAATGTAAAAAGTCAGTCAGTGCGTGAAACGGCTGAATTTTTCAATAAGACTATTTACAAAACGCCTTAATATTTTCAGTTATTTTACAAATTGAGTAGAAAAACTACTCTTTTCCTTTAGTATGATAACGATTTCCAGACTTATGTATGTTTAATTTTATCAACCAGTGAAAATAATAGGTAAACGTAAGTCAGTGCATATTATTTCATTTTTTTTGGCTTCTATTCCTAGCGTAATAAGTCTGTTGTGTTGTTTTTAAGCCATTTTAACTTCTTAATAATATTCAGTAAATCTGTTGTTGGGTGCACGTACGTACTCACATGCGTGATGAACTGACATTTCATAAAGATTTCCTTGTGTAAAACAAATGGCTGCCCTTATTGATAACAAGACCCCCTCTCTCTCTCTCTCTCTCGAGAAACACACACACACACACACACATATGTGTGTGTGTGTGTGTGTGTGTGTGTGTAAGCAGAGTTAAAGTCCCTCATTTGTACTGCGTTGCAACACTGAGTGACTGACGCCCGTGCAGGGAGTCGTGTTCCTTGAGGGGGTACGGGTGGCCCAGTCGTCTAAGTCGTCGTTGTGCAGAGTTGCGTCCCTTGGGCATGCCAGAAACCTTTGATTGTGGGTTCGAATCCCGGTTCGCCCCGATTATGTTTCTAGGTTTGTCAGCACCATACCCATGCTTCACCGAAGTGGTAAACGTCTGAGACCTGCATCACTTCGGGCTGACCTCCCACATTAAGCTGACACGCCGTGATAGAACTGGAATGATGTTGCGTTAAACCCAACTCACTCACTTATGTTCCTTGATAGCATGCTGACACACGCCAATGGAAGAGTTGCAGGGTCATTCTGAAGTACATATTACACGTTCACTACACACGTCATGAGCTGGGAAGCCTGCGTTTGATCATTTGTACTTCTCCATGTGGATTAAATACTAAACCGTGCAACACGGCGTGAATAACGCCAAAAGTATGTCGAGGCCGTGCCAGTCAGTATTTGGATATCAGTTACGGTGAATAACTGTATAACCTCGTTATAACGCTGCTTTTCTGAAAGTGTATCGCGTAGTAATTCAAGACTATGAATTTAATTCATGAACCGGGCCTTATCACCAGCTCTGCTGATAATTAGTAATCTAATATATTCTCCATCTTTGTGTTAATAGTGGGCACTTCCTCTCCCTAAAAGATGTCTAATTGGTAACGACGTTGTAAAAAGTATTTAATCCTTGTGCCATGATGTATACGCGTTTTGATGCCTAATTATGTATCCTAAACCTGTTTGGAATTGTTTAGAATGACAATGCATGGTATTTATTTAACGAAGCAAAATGATACAATATTCAGATAATCAAAGACTATAGACCTAGGGGTAAGCAAGAGACAACAAGATAACACGTGTTAACGAAGCCCGTCTGCAAACTAGGTGCTAGTTCGTTAATAGGGCTAACAACTGCATAATTCCAACAGAGATTAGAAAGTTAGCAGCTGTGATCGTGTGTTTAATGAAGGAGCCGCAGCCTCTGTATGCCTAGATCTTTGTTTATTGAATAACCACATTGACCCACGTTCAGTGATGTAGCTAATGAAGATATTGAGGCCACATGACCGCCCATGGCCTGGCATTCGTCACCACTCGCCCCTTTCCGTCGCTATTCGGCTTGTCCCGGAATAACACGAGTTGGTCACGAATGATGGCTTAGAGGAAATGTCCGGCTGCTATCCAGGGTTTTGTCATGCCTGTGTTTATTCATAATACTGGGAGGTTTTGTCCTTAAGAAATATATATGAAGATATATGCTGCCTTTTCTTGATGCGCCTTTAATGATGCGATTCGACAAACAGATGTATGACGTGTGATACATGACAAAACAGATGTGTTAGGACCTGATGCACACTTGCTGCATTGTGGGATACAAATAAACCCAGGTCATAGTACATTTGTTGTTCTGTATACACTAGAACATAAATATAAAGAACTCTAAAGGACCGGAGAAATCAGTTCGTTATATCCGTTGTTCGTTATATACGTTTACGCTCGGAAACGTCCGCCATCTTGGCTAAACCAAAACAAAATACACCTACACGTTTATACACGTTTCCCCCCCGCATCTACCGGTGATTCATTTAAAAGTTACCCAATGATACAACTTCAAAATATTTTGATGCAATAGTCGGAAGAAATTGTAGCTGAAATTATGACTTTATCAGAATAATAAATTCCAATATCGTGTTATTTTAGTTACAGCTTTATATATATATTCAATCAAAATTGTAAGAAGCATAAGCGTAGCACTTTGGAACAGGTGATTGCTTTTGCCGGATAGTTTTACGTATGGAACAATTTGTCCAGTCACCGTAGGGACTTCCCGCTTATGTATCCACGTCACACACACAAAGGACATGTACACATACTTGAATATTATCAATATCATATGAATGTTACTGAGCAGTTACTGAGAGATTTTATATTTACGCCTACTAATGTATTTTATTTGTTTCAATGGTTTAAAATCCGGCTTTTGGTCCTGTGTGAACGGGCCGCCAGTTGTGTGGCTTGCATATGGATATGTGCTTAGAATTCCCCGGACAGCTCTCATGACTTGGACGCATGATCACGCATGCCACTAGCACTGGAGCGGTCAGCCAGGTGACCTTGATTACCTGTCGCGGGACCCGTGAAGATTCCGGGATAGAATAGGTCTTCAGCAACCCATGCTTGCCGTAAAAGGTGACTATGCTTGTCGTAAAAGGCGACTGACGGGATCGGGTGGTCAGGCTCGCTGACTTGGTTGATGCATGTCATCGGTCCCAATTGCGTGGTTCGATGCTCATGATATTAATCACTGGATTGTCTGGTCCCGACTGGATTATTTATAGAGCTGGACTATTGCTGAGTGCGGCGTTAAACAATAAACCAACCAACTAACCAACCTGTCGCGGGTAGCCACACCTGGCCTGCACACACCTGCAGAGCGAGGTAATCCACATGGAGGTATTAACTCAATACTTGTCCAGGATTACATGCCTGGCTATACACCTCAATTCGCCTCACACTTCAATAATAGCACAAAGTCCATACACAATAGAAGAATCAAGAGGACACGTGAGGGGCCATCAGTAACTGGGTCAATGCGAGACGGTCGTGACAGCGCGTGACTGGGTGTGAGGGTCACGTGGTCTGTGCTGTCTTCCGTTGCAGAAAACTATGGAAGTTAGGCAGATTTATACTTGATAAGTGCACGTGCTAGAGATCTGTTGACAACCAATAAACGTCACTAGTGATTGTAAATCAACAATTCAGGACATGGGTCGATGTCTTACTTCGCAGCCAGTGGTACTTCAGCTATATTCCCCACAGTGCTTGTGGGCCTTGAGCCAACTAGTGGCCGATAGCCTGAACATCTGTGCTCGCCATGGCTATTGACTGTAGGAGAGACAACTCGGTATGTTGATGTTTAAGCGGCGATCTTTCTCCAACTTACTCAACACGCACGCACGATTACGTACCACACACACACACGCACACACACACACATACATACATACATACACAAACACTCGTTTACGTACCACAGAAACGCGCGCACACGCACGCACGTACACACGCGCATGTGTTTGAAGCATGTAAACGTGAAACACACACACACTATAATATATATATGGTCCGAAATAAACTCTATATAAAAAATTGTCAATTGCTGGACTATTGGCTTACAAACATAAATTATAGTTCCTTGAATGACTCCAAGTTCATATTCATAAAGTGTACATTCACTGTTTGTCATGGGAGGCGGAACTGAAGATACACCACTCACACCCGGCACACTGCTGACGTCATGTGATCCTGCACTCTGTGACCTACCACGAAATAGAATGACACATATTTACCAACTGAACTTGGTTATGTAACTCTAAGAATATGATCGCAAATAGGTTTCAAAACATTGAATCATATTTCTGAAATATTCTTTGATATAAAGTGACGGGCAAAAGAAAGTATACCCCTATGTTTGATGGATAAAAAGGATAAAAAAAATGGTGATGTATGTTTGTTTGTTGTTTAACGCCGCACCCAGCAATATTCCAGCAATATGACGGCGGTCTGTAAATAATCGAGTCTGGACCAGACAATCTAGTGATTGATATCATGGCATCGACCCACACAATTGGGAAACGATGACATGCATCAACCAAGTCAGCGAGCCTGCCCACCCGACCACGTTAGTCGCCTCTTACGACAAGCGTAGTCACCTTTTACGGCAAGCATGGGTTGCTGATTCTACCCCGGATCTTCACGGGTCGAAATGCTGATGTATTTGATGTGGGTATCATATATGTGTTTTGGACTTGAAGTTTGCAGTGTTTCGGCGACTGTTTTCATCCTAGTAACGTTCTGAAAACGTTTGTAATTTTTTGGTCAAATTTAATTTTCAAGAGTATACTTCCTTTTCCCCGGTAGTATTTTAGCATGCAGCTGGTAGTTTTGATATTTTAAGTGCACCCACTCAAATACCCACCCACCCGCACTACGCTACCTTTAAAATAAAGACTGTATCCGCACTCGCGCCCCTCTCGCCAGTTCACGAATGAGGGATATTACATATACTAACAGACGAGGTCGACACCGCTCCCTGTGCGTTTGAGGGGTGGTGGGGTAGCCTTGAGGTTAAAGCACTCGCTCGTCACGCCGAAGACCCGGCTTCAAGCCGGGCTGGGAAGGCTAGCTCGGGTCTGGTCGGTACTGAGTAGGACCCGGGTGCCCACAGGACTACCCGGATCCGAGGTAAGTCACGTGATATATTGTTTATGAGAAGAAAAATCACTACTATAAGTCCATTGTTACCTAATCGCTAATTCCTTCTGACTATTATGTTTTGAGCTTCAGCCAACTTCAGTGTATGCATGACCAGATCGATTTATAGGTGTATGTAAATACGTTTTGCTAAGGGTGCAGTAAAACAATTCCCATTCGGACATTTTGTACCAAACTCTCGAGACCTACAGCATGTACCCGGGTAGGGTCGGGTGATATGGGGCCAGGTACCCGGGTAGTAAATTTGGACTGTCCCAGCCCTAGCTTCAAGTCCCCACGTGGGTACAAGGCGTGGAGCCCATTTCTGGTGTTCCATGCCGTGATATTACTGGAATATCTCTTGAGGCGGCGTAAAACCATATATTACTCACTCACTCTCAGTGTGTAGAATGTTTTGGTTTACTACAACAGATTACTCGTAATATCCGACTTCGTCGTATCGAGACAGTTTGTACATTCGGAGACTTGAGAAGCCGACCACTGAGTCCAGCATCCAGTGTGGCTTGCTACGTGATAACAGAGTTCCATTGCACAGGGTATATGGACGACACTTGTTGGTCTGAACACTGAACACACCCGTTGTCGTTATTCAAGCGTTTTATGACACCTTTATCTGTGTAAAAATAGACTATGATCTTATTCAACAGGTATGTGTAGGAGTGAGTATATCACAGTGATCAAACCGCGGACTGTCGGGAGATATATAAGGGAGACAACTCTTACCGACTTGATATGTGTGTCGTCCACAGACAGATTGTTTCTTCGTATATGGCTCTATATTCTAGTTTATGTAAGGGCATATTCTTACAAAACTGTGTATACTATACTACCTGTCTTCACTACAACTGAGTCTTTTCAACCAATATTTGACAACACGTGTCAAGCAAATAGTACAGTGTACAATGTATCTAATGGAAGCATACCCAGTCTAATTAAAGCATACCCAGTCCACCAAACACAAAAGTTGACCGTGTTGAACTTCTAAATTCTTAGTTAATAAACTTCATATGTACTGTTTCAACACCTGGTGCTTCCATAAGCCCCCCTACCTCACATCCATAACTTTAGAAGTGGTAATACATGTTTGTTTGTTTGTTTGTTGTTTAACCCCGCCCTCAGCAGAATCCCAGCTATTTGACGGCAGTCTGTAAATAATCGAGTCAGGTCCAGACAATCGAAAGATTGATATCATGATCATCGATCCACGAAATTGGAATCACTTTGATATGTCTCAACCAAGTCAGCGAGCCTGATCATCGATCCCATCAGTCGCCTCTTACGACAAGCATGAGTTGCCGAAGACCTATTCTAACCCGGATCTTTACGGGTCGGTAACATATGTACTAATGACTTGAAAAGTTTATATAGTATGTCCACAAAAGTAGTGCGACAACCCACCCACAGAGAGCGAGGGGCTTTAATCTTCACACAGGCATAACGTAGGAAACCTGTTTTATCATCTAATGGTAGGCTCCCCGGCAAGATAAAGGCAATGAATAAAACGCGTATCCTTTAGGCCAATGAACGGATACATATGCAAATATTACAGGTCAGGTAGGTACTACCTTCAGTGTCTACAAGCAAACATGACGTGGGATACGTGTTATCATTACCAAACCAATAGTCTAAGACAATGACGTGTCTAACAGGGACGTAGGTAAGGCATTTTACAAATTTTCTCAATTTTGGAAACAGGACTGGCTATACAGGATCCTAATACGGGATATTTACTTGTCCAAAAACACACTCACGTGATAACTCAAGTCTGTCACACAGACCTTGAAACAAATATATCCAATACAGCCCATGCAAGTCTTTAATGCAAGTCTAGATTACTGCTCTAAAAATGAAGAAAGTCTCTGGGCTCCTTATTTTATTTTATGACTGTAATTTAACAACTGTTTTTTCTGTAAAATATATTCATTTCATAGACTAGAATGCTTATGTTAGTCTAGTGATCACCCCTATGTATCTGTCTATTGTGTGAGATAATTGTCTTTATTTAAGTAACATTCTCAGACAAAGATCAGTTTCCCCAAATGTCCACAATATTTCAAATTTCAGGAACCCCAACGATTTCATTTTCCTATACGAACACAATTTCATCCAGGTTGTTCAAATATAAGAACGTGTTGCAGAACTTGGAATTGGCCGCTCATGATGTAAATTCCACAACTTGTGGCTGCCAAGACTCCTCACACTGCTATCAACCTGCGGGTCATATAATCACAGGTGACTTCTCTATTGTGGACAACAACAACCTTTGTCAGTTATTCAAATATGGACCAATGTGCCGTGAGCAACCTCCTACCAACTGAGATAACAAAATCATCGTGGATGTTGTCGAAGAATATGCTAAAATATGGGCCAAAAGGGAAGAGGAACCTGTTGAATGTCTTTCAGAGTGGTTACGTCAGTGCGCGATGTAGTCATAGGTAGAATGCACAAACTTAAAGAGAGGACACGAAATTGGAATAACCTATTCTGTCCCAACCAGCTGTCTGGCAGCCCGACATGAAAAGTTTGTAGTTGTTCCAACTGACAAGGCCTCAAATAACACAACTCAAATATGTAAGCATCACTACATTAATTGTTTGATCAAAGAACTTGGTATTAATGATATGTCAAATAATGCCACATATAAGGCTAGTATGTTAACTGAGGAAGAAATCTGCCCAAACCATAAATCAGTTCTGTCAACTTTTGACATGATTCTAAAACCTGAAGACATGGCCATGCCTCTTGTGTACTGGAGTCCAGAGCTCCATAAAAACTCAATACGGAGATTGAGGGAGTGAGTGAGTATGGTTTTACGCCGCTTTTAGCAATATTCCAGCAATATCACGGCGGGGGACACCAGAAATGGGCTTCACACATTGTACCCATGTCGGGAATCTAACCCGGGTCTTCGGCGTGACGAGCGAACGCTTTAACCACTAGGCTACCCGACCGCCCCCCATACAAATGTACCACCACATCCCTGTCTCAAAGACTGACCATAATCCTTCATTAAATCAAGGAAGGAATTTCTTTATATTCACAGAAAGTATTTGAGGCAAGTGGAATTAATACCATGTGGATTCTCAAAAACTCAAAGAAGTTGCTCTACTTTTTGCAATCCAGAACCAAGTTCCATTCTGTCAAAACATTTGATTTTTCAACTTTGTACACCTCTGTCGCACATGACAAACCTAAGGAAAAACTTCATCCCTTGATCCATGGGGCTTTTGTTACAACACGCGGTCAACACACATACAGTTACGTATCTATATTCTGAGGTTCAGGACAAGTTGTGAAAAATGAAAGCAAATGCCATCTGAAGTTTACCGAGAAAACAATATGTGAAATGCTGGACTTCCTCATTGATTACATCTACGTAAAATTTTGGGGTAAAATATAAGCAAAAGGTAGGCATCCCCATGGGCACCAATTGTGTTCCCCTTCTTGCGGATCTGTTTCTTTATACGTATGAATCGGAATTTCTGTTCAGATTGGCAAGGTCAAAACAAGGTGATTTGGCCAAGAAGTTTAACTTAAGCTTCAGGTACATCGATGATCTGATATCGTTCAATAACAGCCACGTAGCCAATTCCCTTCCACTGATTTACCCACCTGAACTTGAAATAAAGGAGACCAGTGAGACCGCCTTATCTGTTTCATATTTAGATCTATGCATAAAGACCCAGAGAGACAAAGTACTCTCCACAAGACTGTATGACAAGAGGGATGACTTCAATTTTCCATCAGTCCACTTTCCCTTCATGTCGAGCAATATTCCAGCAGATCCAGCCTTTGATGTCGACATGTCACAACTTTCAGATACAATCGAGCATCTCTTTCTTCCAAGATTTCAAAGAGCGTGGTACGACTCTTGCTCAGAAGTTGTTTGATCAAGGTTACAACATCGAAGGCCTCAGTAAGCTTTCAAAGGGTTTTGTGGTAGACATGTGGAGGACAGTTCCATATTTGACGCATCAGTGACTAAAATGATGTGCGATGCAATTCCCTATTTTGACTTGTACCATACGTTCCAATGTTGTTTTTTAGGTGAACAATTGACTTGCCTGTGCATGTGTTTGTGACGGGTGTCCCTGGTGTGGCAGGATACGCTCACCTTTTCGCAAACACCTGGTATCATTACTATTTGGTAGTGATTCATAAACACATGCTCATGATATAGTCAGTATTGCACAGTCTGTTGTATATTCTATTGAACATGGAAAGGGTTTTGTCGCTTTATTTTCTAGACAGACGGGCGGTCGGGTAGCCTCGTGGTTAAAGCGTTCGCTGGATTCCCGACATGAATACAATGTGTGAAGCCCATATCTGGTGTCCCCCGTTGTGATTTTTCTGGAATGTTGCTACAAGCGGCGTAAAAACTCACTCCTAAACAGACGTGTTCCACTTCTCTCCAAAATGTTTTTGCATCCACACTTCACCAATACGTGTATGACCGTGTGACAATCCCGGATGGGACTCAACCCCCAAAGTACAAGAATTTGTAAAGATACTGTAATCCAAGTATAACGTATGTTACATTTGACAACTGCTAAATGACATTGTATATTCACGGTATATATATATCTTCATTAACCGAATAAATATTTGCAAAATCTCGAATTCCAGTTCATTTCATATTTACAGTTTTATTACGACTAAAGAAAGTTAACAGCGTCTTCACTCGTGTGTTACTGCCTGTCCTTGTTAATTATACAGATTGCACTTGGCCTTATCGGCTGAACAGGTGTCCGAGCCGACATTCTGATACAACCGAGAGGCTCCTAAAGCAGATGTGAAGATTTTATTTGCAGCAAATACCTCTTTTCTCGTTTTCCTTTTAACATAATCTGATAGCAAGGCCCTTTACACTCAGGTGACTCTGTTTTCCATTCCTATCATCGATAACACGGACGTCCCTCTGTAAACCACAGCCAGAATGCTGTCTGTGAACTCCACGACACGCCAGTTACGCCAATTTGGTCTCAATTAGATGAAATACTGACATGGTCAGGTGTCGCTTTGAAACTCCTTACAGAGATAAGTGATCCCAAAGCCGAAGCCAGGCCCATGTTTGTGCGTGTTCAGTGTGGGTGAGACGGGAGGTTGCACGACGCTCTTGGAGACTTGATGTCCATTTCTTGAGGTGATATGAGGTTTAACGTCGCGTTCAAGATTAATGTGTCTTCGTGTGTGTGTGTGTGTAGGGGGGGGGGGGGGGGGGGGGCGTGTGTGCTTGTACGTGTCCGGATTAAAGCTAAATTTATTGCGCTAGCCCATTGAGATGCCATACTGCAGTTTAACATGAATACCCCACTCAGACACAGTATACTGACTCCAAGCCGACCAGTCCTTGTCATAGCCCCTTAATACCGAGCGCCAGACAGGGTGACAACAAGTAACATCTTTCAGCGTCTTTTGGAATGACGCGGCCGGGAATCGAACCCGTGAGCTTCCGCTCTATCACTTGACCACGGAGGCGGGTGAGTGAGTGAGTGAGCTGCCATAGAACTACAGCATAATCATGTTACACCTTTGAAGATCCGGGTAGAATAGGTCTTCAGCAACCCATGCTTGCCGTAAGAGGCGACTAACGAGATCGGGTGGTCAGGCTCGTTGACACATGACAACGTTTCCCAACTGCGTAGGTCGATGCTCATGATGTAAATCACTGGATTGTCTGGTCCAGACTCGATTATTTACAGACCGCCGTCAAATAGCTTGAATACTGCTGAGTGCAGCGTTAAAGAACAAACCAAAAAACACACAAGATAAAACGCACCGGTTCCTTCCCCCTATTCGAGTATAATACGCATTCGTGTGTTATAGGCACCCTTTATTATTGGCAATTAAATTCTGAAAAAAATATATCTGTCATACATAAACATTTCAGGCTGTCAGCATCAACCACGAAATTTATCTTTCAACTCTGTTTTTTCCCACCAAAAAATATTCTAATAAGCGCCCCCTATTATTAATTTTGAGAGCGCCCTGGGCGCTTATTACGTCGAATACGGTAATATAATGCATGAATCTGGAGCCCTCTCTACTCTTGCACTTTTCAAATCTATTGCATTTGACTGAGTGATGCTGAATGTTTTCGAGCCTTCGTAATAATGCCGCTGTTTGGAAAAGACAACATGGGTTATCTCCCTTGCGTTATGATTACAATGTGAACGTCGACTGAAGCGTGATCGTGACATTCATGTACCTTGCAATCTCAAGGGAACATTGCCGATAAGAATTACCTCCCTTATTGAAGAGTTTCTGCAGATAATCGAGACTGATTATTCTCTGGCGTTAACGTGTTATATATACCGGGTAGCCCAGTCGTTCAAAGCACAGAGTTGCGTCCCTTAGGCACGCCAGGAATCCGTTTGTGATTTTATGAGTTTATGATGTCTGGATATGTGTTATGAGTTTATGACGTCTGGATATGTGTTATGAGTTTATGACGTCTGGATATGTGTTATGAGTTTATGACGTCTGGATATGCGTTATGAGTTCATGGCATCTGGATATGTGTTATGAGTTCATGGCATCTGGATATGTGTAATGAGTTCATGGCATCTGGATATGTGTTATGAGTTCATGGCATCTGGATATGTGTTATGAGGTCATGGCATCTGGATATGTGTTATGAGTTCATGGCATCTGGATATGTGTAATGAGTTCATGGCATCTGGATATGTGTTATGAGTTCATGGCATCTGGATATGTGTAATGAGTTCATGGCATCTGGATATGTGTTATGAGTTCATGGCATCTGGATATGTGTTATGAGTTTATGACGTCTGGATATGTGTTATGAGTTCATGGCATCTGGATATGTGTTATGAGTTCATGGCATCTGGATATGTGTTATGAGTTCATGGCATCTGGATATGTGTCTTGTGTTTATGACGTCTGGATATGTGTTATGAGTTCATGGCATCTGGATATGTGTTATGAGTTCATGGCATCTGGATATGTGTTATGAGTTCATGGCATCTGGATATGTGTTATGAGTTCATGGCATCTGGATATGTGTTATGAGTTTATGACGTCTGGATATGTGTTATGAGTTTATGACGTCTGGATATGTGTAATGAGTTCATGGCATCTGGATATGTGTAATGAGTTCATGGCATCTGGATATGTGTTATGAGTTCATGGCATCTGGATATGTGTTATGAGTTCATGGCATCTGGATATGTGTCTTGTGTTTATGACGTCTGGATATGTGTTATGAGTTCATGGAATCTGGATATGTGTTATGAGGTTATGACGTCTGGATATGCGGCATCAGTTCATGGTGTTGAGACAATACAGTTTTTACAACTTGAATAAGTTCTTCGCGAGGTTACTCGACCTTTTCTGCCCGACAACAGAAGATTGTGCAATTACAAGCAGGATCAACTGCGCCGACCTTCAATAAATGATGGAACGTTTTCTCCCACACGACCTTGAGTGCAACGCTGTAGACGATTGATCGAGCATGTGGAATTCCGAAAAGCACTTACATTAATGTATTGACTGTATAATGCATTATTGATATGACCCAACTGTGTTTGCCATGACCGTAGCTGACCCGAGTAGATAAGAACTTCCGCAGCTTGTGTGAGGCAAAGCTGCACGTTGGGTGCAGGGATTATCTGAATGAATGTTGGACCAGTCTGAACCCAGTCGCGCCTCGCTCACCAGTAGTCCAGCCAGTATAAGCAGAACTGCCCCACAGACACTCACTTACACTGCTGCACTTCCCAAGGTGTTGATATGGTTCTATGTTTGCGTTGCGCTCCCCTGACGATCCGACGAGCTGGTTGATAGTGTTGACGATTCGTAATCGCCGCATGTCTGCCACCCGAAAACTCGGTGGTGTTACATCCTGCCAGATATCAATACATTCATCATTTAGATGTTTTCAACACAGCAGCGCACAACACAGCACAGCAGGCTACAACATAGAACTGCAGGACACAACACATAATAGCACAGAAGGACACAACACAGAATAACAGGACACAACACAGCAGGGCACAGCACAGCAGGACACAACACAGTATAGCAAAACACATCACTGTACAGGACACAGCACAGGACAACAGCGCACAACACAGTACAGCAGGGCACAACACAGTACAGCAGGACACAACACAGTACAGCAGGACACAACACAGTACAGCAGGGCACAACACAGCACAGCAGGTCACAACACAGTACAGCAGGACACAACACAGCAGGGCACAGCACAGCAGGACACAACACAGCAGGGCACAGGACAGCAGTACACAACACCACACAGCAGGACACAACACAGTACAGCAGGACGCAACACAGCAGGGCACAGGACAGCAGGACACGACACAGTACAGCAGGACACAGCGCATCACAGCAGGTCACAACACAGTACAGCAAGACACAACACAGTACAGCAGGACACAACACAGCACAGCAGGACACAACACAGTACAGCAGGACAAAGCACAGCAGGGCACAGCACAGCAGGACACAACACAGCAGGGCACAGGACAGCAGTACACAACACAGCAGGACACAACACAGCAGGGCACAGCACAGCAGGACACAAACAGTACAGCAGGACACAACATAGTACAGCAGGACGCAAAACAGCAGGGCACAGGACAGCAGGACACGACACAGTACAGCAGGACACAACACAGTACAGCAGGACACAACACAACAGAACAGGACACGACACAGTACAGCAGGACACAACACAACAGAACAGGACACAACACAACATAGCAGGACACAACACAACACAGCAGGACACAACACAACAAAGCAGGACACAACATAGTACAGCAGGACACGACACAGCACAGCAGGACAAGGACACAACACAGCTCAGCAGGACACAACACAGCACAGCAGGACACAACATAGTACAGCAGGACACAACACAGTACAGCAGGACACAACACAGCACATCAGGACACAACACAGCACAGCAGGACACAACACAGTACAGCAGGACACAACACAGTACAGCAGGACATAACAGCACAGCAGGACACAAAACAGGACACAACACAGCACAGCAGGACACAACACAGCACAGCAGGACACAACAGAGCAGGACACAACACAGCACCGCAGGACACAACACAACACAGCAGGACACAACACAGCACAGCAGGACACAACACAGTTCAGCAGGACATAACACAACATAGCATGGCACAGCACAGCAGGGCACAGCAGAGTATAGCAGGACACAACACAGTACAGCAGGACACAAAACAGCACAGCAGGGTACAACACAGCACAGCAGGATACAATACAACAGGGCACAGCACAGCAGGGTACAACACAGCACAGCAGGACACAACACAGCACAGCAGGACACAACACAACAGGGCACAGCACAGCAGGGTACAACACAGCACAGCAGGACACAACACAGCACAGCAGGACACAACACAACAGACAGCCTCTGACTGTAACGTGGGCCCTGCATATATTAACGTAGGTACAACTATAACTACCGAGCTTGGGTAACCAGGAACAATTACGGAATCACGTCTTCCCGGGGCAAGAGAGTTGACTGATTACAAATATCCAGTTTCCACCCTTGCCGAACTATCCTGCAATATATAGAGTTACATTTTGGCTGGACTATGAAGTCTGTGGATAGTACAGTCAAAATCGCGTAACGAGCAAGACATCCGGTTCGTAAACAACATGGATTTCAACATGCTGATTTCGTTGACTGCAGGATTTGCAAAGCATATGTACCGCCAAATGGGCAAATTCTGTAATGTACTTAATCAAGGCGCTCACCGTATAAGACCCGTTTTATTAGATCTCGATTATCCAGCAGATCTTCTTCGACAGGGCGCCGCCATTTTGTTTGAAGCAAATGAATGTGATATGAGAGAGGGAATCTGATTTGTCAATAGAAGGTGTGAGTGAGTTGGGTTTAACGCCGCTTGAAACAGTATTACAGTTATATCACGACGTGTCAGCGGAACATAACTCGTTATAGCCACTAGTAGCTCTACGGTCCAGCCAAAGATTAATCTATAATTCCAGCCCAGTTCGGCAAGGATGGAAACTGGACTTTTATAGTCAGTTAACGCTCTTGTCTCGGAAAGATGACGGGACCACGGTTGAATTTACAATTTTAATTAAAAAACCCACTTCGACCCATAATTTAAAATCAATTCAAACCATGCAACACATGTTGTATATGGGATTACACTTTCTTGGTGAAATACAAATTCTAGTTCTTCAGGGGTTGAATCCCATCCGGCATTTGAAGCCATATTCTCAGAGTGAGGCACCTAATCGCCACCACACAGAGTCAGCGATCTAACCCTCTCAGCCACCGAGGCTCCAAGAGAGGCAATTGTTACATTTGACACTTTCTAAAAGGCTTTGTGTATTCACATTTCAAACCAATCATCAAATCATTCATCCATCAACCCTGTCCGTGATCTCCCGAATATCAACTAGACAAGTAGGTGCAATCTCATTCCGCTCAAAATCAATACATTTTCATTCATCAACCAGGTCATCCATGATTTGTTTGTTTGTTTGTTGTTTAACGCCGCACTCACCCATATTCAAGCTATATGACGGCGGTCTCTAAATAATCGAATCTGTCCCGACAATCCTGTGATTGATATCATGAGAATCGATCCACGTAATTGGGATACGATGACATACATCAACCAAGTCAGCGAGCCTGACCACTCGATCCCGTTAGTCGCCTCTTACGACAAGCATAGTTGGTTTTTACGGCAAGCATCGGTTGCTGAAGCGCAATCCTACCCCGGATCTACCACGAATAGTCCTCCGCCGTTATATTCCTGAATATACTGTTAAGAGTGGAGCAAAACCATACTCACTCTCTCACTCACTCACTCATCCAAGAGTGATGTTAACCTCAAAAGTGTCGTTATCACCCGCAGAGAAGGGGTGGGGTATGTCGGGGTGGGGCTTTGGGTGTGTGTATAATTGTTCATATTCCCGTAGGGAACGACGTCCGAACCATTAAAACAAAATCTTTCTTGAAGGCCGCTTGCATCACACAAAATATTTTATTCTGAGGTGAGGGTTGGTTACAGCATGTTTCCACTGTAACCTTGATTTTTTACGGCAGTGACCTACTGTACTTATCTACCTGCGATCTGTACCAGGCTGTTTGCGAAAGCGCAACTAGTGATGACAGCTCTACTTATATTGCTACGGATACGATAACACGGCTAAATAATTATCTTTCTGCTCCGGGTTCTACGTCATCACTCCCACGTGCTTCCAAATACATTGGCAGATAACAGATACGGGAGGTACATATTAAGTCAGACTTACACTACAAAAACTCACATATAGTTTTTAGAGTCACTATAAATAACCACTTGAAACGTGTATTTTTTTCAATCATCACATCGATATGGAGATAAACAGAACGAATTCAAAACCACGTTTTTTCCACTTTAAGATTATCGGTAGATAAATAGACCCAGGGTTGCTCATGCGGCGGGAAACAATATTCACCGGATCACAAATTTGTTTAGAAATTAGGGTTCATATTTTAATCTTGACCTTTGTAGAACATATTGGGATAATTTGGCGGATATGAGATCTGTTATCTATGGTCAGCCGGGATAAAACATCTTTTTCAAATCTCCTGATTCTGAATATGTTTCCGGTCTTCTATTTACTTCAAGCTGGAGTCAATTGTAAGATCAGACAAGGCGTTGAGCGCTGTTTACATCCCGTCTGCATGTAATGCTCAGATCTGTGGGGATATCAGATGCCAGTCTCGGGTTCGAGGCTAATGAGTGGTTGTAGGGCGTAGTCCCGAAGACTGGGCATCCGTCTACTGATGTCTCTGTGCATGCGGGTTAATTAGGCGTGGTGGGTTCTCGACTATTGAGAAGATCTATAGGCGTGGTCGTCAGGTATCCCTGTTACAAATGCGATCACCTATGAAGATTTACACAGTGCCAGTAGACAGAACACAGTTTACATATGTGGTGGGTTTGAGAGTAACAGAGCGATAAGCTCGAGGCTAAAGCAATGTAATCCAGGCTCTACCGACCAGTTGATGGTAAACACAGCCCCTCCACGCTTTGATCGTTGTTGCAGAGGCAGAAGTAGCATTAAGGTGTCCTCCTCAACACTGTATCTACCACACGCCAGGATCCCAGCGCTACACGAGAGGGGCGGTGGTAATAAGGAATATCCAAATAACAGAACGAAAACACCAATGGAACTTCAGCCCATTTTAGTGCCCACAACCACGTATACTATTTACATACCGTTGTTCCATCACACATTTGACATTTGCAGCTTGCATAATGAAATGCAAACAATGCTTAGACACATTAAGGTATTGCACACAATTACACAGTAAACTACGTTTATAACGAACACGATTGTAACGTATTGACGGATAGAACGAACTGTTTTGGGGCCCCGTCCACTTGCTGTTATTATGCGGTATATATATGCATATAACGGACTACGGTTATAACGTACTAGCATTAGTGGTTCATTTGAGTTCGTTATAACCGTAGTTAACTGCATCACTCTAGTATGGCTACATTACAAACAGAGAGACAGGCAGACAGTTAGGTTGTTTGATGTTTAAGGGCGCACTCAGCAATATTCCAGCTATATGACGGCGGCCAATTGTTTCATTTCACCACTTTCTAAAAGGCTTTGTGTATTCACATTTCAAACCAATCATCAAATCATTCATCCATCAATCCTGTTCGTGATCTCCCGAATATCAACTATACAAGTAGGTGCAATCTCATTTCGCTCCAGATCAATACATTTTCATTCATCAGGCACGTCATCTATGATTTGTTTGTTTGTTTGTTGTTTAACGCCGCAGACAGCAGTATTCCAGCTATATGACGGCGGGCTGAAAATAATCGAGTCTGGACCAGACAATTCAGTGATTGATGTCATGAGCATCGATCCACGCAATTGGGTTCGATAACATGCTTCAACCAGGTCAGCGAGCCTGACCACCCGATCCCGTTAGTCGCCTTTTACGACAAGCATAGTCGCCTTTTACGACAAGCATAGTCACCTTTACGACAAGCATAGTCACCTTTACGACAAGCATAGTCTCCTTTACGACAAGCATAGTCTCCTTTTACGGCAAGCATGGGTTGAGGAAGACGTATAATGCCCCGGATGTTCACGGGTCCACTTTAGGTCCTCGGCCCATAATACAAACAAGACAGAATTTACATGCTGAATAAACGGCTGGAGGAAAGTGACCTTTATGTTACAGGGAAAGGTGATTTTCTTCTGATCTCAGGTACATTTGATAATAGGGATATTGTCGGTTGTCATAAGTCTAACGAAGGCTTCAGTTATTGGTGGATTTATGGAATTGCTGTCACATATCAACAATACATGTAAACCATCCTCAACGTGATCAGAGCCTCGATCTGGCATGGCAGAATAAACAGTGAAGTTTCGTATAAGGAGTCTTCGTATGGCTGCCGCATTCAACAGCAAGCCTGAGGTTATTCCCCCGAAACATGGTTAATATGGCGCCATCATCCGTCTCTAGTTCTAAAACACGCAAGCTTCTCCCGGACACTGCAACATGAGAAGCGGGAGGTAACAGAGAGAAGGCGGGAGATAACAGAGAGAAGGCGGGCAGTAACATAGAGAAGGTGGGAGGTAACAGAGAGAAGGTGGGAGGTAACAGAGAGAAGGCGGGAGGTAACAGAGAAAAGGCGGGAGGTAACACAGAGAAGGCGGGAGGTAACAGAGAGAAGGCGGGAGGTAACAGAGAGAAGGCGGGAGGTAACAGAGAAAAGGCGGGAGGTAACACAGAGAAGGCGGGAGGTAACACAGAGAAGGCGGGAGGTAACACAGAGAAGGCGGGAGGTAACAGAGAGAAGGTGGGAGGTTACAGAGAGAAGGCGGGAGGTAACAGAGAGAAGGCGGGAGGTAACAGAGAGAAGGCGGGAGGTAACAGAGAGAAGGCGGGAAATAACAGAGAGAAGGCGGGAGGTAACAGAGAGAAGGCGGGAGATAACACAGAGAAGGCGAGAGGTAACAGAGAGAAGGCGGGAGGTAACAGAGAGAAGGCGGGAGGTAACAGAGAGAAGGCGGGAGGTAACAGAGAAGGTGGGAGGTAACACAGAGAAGGCGGGAGATAACACAGAGAAGGCGGGAGGTAACACAGAGAAGGCGGGAGGTAACAGAGAGAAGGCGGGAGGTAACAGAGAGAAGGCGGGAGATAACACAGAGAAGGCGGGAGGTAACAGAGAGAAGGCGGGAGGTAACAGAGAGAAGGCGGGAGGTAACAGAGAGAAGGTGGGAGATAACAGAGAGAAGGCGGGAGGTAACAGAGAGAAGGCGGGAGGTAACACAGAGAAGGCGGGAGGTAACACAGAGAAGGTGGGAGGTAACACAGAGAAGGCGGGAGATAACACAGAGAAGGCGGGAGGTAACAGAGAGAAGGCGGGAGGTAACAGAGAGAAGGTGTGAGGTAACAGAGAGAAGGTGGGAGGTAACAGAGAGAAGGTGGGAGATAACACAGAGAAGGTGGAAGGTAACAGAGAGAAGGTGGGAGGTAACAGAGAGAAGGCGGGAGGTAACACAGAGAAGGCGGGAGATAACACAGAAAAGGCGGGAGGTAACAGAGAGAAGGCGGGAGGTAACACAGAGAAGGCGGGAGATAACACAGAGAAGGGGGGAGGTAACAGAGAGAAGGAAGATAACAGGTGACTGACACATGGCATCTACGAACATTGATCTCTGTACATGGAACACTGTCATAATAATCACAGAAGAACCAATTCCATTATATTTTTTTTATTTTTCAGACTGCAATGCGGTTTAGCGAGGGAAGTGAGTGCTTCTTGATCAAGTAGCCAGTACATTCTTGACACGTGTCCAAGGTACACAAATAGTGACCGGAATTCCTGCCGTATTCTGGTTTGTTGTCGTAACAACAACGTACCAGATGACGACAACCCTATGTACAGCTTGTAATGGATCTGTAACTGGTTTGAGCCGGTTTCCCTGTGTTGGCTGACCCGCGCGGTTACATATTGCGACATCCTCATATTGCAACATCGTCAGTACCAACGTGAAGTGTTTCACTCCGTCAGACTTAATTACAGCTGTAATTCAAAAGAATGGGAATTTATCGGAAAAAATAAATTGTCCCCGAAAATTCTTGACTGTTATATGGTACTGTGTTCTGTTGTTTGACAATGATTGAAACTTTACTGCATTGTTTCGGCTGAGATTCGGTAGAAGATCATTGCGTTGTATTTGGACAATGATAAGTTGTCAGCAATGTAGTACTGTTTAATGTAAGCAGTGGTGAGGAAACTCACTCCTTCTACATTACATGGCAAGTGTTATAGCTGACGTGCTTCTCTGGAGGACCTGATCTCACCACCGACCACTGACGTTCATAACCAACCATCCAAACTTCACCTGTATTCCGATCGGCGTCTTTGTTTTCAACAACACAAACGTGTCCAGATGTCTTTCCAACTCCAGCTTCCAACCAAGTCAAAACCTACATTCGTCTGTGAAAAAAACTGATACGAGAAGATCTCCGAGTCTAGTCTTCCGTCATGTTGTTGTAAGAGGACCATGCATCTGAGATGTCATACTAGACAAATAGACGCAATCGAACTGTCATTCTAGACAAATAGACGTTATACGACTGTCATACGAAACAAATATGCCCCATACAACTGTCATATTAGACAAGTAGACGTTATATGACTGTCATTCTAGGCAAATAGACGTTATACGACTGTCATACTAAACAAATATGCCCCATACAACTGTCACATTAGACAAGTAGACGTTATACGACTGTCATTCTAGGCAAATAGACGTTATACGACTGTCATACTAAACAAATATGCCCTGTACAACTGTCATATTAGACGAGTAGACGTTATACGACTGTCATTCTAGACAAATAGACTTTATACGACTGTCATACTAAACAAATATGCCATATACAACTGTCATATTAGACAAGTAGACGTTATACGACTGTCATTCTAGACAAATAGACGTTATACGACTGTCATACTAAACAAATATGCCCTATACAACTGTCATATTAGACAAGTAGACGTTATACGACTGTCATTCTAGACAAATAGACGTTATACGACTGTCATACTAAACAAATATGCCCTATACAACTGTCATATTAGACAAGTAGACGTTATACGACTGTCATTCTAGACAAATAGACGTTATACGACTGTCATACTAAACAAATATGCCCTGTACAACTGTCATATTAGACGAGTAGACGTTATACGACTGTCATTCTAGACAAAGAGACGTTATACAACTGGCGAGTCTAATACACATAGACCTAGTCGCCTTGTTCAACTGCAGCAAAACAAAACGGTTTTAGTCCTTCCTTATTCTTCAATACAAAACTAACAGACGTTCTTTGCCAGCGTGTATCTGTGATCAGTTGTAGGGGAGCGATATATCCTGCCGTCACGTGGTCACGTCTTCCGCGTCAATTTATGCCGTGTCAATATTGGCACAATTCTTTGCAAAACAACTGTGCAAACGCGCACATGAAAATAGCACTGGTTTATCAATACATCGACAGTGGTTTGCTTCAGGCGGGCAGGTTGTCATGGCGCCCTTGAACAGAAGAGACTCGGGATTGACACGCACCTGCTTTAAGAATCGCAATTCAAGAAGGAGGATGGGGTGGTCATCGTGTGAACTGTGATGGAGGTCCCCGACGGGTAGTTGCTAATGTTATCAACGACTTGTACACCCAAGATCCTCGTCCCCACCGTCACGTGTCTGTACCGCGAAGTATTCGTGGATACCGATGACAAGCAAGCAATTTGCCTTTGTCCAAGCAAACCCTAAACAGAGACGTTGGCTGTCTTCACTGTCACGGGTGTGGAAGTGGTGTCAGTGTTGCATCTCGAGATGTACCCGTACTAAGGTCGGCGCGGGTGGCCCAGTCGTCAGTGCGATGTGTCAGACGTGTCACAAACACTCTGGGGTTCGACTTCCAGCAACAGACCGTGTTTGTGGGTTCACCGCGTGGTAAAGGTCGAAGACCTGCATCACTTCCGGTTTTCATTCCATGTGAAGCTGTCACGACGTGAATACCCCATTCTCTTACTCATGTCGTAGTGTTTATTACCCGGCATGCTTGACACCCTGGCTCGAGACATGGATACACAATCACGACCTCAACCCGCAAGTATAAACAAACAATCACAACCTCAGCCCGCAAATGTAAACAAACAATCACGACCTCAACCCCAATCTCATTAAAATCAGATCTAAATTTAAGTTCTCGCTGCCGCTAAACAAAGATCTGAGGACATCCTATTACGGGTCACGTCAGAACGACCTTTCGCGAAGTTGAAATGACTAACAAGAAGTCGACATCAGCCAATTAGAGTGAGTGAGTATGTTTAACGCCGCTTTTAGCAATATTCCAGCAATATCACGGCGGGGGACACGAGAAATGGGCTTCACACATTCTCGAGCTTTAGGGCACTGGTTTCAACCTGGCGACTTCCATTTCAGACTACGCTTGAAAAATATGTTGACACAGTTCTCGATTAAACTTTTAAAAACTGAACAAACGAACATTCCGGAATGTCTGATACATGGTTGAGATTGTATGGCAGTGCTTCCCACGTACTGTGCAACGCCTCCTCCGTTCAAATGTTCATCCCATGGAGGTGAGAGATAGGCGATACTTTTGACTGAATTAGTCGTACGGGCCTTAACTATCGTTCGGATTTTAACATTATCGAGGTTGCATGATCTGAAACACATTCCGACTGTCACGTTCATGATCTGGTAAGCGACGCTTTGATTGGTCGGATGAACGGTCGTCCTGACGTGACCCCTAATGGGATGTCCTCAGATCTTTGTTTAGCGGTAGCGAGAACTAAGATATGATTTTAATGAGTTTGCCTCAACCCGTAAATATAAACAATCAAAACCTCAACCTGCAAGTATAAACAAACAATTACGACCTCAGTCCGCAAGTATAAACAAACAATTACGACCTCAGCCCGCAAGTATAAACAAACAATTACGACCTCAGTCCGCAAGTATAAACAAACAATTACGACCTCAGCCCGCAAGTATAAACAAACAATTACGACCTCAGCCCGCAAGTATAAACAAACAATTACGACCTCAGCCCGCAAGTATAAACAAACACTTACGACCTCAGCCCGCAAGTATAAACAAACAATTACGACCTCAGTCCGCAAGTATAAACAAACACTTACGACCTCAGCCCGCAAGTATAAACAAACACTTACGACCTCAGCCCGCAAGTATAAACAAACAATTACGACCTCAGTCCGCAAGTATAAACAAACAATTACGACCTCAGCCCGCAGATAAAAATAAACACACGGCCTCAACCTGCAAACATAAACAGACACACGACCTCAACCGGCATGTATAAACAAACAATCATGACCTCAGCCCGCAAATAAAAACAAACACACGGCCTCAACCCGCAAATGTAAACAAACAATCATGACCTCAACCCGCAAATATAAACAGACACACCTCAACCCGCAAGTATAAACAAACAATCACGACCTCATCACGCAAATATAAACAAACACACGGCCTCAACCCGCAAATGTAAACAAAAACATGATGACCCCAACCTGCAAATGAAATCAACAAACACGCGACTCGCAAATAGAATAGAACAAATACACGATCTCAACCCGCCAATACAATCCAACAAACACACAACCTCAAGCCGCAAAACCATCAAACACACGACCTCAACCCACAAAACCATCAAACACACGACCCCAACCCACAAAACCATCACACACACGACCTCAAACCGCAAAACCAACAAACACCGACCTCAACCCGCCAAACCATCAAACACACGACCCCTACCCACAAAACCATCAAACACACGACCTCAAACCGCAAAACCATCAAACACACGACCTCAACACGCAAAACAAACACACACGACCCCAACCCACAAAACTATCAAACACACGACCTCTACACGCAAAACCATCAAACACACGACCTCAACACGCAAAACAAACACACACGACCCCAACCCACAATACAATCAAACACACGACCTCTACACGCAAAACAAACAAACACCACCCCAACCCACAAAACAATCAAACACAGGACCTCTACACGCAAAACAATCAAACACAGGACCTCTACACGCAAAACAATCAAACACACGACCTCATCACGCAAAACAATCAAACACACGACCTCAAACCACAAAACAATCAACCGCACAAACTCTACACGCAAAACAATCAAACACACGACCTCTACACGCAAAACAATCAAACACACGACCTCTAAACGCAAAACAATCTAAAACAGGACCTCAACCCACAAAACAATCAACCACACAACCTTTACACGCAAAACAATCAAACACACGATCTCTACACGCAAAACAAACAAACACGACCTCAACCCAAAAAACAATCAAACACACAGCATCAATCCGCAAACGCAATCAAACACACGCGTGAAACTAAGGTAACGTTTGTGGATTAACCCTACATCTCTATTCAACCTCCTGGGTGCTGTGGTCGTCTTTCAATGCCTAACTTCTTCCGCTAGGGGATTTACCTATCAAGCGTTGGCCATTAAATAGGATGTTCAAAGAAATCTGGTCTCACTCAACTTTCATTTCCTGGGTTAAAAACGCCGAGTTCATTTCGGGTCTAATTAGATTTAAAAACAACCGTGGGGTATTTTAAGCTGTGCAATCGTGAACTAAGATTAACCGAAACTTTGGCTTCAAGCACACTGTAATGGCAGGTTGCCAGGTAACAGATTTAAAAGGTTATTTCTGGATGGCTTTCGTAATATTCTTCGTTATCAAATCAGCAGGAGAGTGTGCCGACCTGTTCTTGAGATGTTTGGGGTGTACTTACATCTGCCGCTGTCTCAACATATCTCTGTCAGAGGAGATATATTATGTCA